AATTAGATTTAAGATAATCTAAATATTAATATTATAATTATATAATAATCTAAATTAACTCTATTAAAATATAATACTAAATCTAAACTAACTTTATTAGAGTATAATCCTAAATCTAAACTAACTCTATTAGAGTATAAACTAATCTTTAAGAGACCTTAAAAGTCTTTAAGATTTATTAATAATATCTTATATAAACTACTTATTACTCTAAAAGAAGTCTTTAATAAGATATATAAAAGAGATAAAGAGTTTTAATTAATCCTAGAAACCTTAGATCTAAACTAATTCTAATACCTAAAGATTATATTTACTAAATATATATAAAATAGAAATTACCTCTTATTTAGAGGCTAACTTTATATCCCTAATAATAAAAACCTAAAAGATAAGCTTATATAACTTTACTATAAAACCTCTACTACTAGATATCCTAGATATTTAAAAATATATAAACTAATCTTCTAAGAGTATTACTAGCCTAGAATCTACTAATATATTACTTATTAGACCTAAAACTATTATATTTACTAAAGGATTACCCTATCTTAAGAAGCCTAATAAGAAGTTCTTTACCCTCTATTTATATCTATATAACCCTAGTAAGATATCTTAATAGATTTTATTATATATCTATTAGAAAGTAATAGATTTAATACTATCCTAGTAATAGTAGACTAACTTATAAAGATAAAATATTTTATATCCTACTATAGAACCTATAATACTAGGGAAGTCTCCTAATTATATATCTAGTATATCTAGAAGTTATATAGCTTATTTTATATAATTATATCTAATTATAGACCCTAATTTATATTAGAACTCTAAAGATACTTAACCTAATATCTATAAATTATAAACCTACTATTAACTATATACTATTCTAAGACTAATAGTTAAACTAAATAAATAAATATAATCCTAGAATAATATCTATAAGTATATATCTTATATCTATAAGATAACTAGTTAGAATAACTCCTATTAGCTAAATTTACTTTAAACTCTAATAAATCTAAGACTACTAAAGTTTTCCTATTCTTTACTAACTTTAGATTCTACTTAACCCTAGGATTTAAGTCTATATAACTAGATCCCTACTTATCTATTACTATCTTAAATATTAAGAAGATTACTATATAAATAAAAGATATTACTAAGTTTATATAGAATAAGATAATATCTATCTAAGCCTATTATAAAGAATCTATAAATTAATATTACTAGTTTACTTAGAACTACTAAGTTAGATAACTAATCTAGCTTAGTATCTAAAATATTAAGACTCTCTATCTATAGAAGAAACTTAACTAGAAGAACCTTAGTCTATTTAAGATTCTTAAGACTATAAGCTTATATACCTACTATCTAGAACTTCTACCTAGAATAAAGATCTACCCTATTTTTAATATAAACTTACTCTATCCTATCTTAGATAACCCTCTCCTAATATAAAGATAGCTTCCTCTACCCCTAATTAAAGTTAAAGATCTTAAAGAATAGATTATTAAAGATATCCTAGACTCTAGATAGGAATAATAAGATTATATAAAACCCTACTTAAAATATATTATAAAATAGTTAGATTATAATAACCCTACAGAAAAGCCTACTAAATACTTAAAGAATACTAGAGAGATTATAAATAACTTCTATCGAAAATACCTATTAAAACCTAGTCTAAACTAAATACTATCTTAGTCTTACAGAGCTTAGCTCTAAAGAGAAAGATAATATTATAGTATAGATCCTTATATAAGAAGATCCCTATTCCTATTATTATATGATCCCTAAGACTATTAGAACTTCCTATTCCTATTTAATATAGCTCTTTAAGCTATATCTTAGTTAATCTTCTGTCTTGTAGCCTATCTATAATATAACTACTTCTGATCCCCTACTTACTATACAAGCCAGCCTACTAGCTCCTGATATATAACTACCTGCCACACCCTAACAATTATATATTTAGCTTTCTTATCTTTAATCCTATAGAAATATCTTTCTTTTAGTCCTTAATACTATATAGCTAATAAAGAATACTTTATAATAAAGTAACTTTATTTATTATAATAAAAATATCTTCCTTTATTCTATTATCTCTCTATCTCTTTATAATTAATTAATTTTATTTATCTATTTATTTTAAGCCCTAATTAGTAGTATTTTATATAGAATTTAGCTTAGTTAATTATAGTAGTTAAGATCTAATTTATTAAGTCTTAGTATTACTAGATATATATATAATATAATCTTTCTAGAATATTAATACTAAGGGTATTTATATTAGTACTAATTTTATAAAACTAAATAATAAGATCTAAAAATATAGTAGGAATACTATAATTTATTAATAAATTTATTATACTTTTATTTAAAGATCTTAATAAGATCTATCTTTTTATTTTATTATACTATTTAAAGATATCTATATTTATAAACTCCTTCTCTAATCTAGGTAGGAATTTTATAAAAGATATATTATTTAATTAGTATATCTAGTAGAGATATCTTATAGTATATACTTTAATATTTAGATCCTTATAAATACTCTTAAGATAGTCTAGAATTATCTATAGATCCCTATTATTTTATTATAATTTTATAAAGGTTCTAATATTCTTCTAGATAAGCTTCTTAAACCTAGAGAATATATATATAAACTAGTCTTAGGGTAAGCTAATTATTATACTATCTATATATAGTTTATTCTCTATTATTATATATTATATTAGCTAGTTAATTATTTTTCCTCTAAATAGGATTAGATCTAGTAATTATATTTTCGGGTAATATATAGGTTCTAATTATAGGGATTCTAGGATTAATTTAACTATAGTTTATATTAAAGTTAGTTCTCCTATTATCGTTATTGTTAATTGTAAGACTAATTACTCTATTATAGTCTCTAGATAATAGATTTATTTATTTTAAATAATATACTTTTAGTTATATTATTATATTAATTCCTTCTATACTATATATTTTATATTAATTTATTTATTCTATTTGCTCTATATAGCTTACGATTATACTATTTGCTATAGTAGTATCTATACCTATAATAGTAGGCTTATAGACTTCTATATCTTTTACTTAGGGATTATATCACTGAATCACTTTTGATTTAGGGACGATTTGTATATAGTTTTAGATTTTTACAATATCTAATTGGAAGCTTTTTATTTATAAAGGGCTAAAGTAGAATTTATGTCCAATTGAGCTAGGCTACGTACTATATATAAAAAGCTTAAAGAGAGAATTACCAAGTAGGTGTTCTACGTATTAGGTTGTTATAGTTACGTGTGCTATATGACCTTATACCGGGCATTGGCCCGTGACAAGATCTAGGTGAAGATCCAATTATTGCGTTATCTACGCCGATTCTAGGCGGAAATAGCGATATAATTGGTTATCAAGATTCTTTTGTTACTTAGTAAAAAATTGATATTTTGTTATGTGTTTTCCATTATAGTGATATTTTCCAATACAGTGGGGGACACTAATTAGGGGTATCCCAATTAGTGGCCGACGGCACAGCTACCTCCTATCGCTCCAGCTAGTACTACTATTGTACTCCGCCCGCCCTCTCAGCCTGTAGGGCTTATAACACTACTCTATATAACTTTATTGTAGGGATAGAATATAGTAGTATCATAAAGAACACCCTCTACACAAAATTTACAACGGACCCTATTAAGCTTTTTCAGTCACGTGCCCACTACTAAGAGCTCAGTAGGGCACAGCTGACCTGTTTTTTCTGGCTACGAAGTTTCTGTGGTATTGATGCCTGAGGCACAAATGGCATAGATTTGTATATGCCTGGGATTGGGAATAATGGTAGGGATCAGACACCCCTCAAGTGCTCTTTTGGCTTAGTCTAGTTAAGACATCTGACATACTAGAGTCAATTCCTAGGATATCTCCAACTGATCAATGCCGAGGCTTTCTCCCTCCTTCAGGCCCAGTCCTTGTCCTTTATCAGCCCCGTTCTTGATTTCCGATTCTTTCCTTGATCTTCTTATTCTTTAGTATAATGATCAATGGGGTCAGGTGGTAGCTTTTGGAATTGTTATTATTGCTCTCTTTAATCTTTCTAGTTTGGCAGATCCATCAAGCAGGCAACCAGAGCCCTTGTGAGATCAGCCTGCAGATCGACACGATCACACTTACTTCAGATGTCGCAAGGCCCCATCTATCAGATGTATGATTGGTGGAACCCGGGGGAGATGGAGTGGGGCACTCAAGGCAGCATTGGCGTATTGCGAACGATGATACGGGGGTGATAGCGCCCATCAGCCCGCACAGCCTGCATGGGATGTTGTCATGGGGCCCAAGAGGGGGGCGATCTGTGTGTCATCGGGTGCCCAGATGACTCTGCGCTATAGTTAATGGACTACGCGCCAGCCCCGCACGATAGTTTCAGTAACTCTTTGACTCTTTGACTCTTTGACTCATTATACACAATACCGGTTTATAAAGGAAATCGGAATTCATCTTTCTTTCCCCTTCCCCCTCCTTCTCCTACTTACTATCCCCTTCTGAACACTGATCGGGGCTTTCCTTGGGGATTGACTTTCAGGATTTCCCACTGTTCCCACTGTTACCACTGTTACCACTGTTACCTTGGTTTGGGTGCCGAGATCTTGACTCATAACTCTCGGCCATTGGCAACTCTTATCGCCGTTTATCGCCACTGACAAATCCCCAATCCCCTTTGGGCTCGCATGCTCTCTCTCTCTCTTTCTGTATCAATCTCATTATAATATTTCTTTTTCTTCTCACTTTCTCTCACTTTCTCACTTTCTCACCTTCTCAACTTCCTCAAAACCCGCACGTACTGGCTTAAAAAGCGCCATTTCCCCTCCCAACCCAATCTCCCCCACTCACTCACCCCCCTGTCCCCTCCCAATCTCAATTGCCACACCACAAACCATCCATTTGAAACTATTGGTATGAATTCTGGCGCCTCACAGCCCGGAAACCATCCAGACATCATGAATCGGCTTCCTCTTTCAAGCTTGATGTCACCCCCCGAGACGAAGCCATTGGAGAGCTTCCAATCATCTCTTGATATGAAACTACCCCCCATCTCAGCTGATCGCAAGCGCACCCAGTCTGAGATGGACCTCCCATCCCCTCCAGTGACCCCTTATACAGGCACCAAGAAACGGCATTCACACACAGCCGAGCAAATTGAGCGTGATGTTGGTTCTCCGCGGGATCCTGTTTTGTTCCCTCGCCACGAGTCCGTCACTGGGGAGGAACCACTCTTTGGTCCCATTATTCAACCAACAGCTGAGGCCGTGGTCGAGCAGCACATTAACTCGCACATGGCCCGCTTCGACAATAAGCGCAATAAACCCACACGTGATGAGTATTTGCTTGCGCTGTCGTGTGTGCCGATCGTTTCCACGCAATATAATCGAAACCCTGCTGCCTGGGCCCGCGAAGAACGAGAAACCTTGGAACGCCAGTTGGCCTTGATGAATCGATACCGACCGAGTGATCTGGCTGCTAAACTAAAGAAGATTGCGCCCGCTCCCAAGAAAGCGATGACTCCCCGTGTGCAACGCACCCGAGTCAAGCGTACCCCCAAATCCACCCCTAAGCAGCAGACTCTCGATACATTTGATCCCCTCCCCACCACATCGAAGTCCCGGGCCCTGGGAACTAATCGGGATGATACCGACTTCCATGCCCTCCAGGATTATTCGCCTCCATTGGACACACTGGGCAGCAATGCCAAAGCGTTGAAAGCCGATTGGAAAGGGCAAATGTTGGATTTGAGCAATGACCCGGACAGACATTTGCTTAGTCCTGCCGAGCTCAATTTAGCTTCTACCTTACGATTGTCTTGTGCCACATACCTTTGTAGTAAACGCCGCATCTTTGAGGCGCGTTTGCGAGCCTTGGGTGTGGGCAAAGAGTTCCGCAAGACCGATGCCCAACAAGCTTGCAAGATTGATGTCAACAAAGCAAGCAAGCTCTGGACTGCCTATGAGCGCGTTGGATGGTTCAGGCCCGAATACTTTCATCAGTATTTAAGATGATTCCATCATTTGGCTCCTTTCCAATCTCCCCTTTCCCGTCACCGATTCCTCCCCCCTCCAATCCCCAACGGCATTTGAGATGTTTGTCGCCTATTCATATCGATATTCCTTCAAGGCTTTATGGTCTTAGGAATCATTTTCCCAATTCCCCCAACTTCTCAACGTCTCCACCCATCCCTCTCGTCCTCGACTCCCCTTCTTCTTGACGCCTCTTCTCCTTCATTCCTCCTACCAATCTTCAACCATATTGCCTGAGTTCTCGGTCAATCGTGTGGATTGCTGACTTGTGTGGAATTGAATGGGGGCTTGGTCGCATCTCTTCCACTCCACTCCCCCGGCCCGTCAATCCTTTCATCGCCTTCTCACCACCTAGTAACCATGACATACTCGAGTAACTGACTGTGCCTCTTCGGATGAACCTATTATTAATCCTCATTTGACTCCAGTCCCACTACGTGGCCCTGACATCACGATCAGACGGTTGCTCGGGGCTGTGCCCTCCAACGGCGGCAAATTTATTTTTTTGAAGAGGCATTTTACATATTGATGTCTTGTCATACCCGACGATATCTTGGTTGTCTCTTGGCTTTCCATTCTCGACATTTGCACAATTCTGCCATCAATCATGGCTACGCCTTTTGCGACCTCGAGCATTCTTTGCTATTTCGTTCTCGCATCATGCTGTTATTGCTCGCCTAGCTCATGCTTTTCTTCTTTTCACTATATTTTTATTAGTTACTTGTCCTGGTTACAGCTTACTTTGATCTTCTGGTGTTCATGGCGTTCCATTTCCCATCTAGAATGGCAAGGCTTGGGGCTCCTGACATAGCCTCCACATACCCCCTGCAACATATGGAGTTGCTATGATACTTGGTTTTCCCTTTTTTTTTCTGCTTTTCCTTCTTCTTCTTCCCTTTTTGCAGATTCTCTCTCGGCGAGCAATCGGGATGATATGATACCCTCTGACCAGATACGATTCTTTTAAATGATACACCCATTTGCAAATTTTGAACCTTTCAATTAAAATAGATGGTCATCCAGTAGGAAGCCTTGATAATAATAAAAAGAAGTAAAAAACATTAACCATTAAATATTAACACCAATACCAAACAAAGGATCTTGCAATATACGGCCAGACACGGCAAAGCAGTTTCTCCTGGGGCCCGCCTCATGTGGGGCGGCGGTGCACGGTAAGTCAATCCAGTGATCTGGCTCCGCCCGGCGCCACCTTTTTCTGACGTCTCCTTCATTTCATCTTTCACAACCCATCTCCCCATTCATCCGACTGCTTACTACTCTGTGAACACCCATCGAAGCCATGTCACAGGCTGAGGCGACTCGCGCCGAGTCAATCGACGAGCAAGAACGCGCCCGAGCGGCCGATGGCGACAAGAAGTCGAAGTCCAAACGACCCGCCAGTGCGCATCCCCCCCCTGCCTCCAACTTGTTCGCTTCTCAGCTAATATATTCCATGTACTAGATACCGCTTTCCGACAACAGCGATTGAAAGCATGGCAGTAGGTGCAACCAACCCCTTTACGATCCATTCGCCCGATTATCTTACTGACGCGGGCTCTCCCGGTAGACCGATCTTAACGCCAAAGAGCGTCTTGCCATTGTTCTTCATTGTCGGCATCATATTCGCGCCGCTCGGTGGAGTCCTTCTCTGGGCCAGCTCTACGGTAGGTTCGACCAAATATCACCCTGTTTGAATTTCTGCCCATCTGATATTACATTCGTTGTAGGTCCAAGAGATTGTGATTGATTACACCGATTGTATCAGGCTGGCCCCTGATACACTGACCACCATCCCAGATAGCGACAAACGAGTTTCAGCTACCTTCAAATCGAAGTCGTCGCAGTCGCCCATGTGGCAATTTAAAAAAAATGGAACCGACAATATCTGCCTCCTCCAATTCGATATCCCCAATGATATGGGTCCCCCGGTTTTCTTATACTATCGTCTCACCAATTTCTACCAAAACCATCGCCGATATGTGCAGTCCTTGTCACTGCCGCAGTTGAAGGGCGACGCGCTTAGCAACAAAACGATTGCAGATAGTACTTGTGACCCTCTTACGACGGACCCGGTCACCAAGAAAGCCTACTACCCATGTGGATTGATCGCAAACTCCCAGTTCAATGATACATTCTCAAGCCCCAGCGATGTCAGTAGCGGGACGCAAGACCCGGTCACTTACAAAATGACAAATAAAGGAATCGCTTGGGAGAGTGACAGGGCGTTATACGGAAAGAGCTCATACAAACCGGATGAGGTGGTCCCTCCACCCAACTGGGGCTATTACAATGGTAGTTACACGAAAATCCCTGACCTGTCAGAAGAATTCATGGTTTGGATGAGAACAGCTGGGTTACCGTCCTTCAGCAAACTCGCCCTCCGGAACGATGACACGGTTATGGGTAAGGGAACGTACCAGTTAGAAATTGCTGACAGTCAGTTCCCACCGCATAATCTCCTGCAGAGGACTTCTGTCCGAACATGAATACTGACGTTTTCTAGAATTCAATGTGACCGAGTATGATGGAACAAAGTCGATTTTGTTGTCCACTAGGACCGTCCTTGGAGGCAAGAATCCCTTCATGGGAATTGCCTATGTCGTTGTTGGAGGAGTCTGCGTGCTGCTTGGAGCTCTGTTTACCGTGGCTCACCTAATCCGACCGAGGTATGTTCTTATACATCTTGAATCTGTCTCCATTTACACGTTTAGAGCCATATCTCACCCGACTCTTTTCTTTTAGGAAACTTGGTGATCACACTTATTTGACTTGGGATTCAACCAATCAACCAACTACCGCCATGGCCACCGGACATGATGATCGACTACGACCATCATCATAGACACTTGGTAACTCCAATGTGGTTATACTCCCGGCGCCGCGTTTCCCCCTTCTTCTTCTTCCCTATTTTCCTCTTTCTCTGTATTTTGGCTTTCTATTTTCATGTTTCCGTATTTCCATGGGTTTTGACTGTGAATAAATGGACCGTTCCGGCTCAAGGCGTTTAGTCAAGTTTCACGAGGAGTTTTCGATGTATCTAATCAAAATCACAACAATGAGCATTCCTCTTTCTTTCCTTTCCCCACTTTTCGAAGATTTATGTACAAGGCCACCCAGATCTTGAAATTACTCGGCTACACTAAATACCAATGAGTTGCGAATGCTATCTCCACTTTCGCGGACTTTTTGCCGATCTTGTCTAAGCATAGTCAATCCCTTGCTGTTGACATACATTCCACCATGACGCGACATTCTTAGGGCTCATGGCAGAGGACCATGGGTACGTGGATGATCAACTGAGCCATTTGCTGATTGAATGAATGATGAACAGCTTGTTCCTTGATTCTGAATTGCCGACTATCATTTGAGTCCGACCTTCTCTCTTTTGCATCTTCTTCGTTTTATTCGTATTCAACGGTAGGCGTTTTGTTTTTGTTTTTTTTCCTACCCAAGTCACTCCCTAAATCAACCATCATGGCCTGTCACTCATTTACGCCACTGGTCTTTCTTTACATTGCTCTATTTCTCGTGGCTGTTCAGTCCGGTCCAATAATTTCCCAAAAACGCGGCATCTGCGCCACCGAAGATCCAGACTCGTCTTTCTTAGATGCCCTTCAACAAGTCAAGGATGGCGAGTCCCAATCATCTCCCAACGCGTCTGAGGCCCGAAAAGCCCCAATCGAAATTGAAACTTGGTTCCATGTTGTCAGCAGCGAGGCTGAAGAGGACCAAGTTACCGATGATATGATTAATTACCAGGTTTGTTCTTGTCGTCGCCAAGGGCCCATATTGGCGACTGATCACTAATTCCTTCCATAGCTTTCCATCCTTCAGGATTCGTATGAAGATGCTGCCATCAAGTTCCTTTTACAGGGGGTGACCCGTCATGTAAATGACAACTGGGCTCAAGATGGGGATGACATAGCCATGAAGAAGGCGCTTCGAAGAGGAACCTATCGAACCCTGAATGTCTATTTCCAAACCGATCTACAAGCGGCCCCTGGGCAGGCCGGCCGAACTACACACCGAGGAGCCAGCGTGGCTAATGATTTATCATCCAGTGTACTGGGATTTTGTACATTGCCTGATCCAAGTGTGAACGCAACTAGTTCTCGAGATGACTATGTCAAGGATGGGTGCAACATTCTTGCGAAAACGATGCCTGGAGGCTCTTTAGACCTATACAATCGCGGAGGAACGGCCATTCACGAAATCGGGCACTGGAACGGCCTCCTCCATACTTTCCAGGGAGAATCTTGCTCAGATAGCAACCCTGGAGACTACATTGCGGATACACCGCAACAATCCACACCGACAGATGGATGCCCAGCCCGCAAAGATTCATGTCCTGACTCGCCAGGACTTGATGCCGTTCACGATTTCATGGACTACTCATCAGATGTCTGCTATGAGACCTTCACACCAGGTCAAATGAATCGAATGCGTAACATGTGGACTACAATGCGTGAAGGCAAATGAACCACGTCTGGCTTGAAGATACTAGCATGCACTCGTATATCAAAGCAAGATGACAACATTTTATATCAGCAGATAATGACATTCTTCTACGGAGGACCATAGCGTCCAGAGGGAAAATCTTCCATCTTGGCTTATCTTAGACCGGCAAGAAACTGCGATTCATGTAATACAGTAATACTCCTATAGGCCCAAGATATCGCCAAGTTAAGCTGCAAGCATGCTGTCTTGAGATAAATTTTTGAAATATCACCTTTCTTTCTGTTTTAACGAACTTACTAGTACTGCTAGTCTATTCTTGAAATCTAAAGTATCTATAAAAAATATTTCTTTAGTTGTCTTTCCATGTCGAGCTTACAGTACAGCTGGGCAGATAACGGTGTATTTAGACTAAAGCACGGTTATGTAGGGCCAACGGGTTTTCCCCCTTTGGACGCTATCGGCCCCCGTCATTCTCCTTTAGTTAATGCAGGAAGTGAAGCCTCCTTTAGTTTTCTTTCCTTCTTTCTTTTTGCTTGATAAAGTTATACATGACTGAATATTTGAAAATACAATTAATTGACTCTAAGCATCACCGCCTTTTAAAGCCCTGATGATGCGGACTGAATAAAGCAAGCGTTGCCCTGCTCTCAAATTGGAGATGAATTGCGTATCACGAGAGAAAGGAATATAAAAACACATGAAAAGAAAGGGCGGACGACATGTAATACAGTTGAAGAAAGGCAAGAAAATGTTTGATACCCGTCTAACGCTTGCGCTTGGTGCCACGGTCATCCTCCTCTGCGATCGCTTCTTTATCATGACGCTTAGCTTTCTTTTCCAGCTCATCCCAATCTTCGCCGCTTTCCTCGTCGCCACTGAAGTCCTCCTCGCTGGCATCGGCACTAGCATCATCATCAAACTCACTATCCTCTTCCGAGCTTTCATCGGCAGCAGCCAGATCAGAATCGGATAATTCGAATGCCGACTCTTCCTCTTCATCCGAACCCTCCGAGTCGGATTCAGCAGCCAAGAAAGACCAACCACCATCGGTGAAAAAGCCATATGGATCGCTGACGACGGTTTTCATGATTGTGGTCCAGTTCAGGTTCAAGGGACCTTCAGTAAATGCAATGTCAACCGAATCGAGCCAATCCTTAACACTCTCAAGAGCTTCAACTGGGATTGTGTTGACATGGACGGGAGGTCGATGGAAGTCTTTGTAAACGAAGACGAGATCGAAGTTTTTGAGTCCAAACTTTAGTTGTGTTAATAAGAAAAAAATCGTGTAACATAGAGGGAGGGAAGACATGTGTTGCATACCTGTACTCTCTCCAAATGAGCAATTTCAATCTCATTGAGAGTGATTACCATGAAGGGTGGCTCCGTGAGTTGCACGAGCGCGTCCGTGGTGGGTTGAATCAAAACATTAGAGCGGTTAGGAACACCAGTGAAGCCAATCTCTCGGAAAGGAATGTCGACATCCACGGTCTCGTCCTTTCCAGCATCCGCAACCTTCTCAGCAAACGCCTTGAACTCACGATCGAGTGCAGCCCTTCGGCGTCTTTCCTCCTGTTCGGCCTCAAACTCCTCTTCATCTCCAAATCGGTGCTTACGTCGACGGTTGCCGGTCTCATCGAATTGCATCTCTGTAGCTTCACGGTAGAATTGGACATCTCTGGTCTTTCTCTTTCCGATCATGATCGGGGTCTTCAAGTGCACATGAATGAGGACAATCAACTCATGAGCACATGGTTGGAAGAACAGATGCTTGACATTGCTGAAAAGAACATCGACATGTTCGTTTCGGAAAGGTGATAGATACCGAAGACCGTTCTGATGGATTTCCACCTCACCTGGAACTCGCTTGCCGTCCAGTGGGGGCCGAAGATACACATCAGGCAGCTTCACAGGTCGACGATCTAGATAGTGTTAGTCTATTAGTGAAACGGAAAAAAGACAAAATAAACAAAAACTGCGAAGCATGCATTGTTGTTGTTGGGTTGGGGGGGGGGGTTTGCTGACTTCGGATTTCCACAAGTTTATCTTGCTCGACCACGTCTTCCATTTCCTTCTTCTCCTGCTCCCGACGTAGAGCATTCTTTCGGAGTTCGGTGATGTCCTGCGCCACCTGGGCAAACCGATCATTGTGTTTTGACCGCAGTGTTAGGTTTCGAACGAAGTGGGCATTAGGATCCTCAAACGGCTGGTCATCCTTTCTACCGACTCCCTGTCCAGGCGAGAGGAAGTTAATACGCAGGTAAGCATATTCACCTTCATCACTCTTGCTGGCATTTTTGATAGTATTGATATGGAACGGCACCGGTCTGCCCATGATGGGCACAATTATAGTTGATGCTTTGTGGTCGACATAGACTGTGAGGTCTTTGACCTTGGCGGGCAGCTGATTGTCTCGCTTGTAGGACTCGAAACGTTTGAACTTCTTTTGAGCCACACCGTTATCATCTCCTGTGGTTCCGGTAAACCGGTCAAGACCCTCCTTAGTCTTCTTTTGAGCCAACTCCTTTTGGTGTTCTCGACGACGTGCTTCGGCGCCTTCGTTACTTTGTGTAGGACGCTCCGCACGGAGCTTTGTGCGTGTAACATTCCTGCCCGCCACCGCACTTGACTTTGCTTCTTTCTTCTCTTTCACAGGCTTCTCTGGTTCTTCATCATCGCCGAAATAGAACGAAACAGAGTCCATGTCAATACCTGCATCTTTGGTGAAGATAAGAGGTCCACTGTCCCCAACACGGACAGTGTCAGTGATGACCATGGAATACACATCTTTCCCTTTGGAAGATGCATCCTTCACGTCAGTGAACCCGATGCTGATCGCCAAAGTCATGCCGTTCTTTAGAACTCGGGTGTTCTTAGCATTCAAGACCATATTAGAGTCCCGGAGCTCAATGCCAATTCCTGAACCGATATTTTTGGTCATGTGGTTTTCAAGCTCTGGCTTTTTGGACTTCACGAGATTGAGGGCCTTATTGTACACATCTTTGACGACGGCACCATCCCGGATCTCTTTCATGACCGCATCATGGAGACTTAGCAAGAAAGAGTAATTTGCTTCTTGAGACTTGCTGGGATCGACTAGATAAGTGCGACCGATGAGAGAGTTATATGTTTTGTAGCGAATGCCAAAGCTGGATAGAATAATCCCGGCTTCGAGGTTCTTGCTATCGGGAGTTGCAGTTAATTTGAGGTCATATGTACCTCCACTCTGGACAACTGGCCCGTAAGCCCAGTCAATCTGCTCAGCATCAAATTCAGATGGTAGGCGAGCAAGCTTGTTGAAAAATTTGGCATCGTCGATTTTTGCCTCCACCTTGCCAGCAAGAGCTTTGTGTGTCATCTGCTTTTCTTCGTCGAGCAGACGAGACATCTCATCCACGAAATAATCCGACATTAGGCCACTGCATGCCCTGGAAGCATTTCGAATAGAAACCTTATATTTCATCAGCGGACTGGCACCAAGATACTTCGCGGCGTGGTGATACTTACGAGTTCCTCTGGGTCTTTGATTGAAAATGCAGCTGACAGGGCCGGGGTAATATCAACCTCCTCCACGTCCTTGGAAATTTCCGAGAAGGTACGTTTCCAATCATCGGCGAAAGGGCCGGAAGTGGTATCTTTTGGCAGAGTACCAACTTTGTTCTGCGTTCCCTTAATCAGCGAATGCCCATCGTCACCTCGAAGTTATATCCCCATATTAACTTACCCCGGAGTTTTTGATGACCTCAACACATTTTTCAAAGGCCTTTGTTTTGGACTCTGGGTCTTTGGTAGTCACCAAAAGTTCCACCGGAATCTTCCCACCTTTCAGAGGCTCAAGAAGCTCCGCTGAATTTGCGCATATTGTATTAGCAAAACAACCACCAAGAAAGTGAGTTACCGTATGCGCTCACCTTTTTTGGCGGTGGTAACCACATATATCGCTTCGGTGGTCAGGACGAGGAGGGTGGCCGGGAATTCGTAGCCAAGGAGCCAGAACTAAGCGTTCATTTAGATTAGCAATCCAGTTCATTGACATATTGAGCCAAAATGATGATGAAATGGGATGATAAGAGCAGCAAACGTACGTGCATCGCATTGTTCTTCTGAAAGGCGCTTTCATCGGTTCTAGTCTTGCCCATAAGGACGACAATGGAACTTGCGCCCCCGAAAAGAGCATTGCCTGACCGCTTATCCGCCTTCCATGATACGTAGAGGTTGGACAGGTGATTGAAAAAATTGTTTTTGTCGATAGCAATCTTCTCGGCCATCTTTGGCGATCTGGCGCAAGCAAGATCTGCTGGCAGCAGCGAGATAGACGATATGGACGTTGGGAATGAAATTCAGGATCGAAGTTGAGTGTTGCAATAGTGGAGTTAATTCGAAATAAGATAAAAGCCCAGGAACGGCCGGGTGGAAGGTGGAGGGTGGAGGGTGGAGGCTTTTGGGGGAACTTCAAGATGTAAGAGAAGCTCACTTGCTCTCTCACTCTTGGGCCTTTCTCCCTTTGAACGCGAAAAGCGCGTTTCCGCGTAGTTGGCTACTGTGGAATACCGTAAAAATTTACCCTATTAGGTCTAGTGTAGGGAGCGGGCTCTTAGCACCTGAGACCTGAGGCAGCTCAACCTTGTTGCTAATTAACTAGTAGCTTCTTCTTCTTTCTTCTTTCTTTCTTTATTTTTTTTTTGTTGGTGACGAGTCAAAAGGCTCTCGTCTATTTTCCAAAATGCTCTCCATGGATGCCTTGTGTCTTTTTTAAACCGATTTAGTTGCTTCTCCGACTCCTACCACCACCACCGCCCTCCAATCTCCAATGCGATGAACCACGAGATCTGCAATGAATCCCATTTACCTGGACCCCCACCTTCAGGACCCAGGCACTCGACGAAAACCACGCAATGATGCAGCAACTGGTGCGTCGGCAGCCGGTGTTCGTGCCCTCAGTGCTCAAATGGTTGCTTTCTATTTCCGAGCCCCGATCAAGGCATTTTTTCGCACCCGTGTCGAGTAGGTCCAAGTGCATATATGGGAAAGCATCTTTTTGTCGCGAGGTTAACGTGTGATATAGTTACATGGTGAATTATTCTCCCCACTTCCCACCTCATTACTCAGGCTAATTATTTGGGTAACCTTCATGTCAACAGGCATTTGCCCGCGCTGTGAATCCTCGCGTTGCTGAGGGCAAATGGTCCCTCCATACCACCACGCCTGGCCTACTGCTTCATGCCGTCCGAACGTACGGCTGGCAGTTTATCCCAAATCAAGTCTTGCCACCACTACTGGCAAATGCGGCGTAAGCATCACTGTTTCTTATCTGGACCGGTTTCAAACCTGGATACTCGATAGCTGACCGATCATACATAGTGTCGGAGCCGTACTTTACACATCTTATTTACAGGTTCTGGGAGCCCTCCACGAACCTGTATCCCAGGGTGTCAAACGCGTGTGGCCTCCTGCCCCACCATCGGCTACCTTTACCGCTGGGTTCACTGCCGGGGCCATTCAGTCAATTGTTGCGGCTCCTTTGGATGCACTGCAGGTCCGGCTGCAGACTAGCGATATGCTTGAAGGTCAATACCGAAGTATGTGGCACTATGGTAACCACAAGTTAAAACAAATCGGGCTTCGAGGGGTCTTCGCTGGTTGGAGCCTCTCCTTTCTCCGAGACTCTATGGGGTATGCTGTATTCTTTTCGTCTTTTGAATACGTCAAATCTCAATCCTATTATTCCTTTATCACTTGGTATTATGGTTCCCTTCGTGCCGATAATCTGGAAGCGCTTCCTATTTCGGGCTCCAGTGACCGTGGTGTACCCATCATCAAGCCTCATTATGCATTGGAGCCTTGTTTTCTGATGATGGCTGGTGTGGTTGCTTCGATGGCCCAACAAGTGATTCAGCATCCCCTCAGCCGGATTCAGGACCTCCATCTAGGCCGACTGGAATATCTGGATCACCAAGCGAGTTTGGATCATTCACGACGACAGATGCTTCGTCTTTATTACCATGCCTATCAAGAGACGTGGAAACGGTGTCGACGCAAAGCCGAGCGAATCGGTGGAATACGGCAATGGCTTTTCTGTGGATTCTTGAATAGCTCTCTTCGACAGGTCCCTAGTACTAGCGCCGGCCTGATTATCTTTGAGCTGGTGCGTCGGCGATATGCAAGCCTCGCCGACACAGTGCATATCCAGAAAGATGGATACGATATTCTTCTGAACTAAATGGAGACATTTCATCTTCCACAGGTGCACGCTCGATTCTTGTCTCTTTCTGATCTCATTGAAAGATATTGTCAATACCGACAAGCGTTAACACCTCCATCATTTACCTCCATCATTTACCTCCATCATTTACCTCCATCTCCTTATCTCCTCTCCTTACTTCATTGATGCGCAAGGCCCGCCAGATTTCCCCTTCTAACACCCGGCCTCCAAACTCCGGCCAATAGAAAGGTGTATTATCATGGTAAGGTGGGCCATGATGATAACTGCCTGCATAGCAATCGTCCTTGAATGTATATACCATGTCGATATCTTCTGTAGATACACATATGCATATGAAAACCCTTTCTAAAACGTTTCTCGGCTTCTTCCTCCTCATCTTTATTCTTAGTATGTTCAGATGTATATATACTTCATCAACATCAACTATCCACATATACAGTCCGACAATCAGACAGGTATAGATAGATACATTCTAGAAATGCCCGGGTTTTGCTTTATCTAGTAATTTCAAAGGACTCCAGGGCTGATATTTCAAGTGGAGAACTACATATTACGGATCCTTCTTCGGTCGCTCTTGGCTTCTTCTCCACTGTGGGGCCCAAGATCTGACACCCCGTATTCCTTCCCTCTTGTGCCTCATCCGTACAGTGACATTCTTCAAGTTTCTAGCTGAAATACCAATTTGGTCCTTCCAACTTCAATCAACCTTCCTGCTCACATAGGCTACTTACCTGGAAAGTAACGGGCGACTCATATCTACTCGATTTTGCATATACTCTTAACACGTTGTATATTGTGAATCTCGTACCCTTTCCCCCTTTTCACTTTTGAAAGTAACAATCAAATTTTCTCTCTCTCTTACTCTTCGTCTGGTGCCGCTTGCTTCCTCCGACTCTTCTCCATTCTTTCTTTTCCCCTTTAATATATAAGGAAAGAAACTCGGCATCATCCACGCATCGGTCACGCTGCAGTGCCACCTGACTTCCCGCCATCGCATCTTGTGAGCTCTGTGCGACCATCACGTCGTTTTTTTACCCCAATAACTTTGAACCCACTCCAAGCCATTCAGAGAGGCCCCCGGACTACTGATCCTCGACTTGTATTGCCAGGGTTGGCTCTCAAGTTGTTGAGGCTCTCTCTTTTTCCTTTTCTGCGTTTTCCTTGTTTCTTGGTGTCGTCCTCCGCCTCTCCACCCAAACCACGAAACAGGCCTTCCCGGCCCATCGACATCATTCCTTCTCCAACGTCCCCACGCGCCATTCCGCTCCAGTCTCTCTCCCACTCCCCAACCCAACCCATATTCATAGAATCCGCCAGCGAGAAAGGCAGTCGTCGCTCATCGAATTCCTTAGCTCGGTCCGAGTCGGACTTCTCCATTTTGTCAGATACCGGCGATCTTGCCCAGCAATTCGCCGAGGAAGATTCCCCTCAGGCCCATTTGAGGGATTCTTTCGATCGTGACTTTCTGACCCGGAAAGACCGCCGAAAGCCTTCAAAACGAGTCCACTACCCACAAGATTTGCAAACCGATACCTCGGCCTTTAAAGAGGAGATCGAGATCCCCAGCCCTCCGCCGCGGCGGATCACCCGAGTGGAGCGGCTCATAGCCATCACCATGTCCCCTGGGGATCGGCAAAATGCCCGAGTCCATGGATTGGTGGGCAAACCACTGCTGTAAGTGTTTGGATGAGTGGGAAAGCCAATAATTCATACTGACGCTAGTCCCGTAGTTACTTTACCAGTGTCTTTGTATCATTAGGTGTCTTCCTCTTTGGTTACGACCAGGGCGTCATGTCCGGCATCATCACGTACGTCCGTATTTTCGCTTCTACCATTTGCTCCTCCACATGCGACAAAATAAACTAGTAACGAGTCTAACTCATAAATAGTGGGCATTATTTTGCGATCTATTTTGACGAACCCTCCCGGGCCACCATTGGTACGGTGGTAGCTATCTTGGAGGTCGGAGCGTTCATCTCCTCGCTCTTGGTAGGGCGTATCGGGGATATGATCGGCCGACGTAAGACCATTCTATATGGCTCGTTAATTTTTACAGTTGGTGGCGCCCTCCAAACCTTTGCTACGAGTATGGCCATGATGATGGTCGGTCGAATTATTGCTGGTTTTGGTGTAGGCGCGTTATCCACAATCGTGCCGGTATACCAGTCGGAAATTTCAGTATGGACACCTTTAATCCCAGACATATTTATAGTGTGTACTGACTACGGCAGCCTCCTCACAACCGCGGAAAACTGGCCTGCATTGAATTCACTGGAAATATTGCAGGATACGCAACCAGTGTCTGGGTAGACTATGTCTGTAGTTTTATCAAGTCGAATTACTCCTGGAGGCTGCCTCTTATGTGTCAATGTGTAATGGGCCTCGCTCTTGGATTGGGAAGCGTGATAATTTGCGAATCTCCCAGGTAGGTATTCTATGTTAAAGGTGCATAGACTCTTTTATTTTCACCAGCCACTCTAACATTTGCTTTCTTCTAGATGGCTTCTGGATAATGACCATGATGAAGAGGGCATGGTTGTTATTGCCAATCTTTATGGTGCAGGCGATATCCATAACGATAAGGCACGCCAGGAATACCGCGATATAAAAATGGGGGTTCTGCTCCAACGACAGGAGGGTGAAAGATCATACGGTGACATGTTCAATCGTTACTATAAACGAGTTTTGATTGCCATGTCAGCTCAAGCTCTAGCACAACTAAACGGGATCAATGTCATCTCGTATTATGCACCTCTGGTGTTCGAATCTGCCGGTTGGAAAGGTCGAGATGCCATTCTCATGACGGGAATCAATGGAATCTCATATCTCCTGTCCACCATCCCTCCTTGGTACCTTGTGGACGGCTGGGGACGACGGCCCATTCTTCTTTCAGGGGCAGTAGCGATGATTTTATCTCTTTCCGCGATTTCCTACTTCATCTACATCGACATTGAAGCCACTGCAACTTTAACCGTGGTCTTTGTTATGATCTACAATGCTGCATTTGGGGCATCATGGGGCCCTATCCCGTGGCTTTACCCACCCGAGATCCTCCCCTTGAGTATTCGTGCTAAGGGAGCCAGTTTGAGTACCGCTGCTAACTGGGCCTTCAATTGGCTTGTTGGAGAGGTGACGCCAGTGCTCCAAAGTCTCATCACATGGCGGCTGTACCTAGTCCACGCATTCTTCTGCGCGTGTAGTTTTGTGGTTGGTAAGAATTCTTCAAACCCTACTACCTTCAAGGATAGAGTTAAGTGAGCCATGCTGACAATAACACAGTATACTTCTTGTATCCCGAAACTAGGGGGGTTCGACTTGAAGACATGAATACCCTTTTTGGAGATGCCTCAACCGCTATGCCAACTCCAGCCACTGAAGGTGAGCGAGGGTCCCTTCTAGGTGCAGGCTCACCTGTTCCCTCGCTCGATATCCGCCGACCGTATGGTCAATTTGGAACCGAAAGCGCCATACCAGGTCTCAATATCGATCCGCCAACTTTGACCCAGACTCATGATGGTTCTGGCAAGCCTGGGCAGTCCAGCTCGCACCCGAGTAGTAGCCGGGGCGAGGGAATTGGTGGCTGGATTTCGAACATGGTCAGCCGGCAGCGAAGCTCTGTCAGTCAAAGTTATAGCCGCCTGGAACAAGGCGATGAAGCCGAGGACCAGTAGAATAGACGATTGTTGATTCCCAATGGCATCTTCCCTGTTCAAATTGCCTGTCTGCTTCAGCAAGCTGGAAGCCACTCTTACGATCAACCTCTCTATTGACAATGATCTCAGCCTTGATATATTGCCCCCTGACGAACTGGGGCCATAAACTGGAAATACCGCCATAATCAGCCTCCCTGTCAGCCCTTTTTTTTTTTTTTTTTTTTTTTTTACCGAAGTCTGCATACCTGTCATAACCCCAACTTGAACCCGACCTTGCTTTCTAGCGCTGTATCTTTTTTCTTATAATATTCACATGGATGTGTAGCTACATAACAGAGCCCGATTTGGCATGACTTCATAGATTAAAAAAAAGATAATTGACAATTGTCTTTATGAATATTGATGCTGGCCTGTTTGGAACATCGCCGCGTTCCTTTACGGGGATCTATATCCTACGTGCATGATGCTATAGCTAGGCTTTAATATGATATATAATTTGTATCGATATACTGCTTGTCTCTTCGTTGCTCTTTTATGAATATATTCAAGCAAAAAAAAGTTGGCATCATAGCTGTGGTAATGAGTTGAAGCATTTGAGTGTTTTTAGGGTGTCATCACCAGCTTAGCATCAATATTTATTTTACTCGGAATAAAATTGACACATAGAGTATTTGCATGCTTATATTTGGCGTTTACCACAATCCTAATCATTGTCTCGGAGAATTCGGTTGCATGCGGCCAAGCACGTTCGTCCCGAAAACGGCCCCCCCTTAAACCCTTAAAAGGACGGAGAGATGACAAAGGCGGTGTTTACCCTTCAGGACAGTTCAGTCGCTTTCATGAACCTCCTTCTACGTCCTTTTCCCCTTTGCATTTCTTCGCCTACATTTCCCCCTTTCCCTTTCCCTTTTCTTCTTCTTATTCTCTTATTAATACCGTGCTATCGGCAACACCGTTAGCATTGTTCCTCTTGGTCTTTCGTGGCCAGTATGGTTGTTTGAGCCTACGTTGCTAATTCCTCTCCTTATCCTGGTTGACATTGTCCCGCCTCATTTTTCTTGAAATACTTTGTCCAGTTTTTCTTTCCATTTCCCTATTCTTTTCTCTTCACTTTCACATTGGAACGACACGGTATTAAACCAAGTCTTCCGATAAAATGGCCGACAGCGCCATTAGTACCGGTGCCAAACATGACCCCGACCTACGACGGAGAAATGTGCCAGATGCCACCAAAGCCCAGGTGTTCACACCTGCGCCCACCGAGAAAGATGACAAGAAGCGAAAACCACAGGTATGATTGGTTATCTACTACTATGTAGTGGTTTTTTATTTATATATATTTTTTTACTAATTGCGGTTCTGCCTATAGTCTACTTCGTTCCTGCAGGTACTAGCGGGTTGGGAACCAGTCCTGGCCCCCATCATCCTAACGCTGCTTTCCCTCTTCACTCGACTCTATCGTATCGGCCGCTCCAACATCGTGACCTGGGATGAAGCCCAGTAAGATCATATCCTTCCCATTAACTTGGCCATTCTGTGGTACATTGGCTAATTCCATCATTTATAGTTTTGGCAAGTTCGGCTCCCACTACTTAAAACGCGAGTTTTACTTCGATGTTCACCCTCCACTCGGAAAGATGCTGGTTGGCCTTTCGGGCTACCTTGCTGGCTACAATGGATCTTTCGAATTTAAATCCGGTGAAAAATACCCCGAAGACGTCAACTATACCTTTATGCGCGCCTTCAACGCTATGTTCGGTGTTGTATGCGTGCCATTGGCCTACTACACGGCCCGTGACCTGAATTTCCGCAAAGCTACTGTGTGGCTGATCAGCTTCATGGTCCTCTTCGAAAACTCATATGCCACGATTTCCCGCTTCATTCTGTTAGACTCCATGCTCCTGTGCTTTACCTTCACAACTACGATGTGCTGGGCTCGATTCCACCGTCTTCAGCGAGCTAGCTTTACGCTAGAGTGGTATACCTGGCTGTGTTTGACTGGCCTGAGTATAGGCTGTGTCTGCAGTGTTAAATGGGTCGGTTTCTTTTGCACTGCTATTGTTGGCCTGTACACAATCGAGGACCTGTGGAACAAATTTGGCGACTTGAAGATATCTCAGGTGAGTGGTCGTAGAACTGTCGAACCAACTATTTCAATTACTAACTGAATCCTCGAAAGGCGGTACTGGCGAAGCATCTTTTTGCTCGTGTTGGAGGCCTAATTGTCATCCCAATTCTGGTTTACATGGCCTCATTTTACGCGCACTTCCTCGTTCTTTCCAACAGCGGCCCGGGAGATGCCCAAATGAGCTCTCTCTTCCAAGCCAACCTGCGGGGTACCGAAGTTGGCAGGGATAGTCCCCTCGAGGTTGCCCTTGGGTCACGCGTTACCCTGAAGAATATGGGATACGGTGGTGGTCTTTTGCACTCTCATGTTCAGACATTCCCTGAAGGCTCCAACCAACAACAGGTTACTTGCTACCATCACAAAGATGCCAACAATGACTGGTTTATCTACCCTAACAGACACGATCCGGATTATGATGCCGAGGCCGACTTAAGATTCATCGGAGACGGCCAAACAATTCGTCTTATTCACGGTTCAACAGGTCGGAATTTGCACTCCCATGCCATCCCTGCGCCAATTTCCAAATCTCACAACGAAGTTTCATGCTACGGAAATATTACGATTGGCGATGACAAGGATCATTGGAAGATCGAGGTGGTGGACGACGCTGCATCCCGGGACCGCTCTCGGATCCGAACACTAACCACTGCTTTCCGTCTTCGTCATCCAGTGCTGGGCTGCTATCTGCGGGCTGGAAATGTCAACCTCCCACAATGGGGCTTCAAACAGATCGAGACTACCTGTGTCAAGGAAAACAAGCCCGGCGACGTATACACACACTGGAATGTCGAGTCACACAACAACGAGCGTCGTAAGTAATAAAAAATTCCATTATTTTGCTTCTTCAAAGGCGAGCTGTTCTAATCTTCAATTCTGCAGTACCTCCTGGCGACCCTGGCTCCTACAAGTCTCCATTTTTGAAGGACTTCATCCACTTGAATGTGGCCATGATGACATCCAACAATGCGTTGGTCCCTGACCCAGACAAGCAAGATGACCTTGCTTCAAAGTTTTGGCAATGGCCAGTTTTGAATGTTGGCTTGCGCATGTGCTCTTGGGACGATAGCGTGACCAAGTACTTCCTCCTTGGAAACCCCCTTGTTTACTGGGGAAGTACCGCCGGACTCGGTGGCTTCGGTTTGTTGTTCGTGTGGTACCTCCTTCGGTGGCAGAGAGGTTACCAAGAACTCAGCCAGGCGGACATTGACCAGATTCATTATTCCGGAATTTACCCGCTTATCGGCTGGGTTTTACACTACCTGCCTTTCATCATCATGGCTCGCGTGACTTATGTTCATCACTACTACCCGGCTCTATACTACGCCATCTTGACCTTTGGCTTCTGTGTCGATTGGATCTCCCGAAGCTTAAACGCACGCTTTGTGGTCATTATGTATGCCGTTCTCTATGCCATCGTCATTGGGCTGTTTATTCACTTCCGTGCCATCGTGTTTGGAATGGAGGGCCCTAGCCAACAGTGGAACCACCTACGCTGGTTGTCTGGATGGCGGATCTCGAACTAAAAGGAATAGAGAACCAATCCATCATGTTGTCTTTCCTTTCCTTGTTGGCGAAGAGACACAGTGCGCTTATTTGCCAAGTTCCAAATGTAAAGGGAATCTACGGAAAAAGTGTGTGCACGAGACAGACTAAAGAGGCAGAAGCGGAACAGGCCTGCAAAATGCCAACCAATAATATGTTGATGTATGTTTGTTCGAATAGATTTATATGTGTAAATGTGAACAATTCCAAGGCATAATCCTATCTTAACCCTTGTCCTATTGTAGAAGGCTGGGACCGACTTGCCCTGATCAACAGGCTGACTGCAAGTCCTAAAGCCCCCCTCCCCTCAAGATCCTGCTCATTGTTTGTACAAATGGACATGGAGCGCCTAACAGCATCCACCAGCCCAGCTATTACCTCCGCGCATTGCATCGTCCATACCTAGAGTTATTGTTTTCGGCGCACCACTGTTTCCTCCTCCCGAAGCACCAAAGCCTTTGACCCCACTGCGCCGGTCATTAAGATCGTATTTGCCAGCTTCAATGTTGCGATAGATCCGTTCTGCGACCTCCAAAAATGCCCGTTCCACGCCATCTCCTGATTTGGCGCTAGTTTCGACATAGCGCACAATGTTGTTCGCTTGGCACCATGTCTCTGCCTCTTGCTGCGTCACCTCTCTTTTATTTGACCCGGATGCCTGTCCTGCCAGATCGCTTTTGTTCCCCACCAAGATAACCACTATTCCTTCTTCAGCAATCTGGCGCAAATCCTGGAGCCACTGCGTACACGAGATGAAGGTTGAGCGCCTGGAGATGTCAAAGACGAGGAGAGCGCCGGAAGCACCACGGAAGTAAGATCGTGTTATTGACTTGTAGGTTTCTTGACCAGCTGTATCCCACAGAGATAGCTTCATTCGCTTCTGAGGGGCGGTCTCCGGCTTTCGTGGCGGGCTTGGTAACCCTGAGGCTGTTGATTGTGATGTAGCTGCGTCTTCTCCGACCGAGGTAGACTCAGTGCGAGAGAACTCCTCGATGCCCAGTTCCAATGAGGCAGGTGGCCCTACTGGAACAATTCTCGAACCAAACTCCACCCCGATAGTAACATCGTGTGAGGGAGAGAATCGACCTTCGCAGAGGCGGATTGTGAGCTATGATGATATAGATAACCAGTTAACGAAGATCACGATTTAATCGAAACAAAACAACCACACACTCACGCTGGATTTGCCAGTGCCAGAGTCACCGATGCAAACGAGCTTAGCAATATAGTCCCATGGCTGTGACATGGAGAACAGAGGTATACCTATCTGTCTTGTTGAACGTAGAGATACCTATGATGATGCTTGCCGGTTCAGGAGTGGGAAGGTGTTTATCGGCGGGGATGAGTCAGCTATCGGGAGACGGAGACTGACCTGCTCGGATGACGCTTGCATAGTCTGAATGACCTTATCTTCCCTTTTTCTCTTCTCCTCATTATTGGATTGGGGTTTTGGCTTGTAACTCGCTCCTTATTAAGAGGGTGAGGAAACTTACGCTGAGACATCTGGAAAACCCATATATCCTACTTTCAAATGAATATAATTTAATCCTGTCTTTCTTCCTTCTGTCCAACATTTATTCAAAGTGATATCTCCCCATCTCCACACCTACTTACTCCAAGCTTGCCGATAGTGGGCCATGTTCTCGGAATGTACGTGATGCGTCCAAAAATTACATGTAGATTCTGGTCAAGCTAACGGTGAATTTTCCGTAGATGCATCGAGGTTTCTGGCTCAGTCACAGTCGCGAGTAGCATCTCGCCCTGACGAGCTTCAAAGAACTGGTCGTGCCCGCCCCAATAACCAACGGCAGGGTAACAGCTCACGGAACCCATCCTCGCGCTCTTTTCTAAGGACTGGGGATCCTTACCGACCAGGAGCCTCTCAAGTTTCCAACTTCCCATTTGCCTCCCGAGCATCGGCCCAACCAGCTCCCCTATTCTTCAGTGCCACCGATGAATTTCGAGAAGAAGACGATGAGACCGAGCGGGAACGCGAGATCGCCGACTTCTATGCGTTGCAAAGGTCGCGGCGACATTTTGGAGACAGTCACCTAAAAGAATCATCTGAATTAGACGACGATTCTGAACGCTCGGTGGGGCTGGATGATGACTATGATGACAATGAACAATCCCCATATGATGCCCGACCCGGTAATGGGAAGGGTATTAAAAGCTCATGGCGCGGAGACAAGCCCATTCCCCCTACTCATCAATCTCGCATCGATCCAGTAGAAGAAGTTTCAGAACCAGAACGTCGCCCTGCCTCCAGCTCTAGCAGCGGTAAAGCCCGAGGGAATCTTGTGGATGTTGGCCTGGAAGACTCTTTCCGTGGTCATATCGATGAGGATGATCGTAGCCCCTCCGATTTTCTAGGTGATCAGCCGCCCATCCAACGCTTCCGAGAAAGACCAGACACCAAGCCAGACCACTTTGGCTTAAATCGGACTGAAGGATTCGCAGAAAATTCCGAACACTTCCCATCAGATGCCCTGAGACCCCCAAGCTCCGCTAGCTCCTTCCCGGCATCCGTATCACCACTCACATCTGAAGCCTCTTTACATGATGCCTTTTGGGGTCAGCTATTTTTAATATCACTTGCTGGTTTGTTTGCCACCGCATTCCTCGTCTATCTGCATACATCAACTCCATCCGGGGATCAGTCAAAGTGGGGCGATACGATCTACTTCACCGTCCACCGCTCTTTCTTTCGCCTTGGAATCTATACCCTTGTCTCCATTTTTGTGTCTCTTGTCTGGCTTGCTTTGCTACGATCATACGTTAGGCTTCTTGTCTACGTTATTATCGTTACTGTCCCCATCATTCTGTACTCCTTCTCCCTATACCCCTTTATCTCAAGTTTCAAGGGCGCGTGGCATGGATCAAGTGTCCAGGATAATCTTATGCGTTGGGGGTCTATTGTACCATTTCTGATGGCTAGCGCTTGGGTTTACAATGTCGTCCGCGGTCGGCGGTCCATCGGAAAGGCCATCGGGGTCCTTGAATTTTCCTGTCGAATTCTCGCTGCTAACCCAGAGCTTCTTGCCTTGGGCTTAGGCGTACTTGCTATTGTTGTCTCCTGGACCTGGGTATGGATGCTTATGTTTACTCGTGTGTTCTTGGGCGGCCACTTGACTGGACAAAGATCTTTCATAATCGACTTGAGCAGCTGGTGGCTTGGTGTCTACTTTGTTTTGATTTATTTGTGGTCCATCGGAGTTATCGCTGGTATTCAACGCGCAGTCACGGCTGCAACTGTGAGCCAGTGGTATTTCCATCGATTAGCCACCCCCGCGCCGACATCCAGACAGATCATCCAAGCTGCCATCGTCCACGCCACCACGACCCTTTTTGGTACCATCTGCCTGTCTCGTTTCCTAACGCTCCTAATTCGACTTCCTCTCCTACTACTCCCTCGTCGTATCTCTTCCTTGCTCAGTCTCTTTGCCTACTCCATAATTCCCAGTCCCATCACCTTCCTCACAAATCCTCTCGCTCTCACATATGGAGCTATCCATTCCCAGTCACTGGCCAAGTCTGCCCACGGCCTGAGTAGAATGGCTGTTCTTGCTCCGGCGGCAGCTTCGTCATCGTTACATCCCCGGGCATACGGCCGTCCTCCCGGGAATTCGGGGTCATTGCTCTCATATAGGCTCTCCAAACTCATTCTGCATGCTGCACGCTTTATGATGTCTTTGGCATTGGGATTTGGCGGCTGGGTGACTACTGCACGAAGTCTAGTCACGACTGCTTCCAATAATACCATTCGGGGTAGTCTATATGCCTACGTCGTTGGCCTTATTGCGGGTATGCTTGGATGGAGCATTCTAGGCGCTACAGAAAGCGTCATTGCAGATATCGTAGATGCCTCGGTGATCTGTTGGGCTAGTGAAGTCGGAATCAATGGACGAGAAGCTCGATACTGCCGGGAAGCTGGATGGCTCTTCGGCGAGTCCAATACTGATTTACAACCCGATTATCGAGAAGTCTAGCCTGGGGCGCCTCTCCCATATTGTCTATCACCTTTTCATTGGTATTTGAAAGATTCTTCTTTTTCATATCCCCCCTTTAGTTCCCACTGATGTTTACGTTTGATTTTCATGATTTCCTCTTCAGCGACTTGTCATATTGTCATTTGAGATCTAGCGATTAACGGAATGGAGGCGTTGGACAACGATGCTCTTGTTTCTTATCTCTTTTTGGTATTTTTTTCTTACTTTTTTCTTACTCTTCCTTTTGAGAACAAATCGGTAGATCTGCAAATTATTCATTGGTATTGAGCATGGTATATTCAACGTCAAAATAGCTACATTGGAAGTAATTTCCAGGGCTTCATGGTATCATAGGGATATAATCACTCGAAATGCAAAAACCCTGGGACGCCTAACTACCCACGATCCTTGCCGCCAACGTGAGAAAGAAGATATGTAGGAGGAAAAGATGATAGCGACAAAATGAAAAGAGAGAACAAAAAAGTCAAAAATTAGGGAGAGATAGAGATGGGAGGGAGCTGAGAGGGATGAGGATATAGCAGCACCAGGGCCAGCGTTGAACGACATCATTATTAGAGACCCAAACGGGCACTCCATTCCACCTTCTCCTGCGCACACCACTCTTGTAGTAGAGACCAACCAAATCGCACAACTTCGATGGGAGGAGTAGCTCCCCCAAGCGGTAGAAAGTAGTCACCTGCGTAATCCCCCGGTTTTAAAGTTGCCTTGCCTCGATCGCCGTGATTGTGGGATCGTGAAGTCCAGGTAGTAGGAAATTCTCGGCTCAAAACATCCTCAGAGAGACAGCGTGAGCCCTCTAGCCAAAGCTTTTGTGATTCTTTCCAACACTCAGGGAGTCGATTCTTAAGCTCGAGAAACTCCTTGCGATTCTTCCTATTTTCGTCAGACGGGACAGCGTTTCCGTCACTGCCAGGAGTGGGTACAGGTGTATGTTCTCCAGGGAGTGGGCTGACGGCGAGCCGCTCAAGATCTAACGAGTGAATAGCCTCGTAGGAAACAGCTCCCAAGAATAGACAAAGTCCATGCAAGGCTGGGTATGAGACGCTATTCTTTCTGACCACCCGCCAATACGCCAGTATAGATTGCCAGGTCGAAGAGTCCCCCACTTGTCGTGTGATGAGTTTGCAATGATCATCGGCCACAAAAGCGAGAATAAAACACATGATAGCTTCGATTGCAGTCACGGCAGCGAGTTTCTCGTCGGAAGTGGACGAATCAGTCTTGGCGTTATATCGGACAGCGGCATGTTTTAATTCTCGCCCTATATTGCTAAACTTCTGAAACTCATCGCGCCAGACCCTACGCTGATCATTTCGAGAACGGCCGTCGGGTTGAGAAGGAGAGCCCTTGACACCTTGATCCCCAGGGGGGCGTTTGTTCGCCGGGTTTACAGGCGTCCGACCCTCCCCTTCCCCAAGGTCGTTTCGTCGTGAGATGGAGGCTTTCGGGTCTTTCACCGGTGTCAACGATACAGGTTTCGCCTTATCATTCACCGGTTGATGGGAACGAGGGGGGTGAGGCACTTGGCTGTGAGGTTTTTCAGAGGAGCCTTTTGCTTCCTTTGAGCGGCCATTTATCGAGCTAGACAGTCCCTCTTCATGCGTGTTGCTCTTAGCTTTGAGTCGTTCAGACGGTTCACTTGCACGAGATGAAGCTAACTCCCCTCTCTTCAATCCCGCAGATTTCGAATCGTCGTGATCCGTGTCATTGCTAGGTGGGGAGTCAGGCCGGTTCGGTTTCTTTTTCCCTGTGAATTTGAGCAAGGCCTCAACTCGTCGTTTGTTGCCTTTCCCGTAACGAAGCCTCACGAGGAGTTCTGGGTTAGCGTCTTTAGACGAAACAGCGAGGCGACTGCCCGGGAGGCTAGAGTTCGTACTGCTGTTTATAGAGCTCGGTGTCCTGGTCTGAGCTGCTTCTTCCCGCTTCTGCCTGGATGGTAAAGCATCGCCTTTAGGGGATTGGCGAGTGGGGGAACGATCTCCGAGTTTGGCAAGTTCCTTTTCAATGTCTGGTGGGAGAGTAGGGGACAGCAGTCTCGGTAGTTTAGGACCCGGGCCTGTTGGTGGGAGAGTCGGAGAAAGGAGTACTGGCAGTCTGGGTGAATTCGAATTGTTTGGAGTTGGTTCCTGGCGAAGGTCTCTCTCCTGCGAGAGTCGTCGTTTCTTAGAGGAGTGCATATCTTGGTTTCTGTTTGTTGAGGGGTGGCCAAAGTCAAGTTCAGATGTCGAAGGTCGTTTCTTGGGGCCTTTGTCGAGGGAAAGATGTGACTGTAATTTAGGAGGAGGGTGGGAAGGTTCCGTCTTGTCGCTCTTTTTAACACCGTGTTTGGTTTTCTGCTGAGGTTCTTCGCGCGTCGCCGGTTTTCGAGCTTCCCTATCCTTCTGATCATGTAGATTAGGGGACGTGCCACGGTTTTTCTGGTTCTTGTAGTCGTTCAAGCTGATCTTCTTTTTCGCGACTGTCTCTTTTGGGAGCTCGTTTTTGGTCGGTGCCGTGGACCGATCGGTCATCATGTTTCCCTTTTCGTCAGACCAGTCTCCAACTGCCTTGAGCAATGAATCTGTATTGTGGTGGGTTAGGAAGGTCATATACTGAAGTTCCTGTTCCTCTGGTTTGAACGGTCGGTCATGTCCTATAGCCCAATTGCTTGCTGATCGACGGACGAGGCGATAAGGCGACTGTGTTGGAAGGGTGAGGAGGTAAGGGTGGCCGGGTAGCACGTCTTTTGAGAGACTCTTTAATCGTGAATCCAAGGTCTGGAGGTCCGATGAAGGTTGGTTTGCGCGTTGACAGGTTGTTACGTCCACGGAGGGGGGCTGATCGTTCACCGACATCGCAGTCTGCGGGAGATTACAACTTGTCTCACCATTGATGTAGGATTGCGCGCACGATTGTCAAGTTTGCTTATGATCTGCGAGAGAGAAGGTATCACGGAGAGCACCGCGGTGGCATGCGCCTGGGCAAAGATTCGGGGTGGGTCAAAGCATGGAGATCGAGTCGAGGGGTAACGGCCTCGAGGCTCGCTCATCAGGGCGTCTCTCGATGCGCGAAAGAGACGCCAGTGAGGTCACCACCTGCCTTTCGGGGTTGCAGTGGAAAATATGAAATGATGGGAGCAGGTGAAAGAGAAAAGTCCCCGATGCATGAGAGGAAGAGAAAGCGCGAATGGGGAAGTCCGGGGTTGCCCTTTGGGGAAATACATCCCTTGCCGCTTTTATTGTTTATCCAAATGTTGTTATCGACCACCTCCAGCGCTTACTAGTACATGTATATGTAGTAGTAGTAGTAGTATTATTATTATTACTATGCCAATTCACCCGTATATCAGTAGCTAGGTGGCTTGCTATACGATCTGCGACCCCCGAGGCTGAATTTCATCTATTCTATTGTCGCAGCAGGTGATATGAGGGACGATCAGACATACTACAGTAGTAGGTATAGTTTGGAAAACAGCAGACAACAGGCGGGTTATATCTACCCATCTCAACTACCCCAGCAATAGTTTGGGTACCCAGTAGGCAGTAACATATGGTATTCACTTGAAGTTCATTATTCACGGATCTAATTGTCGTAAGATATGCATGTATGTAGCACCTCAGGCTGTCCATGGATTATATGAAATAAGTCAAAAAGATGTTTATTTGTCAACACGTGTAAAAGTCAGTGAATATATAAATCATGAGCGATCATCAGCGGAGAATTTCTCCCGCCAAAACGATCGATGATGATTCTGTTGACCCAATTCAGAGATTTCGGCCACCTCTTGGGGGTTGAGGGTGAATGCCAAGGTACGCAAGTAACTGGCCAAGCGAGATTCCTTGCTGCTAGTGGTGATTGCCACACACCCACGATCCAACGTCCAGCGTAACAAGATCTCCGATTCACTAACTCCATATTTAAAAGCCAGACCAGAGATAAGCGAGTCCAGTGGGCCTCCATGGGCTCGAGTAATTGGTGCAAGCCCACCATACCCAACTGTTCGGATCCCTTGGCTCTCTTGCCACGGGACTAAGTTTCCATGTTGGAGATACGGATGAAATTCAATCTGGTTCACTTCAGGGACGACCTTGGCCGTTTTCAAAATAGTCTCCAGGTGGCTCTGTAGGAAATTGGAAACCCCGATGACACGGGCTTTTCCGGTCGCCTGCACTTGTTCCATGGCCGCCCAGGCTGTCTGCAGCTCTTTCTCGGTCGTGATAGTGAAAGGGGCATGGATCAGGTATCTGTATTTCAAGAAGAAGAAAAGAAGAGAGTTAGTACTAGACAAATATTGGTATATCATCCACCCTCGCTCAACCGTTTTTGATGGAGCAGAAAAGAGAAACACAACAAGATGCAGGTGCAGGCAATATCTTACAAATCAACATAATCGAGACGCAACTTTTTCAAGCTGGCATCCAGGGCAGCAGGGATATCCGCGAGATTGGGATAGACCTTAGTTGTCACAAAAAGGCTCTCGCGAGGGGATTGACTCTCTTCAATAGCCACACCTAGTTCCGGCTCAGTTCCATACACCTCTGCGCCATCGAGATGATTATAACCCAGCTTGATAGCATTCTTGGCGCTGTCAATCAGGTTGCGATCGAGCTCTATATCTCCAGATTTCTTGTACCATGCTGTACCCGTTCCATACCCGAGCTATCTGAATGTCAGGATGAGTTGAACTAGACTCAGAAAAGACGAATAAAAAAAAACACTTCGGGCTCTTACAGTTGGAATCTCGGTGCCATTGCGAAGCTTGATGGTTGGAATGTCGATGGTGCTGGCCATAGTGGTGGTCGAATGGGGTACTAATACTATACTGGTAGATGTTGAAAGCACGCCTGCTATCTTCGGCAGCAGATGGAGGGGAAACCATAACCGAAGCCGGACTGCCCCGCATAACAGATGATGCAAGGGCCCATTATGTCCTGATAAGACGTGAATTGTGTATGGTGGATTGTGGCGACACAGAGGACTTGAGACATTTGGAGAGAGTCTAGTTCGTAAAAGATTAATAATAATGTGATGTCATTCGTGCCGCCTGAAGCGACATCGCGCGGCTTTCTGGTTCGCCGAGTTCCGCAGGAGACCACTTGCAGCGCCATCAAGTTGATTTGAGTTCTATAATCTTTCATACATATTCTTCATGGTCTCGGCTCATGTATCTCGTGTATGCCCAAGATCTCGGTGTATGTCCTCACGAAACTTTTATCCGTCAATTCGGAACCGATTAGGCCAAATGACAGCCCATCTTTCCACTCGCAGTGCAGGGACAACCCTGGAAAACCTGCCCAAATCCAATGTATTCACATCTAAGCTTCCTCCAGACGCGGCATTTCCGACGCCGGATGTCTCTCACAAGGCACCTAGAGAAACACTAGGGCCGCGCATGGTGAAGGAGGCTTTGTTTACATATGTCCGCCCGGAGGAAGCGGAAGAGCCAGAATTACTAGGAGTGAGTCCACGCGCAATGGAAGATCTGGGACTCAAGGATGGCGAAGAGGAAAACCCAAAGTTCCGAGCTTTGGTAGCAGGAAACGAAATCTTCTGGTCCGAGGAAAAGGGGGGTATTTATCCATGGGCTCAGTGCTATGGTGGTAAGTAATTTGAGTTGGCCCGACTATCCCTTGTACCTAGTGGTAATCATGACTGACACATATACAGGTTGGCAATTGTGAGCATACTACTTGACATTATATTGTGTAAACCCACACAGGCAGGAACAAATATGCTGACAATCCACAGCGGCGCATGGGCTGGACAACTTGGAGATGGTGTATGTTTCTCGATCTTGATATACCCTTGCCCCGAATCGCCCAAAAACCCTGAATGAATACCTTGAGGTTACTAACAACTTCCAATAGCGAGCCATCAGTCTCTTTGAATGCCAAAACCCGGATTCAAATATTCGGTATGAACTGCAGCTTAAGGGCGCGGGAAAAACACCATATTCGCGCTTCGCAGATGGTAAAGCCGTTCTTCGCTCGAGTATTCGAGAGTACATAGTTTCTGAAGGTGATTACATCATACATCTCCCCTACCATTGATATCAATTATTAATACGAAGTCTGTTCTAGCACTCAACGCTCTAGGCATACCTACAACTCGTGCATTGTCTCTTACGCTGGTAGCCAAGTCAAAGGTCATACGAGAGCGTCTCGAGCCCGGCGCAATTGTGGCCCGTTTTGCCGAATCATGGTTACGTATTGGAAACTTCGATATTTTAAGGGCTCGTGGCGATCGCGACTTGATCAGAAAGCTGGCCACCTATATCGCAGAAAACGTTTTTGGCGGGTGGGAAACCCTCCCAGCCATAGTATCTGTGGGCGAAGGCCACTCTGCTTCAGAAACTGATAACCCCGCAAGAGGTATCCCATCTGGCGAGGTACAGGGCAAATCAGAGATTGAAGAGAATCGATTTGCTCGACTATACCGCGAAATCTCCCGTCGAAACGCAAAGACTGTTGCTGCTTGGCAGGCCTATGGCTTCATGAACGGCGTTCTCAACACCGACAATACTTCTATCTACGGTCTATCACTTGATTATGGCCCCTTCGCTTTCATGGACAACTTTGACCCCCAGTATACCCCAAACCATGATGATCACATGTTGCGTTATTCTTACAAGAACCAACCAAGCATTATTTGGTGGAACTTGGTTCGGTTAGGCGAATCCCTGGGAGAACTGATCGGTGCCGGAAAGAAAGTCGATGACGAGAATTTCATCAAAGAAGGTGTTAGCGAGGATATGGAACAGGAGCTTATCAAACGTGCAGAAGCCATTATCGACCGAACAGGCGAAGAGTACAAGGCAGTCTTCCTAGCCGAGTATAAGCGGTTGATGTGTCAAAGACTTGGCCTCAAGACGCAGCAGGAGTCAGATTTCCAGGACCTTTTCTCCGAGATGCTCGATACCCTAGAGGCTTTAGAATTAGATTTCAATCATTTCTTCCGCCGTCTATCAGGGCTGAGTGTATCAGAGTTAGAGACTGAGGATCAGCGAACCAAAGCAGCAGCGGTCTTCTTCCATGAGGACGGATTTGGGGGAATAGGCTACACTGATGAAACAGCCAAAGCGCGCATTGCCAAGTGGCTGGATAATTGGCGCGCCCGGGTGCTCGAGGACTGGGGTGCTGGCAACGACGAGCAGAGACAGAGGGCTATGAAGGCTGTGAATCCAAATGTAAGATCTGAATGTATTTCCCTCCTACTGGATACCCTTGTCTAATTATCATGTTAGTTCATTCCTCGAGGATGGATTCTGGACGAAGTCATTGAACGAGTGGAACGTAAAGGAGACCGGGATGTACTGGGCCGGGTGATGCAGATGAGTCTGAATCCTTTCCAAGACAAATGGGGTCTTCTGGAGGAAGAAGAGCAGCGTTTTTGTGGCGACGTTCCCAAGTACAAGAGAGCAATGATGTGTAGTTGCAGTTCATAAGTATCTGAGATTGAAGGCCTTTTTATTTTGAAATAAATGAGAAAGAAAATCTTAAAATATCTCCTGTAAAAGCGCCCAAAGAAATCCCATGCATAACCCGTTTTAGTTTTCTGCAAGCAAAATTGCCAGTTGCATATCACTTCCAATGCGCGAGCCCAGAAGACGCGGAAAGAAAAGAATTAAATTGCAAGAGGAAATAAAGCAATATGCAGGGCGCCCATGCTTGTGATTCAAGCCGTGAGTGATAATACAAAAAATTGAAGGAACCCCCGAGAAATAAACATTTCAGATCGTGGCGCATGCAAAATAGTTCTCATAAATATCAGAAAAATCCATGGGGAAGCGGAAACAACGGAAGAGGAAGATAAGACGCAAGCTTTAAGCTTCTCCCCTCCTTAGTTGGGGCAGGCAGCCTGGACGTGGCCGGGCTGCTTACACTTGTAGCAGACACGCTCACCGCGAGCCTCAGTGGTGCAATCGCGGGAAACGTGGCCAACCTCGCCACCTATTTGGTTGATTAGAAATGTAGGGATTGAATCAGATCAAGGCAACTCACAGTTGTAGCATTTTTGACCCTGGGTGCAGTCACGGGCCATGTGGCCGAAGCCACCGCAGGAGTAGCAAGTTTGGCCACGGTTGTTGTTGAATGACGAGTAGCCACCACCGTAGCTACCACCCTGGGCACCGCCCTGGGAGCAGTTACGGGCAATGTGGCCGGGCTGGCCACACTTGTAGCACTCTTGGGGAGCACCACCCTGGGCACCGCCGAAGCTGCCACCCTGGGGGCACTCCCGGGACAGGTGACCAGCTTGACCACAGCGGTAGCAGGTACGCTCCTTGGGGGGGTTGGGGCACTCGCGGTCTATATAAATCGTTAATGGGCTGTTTTCTTGAAAACTCTCCCATTTGATCGTCGTCCGTTATTAACTTACTGACGTGACCCTCACCACCGCAGTTGTAACTATATAGAAAGATCCGTTAGCTCTTGATTTGGGTGCTGACTGATAAGACTCAGTTGGAAGCAGCGATAACATACCAAGTAGGGGTTCCCTTCTTAGGGCAATCCTTGGCCTATAAGACAAGGGATAGTCAGCTTTAAGCCTGACCAGTTGCCACCATACCCCAAGTACAACACCATTTTAGAGGCGCACTCCTTGAAGTCGCAACTAGCAATTAGAGAGAAAAAAAGGTTCAAAAAGGTATCTTTACCTGGTGAGCAGCGTCACCGCCTGCAAAGAAAAAAAAAGTCAGTCAAGATCGGCCGATTGGTAAAAATTTGGATGCGCTCAAAACAGATCAGATCAGAGGGAGATGTAAATCAAATGAACACAAGCGCATGAAAATTAGGCCCAGTATCAATTTGTTTGCGAATTGAGGCAGTAAATTTCGCATGCATTGTGTGGATTATAGGCGAGCAGAGAACGCGGCACGGCTCGGGGAATGAGAAACGCACAGTTGTAACAGGCACGAGAACGGGGATCCATTTTGAAGCGAGGTTTTGGATTATATCCGGTGAGATAGGAGAATTTTGGGGGGAGGGGTGGTGAGGTTTGGTTGGTGGTTGTAGAAGCGAGGTAGAAGAAGGTTGCAGAGGGAAGAAATTTGTAGTGCGGGGCCCTTGTTTCTGAGGGAGAAAAGTTCCCGAAGGTTTTGGGCGGGTGACAATCTGGAACCGGGAACCACTAAGAAGAACTCGAGACTTTGAGTAAACAATATTGGAAAGATCAAAGGAATATGGAGAAGATACAGTAAGTGAAAAAGATGGTAGGAAGAAGGAAGAAGGAAGAAGAAGAAGAAGAAGAGTAGGATAGAGAGATGGTAAGAAGAAGGAAGAAGAAGAGGAAGAAGAAGAAAAAGAAGAAGAAGAAGAAGAAGAAGAAGAAGAAGAAGAAGAAGAAGAAGAAGAAGAAGAAGAAGAAGAAGAAGAAGAAGAAGAAGAAGAAGAAGAAGAAGAAGAAGAAGAAGAAGAAGAAGAAGAAGAAGAAGAAGAAGAAGAAGAAGAAGAAGAAGAAGAAGAAGAAGAAGAAGAAGAAGAAGAAGAAGAAGAAGAAGAAGAAGAGAGATGGGTTTTAAAGAGTCATTGTTCATACCAACTAACTATTCTTCCTACTTGTCTTCCTCTAAACTATCTCCATATCTCTTCTCGCCCTCTTTTGCTGCCGATATAGCCCATAGAATAGTAGAACTTTTCTATTTCTTGTGCGAGAAAGGCCAGAGGAGCAGTCGGTTCCATATATGGCTGTAAATCGCATACAGGATTTGCTTAATGACGCACCAGCCTCACTGGCCTTACAATCAGCTAAGAACAACATGTCAATGGTTTTATTTGTTTGATCCAAGTGAGTACTTGTACCATCGCCGGCGGAGTGTTGAAAGGCATGGCAACTGAGATGTATTCTCTATCTGAGTAGACCGGAGAACATAATAGGTCGGCCAGGTAGGCATAACACAGAACATAAGAGTTCAATGATTAGAACAGAGAGACTCGCAGAATGCAAAGTTATAAGTTTAGCAACCGAGAGGGGATGTCGTGCTTCTTATATCCGAGGGCGACACAAACTGCTCCCAGGGTCCCCGGTTCCTGAGTACCTTTGTGCTACCCGCCCGACCGCATCCATGATCTTGACATTGACATTGACGTCGTGTATATCATATTCTGGCCATTTTTGGCGGGTATCGATGGCATTGATATCTCATGTTTCCTGTCAGGTATCACTGATGGAAACAATATCGCATATGGTGATCTCTCTCTACATGCTTGAGTCGCCCGAAATGCTACGTGAAATCGTAACATTCCAAAAGTTGGGTGCCAACCGTCTTCTCTCCAAGTAGGAGAACTCGCTCTTCGTCGAAGCCAACGCATTCGTACATACAGTCGAGCGGTTGAGGTGTGCTGGTAACAAGCTCCGACCCGGAAAGCTCTTTTCGGGTACTTTTAGGTATGTCAAACCAGGATTTCGCTGCTCGATTGTCCGGGCTGACTTGTATACTACTCTCTTCTTTCAAGGATCGATGACTGTTCAATGAAGAAACGGCTGTCTCGAGCTCCCAGATCCGGATCTCGTTACCCAGTGAGCTCACAGAGACCGCTTTTCCCCGATTCGTAACCAGAACGGTAGAGACTGATGATGTGTGACCCCAGAGCCGTTGACCGCCTCGAACAAAAAGCCGATCCGAGTCCGAGACCACCAGATACATAGTCAAAGTATTATCAGCATGGGAGGTTAGCAGATACGGGTGGTTATATGACATAGACGTTGGCGGTCGTTGGTGCATGATCGATGGTTCTGTTGGCACCAAAAGCGATGTTGAATCGGAGGTAGAACGCAGCCGTTGGTTGGATTGAAGGTGTCCTCGAAGGAGCCGGGTGCCATACTGGGAATCCACGGTACTAGTGAGCCGGGATTCCAGTTGTTGGCCATCTTTGGCGAACCGCAGCTCTTGGATCCCTGAGGACCAACCGCAGCCGATATGAAAGAAGCTATACACGATGGTAGCCACAATTTCATTTGCGGAGACCCGCAAAGATAGAGTCATCGGTGCAACCATATTTTCCGCCCGAAGAGAGGCAATTTCGCATGGTCCTGTGGTATCTTGAGCATCGCCAGAATTGCCAGACCGGCCTTGAAGGTTGTACAAGGAGAGAAGTTTATGTTGAGAGACAATCAGTAGGTATGGAGATGACAAAGCCATAGCGGTTATGGCGCCATCACTGAATGCAAGGTGGGAAGAGAGTAGCTTCAACTGGGATGTTGCAACATCCAATGCGTAGCGATCAAAGTGGCCATCTTCAAACCCTACCACAATTTCTTGCACATTCTCTAGCTGGGATACCGATAAAGCAGTTGGGCGAGTATTTTGCCTCCGGAGCTCGGGAAATGCGACTTTACACAAACACCTGGTTGGGTCTTTTGCAGCCCATCCCCGAAGCCCATGAGCAGTATCGGCAGTGAATACAATGCCAGAACACAGTTTCACCAGCACAGGAGGGCAAGGCGGTTCGATAAATTCAACTTCCGTGACTCGACATGACCCACTAGCCCAATTGTGGCGCAAGCGATATTGCCGCTTCCAATTAGTTACTCTCCCCTCTGCAGCGAGATGGCCATGATCAAACCAGGTCGAGACTTTGGGCGAGTACTCGGCCTTAGATGGTAATATTGAGCGTCTTACATTGGCCAGACGACGGGCACGAGGGCGTACCCATTGAGAGTAGTACTGTCGCTTCCACAGTTCGGAGTCGCCGCCCAAGGCATGGAACCGGCGGGATAGCCTACAAGAATTAGCAAACGTAAGCCTGGAATTTTCAGAAGAATATATTAAGTGATTCCACAAACCTTTGACAAACATTCAAAGACGATATTGGAAGAAAGGAAAGAATGTGGAGTAAAAGCTCATTGCTCATGGAAGATAGTCGATCGACGGGCGTAGTTATTACAGTACGACTCCTTTTTGTAGAGGGTAAGGCTAACGGTGAGTCTTCCCTTAGACGTTTCGGCATGTTGGTGGATCGTATTGGGAGCCATGAAATATCCTATGAGGATCTGAATGATCCTGAGGATAAGAGACAGTATAACACAAACCCGCCCGATCTTTCCCTACGTCAAAGGGGCCTCTTATCTACATCACGATAAGGCATCACGTGGCACTCCTCATGCCTGGCCCATGGAGATACACTATCTCCGTTAGGCGGTTAGTCACTGCCCCGCGTGGACGCGTTTGACTCGCGTGTTCCTGGTACAGAAACGCCGAGAATAAAACAGTTGGTCCATTCAGTGACGCACATACATCTATGGATGTTTTAAAAGAGCTCCAGTCCGCTGTCACGGATACCTATGAGCGATCTTTTGAAAGAGCTTTTCGGACTCTGGAGTCTAGACTTGCTGCCCATGAGGTAGAGTTGACAGAGGCCAAAAACCACGCATTTATTGCCAACGAAGCCCGTCAAATAGCGGAATGCAGATGTCTAGCACTGCAACAGGAGGCCACAGCACTTCAAGAAGAATTGAGTCACTATGCATCTAAACCAACCGATCTGGAGCCGACTCTGAAATGGGAGGATATCGAACATGAATTTGCTCCAGAGCACGTTTGGAGAACTCATCGAAGCGATACGGGTCGACGGATGCCTTCCTTGGAAAGCAAATACAAGGCACTATACAACAACTTCCAAACATACGGACAGACTTGGATGGATCTCAAAGCGAAGGTCTTACAGCATAAAAAGAAATTGCGCCATATTCAAAGACAGCTGCGACGTGACGAATTCATCCACATACTTGATGATGGCACACCAGTCACATATCAAAGAGTTCCAAGAATGAATGCCGCTCATGCCAGCAAGTCTGCGGAGCCTCCTGTTTCATTGCTGCGAAACTTACCTCAAGTCTCAAGAATCTCGCGCAGCGCGATTGAGAGTGCGGATTCTACAAGCCCCGATCAGAATTTGATTTGCTCCGCTGCAGCTAGTCCCCCTATTAAGTCGGAGCCCAACAGCCAAAATTTGGGGTCCATTCACCATGCAGAACTGAATTCCGCCAAATCACCTCCAAGGCGTGATTCGGAAACCTCGGAGTCGGCCTCCGATATGGTTCCTCCATTGCCAGACTTACACACGCGAAAGAGAAAGCGAGATCCGGTCACTGGCCAGCTCCAACGGGCAAGCTGTATCATTGACCGTCCAGTGCATGTCAAAAATGAGCCAACATCGTCAAGCCCTTCACATAATTCAGCTTATGCTCTGGGGCAGTTAATTCCAAGCACTCAGGACTTAGATGATATGGGCAGCGCTGTACAGACTCCAACAAAACGGCACATGCAACGTACAGTGCGTTGGCACGACTCTGTTCCCCTGGATTTCAATGATTTGTCAGGCCCATCCACTGTGTTACAACCGGTTGACGGCAATTCCAGAAACACAAAATCTCTTGATCAGAGACCCGGATATAAGAAAGCGAAGTTCACCGATCCACGCGCCATTTTGTCCATATCTGAGGATGGTGACACTGGTGATTCTAGTGCTCCTTCGCACCACGCAGGAACACCCTCTATGCCTAGCCCAGAACTTCCACAAATGGAAACTCATTTCAAAGGCACCCAAGGCCGCCTTGAAGGCCTGCTTGAGAAGCCGTTGCGGTCTAGGACACCACTCATGCCTTTTAATGGGAAGGCAAATACAGGAACCACCAAAGAACCACGGGGAATTACTCCGGAGGGAGAAAATCGCCCGACCAATGCTAGCTCTTTTCAACAACAGCCGCAGTTACCCCAGAACTCTATTAGCCAGGTTGAGCAAAATATAAATCCTGAAGATGAGCCATATAGATCACGACCTTTACACCGATTGACTCTGAACCACTTCAAGATCAACCCCCATAACAATCAAGGACTGGACTACGCTTATACCGCAGTTGTCCGCAAGAAGGATGATCGCAAATGCCTCTCGGGTTGTACGCGGCCTGAATGCTGTGGAGGCAAATTTCGTGCAATGGCTCGTCTTGGTGGATTACCAGCCAAGTCCCCAGGAGAACAGAAGGAAGAAGATCAACGAGTGTTAGAAGAGTACGTAGGAGATGATTTGATTTTATTGAACGGGTTGAGTAGCGAAGAACGTGAAAATCTCCTTATTGAAGCTCGAACAAGAGCCATGGCAAATCAATATGGTAAGCATCGACATAACCACCAGCGTGCGAGGTCGCCTCCTGGATTTTGGCGAACCGATATGCCATCTACGCAAGAAATTGAATCTGATCGGGAGACCGCTCAAAGACTCGAGCGAGATAAAGTAGAGGAACGATACCGAGAAGCTATGCGGCCAGGAGGGCTTTGGACCTGGGCAGATGAGTAGGCAGGCGAATCTATGATTATATGAATCCTGCCAAGATCTAATGTAAATATGCTCCATCTTACTTTCTCATTTAATAGAAGAATGCCTATGCAAATATATCATATATGGACCTTGTTTACCGTAGTTCCGCAGCAAAATACGCCAGTGATAGACGAATTCGTCCATATAATGATCCCTGTGCCTAGTATGAGTGGAGAGGGACGAAACACGCTGCAAACAAGCAGACAGCCTCGGCTCGGCTGTCTTGGCGGCCCGTGACTTCCCCCGACATCTTTCCCGCTTTCTCCCACGCGACTGCGCCATGAGTTGCTGTATCCCGTTGGACCATGGAGACCATTCGGAAGATCCAGAATCCCATTCCGACGGCGATGCTACAGCCATCTAAGTGGCTGCCTCTCTATGAAGACTTTGTTACCAAGAATGCTAGCTCTGTTGGGCAGGTCGAGTCCGCTCTGAGGTCCTTAACCTACATCATCCCAGGTACATCAAATGACGAATGCAACCGTTCATCAGCCTTGATCCATATCGCTAATATTGTTCCTTTTTTTTCCCCTGAATAGGTCGATATCGTGAATCAGAAGTCGCTTCAGAATGTGGTAAGTCAAAGCCCCCCGCAACGACGTATCTGCAAGGAAATGTGCCTGACAACCATACAGTGCACTCCGGTGTACAGCTTCTATCGTTATACCATGATTCTCTAGTTTCGCGAGTTGTCTCTCAACTCCCATCAACTGTTCCCAAGCAGCCACTGACCCCCCATACTCGATACACGAAGTACTGGACGTCGCGCTCCTCTCTATATCACCGAGTCGCTGTCGCGCTTCAGATGCTCCAATACACCGAGCTTTTATGGGAGATGTCAGCACGCCGACGAGGCCAGAAAACGAGATGGCGCATTGTTGTATTCATTGAATTTGCGAAAGCAATCTGCCGGCTACTTCTTCTTCGCCTGACCAATTCCCGCCCGCTGGTAAGCCCCCCGTTGCCCGAGCGGGAGGTGGATCCACGTACAACGGAGAAGGAGGACCAAGAGGACTGGAATGGCATGGAGACGCCAATCAGTGAAAGATCCTCAGACCTTAGCTGGACCATGCCTCGTACAGGATTGTCCCTCCCATCTCTTCCAGATGCCAACGACGTCTCAAATTATCTCATCTCAAAAGTACTCACTGCAGATGATATCAAGCCCCCTAAAACGCTACTACACCGTGTCACTGGACAAGGTCAATTGGCAGAGGTTCTCTATATTCTACGACCCGTTGTGTATGCTCTGGCGATGCAGCGGTGGGGTCGTGACAAGCGGAGTTGGCGACCATGGCTAATTGGCTTCGGAATGGAATACGGCTGTCGCCAACTTGCCAAGCGAGACTTCCGTGAACGAGTTGCTGGTGGTCTTCGTGGTCTCACAGGCCTCGAACGAGAGGAGTTGCGAAAGCGTGGATGGTCAATGGGATGGTGGTTGATGCGTGGCGCCTTCTATGAGAATATTACCAAGTACATAACCCAACTCACCTTTTTCTATCATCACGAAGCTAACATTACACACAGATCATGGCTGCACAGTCTAACTAATAAAATGAAGGGAAAACCACTACTCGACTTGGTTGGTAGCGTGGTAGAGGACTACGAATATCTTTGGGACAACTACTACTTCTCAACTGCCACTTTATGATCATTGTGCCCAGAATTTCCCCTTCTTTCGTGATACCCGGTTTATCTTATTTTATTTCATTATATTGATTAACTTTCGTGATGAAAGTTCTTTTTTCGCCCCTTTGTTTGTCAATTACAACATGGTTTATGCTTCACGGATTGGTGGTATGGGGGTATCATCGATTGTTATATTAGCTTCATACTAGCCTCATTATGCCTATTTCTCAATTGTTCCATGTATCATATAATCTCTGCCTGTCTGTTTCCGTACCAATCCCGTAATCCATCATTGCTAGAACTTTTCGTTGGTGCAGATGTCAACAGGAATTCAAGCCGCCCGTTTCCTTCATCGTCCTCTTCCGGCCAGTCAACTCGCGCTCCGCCCTTCACTTCCAACATTTCTTTGGCTGTGCCCCAGCTAAATCGGCACTCATTACCCCATCCAAATAGAGGGTCCATGTTGCGCCGAAGCCAGCCAACACACTTTGAATCCGAAGGGTAGCCACTGCCCCATCCCTCGGGGCCATTTGACGCATCGTCGGGGCTTTGAGCACGCAACACTCCATCGTAGAGCACTTCAAGTGCAACATCACGGGTCACTTTTGCGGCCACACTAGCCGCACTAACGCAGGGGTACAAGGAGTCTGCCTTTTTTGCCACGGTGATTTTCAAAGTTGGGAAAATCCGTTCCAATTTGGCTTGATATGTCGCGGGATTACCAATTGTATCGATGTATACCTCCTGGACACTTACCGACCGATCTTGAATCACCCCGCGAATGATCTCAATTGTAGCGTCCATGGCTTGGGCATTCAAATTGTAAGTGGCGCCAGTTGGTTTCATCATGCCCGAGGAGATGTCACGAGCTGATAGGACTTTGACCGCATATCCACATGACTCGAATAAATTGTTGCCCGGGGTATTAAGGAGTCGCATTAAGTTGGCACGTACGGCGGGTGTCAGGACTTTGCTGTCGTCAAAGCTGTGCTCTTCTGCGAGAAGAGAGTGGTGTAGATGCATGGGCAAATAGAAAGCCCCGTAGACCATTGGACCGAGAACAGGACCACGGCCAGCCTCATCAACTCCAAGTACACATGGTGTGATTTCCGTAGGCTGGTCTGTTGTTGATGTGCCATACGGGGTGATAGCTTCGGGACAGGGAGTATAATAAGCGTAGGACTCGCCCGACAAAAGGCGATCTTTGTCTATACTTGGAGGAACGAAGGACATATCGTCCTCTGTTTGACTCTGGTCATTTTTGTTTTTCATCGTGGAAAGGCTGAGGAAGTAAATTTTGGGGGGATTATAAAGAAGAGAGATGGTGTCAACGTGGATAAGAGCTGATAGGGAAGAATTCCAAAGAATGCGCCAAACGCGTCGACATTTCGGGCTTAGCGGCACGCGCTGGTTCTCTTCCCCAAATTCCGGCGCATTCCTCTTTCCCCTCCGTTGAACTACCCTGGTCATTCTCCCACTCACCAAGGGTGCTAAACCTTGAACAAAAAGTTTTAGGGGTTTATTTACATTTGGTATCACTCGCAAAATTTTCGACCCAAATATTCGATCGCTCCCCAATTCTGCCCAAGATGGCTCGTGGTGGAGTGAAGTCCCGCGAATTAGACTGGACTTCTGTAGGAACCCAGGGAAGGTGAGGCGCGCATCGTTCGCTCCAATCCGCATCGGAATATCTAAGCTGACTCGCTCATTCAACGCTGTTAGACGAACTGGAATTACACTGAAGGAAGGAAAGCGCGACGAGCATGGAATGGAAGAAGTGGATGGGCTTTTCTCGTCTCCTGAGAAATCACCCACCGAATTAAACGGTTTTGATGACGAGGGCAGTGAGGATTCAATCGGCTCTGAGGGGATGTCTATAGAGGATGGTATGCTGATTCCGACTTCCCGTTGAAACGCCTACCAAGATTCTGACTGGACTTACGTGAAAATTAGGCAATGCGCCGGGCCCTCTGGACTATCTTAACCCCCAAAGCAACACACGTACCTCCTTACTGTCTGCGCCCGGTCGTTCGCCTGCGAAGGGTCGCTCTGCATTTACTCGAAGATCTCCTGATCTGCACTCCACACCAGAGCCAGAGGGGGACCTATTATCCTCTAGTCCATCCGATGACAGGAGCTTAAACGTGACACGTCCTTCGCGCCAGGAGCATTCTCCATTAACCGCCAGATCCGCAAACGCGAACATCTCCAGGCAGAGGGTCAATTCTCAGCGAACTACGAAAGCGCAAATGGCAGCTTCTGAGCCCACAGTCCTACCTGAATTTTCAGATGGGGAAGGCGATGAGAATGCCAATTCGTTTCTGCCTGGGGACGATGATCAATACGATAGCTTTGGTGCGGGTGATGACACCGTTCTTCCCGATGGTGGTGATGATTACGACGATGATGTCGCAGAGCCAATCACTGAAAATCACAGTGAGCCGGAGGATGAGGATGAGAATGAGGATGAGGAACCGCCCAAAACATCGAAGAATGCAACATCGACCTCGAAAGAAACAAAGAAGGGGCTCGCAAAGAAGAGCGGCAATCCAGGGAAAACCGAATCTTCAGGTCCGAAAGGTCGTCCTGCGAAAACAGCACGCCCCGTTGACGAAGACGATGATGAAGCTGCAGCCGCAGATGCAAGACCAACCAAGAAGCAAAAGACATTGAAGAAGAAACCCGAGGAAAATCGCGCGCAATTGGACCCCGAGCTTGAAAAAGTGGTTGAAAATTACGCTCAGCGTTCAGGTCCATTAAAGGGCCGTAGCTTATACATTCTTAAGAGAGAGAACCCAACAGATCCGGCCTCCACCCATACTCGTTCTGGACGAACATCCATTCGGCCTCTCGCTTACTGGCGCAATGAAAGATGTGTTTATGGTGATAACGAGGCGGTAGAAGACGGCCATCGTTTCCCACTCTCCACTATCAAAGAAATCGTTCGCACCGAGGAGCTTGAACCAGAGCAGAAGAAAAAAGGCAAAAAGGCAGGTCGTAAAGGAAAGTCCAAGAAGCGTGGGAATGAATCTTCAGATGATGAAGATGGCGAAGCAGATATTTGGGAGAAAGAAGGTGTTCTTCATGGCTACATTCCTAGATGGGACCCCAAGACACAAGCAAGCAGCAAGGACGAAGATATCCTAGGTAATAAAAACCGTACATTTATGGCTGGCTTATGTTGCTCTCGCTAACACGTTTGCCTTGCAGATATTGCATACGCTCCTTCTGGCATTGAGACAAGAGAGGTCAAAGACTCTACTTTCCGATTTGCCAAGTTGCTTAGTTCTTCTTTCATTGGATCTGGTGTTGTAGAGCTCCCACCGGAGGGCGTGAAGCGACCCAAAAACTCGAAGAAGATGCACATGGTCTTTTATGTTTGCCATGGACGTGTGCAAGTCGATATTTCAGGAGTCCAGTTCAGTGCTGGAAAGGGATGCGTCTTCCAGGTTCCTCGAGGTAAACTAAAATACCCCCTCACATAATTTCCAAGTGTCCGACTAACGTGACTTTTTTTCAATAACATTAGGCAATTACTATAGCTTTCAGAACGCCCACAGGAAAGAAGCACGGTTGTTCTTCACGCAGGGATGTGTACCAGAGGACGAGGCCTCTCCTACATCTCAATCGAGACCTGCTGTACAAGAGAGCGAATTTGAAGTCGACGGCGAAGTTGAAAATGGAGCTAAAGGTGGCTCATCTGCAGCCTCAGTTAGAAAGGCCCGTGGTCGCCCCAAGGCCAAGCCGAAGGCCAAACAAATCTTGTCTTGAAGCCTGCTTGTTCCCTTTCCTTTGATTCCCAAGGACCTTCTAGGGCCCTCTTCAATGTGTTATGATACCACATATGTCTTGTTTCTAGCGATTGATCGTCTTATTCCTCAATGGCCCTTTTGTTCCATTAATCTTTTTTTGTTTTCTTTTCTTTTCTTTTCTTCTTTTGTACTCATACCAGGATATTTGTTCCATCAACTTAATCTATGTTGAATATTATGATAATATGGCAGCGGGATAGGCATGGAAGGAAAGAAGGAAAAAAGAAATTGAAAGCAAGGTCTCTCTGATAGTAGTCAACACTTCTTGATCTCAGGAATCAACTCATGTTTCTCATTAATAAAGTTTCAAATCTCCTCCATAAGCTCGTCTAACTCATCATCCAGTCCTAGCGGAGGGAAATCACCCACCTCCACCTTCTCCGGCTTGACAAATGCACCACGTTTCTCAAGACATTCAAAATAACGTTTCCCATTCACACTACCATCATTCTTACCCGTTGGTTCATCCAATTCAATTCCCACCCAGATAGGCTGAAGCTCTACAGGAAGTTCACCTTCATTCTCAAGCTCACGACCAGGTCCAGAGACAGGAATCGATGGTACGGGCCCAACAAAGCGAACAGTCCCGCGTCTAATGTGCGGCGGGGAAGAAGGCAGAATAATAGCACGCTTGGACACGGTGATACCTATTTAATGGCGATATAATTTTTAGGTCCAACTTCAAATTTAAGGTGTTATCACCACTCCTGAGAAATACATACCTTTAGAAACCACCTCGGCCTGGTCTTTTTCTACTTGCTGACGAAGAGACTCTTCGGGAGAAAGAGCATTGGGATCAAAGCGTCCCAGCTTCTGGTTCTTCTTCCACGCGAGGACAGAATTCGAAAGTGTTTCGTACGTCTCGGCGGGCAGTTCATACTTTTCAACCGAGGAAAGGTCGGTGAAGTTAGGTCTCGCAGCTCTTGGGCGAGAGTCATGGACCTAAAGGTAGTTTTTTAGTAAATGTAATAATGGACAAAACAGCCGCCAAAAATCGAAGGGGGCATCATCATGCTGGTGCGAATATAACAGTTCCTTCTGTCTCTCGTCGAGAGCATCACACAGTTGCACATCTCGCACAGGGGATATTCTTCAAAGACATTGCTCAGATGAAAGCAAATTTTTCTCGCAGTATTTTAGGATCATACCAGATAAATCTTTCATGACAATGCATCTAACGCTTCAAATAGCCAGAAAGAAAAAGAACCTACCTCAATTTCCGATCCTTTAGCCAATCCCCAGTCGCCAATTGCACGATCCTCTTCATCTGCCCACTGATCAGGTCGTCCAGGAACTTTTACACGCAGACGTTGGCAGCCTGGTGGGATACCAGTCATAGTCTCTAGCTTCCCTTTCAGCTGATACACAGTCCATGTCGGTGTGATACGACGCTCCGTGACGAAGCTAGGTTCCGCACTGCCACTTCGCGAAACAGTCGAATTGGTGATCAGGACAGAGATATCTGCCGGAGTAGGTTGAAAAGCCATTTTGATAGCGAATCTCCCTTCAGGGGTTGAAGATTCTGTTTAAATTTGTGTTCTGCGGGGCAAAATGTCAGCATTGATGATTGTAGTCTCAATAGTGGGAGGTGTAAAATCAAAATGAAACAGCAGCAAAGCCCCCAACACAGGAACTGTAAACACTAGATTGATCGATTGGCGTAGTGTTTCAAGACAGCCCCTCCAATGCTTTTTTATATTGGATTCAAAATCCATGATCACACTCTTTGTTACGAAGGAATGGCAGTGACTACTGGTCATGCAAACCCCAACAAGCAGCACCAGAAAGATTGCAGGGACCACCATGCCACAATTAAGGGGTGAACTTACATTTTCGATCGAAGTGACCTTTAAGGAGATGCTCCTGAACGCGATATGCGCGATCCATGGATGAGACCTGCATGTGGACGCTGTGGACGCTTAGTCATCGACCACGCCAGCCTTCCAAAGTTTTCTATGTAGGCCCTAGCAGGTACTTTCGACGTTGTACTTGGTATTTAAGCGGCGATCGTGATGGTTTCACGACGACTTCTCGAAAAGCCTGTATAGAAAACCAGATCAATTGGAAATCGAGCACAGTCCCGATTCAGGAGTAGAAGCATCACTGTGCAACCGAATACAGATGTTTCAATTACAACGAGTACGGGAGCCTCACAGATCTGGTCCTACTCTGTATACGGCAAGAAGATTAAATGATTTTATCGGGGACTATGTTTAAGAAAACAACGAAATAAAGTAAAATACAGAGTCAAGTGGAATGATACTGTAGTAGATACCTTCCAATGTCCATGCCCCTTTATACAAATTGAGCCCTGAGCACATGAGTAGACCAGAACCGTTCCAATGCGTTGATTGGTTCATTCAGAATAAGAACGTGTCAACTGGTGCTGTGCTTCTGGCATCCACCAATCACGGGACTTGTAGCCATCTAAAGTAATCATCCCACGTGATACCCCTCGCTTGAATAGTGGGCGATCAAATCATCGGAATCTCTAAACTATTCACTCCCAGGCGCCCAAAGCCCAACTCGCAGCCATGACATCCAACGCCGACGAGTACGAACAGCAAAATGTGCATGAAGTTTATCAACACATTGCCCAGCACTTTTCAGCCACTCGCTACAAGGTAGCGTCATGACCTCATCATCGGAATTACAGTCCTCTAAAATGCGCGATACTTACTGTTTTACCAGCCATGGCCCATTGTGGAACAATACCTCCAAAATCTCCCCCCTGGCGCCATCGGTCTTGATGTGGGGTGCGGCAATGGTAAAAACCTGATGGTAAATCGCAATGTCTTTATTATTGCTTCAGATCGGTAAGTTCGAAATCTACGCAAATACAATGAAAGTTCCCATGAAAAATGTGGTATCAGCATAAATGTTCTTTTTTTGGTTATTTGCTATTTGTGTGTTTTCTTTATGTCCCAATAAACAATTGATTTTTATCATCAACTCTGGGATTGTCTCTTTTTTTGGGTTCTTTCTTTTTCTTCCACTTCCCATCATCCGATCTGGTTCACTCATCAAGTCGGGTAGTTCGGAAAATTTAGCCCAGATTGCTCGTCAGCATCAACCACATACAGCTGTGGTGGCCGATATTCTCCACCTGCCACACCGAGATGCGCAATTCGACTTTGCCATCTGTATTGCTGTCGTACATCACCTATCTACCCCGGAACGTAGAGTCCAGGCCATCGCCGAGATTATACGAACCGTGAAACCAGGCTCAGGCACGCAGCCGGGTGGCACTGTGCTTATTTATGCTTGGGCACTGGAGCAAAAGCATAGTCGTCGTGGCTGGGATAAGGGAGACCAGCAGGACATCATGGTACCTTGGGTCCGAAAGACCCCATCTGCACCAAACGGGACCCAGACTTTCAACCGCTACTACCATCTGTTTGAAGAGGGCGAGCTAGAGCGAGACATCGAGAAAGCTGGTGGTCAGGTTGTGACGTCGGGATATGAGAAGGACAATTGGTGGGCCATCGCAACACCCAAAATCAACCCGTGATCTGTGTGGTATCGAAAAGCCCGAGAGCCAGCCTCGGTCGTCCAACATCAGAGTTTGGGGGGAGATGGGTAACACCGCATGATGAAATTGGAAGGGCAGGCGAAGGTCCCTTCTTTTGATAAAGCACACGGATGAGCTCACAAAAAAGAAATTCGAAAAGAAAACGCGCAAAAGACAGGAGGTGGTGCGAAACTTGTGTCTATTGAAATCACGACCTCCCATAAATCACGGTATACCTCCAGCCGGCGCTATGCAAGTCGTATTGAAACAAAAGGAAAGCCGTACAGGCGTTGATCGTCATCACATCTTTAGGGCAGAGTTCGTGGGGGCATTCCCATGTGAGGGCCCATCATCCCAGGTGGGGGAATGCCCATGTCGGGTCGTCCAACTCCATAGTACTCTCTCGGTGGTGGTAGAGGAGCTGGGGGTGCGGGTGCGTATGCGGGGACTCCCGCTGTCAATTCTTCGAGGGATGGAAGTTGAGGAGCAAGGCCTGGGAGGTGGCCTGGAATGGCTCGGGAGGTAGACATCTTTCGTGGTCGAGTTAGAGATGTGCTGGCTCGACGAGTTCTGGTTGTTGGAGGATCAATTGCATGGCTTGATAAAGAGAATGGCACCACGCCTGCGCGGCGGGCCATTTCCTGCTCTCCAAGCTGCCAATGCATAGCTTCAGCGGCGCGCCAAGGAATGGCCATTTCTTCTGCAACTTTGGACCACATCTCTGCCTTGAATCTATCAGATTAAAAGGTGAACTGTTAGCAGATCGTTCTTCAACTTCATATCTCATTTCCTTCAGTCCTTCAGTCCTTCAGTCCTTCATTCCTCCATGGCTTGTTTCTTCTCCTCCTCCTCTTTCTTTTCTTTGGTGCGTTTGGGAGAGGGAACAAAAAGCATACCTTTCATATAAACGAGCCAGTTTGTTTTTCTTGTCTTCGTCCCACTCGCTGCGTCGCTCTAGGTAGTTTTGATAGTGAAGACGGCAGCTGATCGCACTGCGACCTGGCAACCGTTTGCTGATATCCTCCCATTTCATTCCACTGCCCCGCAGTTCGATGATCAAAGCATCTTCTTCAGGCGACCACTTGGACTGTTTCTTAGCAGGCGATTCTGCGGTATGGGCGGGTTGCAGACGTTTTGTTGCCCCAGTTGGACCTGTCTTAGTCAAAGGTGGTGGTACTGACACTGGTGTCGGGCCAGTCAGGAAGGAAGCGGTACCAAGAGGAGGCCCTGGCAAAGTTCTAGGGATGTAGAGGGGAGCAGGGTTGCCTAAGGCGGCCTCTTCCTCATCTTGGGGCTTGAGTAGCAGTGAGATATCCACTTTGGCGGGCGGCAAGATAGGCCGATTTTGTAACGCAATCATATGCGCGATGGGGGGTCTTGGAAGTTTCAAGGTTTCTCAAAAGATTTTGAATAGTCGGCTTTTTGCTCTGGGGCACACAAGGCAAAATCAACAAGGGACAACAACAAACAGTCCTGTTTGTTTCTTCAAAACTTAAAAAAGAAGAAGCTGGTGGTTCCTGACCGGTTTGGGAAGGAAAAAGAGTAGAGAATGGAAACCCCGATGGGTAAAAGTTGGAAGAAATTTGGAAATTTCTTATGAATGACCACAGTTCAGTGACCGAGAAGTTGACTCAAATGCTCCGTGATTTCTTTTCAACGGAAACTCAAACACTCGTGCAGTCTCGTGCAACAAATAATGAGGTCAGAGGAGGTGTCGTTGAAGGTCTACACGGGCAGAACGGGACCAAGTAACCGTGGATCAGACAAGCTTAGAACCTGGGGAGAGTGAAAAGACGAAAAAAAGAATCCTCCCAAGTAGAAAAGAAAAAGAAGTATATAAAAAAGAAGAAGGAAAAAAATTGAAATAGAAAATAGAAGACAGAAGACAGAAGACAGAAGACAGAAAATTTTAGAAGTTGAAACACCCAAATAGAGATCTTCCAGAAGATAACCCAGGTCAATGGTGTTTGGGAATAAAGGTTGGAGGGGTAAACGATAGAGGGGAGGGAAGAGAGAAAGAGAGAAAGAAAAGAATATTGAAGATGTATGGAAGAGAAGAAGAAGAGGAAAGAAGAAGGTCTAGAAGGGGAAAGACAAGAAGATAATCATCAGTGGTAAGAGTAGAGAGAGTCCAGAACTTGATGAAACTCGTTCGCCAAAACCTCCGGGATAACCAGAGAAAATAGGAGGAGAGAGAGAGAGAGAGAGAGTCTTAGACCACGGGAATGGAGACCTATACAAGATTAGAGAGGGAATATGGAGAACATTTTGATGGAGAACATCGGGAAGAGAGGGTCAACCAGGTATTGTAAAGTGGTATAAACCTGGTATAAAGTGGGCATTGGAAATTGCGAACCCCCCAGAACTGCTGCATGTGGGCTGAATCACTTGGTAATGTAATATAAAACAATTATGGATATAAAATATATAATAATAATAATAATAAATAATAATAAAATAGAAAATAGAAAATAGAAAATAGAAACTAAAATAAATCTTGAATTTATTATTATTATTATTATTCCCCCCTCCAGCAAAAATCCACAATATCTCCGATCCACTCACGGGTTTTAATTAAAGATGGCCCTGCTGCAAGCGGTCAAACCTCTGCTTCAGTGTAATCCTGTTGGTGGTTCATTTCCTGGTCCTACAGAGGGAACGATGATTCCAAGCTTGGAAGTTGGGATGATTATGGTTATGATTGCTAAGTACTGAAGAACCGTGACCTATACACGTTGAAAAGGTTGAGTACTAAATGAAGCATTTTAGATACATAAGGATGACATAGGTCGGAATAGATTTTTATTTTAGTTTGAAATTATAATAATAAAAGGAGAACCAGACCCAAACTCCAGCTCTCCCTAACTGAAGGAAAATGAGGCCCAAGGATGAACATGGTTCCTCTCATGATGGAGACCTAACGGGAGAGAAAAAGAGAAAGGAAAAAATAAAATAAAATTCTCCCCTCTTCCATTCCCCCCCCAAAAAAGTAAATAAATAAATAATCCCTAATTTAAAGAGAGGGGAAACGAGGAGACCCGCAGCCCATCCTTGGTGAAATGAGCGGCGTCAGAATGCGTAACGGGAGACTTTAAAGGCAGCACTGGCCAGTCATAACGCGTGCTAGTGGGCTGCTCCAGTCCAGACGCTAACCCGCCCTAATGCCATGCCGTTGCGACTAACAGCACTGTCTGGACCCAGATCGGACTTGCTTTTCAACGGCTTTCTGCCGCCCTGGCTCCACTTCTTTAAGGGGCCATCACGAGGGGCTGGGTAATGTACTTGGTTGTACTTGTTGGACTCGCTGGGCTCTCGGGTACTCGTGAGTTAGTACTCTTGAGTATGTAAATTGATAGACCAAGATCACTGCATAATGAGGATATACTAGCACTATGTATAATACTATGTATAATGCTATGTATAATGTTATGTCATTCATTACCATAGTTTATTTGATTTACTTTTTATTAGTTCCTATCCCTTTTCCTATTACTTTGAATATCACAATCATAAGTAAACAAATCTCTGTCGTGCTAGGATCGCTGTGTTCGCCTCGTCCCACCTCAGTGGGCGTTGCCTCCTTTGACCTCCGTGGTTTTGCAGCCTCAGTGCAACCAGTCGGGGATTTTTCTCATCTCTTAGGGCTTAAGTGGCTTTCCTAACTCCCCCCTCTTTCCCCCTCTTTTGATATCGCAGGGCCAACTGGGTCTAGCTAGCGCCCTCTTTTTTTTTCTTTTCTTTTTTCTTTTCTTTTCTTTTTTCTGCTGTTTCGGATTTGACGCTAAATCTCCTTTCTTGAACTACCTGGGAGCTATAGCTCGGGGGGATGAGCTTGAATAGAGCTCCCCCTCAATAAGTACGGAACCCGATCCTGTGTTCTCATTTTAATTGATTTTATTCTCGCCTCCTAAGTGGATCCCGGTTTCTCGGGTTTTGTTGTAAGAATGATTGATTTCTATGCGCTTCCATGTGTCGATTTTCAGATCCCGTTTTATGTACTTGGGTACCTACTACATAGTATATGTATAACACTCCGGAGTATCGTTGATGACTTCAAGTTGATATTGTTATTATTCCAATCTCTCTTCTTCCTCCAGTTCGTCCCTCCAACCTCGGTAACAACGATCTGTCAAACCAAAGAGAGAAATGGGGCAGTTCTTCTAGAACTTCCCGCGCCCAGTTCAAGACGGGATAAGCTCGATGCTGTCAGACTGCCCAAAGGTCGTGCGGCAGGGCCATCGTTTGCAGATGCACATCTCTGGTCACACGGCGTCGCAATTGCGATGCTCTGGAGGGGGGCAAAGGGTTTTGCTCTGGCCAGACCCGAGTGAAACTAGACCTGAGTGAAATTGGCCCCGTTGATCAGAAAATCTAGAATTCGAAATCCAATATGAGATGAACCGAATAGAAACCGTTCATCATAGCAAGTACCTAGCCATAATTAGCAGTTTGGCGTATTAAACAGTTACAGCTTGCAGGAGGGCCGATCGAGGGATCAAGGACCGGATCGTCCTCGGCATTCTCCGTTTGGGATAGGATGAGATTAAAGGAATTGAGGCATTGTAAATTATGAGCTACGAGTATGATTTATGATCTATGATCAGTCGGATATTAGGATGATCCCCAGGGAAATAAGGGCCAACAAGCGAGCGAGACTAAGGTCTCAGGATTCCGGGACTAATTAGCCTGAACTGCCCTTAATTTAGGGAGTAGCCCCGTGTTATAAGAGGGACTTTTGTACCGGTTTGTACCTTTTCGCTGGGATTTTAATATATTGAGTATGTTTAATTTCATATCCATACATCATGTATATATTGATACCTTTTTTGAATTGATTCTTTTCTCCCCCAAGAGTTTTATTTTGATTTCTTGTCCGAACGACGGGGCCGCGGAAGGGAGACGCGTTCCCACCAGGGTAAGGGACTAGTGGGTCTGGGTCAACAGCGTCCGTGCTGTTTGATTTGCTCCTTTTTTTTCTTTTTTTTTTGGGGGGGGGGGGGGGGGTCTCCCTATTAATAAAAGACAATAGGATTGACGTAGTTAAGAGATATGGTAAAATTATAATAATACTGAACTAATAAGACAGATAGTGTGTAAGACTACACTATGATCGCATTGACAATAACAATCACAACCACTTTGAAACCCAAACCATAACGGCTGATGACGCCAGAAGAACGGGCAAGCTGCAGCTGCAAATTGTTGTTTTATTCTCCGTGATTGGACCGATGCACACGCAGGCTCTAGCACGGAGCCCCAAGTGGCAAAGCCACCCCTAATGTAGCTTAACCCTGGATGCCTGGTTGTAAAACTGACCCGTGGTGCAAAGTGGCGGTGGAGTGCCAATGCAGGTTCTTCAACCTGCTCGAACATGAGTTCACTTCTTCTTTTCGCCTTGGCTTTGGGGCCGAGTATCGCCGATGCATTTTGATTCTGTGGAAGTATAGTCACTCCACCCCTCGTCGTCCCGAAAGCCTCCCCCCCCCCCCTCTCATAATACCTAGTATACTATATTCCATAATAAAATTAAAATCAAAAATTAAAGATTAAAAATTAAAAATTATCAATCCCGGATTGTGATCCAGTTGCCTGAAACACCCAGTCCATGCGCCGAGTGATCGGCATGCAACCTGTCAACTTTTACAAACTCGTGATTTTTGTCTGGATTGCTTCGTGTCCACTTAGACCATCGCGCCGCCGACAAGATGGGGAACGCTTCGGGCCTCGAGAGTGTTTCCAGTAGTAACATGCGAGTCAACCGCACATCAATGGAGTCTCACCCCATTCATGGCCTGATCTGATGGGCCATGGCCTGATCTGATGGGCCATGTTTGGAGAGGATCAAAAGAAATGGGGCAACGGTCTGGAGGGGCTCCAGTTGGACCCGAAGCGAGGACGATCCCTTGACGATCTCCGTGGCTGGACAATTTCCCGACTGGTGTATTCATAGTATTGATTGATTGATATTTATTTTTGTTCTTCTCATCGGTAGTTGATATTAGTTGAAAAGCTGCTCCAAAGGAAGAGGGGCAGCCTCATACTTACTAACTACATGAATGTACAGTCAATAGTCAGCAACCTTCAAAATCTCCAAATCTCCAAATCCCGATGCATACAGACATTATCATCGCACTTGTGCCTTAGCTTGGCAATCTTTGCCACACGAGCCAACCAAAACAGTGGAGACGGACAGTAGGCCACCGTTAGATCATCGCGACTATGACCTAGGTGGAAGTGCCCGAAGAGCGAAACGGAGTACATAAAAGAAAGATGTAGACCAAGTGCTTTGATTTCGTGCAGTCTTTTGCGCTGTGATCGCCCCCAAGTTCCCGATACATCCACTCATTTATTACCCTAAGTCTCTGGCTTTTCTCCCATTTAATTTATTTCATGCCGAGAATCCATGGAGCTTGGGCTTCGAGTCCTATGAAATTGAGGGGGATGGGGATTGTTAATCAGATATTAATCTATTAAAATCTTATGTTTCGGGTGTTCGATCCCTTTGATCCCGTTTTTTTAGATGACTCCAGAGATTTAATTTATTCTCTGACTTTCCCTTCCAGCTCCTTTTCTTCAATCCTAGGTCATTTCGATGATACCCGTAAAGTTACACCGAGCACTCGGAAGGCCCGACGAGAACGACGGGGGCGGGTTCCACTTTGATGAGTGGCAGAGCTGAATGAGTGGCGCCCAACCGTTGCGATGGGGCAGTGCGCGCAACGGTGGATCTTCGGTAGACGCGAGGAACGCCGCTGTCACCCTCACGAAATGCTAGCAAAATTGTTCGAAAACCCTATGAGAGACATACATATATATAGGACCAACAGGGGAGAACCTGGTTTCTTCCCCGGTGCATATTTGATAGATCCATTTCCCTCCTTTTTTTTGACCCGAAGTACCGTGCCTCTTCCCGAACAGGGTAGATTTGAAGCTAAGAAAGATGAGGAAACGGAGGGAACACGAAACGGGGAGGGGCCACGCAAATTGAAGGAAAACAAGGCTCATGAGGAGGAGATTGAGAGAAGAAAGATCGCCTTGCAGCTTCGGTGTTGAGACTCGGCCGGATCTCAGCACGATCGAACTTGCTGCGAGCCAATCAGTTCCGCGTCACAATCAATTTGAACGCCTTTCGTCAGGTTTGCGCTCCACCCGAGAACCACCTGAAACACGCTTTCTGGCCTTGTGGGGTTGGGGTTGGGCAAAGTGAGCTCATCACCTCGTCTAGACTCTTGGGGGCCTCGATTGCTCAGACTGCCTATACTACCTAAGGGTACAGGTTAGTTCCTTATTTTAAATTAACATCTACGGGGAATTGGATACTGTAGTCACATCTGTACTAACTCCTAAATACGGTAGTTTGTATACCCAGGAACCGGTTCCTGGCCATCGTGAAATAGCATCCACACGAACCTTCGGGACTTGTTTTCTGGAAATTATAGCTCGAACTTCTTGACAAGTACCAAAGCTAGTTCTGTACCGTGGAAATTGTTCCGAGCCGAGATGGCAGGTTACCACCCGGTTGACTCTATCCCCTGTATCCTGTACCCTGTTTGCCTGTCCCCATCGCCACATATATCACATATACCAGATTCAGTAATTAGCAGAGACGATCATTATGACAGTTGATGCCTCACATCTGGTCGAGACTCTGAATCAGATAGCTAATTAAAGGAGCCATGCTGGGATGAATTGTCCCCAAGTCTAGACTCTCAGGTTCTCAGGTCGTGTGTGATTCTGGACCATTGTGGAGTCGGTTTGATCTTCATTGGGGATTCAATCCACGGTTCGGTATGACAGCCCCCACACAACTGGGAAGAAAAAGAAGACAACCAGAAAGGGAGAGAAAGGGAAAAAATTCTCACAGGCTGTTAGGTATCAATCATGTCAAGTTTTAGCTCCATAACGTGTCATAACATAGGAAAACTATGGCTGAGTTCAGGCACTCGTGCCCATCGAACTAGGTTCAACCATGTTTCTGCGGGTTAGGAGATGCCGCCCAAAACCCACTCGAGACGACACAGAAACTTCGGAGTTGGGGAATCTCCCTTGATTCTCTATTTGGGCTTGAAATTAATTTCAGCAACAAATCAAAGACAAGGAAAGAGATAAATTTCTACCAGGCTAATAACATATGGAGTTCTAAGGCTGGCAACTGTAACGTTGGGCCTCTTCTTTGTTACTGTTGTTGCTGAGCCATTCACCGGATTATACAACCACCAAAACTCCATATCATGGAGAACCCCGATCAGTTGCTTTGATGGTTACCTTTCAAACAAGTATAAGTGATTTCTTTCTATTTTCTCTTTTCTTTCGCTTCTCTATATTCCCCAAAGACTAGACCATGATCTAGGGATCTTAGTGCAAAAATATCTTTCACGACTCAAAGGATAGTCGTCATATAAAACTGGCTATCTTTCATCTAGTTTTCTTTTTCTAATCTAGTCCATCGTAGATCCAAGCAGCATCAAATTTCCAAAACAAAGAACTATCTTTTATTCATTCCAGTCTCTTTTCACATAGGTCAAGGAGCCTTTCTTCGAATGCTGAAGCGCCGGATGGAATTCTTTGACCAATATATTGTTTAAATTGACCATAAGAGACTTGAACTTTCTCACAGACATTTCCACGTCGTGCTCGTATTCAAAACGAAGCTGTCAACATAATCATATCTGGGGCTGTCGACCTATTACAACCACTATATCCATCATGGACCTCGGGCCGGTAAGAACATATTTTGAGAATCGCACTCTTAAAACCCCACCCAAAAATGAAACAGAAAATAATATCATTATATATAGTTTACTGGTGAGCGGGATTGGCCAGCGACCATCCATCCAAACCCCAAGGTTTCCCAAACCCTGGCACTTCAGTATGCTATCGGAATGTGTTGTTCCAGACCCTTCTGCGTATACCGGCTTTACAGATTGGGTTGCACTCTATTCAAATCGACATGCTCCCGATCAAAAGTGCCCCTATCAGACAAGTGCTGACAGACTCTGCAAACTGTGCCTGTTTCATAAACTCAATACACTTTACTGGAAGCCCCAGGACGGATCCGACGAAGACTACAATGCCGTATTTCTTAAGCTATGGGGGTCAATTTTAACTGACTGGGAAAAAGGTTTGAAGGGTAGCCGAGACAATCAACAACAAGATGCTCCAGAAGTATGGACTGAACTAGTCACGCAATTCCTAAACAATATACCGCTAGACGTGAAGTCAGTGACTTTTTTATTATTATCCTGTCGCTGAAGGTCTCTGCTTGTTACAAATCAACAATGAATATATAAGCTAATATCTTCCCCCATTCTAGCAAAGAAGTCCCGAGAACTATTTTCTTTCAGTGCATTGTTAGAGTCACAACTTGCACCGTAGGAGACGGAGATGATGCTCAAAAATGCAATGAACCGAAACTCAACCAGCAGCGAGAAACCGTGCTGGGGCTTCCGTTCCCTTCTGCAGTGCAATGGAAGAATTCAAACAAAGTACAGACGACTCTACCTTGCTTCAGGTTGAGAGACGCACTCGACAGTTATTTTGTTAAGACGGATATAGAGACGCCATGTGGAAGATGCAAACATACTCGAAAGGAAAAAACTAAACTTAGCAACGTGGCAGAGGTGCTTGTACTACAACTCAATCGAAGTATATTTGACAAGTATATAAAGCAGATGAGAAAGATCGAAGACAGAATCTTTTTTGAACTATATCTTAAAATGGGGGCAGAATATTATCACGAAACGGTTGGTATTACTGCAGATAACTCCGTTTTTTACGAGCTGGTTTCGTTGATTGCGCACAACGGCGAACCTGGGGGTGGTCATTATATTAACTGGTGCAAAGAAGCTAATACCACATGGACGGCTTGCGATGATGGCATCACAACTGAATTAAATGACTTCAAAGACTGGGGCACTCATCACAAAACCCAAGAGAGTGCATATTTGTTAATATATCGTCGAATTGACCGCATTCCCAATGGAGTTCATGAGCCAAAAGTTCAGGAAACCATTCAGACACCCGGGCCGAAAAGAGGCCTCGATGAAAGCACTCAGACAGACTTGACTTCAAATGAGCATAAGAGGAGCAAGAATGGGCACTCTGGCAACTTCATAGTCAGGTACAATGCGCCGGATGGAGTAATATTGATGGAATTAGATGTCCCAAGCGATAGGATTACTTTCCCAAAGGATGCGACAAAAGGCTCTGTGGAAATCGATTGGGCGGACAATAACAAAAATATTCTCGATCATCTCATTGTACAGGGAGGAGGATTAAGGAGAACTCCTTCTATTGATTTAAAGAGACGCGGCGAAGAGGAGAGACTTCAGATATTGAACGAGCGACTTGAAAAAGAGGGAAAGATTGTTGAAAAAGCGGAAGAGGATAATAGGAAGGAGAAGGAGAGTATTGAGAAAGCGAAAGAGGATATTAAGAGACAGAAAGAGAATAATAGAAAGGAGAAGGAGAGTATTGAGAAAGCGAAAAAGGAGATTAGGAGGGAGAAGGAGAGAGTTGTTAAACGGAAAGAAGATATCAAACAGGAAGAACATAAAAAAAAAGAAAGCTAAGAAAGAAAAAGAAACAGAACTTAAGAATAAGGGAGAAAAACTTAACGAAGAGGAAAAGAGATATAAAAAAGAAGAAGGGAGACTTACAGAAAAAGAAAATATACTCACAGAAAGAGAAGAGAGACTTGGAGAAGCAGAAGAGATACTTACGAAAAAAGAAAAAGTATTCAAGGAAGAAGAAAAGAACTTTAAAGCGAAAGAACTAGATCCCAAAAAAGAAGTCAAGAGACTTAAAAAAGAAGAACAGAAACAACAGGAAGAGATACAGAGACTTAAAAAAGTAAACAAGGATCTTGAATAAGAGATAGGGAAGCTTCAGGACGAGAAAAGGCAAGATGAACTTAAGAGAGAGAGAGAAAGACTCCAAAAAGAGCAATTTGAGCAAGAGAATATGCTACTCGGGAGGCAGGGACATCAACGTAGGACACGGATCCACGAGCTAGAGGGTCATATAAGAGAGATAGAGAGACTCGAGGCAGAAGCGAGAATCACCGAAGAGACGAGAGTCCGTGAAGAGGCGGAGACGGCAGCCGATGCAGAGAGACGCACAAGGAGAAGACACAGAGCTAAAATTACAGACACGGCTAAAGAGATGGGTAAAAAAATTGGGGATAAATTGAAAATTCGTCGCAGACGAGGATAGAAGATCAGGGTTGCGAGTGAATGTTTTCTGCTTTTGATGTTATGATATTTTGATATGTATGTGGATAAGTGCGATGTTGAAATCAAGTTTCTCTACCCAGTCATAAATTAATTAGAAAGAAGCCTCCCTTCAAAGGTTCATATATCTTGATCATCAAAACTGTAAGATATTGACCTCATGGAGTCATGGACCCAGGGCGTCCCGCAGTTCAAACCGCTTCGTCTCCACCGCCCAAACATTAATACTTAGCCAACAACCAACCACTCCATGCCAATATCATGGAGACCCGGGATTCACAACCAGATCTCAAGGTCCAATCTAGTGCATCATTTGTGAATAGCCTGATAAATGATTTGGCGGAATTACAACCTCTCAACACTGCTGCAAATGAACCTGACCCGCCAAGGACGCAACGAGTGCTCCATGAGAAACACCCTCAGAATCCACTTTCGAGACTACCAGCATCACAATTAGCAAGGGCAAAGCCTCTAATGTTGACTTTGCATTGTCTCTTTCCAAATGATCTCCTACCAGCTCTCGACATATTGGACCGCCGACTCGTACATCGTCTCGTGCGTCAAGACAGAGCCAATGTGCTTACCATAGACGCTGACGACAACCAAACAGCCACACCACAAGAAAGCAGTACAAGTACATTCGCCAAAGAATCAGAAACAGGTCATGCTCATGCTCATGCTCAAAACCAAGACCATCATAACCCACGAACACCACACGAAGACATTTTTTTTGTCACATCTGCATCAACTGCCCCTCCACCAGGAACTCAACCTGTCCCTCAACATCAAGTACAGGATCAGATGAAAGGGTACGAGGTTCGCTTGCATGCATGGAATTGCACCTGTCCCACGTTTACTTTATCGGCATTTCGAGATATGCAAACTAGACGACTGGATATACCCACAGGGAATTCCCCTGGATCAGAGATGCCGCGTGATCAGAAGGGAACTAACATCTATCCATTTGGTGGGACCCTTACATGTCTCACAGACAGGGGTTCACCCCCAGTCTGTAAGCATGTTTTGGCTTCTGTGTTGTTTGCTCGATGCCCGGGCTTGTTTGGGGGTGATGGAGACCGTAGATGTCTGGTTTCGATGGAGGAGCTGGCAGGCTGGTGTGCTGGTTGGGGCGGATGAATACTATGCATGTCATTGGGATTAATGCAAAGTCTGACAGTGGCTTGCATTTCTCTATCATTTCTATACGATACTAACACGTGAAAGGTCATGTTGCAATGGCGCTCGTAACGCCGCCATTTCGGTACACAGATAAGTCTCTGGAGGGTCATCGACACTTCCTCAACAGCAAACGGCATGTCCAGCGATACGAATGATCCAACTCCCATTATCTTTTTTAGAGAGTCTGACTTGTTAAGGTCTAGAGTGAAGCGGACGAATCACTGGTTTGCTTGGGCCCTGGAGATTATGGCGGTAGCCATGTATATGTACCTACGAGATCACCGTGTGCTTGTTGAGCCATGGAACAAAGGAATTGTACTAGGTGTGCAATTTCCATCACGAATCTACAATCACATAGATCGCGATGAACAAGATAGAAAGACAGACAGAGAGAAGGGGTTTAATAGCCACCGGGTCATATCCTTGATTATCCATACTATACACTGCTAAAGCAGATGCAGTTCTAAGCGGTCATGTTGTATTGACGGGCATTGAATTTCTCCAATCTAAGACAAACCAAAAGAATTTTAAGTCTTCTTGTTCTTATCGGAAACCTCCTGCTCCTCCTCCTTCTGGTCACCGTTGGTCGAACCATTAGCCTTCTTAGTATCCTTATCTCCCTTAGCCGCATTAAGCTCCTGCTCGCGCTTCGATTCATTCTCCTCTTGCTGCTGTCGGTTTTGGATCTTGTTCTCGATCAGATCGTGGAATGCTGTAATAGCACGGATCAAGCTGCTGATATAGATGGCCATCAGCTGGTCATTCGTCTTCACGCTCATAGCTCGAGCAAGCTCGCTGTTCTCCATCTGTGTCTCTTGGCCGCTGATTCTTGGTGTTTGAGCTGGGGTCGAAAGGTTGGGGAGGAGATTGAAGACATCCTGTAGGTTACCCAGGATAGCGTGATTGACCGGAAGTTCGTGATCGAGGACTTTTTGGAGGTATTGGCCGATATCACGCAGGCGGAGATGCAAGCCTTGCAATGATTGCAGCTGTGAGGTGATCCGTGTAGAGAGCGTGCCGACTGCGACGTCCCTGATATCCCGTAGCAGATGTTCCACACCAATTTCCTCCGCTTCTTCAGCTTCGATTATCGACGGTGTATGCACAAAGGTCTTGGAGGTTGTGGTTCCGTCCTAAATTTCAATAAAACAAAAACATTTGGTCAGCTCTATGATATCTTTACAGGGGCCCGCCTTTCTAGATAACAAGGGAAGTCCACTCACATCTTTGATCTCATCCACGGCAAAATAAGCATCTGTGGGGACGCCAACTTCCTTAGGTTGTACGTCGACAATAACCAGCAAGGGATTAGGGGTGTATTTCTTGAAGAGTTCATTGATTTCCAGATCGGAGGCGCGCAACTTGGGGCCAGAGTGATACCAGCCGACAAGCTTCTCGCGAGCATTGATCTTCTTGAACATATCTCTCATCGACTCGACAAAGTTGTGGTCTAGGAACCATACTGATGGGTCTTTCTCATCTTCCTCGAATGGTACTGAATGGTGATGGTTATAGTTAGCTATCTGGACTTTGTGATGGACCCTATCGTCATCATCATCACAACATAGCTTGGCGTATACATACCTGCGAAACTGTTGGATACCCGCACATTATTGCCAGAGTTCTCGCCAAGTAGCACACCGACTACACGCTTCCGGGTGCCTTTCGCCGTCCGCCCGTAATGATCGGCGACGGAGAGCAGGACTAACGGAGCAACCGTGACGCTGCGGTTGACGAGGGATAAGGTGTCCGCCGTGGTGGCAGGCATGGTGAAAGAGGAGTCCGACAGAAAATGCGATAGGAATAGAAGCTGAACAGGGTCCAACAAAGTGATGATATAATTAACCAGATGAAATGGAGGATACTTGAAGGTGAATTGGTGAGGAACTCGGAGCAGGACGATGATGCTCATTTGGAGAGAGCTTCGGTGTTTGCGCCACTGTGGCTGGTATTGTTTAGGTAATCATGGCGTCGCAGCAAGTTTTTTTCTTTTCTTGTTGAAGATTGATTTGGACTGAGAAGATGTAAATAAACAGGGATTTTAAAGAAGTTGAATATAATATAATATTATATTAACTAGAGATATAGATAGATCTTACTGGATTGACCCCCTACAAAACAAATACCTATTACTAGCCTTGATCTAATACGGAGTATAGAGTCGGTTGAAGCAGGAGTCCGCCTACGTAGCAATACGCAGCCTCCGAGCCTCGGGCGCTAAGTCCTAATTCCTTCCCTTCCGTTTATCCATCTCCATCTCCATTTCCCCGACTCTTCTTCCTCTTCCAACCATCCTACCCCCTTCCCTCTCTCCCCCGAAATAATCCTTAGAGACGCCTCTCCCCTCTCCTCAGTCACAATGGCCCCTATCACTGAAGAGACCGTCTCCGGTCTGAAGAACACCATCGGCCAGCTGGAGGCCAAGGTTGTTGAGCTGGAGCAGCGCTTGGTCAATGGCGACGAGAAGCCCAAGTCCCTGACCGAGCAGATGCGCATCATTCTGATGGGTCCCCCTGGTGCCGGTAGGTGTTATTCCGAAAGAAAAGAGAACCTCAACGAATTGATCTATGGTTATTAACGCGTCCTAGGCAAGGGTACCCAAGCCCCGAACATCAAGGACAAGTACTGCGTGTGCCACCTGGTGCGTAATTGCAATCAATCTACACCAATTCTATCAAGAGGTCATCAAGTTTGCTAATGATATACCGTTTTTCCGATTAGGCTACCGGCGACATGCTGCGCTCACAGGTCGCGAAGAAGACCGACCTCGGAAAAGAGGCTAAGAAGATTATGGACCAGGGTGGCCTTGTCAGCGATGAGATCATGGTCAACATGATCAAGAGCGAGCTGGAGAACAACTCTGAGTGCAAGAATGGGTAAGACAAAAACGACATCCAGTTTCATTTTTTTGCCGGTGTCGATGCCGATGCCGATGCCGGATGTCGGCGCCAGTTGTCTTAATTATTTATGGTTGGTTAACGTTCGATTGACAGTTTCATCCTGGACGGATTCCCTCGCACAGTCGCTCAGGCCGAGCGTCTGGATGATATGCTTAACGCCCGCCAGCAGAAGCTCCAGCACGCCGTCGAGCTGCAAATCGACGACGCTCTCCTCGTTGCCCGTATCACTGGCCGTCTGGTTCACCCTGCCTCCGGCCGCTCTTACCACAAAATCTTCAACCCTCCCAAGTCCGACATGGCTGATGATATCACTGGCGAGCCTTTGATCCAGCGCTCCGACGACAACGCCGAGACTCTGACCAAGCGCCTGGCTACCTACCACTCCCAGACCTCTCCTGTCTGCGACTACTACAAGAAGACCGGTGTCTGGCGCGGCATTGACGCCAGCCAGGAGCCTGGTCAGGTCTGGAAGAGCCTGCTGGGTGTCTTCCACAAGAACTAAGCGAAAAGCGTTTTCTAATTTGGAGGGATGGGCCAAAAATTAACTCCCGCTCCAAAACATAAAGGAGGCTTGTCAGTAAATCTCCCTGGGATGCTCACCCATTTTCTTTTGTTTGGGTTTGGTCCGGGGAGCACCCAAGGAGCTTGTAATGGCTTGATGTCCGCATATAGACGAATAATCTGTCTCCTATGGCCATGTATAGTATGTGTACTCTCTAGTACCCAATACAATGTTATCCACCTTACTTTTTTCCTTTGCACCCTTGTAGACAAATAAACCAGACATATATGGTGATTGAAATTCAATCTGTCAATGAACAGATTAACGGTCTGTATCTTGATGCTCTATGGCGCCTATTTCTATACACCTTTAACAGCTTCTCACAGCTCCAGTGGATATTGAGTAGACTCAATCGACTCAGGATACTTCAAACCACCCTGCCTTCGTACCTCATCCATGACCTCCATGATCACAAGACTTTCCTCCCACGGCATACCTTCACTCTCCAATTTACCACCCCGCAAGCAACGGGCAACTTCATCGGCCTCCCAGTACATACCGCGACCATTGGCGGGGAATGAGAACTCAACATCACGGACCTCCCCGAGACCCTTCTTTGGGATTACGCGATACCGTGTAGGCTGGAATGGTAGTCCGAAAACCTGAATCTCTCCTTTATCACCTTGAATACGAATTGGGGGCCCGGAGGTACCCTTCTCATCCGGGTCATTACCAACACGCATGCTGGTCAAAGCCACGCCGTGGGAATGCTTGACATGAGGTCCATTGTTCGGGGTAGAGGTCGGGAAACCAAGGAGAACTGTGGTGCTTTCGTCTGAGCCAGTGAGGTGGTAGGGTGTGACTTGAGATGTAACAGTTGGTGGCTTTCTCTGGTCTCTGGGTAGAGTATGATAAAGGGTCTGGAAAATCCATGTAAGAGAATAGATACCAACTATCCAGAGAGTTAGTTATGTTATGTTTACTTGAACCAAAGATGCAAAATAGAGGGATTCCAAATAACTCACGATCTAAAAGGCAACCACCAGCCAGATCAAGGTTCACCATTCTGCTTTCAAGACCCCATTTGGTCTCAGGATCATCGCCAAAGCTGGTGTCAGCAAGAACTCGGAACACTTCACCAATAGCACCCTGTTGAATCAACTCGCGCACTTGGATGCTCAATGGAAAGTAGCGAGTCCAGACGGCTTCCATCAGAAATAGATTCTTCTTCCGCGCGGTCTCGACCAGTATCTTGGCTTGAGCTACATTGACCGTGAACGCTTTCTCACACAACACATTTTTGCCGGCCTCGAGAGCCAGCATGGCATTCTGGTAGTGGTGAGAATGCGGAGTAGCAATGTACACAACGTCCACATCGGGGTCGGCAACGAGCTCTTCGTACGAAGCGTATGCGGCGCAGGAACCGGGAATACCGGCATCCGTGATAAATTGAGCTGCTCTATCCTTGGAGGACGACGAGGCGACGGCGACGACCTGGTGGGCGACATCAGTGGCATCGCGGGTCTTGGGGTCTTTTAAAAGGTCGAGGACAAATGCTATGCCGGGGTGGTTAGTTGGTTGATTGATTTCGAGAAGAATTTAGAGCTTACTTTTCGCAATGCCACCCGTGGCTAATTATACATGTCAATCTGGTTAGCGTGGCGTGCTTTAAGTACTTCCCAATGCTCGTTGACTGTCTTGGGATGTTATGTGTTGAGGAAGGTCATACCCATGATACCCCATCGAGTTAAGTGAGCCATGATGAAGTTAAGACAAGAAGAAAAAGGAACAAGGGACAAGGAACAAGGGTGTATCTAGTTATGTTTGTGTGTATGTATTGGAGGACGTCAATGTTTGAGATATTTGAAGAGAAGAGTGCACGAAGGTAATAATCATTGGTGGTTTTTGATTGATGTTACTGCGCTTTGCCACGTGGGGAATACGGGAATCCCAAGCGGAGATGCGCCGAGCGGGGCTCAAAAAGCAACGTCATGATGCGACACGGCGCCATATGAATAATGCCTACTACAGTACATGTATGTAGATATAGAAAAGTGTAACTACGGAGATAGATATTGGCTTTACATAATATGTCCTTTATTTGTTGATGTTATTTCCGAGCGCCTGTTCATGGTTCCGTCTTGATGCGCACTTTCTGCCCAGGAGATTCGACGCCCTATATCAGTTAGTTAATGATTCGAAACGTATAAAGCATGAAGGAGGGCGGAATAAGGACTAACCTCTGCTTTTCGCTTGCCCAGCACTGAGTCCGGTGTCCCTGTTCGCCCTTGAGGCGTGAAACTGCGAGGGGCAGGGCCATCTTTTGTAACTTCATCGTAGCAGCTGGCGTGGTAGACTCGACCAGTGACTGTAACGGCATCTTGCCAGATCCAGTCCTGCACCTCTTCGGACCATGTTGACTCAAATTTCTCCTGGCAAATGGGACAAGGGGTGTTGCGCAGCATGGCATCATTGGGAGCCCGAATCCATTGTTTTGGTGGACTTTGTTTGGAACCATTGTTGTCAGCCCCAGCAGCTCCCTCGGCATTGGCCTCAGAATAAGCTGTCCCTTGGTCATCGTCGGCTTCGCGGGATTGAACCCAATCCTATCGATCTTTGTTAGTAAAGCAACCCACAAATACATCATATTCCGAGAGAAAAAATACGAACCCCTTCATCGACATACCAACTACGAGTCTGGGCTCGCTTGGTAGCCTCAACCATGCGTTGATTTGTTTTGAAGTGCCAGTCTAAATGCCTGGCTTTCTTTTCTTTGCCTTCATTGGTGGCAGGAAAACGGCTACCACAGGTTCCACATCGGTTTGACTTTGCTTCGTAGAGGGAACCGACTAGTGCCATTCGAGGGCTATTTCATCATCAGTAAGAGCAAATGCATTTAGTGCCAAATGGAGTACTTACATTTTCATAGAGGTAGTGGCCATAGATACTGTCGATGAAACTCCAACTGGGGTGGATGCTTGAGGGGTTGATACTGGTGGCGTAGATCGCAGTTGACCAGGAATTAAGAATGGGAGAGATGCTGGAGGAGTAGCGTTGGATCCCATCATCGGTGGTGCTGATGCAGGAGGTAGTAGCCCTCGCATTCTAAGGGCAGCGATGAGGGGGCTCTCTGCTGGCTGCGGGGTGCTACTGGCAGGAGGCATTTGAGGCATTTGAGGGAGAAGGTTGGGCATCTGAGGAGGAATGGGAGCAGGGGGTGTTTGGTTAACGCCAGTCGCTTTGAGGAGTTCTGCAATGGTTTCGGAATTTAACATCGAGGGAAGCGACTGAGCCGGGGGTTGAGGCGGTGGTGTTGGGACAGGAGCTGCACTAGGTCCTGGCTGCGGAGTGGTCAATGAGGCGAGCTGGTCTCGAACAAGCTTGCGCTCCTCTGGGCTAAGCTGTTGGCGTTGCATAATACCCTGGAGATCAAGCAATGACTTAAGCCGCTGTTGGATTGTCTGATTAAATGGATTATTCCCAAAGTCATTTCGCGCCGAAGCGACCAGGGCTTCCAGGTCCCGATGCAATGATGCCAACTCCGAATCAGGGCGATGAGCTTGAGGGGGTGTCTGGGAATGCGATCGGGTCAATATCGATGGCTGGAACAGGGCATAAGTGAGCCTTCTTACCGCAATGCTTGGAATGCCTTGTCCATTGTTGGCATATGGCTGATTCGGTCGAGACATGGCTGGCAGTGTTGGGCTATTGGTCCACCCGGTTGGTGTCACGCTGCCACGAGCTCGATTGATTTCTAGCTGACCTCTCTGTTGTTGAGCCTGCAAAAATGCCGTCCGGGCCTTGATTAGGGCGTTTTCAATGTCCCGAGTGATATGAGGTGGAAAGACCGGGCGTTTGTCTAACGAGCCAGGAACGGGCTCCTTCCATGTCTTAAGCATTTCATCCAGCTTCCGTCGAGTCTGGGCGTCGACTAGAGTGTACGCATTTATAAAAGTCTGGTACATCTTTCGTCCCAGGAAGAGGGTGTATGGGGTGCCCACGTTCTTCACAATGGAATCAACTACATAGAGGGCGGGCAATTTCTGTGGAGGGGGAGTCTACTGAACAGTCAGAAGATCCAAGCTACGTCACGAAACCAGGAATGATACCTACAGCTCGAATATGATCCTCCAACACTTTCGAAATCGCCTCGGCATGCTCGGTGTTCTCTTTGGCGATCACTGTCAAATTGCTAATTTGGAATCTGTCGTTGTTGGTGAGGTCCTCCAAAGAGCTTTTGTAGTCTTCTGCGACTTCGTCTGAAACAGGGTTGGACATAATGGTGATGTGCTATGCGGTATATTGCGACGGCGGCGTTGGTGGTGGTTGGAAGGAGATAAGAGATAGTAGTAAATGCTGGAGAAGGATTAGTTTGGTACCACACAGCACACGCGTAGTCAAGTCTCTTTATATGTGACCCTTCACTGGTCCTGCGTCGAATCAGGGTTGGATATTCCCTTGTCTTCTGTTTTTTCCCCTTCTTGAGTTTCTCTCTTGGTTTTTCTTGTTTCTTTCTTTTCTTGTTGGTTTGTTAGACCGGAATTGAAGCCAAGATCACTATCAACAGGTTTTTCCTTAAGCCAGAGGGGTCCATGCAATGAAATCGCCCTTTGGGACAAGATGGAGAGAAAAGTCGAAACTTGTAAAATGCTTGCTAGCTATCTTGCACGAAGACTCGAGACAATAGGTACTCTAATCCACCCTCTTTTCCAACGGCTATGATTCTTCTTTTTCCAAACCAAAATCAATCGGGAGATGGGAGATGTAACGCCGATAGGGGAAGTTACGGGTTAAGATGAGGCCGTACGAGTAACCGAAACCCGGAAAACCAACACAGTCCACCAAAGAATTAAATTAAAGCAATGGAACGAAAGAAATGGGTTTGGAAATGCAACGCTGAAGAGAAAAGATGAGAAAAACCGAAGATGGAGGGAAGAGTTGAGAGGGCAGTTGAAGGGTCGTGAAGGAGAGATTAAGAGAGAGAGAGAGAGAGAGTCAAAAGGGAGAAAGTTGGAGTTTCCCAACACGGAAGTGCCCGGGTCAGGTGACTTATGACGCAGTCCCGCCTTCTACAATACTCTCTCCTCTTGTACATTCATTATTCCATCTTCTGGACTTTACTCTTTTACTCTTTACATCTCGCGTGGTCTTTTTCAAACTCACACTCTCGTCTTCATATCAGATCCTGATCTCACATCTATTTACCATCATGAAGTTTCATTTCGCGGCTATTCTGGCCCTTCTACCTTTGGCACTGGCCGCCAAGTCCCTCAAATCCGTCATTGTCACATTTCCCAAGGGAACGCCTTCTGGGGTGGTCCAACAGGCCAAAGATTCCCTAGTAGCAGCAGTGAGTAATCCATCTCAATGGTTATCATATCGATAAACAACTGACAGAGTTGGTGTTGGTAGGGCGGTGTTATCACACATGAGTATAGTAGGTTCCCCACATTATATTTATGACTATGGATACCCTAACAAGATTCCCTTTGACCACCGCTAACCATATTTGTGATTTAGATCTTATCAAGTACGGCTGACTTCAATTCCCTTCACTTCTATTCTTTGCTAACAGATGCTTTTTTTCAGTGGGTTTGCGGCAGAAGCTCCAGTGAATGCCCTTCAGACCCTCTCTACGGCATCCACCCAGTACAAACCGGAAATCGAAGAGGACAAGGTGGTTACTATAAATGGAGAATTTGAGGGCTCTAAACATTCCTTTTAAAGGGACCTGACCTTCTCATCCCATGATATTTAACCCATGCAGGTGGTTGTACGTTATGGTCCATCAGGCTGCGGAGCGGCTGAACAAGGGACTCGGGTCGGGCAGGGAGTTACTGTGGAGTTGGATTAATTTACAATGAGATTTTATTTTTTGGAGTAAAACATTTTACTATATTATACATTTTGTAGGTTTAGAGACCAATCGTAATCAAGCGTAACAGACTCCATAAATTTCCCCGGGTCTTTGCAAACTACATGTACCATGGTGCTGAGGCCAACCCCCGTCAGGACGATCATCCCCCCCGCTAGTGACTCGGCGTTCGACTTTGGCCCCGAACGCGCTCGCGTGGATCCGCAACACTTCCCCCCAACTCTTTTGCCCGGGGGAATGTAAATGCTGCACACTGCATTCATTCCTTTCGCCTTTTAGCCAATTTTGAGTTCTCCCATTCCGTCATGTCTGCGGAACACAACGTGACCAAGGTTCTGCTGGAATGGATCAACAGCTTTTCCCTGGGCAAAACACTACGGGCCACAGATGAACTGACAGATGGGATCATCCTTTGGGAAATCCTCCAGGACATCGATCCGCAATACTTCCTCGACGAAATCCCCGAGCGCAATCCTGACAATCATTGGGTGGCCAAATGGCAGAATTTGAAACACATTCATAAACTCCTGTTGAGCTATATTCGACACCAAAACGACGAAACGTTACCGTCAGGCCTCGACCCCTCCCCAGATCTCGAAGCCGTCGCGGAGAAAGCATCTTCCAAAGAGACGAATAAACTGGTGAAGCTGCTCCTGATCGCCGCGATCAGCTCCCCCAATGCGGAGACCTACGTTCAAACCCTCCAAGGGTTGTCAACATCGACTCAGGAGGGGTTGAAGGATATAATTGAGGAGGCACACAATGGTCAACATGAGCCCTTGGATGCAGCTGATGAGCTTCGGGAGGATCTGGCAAAGAATCCTCCAGTTGACTTAGAGCTGCAATTCGAGGAACGTGTTGGCAAGGTGCTTGCGGAGAACGATCGCCTTTCGCACGAGAAAAAGGAGTTGGAGAAGGCGTTGGAGGACCTGCACAATCGCCTGGCGCGCTTGCAAGAGAACAACGATACACTTCAAAATCGATTGGCCTCTACCGAGGATCGTTTAGTCACCCTTAAGTCCGGCAAGGGTGATCTGGGTTTCAATGCCAAAGCTTTGGAGAGCAAGACCCGTCAACAAGATGATCTCATCGCATCCCAGGAGGCCAAATTATCAGCTGCCCAGGATGAGGTGGACAGTCTTCGTATGACCGTAGAATCGTTGAAGGTCAAGAATCAACGCTACCAGAAGTTGCAAGATGACTACGATGAGCTCCGCACGGACAGAGACCAGCTCGCGCGCAAGGCTAACGCGGCAGAGAAGTATCGCCAGAAACTCCAGGCCAGTCAGGATTTTGAGAAAGAGAACCAAACTCTCAAGAATCAGATCACAGATCTTCAGCAGCAGTTGAAGGAGACCGATTCGCAGCAACGGTGGACCTCGGAGCGTGACGTGGAACTCGAAGAGTATCGCAAACTTCTTCCTCGCATTGAGCAGGAGTGTAGTGAGATCCAGAACCTCAAAAAGCAGCTTGAATTCAACAACCACGCGCTTACTGAACGACTTCAGGGTTCTGATGAACAGCACGAAAGAGACGATGCCTTGATCAGTGAACTTCGTGAACGTCTGCGCGAATTGGAAGGTCTACCAGGCAGTCCTTCGCCGGGCTCGGAGACACCTAAAATGCAAGGAACTTTGTCCAAGGATTTCGAGTCAATGAGCATGAAAGATTCTCAGCTGTAAGTGCATCATAATATACAATCAAATGTGCCGGGGCTAACGTGTCTATAGTAAATCCGAACCCGATGAGTCGAAACGAGAGGGAGATTCATTCAAGGTCCCATCAGCGGTATGTTCTTTTATGACAACTACGAGACCGCGCTTTTCAACTGACAGGTACCAGCCGGGTTCGCACACAGAAGGCTTCTCTGAGAATTTCACTGCATCCGTGCAAATCGCCCGCTCTAACTCTACACAGAGGCAGGTGGATCAAAAATCACTGCCTGCATATCAATCGCTAACTCCGTCTCTAGCGATGAATATTGGAAATTATACGAGACTTATACCAGCACATTAAAGAGGCTTGCGGAAATTCAGGATAGTCTGGAAAGTACGAAGAAGGACCTGTCCGAAGCACAAACGCAGAGTATGTTGTCATTAATTAAACCGTCAATTTGAATACACTGCTAATTTTGGCCAAGTCGGTCTTGTCGACATGGAGAAGACCGAGATGTTCCGCGAGCTTGAAGAGCAAAACTCTGTCGAGTTATCTAAGCTCCGCGAAGATTGGGGAAATCTCACTAAGAATATCCACCACATCGAGGCTGAGTTGGATGCAAGCCAAACCTTAGTTCGTGAGGTTTGCTCTGAACGAGAAGAGCTGCGCAAGATGCTTGACAACAAACAGAACGAAATTAGCGTCGAGGACCAGGAGGTCATGAATGAGATGCAGATGCTTCTAGGTGAATTCGAGATGCACAGCAGTGAGGGTGGCGAAGTATCCCAGAAGTCTAGCTTCGAGCTGCTTAAACAGTGCGCTGGGGTATTGGAGAAGAATGTTGAGCGTCTGGCTCAGCGTGCAGAGGTTAGTTTGCATTCCCGAGTTTTATATTGAAATTCCCCCATGCTAATTGAAAATTCGTCGACAGTATATCCAACAACAGAATGAACTTATTAAGTCTCTCCGGGAGAGCTTGAAGAATTATGAGGAGAACTTGGATGACGGCATTCCTAAGGAGCGAGAAGTAAGTTCTAAACACCAATTCATGACTCGGGCGGATTTCTAACAACATATTACTGCAGGTTGAACTTCAGAAAATTATTGATGGTCAAGCTCGAGAACTCACTCTTGTGAGCTCCGCCTGGTACCATCTTCAAAGCCGATGGCAAAATAACAACATGACCGTGTCGCGCTATCGACAAGGCCCGAGTATGACAGATCCACGAGGCTGGCTGGCCAAGCAACGAAGTGCAGTTGCTGGTTAATAGGCTTCATGGGATCTCTGTTGCTAAGGTCATTTCTTTCCTCTTCCTTGTGTTTGTAAAGGTTTGAGATTTTTCGTTTATATCCCACTAGATCATCCGTTTATACCTTCGGTGATATTTTATGCTACTGTAGCATATAGATTGCATTTTACTTTTTGCTTTTCTTTTTGAAATGTTTATATCGCATGGCTATTTCTCTTCTATGTTGCTAGCCATCGCCAGAGGTGCTCTGCCCATTGTTGGATCCTGTACAAATACAAACAATGCATCTGGATTCAGAGTTGAATTAGTCTATGCGGACTTGTGAAATTTAGACAACAATTTAACATTGAGAAACCACATTCCCAGGTTCCAGTATATGTGTAAGTATAATGCTGCTCAAGTAATGTACAATAATAAAAACAGCCATATCTATTATGGCGAACAGATAGTGGTACATCAAATAATTATGACAAAGTTTTGTATTCAGAAGGCAGGGTCTTCCAAACAAGAAGAAGTGGCTCACCCATTAAGCCCACTGTCGTGGGTGCTTCAGCACATCCATGATCTCTTTTTCGCTGGTTTTGTCTTCCGTGAGCTCATCCTCGTCAACGGACATGTTATCTGTCCTTGTACCCGAGACAGGGTCCATATAGGCCCAGCTAGCTGTACGCGGGAGACTCATGAGAATACTCTCAATGCGTGCATTGGGGGTCCGCAGACCGAAGCTAGTGCCACGGTCATAGACGAGGTTGAATTCAACATAGCGGCCACGGCGCAGCTGTTGCCATTCCTTTTGGGATGGAGTGTACGACATATCCTTTCTTCGCTCGATGATAGGCACGTAAGAAGGTAGGAAAGAAGCCAAGCCATCAGAGACAAAGGAAAACAAAGTCTCTTGCGGGTTGGAGGACGAACTAGTAGATGACTGGAGGAAATGTGCGTCTAGGTCATCGAAGAAAATGCCACCAACTCCACGGCATTCACCACGGTGGGGGATATAGAAGTATTTATCACACCAGGCCTTGAATTTGGGATAGTAGGTCGCGTCATGACGATCACAAGTATCCTTGATGGTCTTGTGGAAGTGCTGGGCATCCTCGGAGAAGAGGTAGGTAGGAGTTAAATCCGTACCGCCGCCAAACCACCAGTTTTTGTCACCGTTGATAGGATCCTTGGGGTCCGAAGTCTCGAAGTACCGATAGTTCAGGTGCACAGTAGGAGCCATGGGGTTGTGCGGGTGCAAGACAAGTGAAAGACCAGCTGCGAAGAAACTGAGCGATTCGACATCAGAGCCGACGAATGACTTATGATCGGCGCGCATCTTCTCAATGGCAGGTCGTGGTAACTCGCCGTAGACGACGGAGACATTCACGCCAGCCTTCTCGAAGACATTGCCATCCTGCAGTACGCATGAAATGCCACCACCGCCATTAGGCCGGCTCCAGGTATCCTGCTTGAATTCTGTGCCATCTATTCTGCCCAGCTCCTCGATGATCTTCTGTTGTTGGTCCTTGATGAGTTTTTCCATTCGCAACCGCATGGGGGAAGATTCCGTGATGGCGGATGATCGCTTCAGGGCCTCATCCAGTTCGACAATGGAAGGGGAATCGAGTTCGGTAACTTCGCCAGTTGCCTAATTATGGAATCAACAAATGTTTAACACGCAATTGCGTGAATGCTTTTGATTAATTCATACCATGGAGTATATGATTGCGCTAATGAACGGCACGCCAATCGCGAGCCGTAGGTAAGGACGCCAGACAGTGAATTCTTGTTTTTTCTTAGGGTTTTGTCCTGTGGTATACTCACGGGATGACCGAGCACTTTGACCAGTGGAGCGAAGTTGGCGAGCTGCGAATTGAGCCCAAGTTCGCCGCAGAGGCATGAGTGATCGCGATGCCATTTTTCGCAATGTAGATGAATTGCGCGTTCGGAATTGGGGAATGGGCAACTTTCGGGGGTTAAGCGCGGTTATATCCAATTGTACCGATTAAACCCTTCTATTCATGTGTGCAAAACAATTGATCGGCCAGAGGTCCTTGGGGCATTCAAGAAACGCAGGTGGCATGTCATGTCTTCCTGGGCATCAGACCACAGTTTGTTGCATTTGCTCGGATGAGATAAGCGATAAGATAGGGCCCATGTGATTGGCTGGGGATTCCGGAACCGACCGAGTACTTCTGGCCCACTTCATGCTGCCTCCAGGGCTGGGTCATTACATAGTTTGGGTAGTTAACATAATTATCTCGAGTTGGAAGAACAAGGAGTTGGTTTTCAAAGACAAAGAACCGTTTTTATGATGTAGGGTTTTGGATCTTTACAGATGGCCACAAACAGCAAGAAAGAGAAAATGCCAGTGAGTACTATCTATGTCTCTCAAGGTTGCAATGGAGTCTTTTCTTCGGCGAAGAGAAATAGAACAAAGATCGGACTGGGAAGCATCGGCCTTGTAATCCAAGGACAGGTATCAAGAGCAAAGAATTTGTAATTTTTTGTCAGTCAATATTAGTAGCATTTGTTACTTGGTAGTACTGAAGGAGTGATATACCTTGCAGAGTTACTTGAACGTACTGGAAACATGCTATAGATCATGATACACTAGCACATAGTGAATAACTAATTATACAGCAAGGATCTTGTTACGTTAAAAAAACGACCCGAGTCCTCTAACGTATATCGAACAAAACGGAAATTTTAACGTACAGTATAGCCTGGGCCGGATCACTTGGTGGATCATTGTAGGTGGGAACATTAAACCGCTCCCGGCGATGCAAGTGGGGGGGGGGGGAGGCTCTATCTTTTACATGTAGAGGGGAGACAAACCCAAAGCAGTATATATTCCTCTGTATAAGAAGCTTATAGGAGCTCTAGAGCTACACAAAATTTTACTGCAACCCCCCTGAGTAGTGGAATACCTTGTGGGCATATTATACTTCGAGTTCTACCTAGCTTATCGAATTATCAGTGCAGAACCCACACCTTCCGTAGATGTACCGAGGGTCTGACAATGGCGGTCTACACCATCTCCAGGTAATGTGAGACAAGGATAAATCATCATTAGATCTTCCGCACAAGGAAGAGCCTCCAGATATATTCAAATTATTACGAAATTGCTTCATATGTTAAGTAAAAGAATATAAAGATGAAATGACCTTGTCCCGTGACTGTACTGCGCGTGACTCACCGCCTCGTGATGATGCTCTTACTAACGTCAGCGGGGGTTTGCCAGCTGCCTTTTGTCATCACCCCTCTCCTTTTCCATTTCTCTCTTGGATTCCTCGACACCATTTTCATCACCGTCACATCTCACAACCCATAGTGCTACACAGCTACACTTACTCCTCTGCTGGACCTCGACTCTTTCCGTTCCACCCGCCCCGCTTTCTACTTATCAGCCTTATCAACACCATGCGTTCCAAGTTTAAGGACGAGCACCCCTTTGAGAAGCGCAAGGCGGAGGCCGAGCGTATTCGCCAGAAGTACACTGACCGAATCCCGGTAAGCCTTTCGTGGGTTACTGGATCAGCTAAAGCGCTCGATGCGCTGTGGCAACCAGCACCCTTATCTTCACCGCTTCTTCGGTAGCTAACGGATGTATCATAGGTTATCTGTGAGAAGGTCGAGAAGTCAGATATCGCTACCATCGACAAGAAGAAGTACCTTGTCCCAGCCGATCTCACAGTAGGCCAGTTCGTCTATGTCATTCGCAAGCGCATAAAGCTCTCTCCAGAGAAGGCGATCTTCATCTTTGTGGATGAGGTTCTGCCACCCACTGCTGCCTTGATGAGCAGTATTTATGAAGAGCACAAAGACGAAGATGGGTTTCTTTACATCACGTATGCATTTACCTCATTCGGTTATTCATTTAGCTCTCCTTTTCCTTCCACACTGTGCTTCATCCGGAGAGACGTTCTTTAAGAAATGTTACTAACGCTACGTGTCCACAGATACTCTGGTGAGAACACCTTCGGCGACTTTTGAAGTTTGACGCGATCGATTTTTGTATGCGACATCATGAGATTGAGATAATATCGTCTCTCTCTGCCACGAGGACCCGACGCTCGGGACTTATTTAAATGCCGCAAGCGAGTTGTATTTGCTCAACCTTGGGGTTTTGTTTTCTACTGGGGCGTTCTTTCGGTGTTGTTCTTTCTTATCTTTGCTCGGCAAATATGCCCTTTGCTGGCCTTTTCAAATAAATGAAATCAAATGAACCGATTAGTTTGATGCTCTGGCTCAAACATATCCAAAATATGCCTGGGACAGAAGTCCGAACTGCTTAAAAAGGGTAGTTATTGATTCCGCTCTAGGACCCAACTCTTCGTATATACTACATTAGAACAATACCTAGTATGGACCAACTGGTAGTTATGACATAACGCCTTGAGCTGGCACACCAAAATGGCAAAATCCTACAGAATGCTGGTAATAGGCACATGGCCAGGACAATAACGAAGAAGGCAATTGGAACTTGTAAACTTATTTGTATTGCTTCCAACAACTAAGCCTTAAGACTCCAAAGCTATGTAAAAATGACCAAGTGACTTTGAAAGTGGATTCGGCCATCAACTATGGAAATTTCATTGACCAGTTGACGGGGTGCTCTTATCAGGCCAAACGCGCTTGCGAAGTTCTCCGACTCCGGACCCCAATCAGGACTAGCGCCCGATCCGCATGCTCAGATAAAATTTACGAGAGGCACATGTTCCTGACGCATTTACACCGCTGCATACCTTTCCCATTCTCTCAAAATGTCTCCCGCTCTCGCTCAAGCCGGTGCTGGCGCCGCCTCCAACGATGTCAAGAAGGAATCTGCCGTTGCCCGCCTCCTTGGTTCCGGTACGAAGCTTCTCTCTCTCTGCGCACAGGGATCCGAATCGCTAATCCGTGTTTTGTAGGCTCTGCTGGTATCGCCGAGTTGGCCGTCTTCCACCCCGTACGCTCCAAATGCCCTAGAAGTCATTCGAATCAACAGCTAACAGACGATACAAGGTTGATACCACAGCGAAGCGATTGATGAGCAACCAGACCCGGGTAAGACGAAATGCCAATCACAACTTGTGGATGTCTTCAATCTCGAAATTGTTTACTGATGAACGTCGCTCAGATTACCAACGCGGAACAATTCAATAAGGTTGTCTTCAAGGAGTACGCCGATGCTGCTGTCGGTCGCAAGTTCACCTCGCTTTTCCCTGGTTTGGGCTACGCTGCGTGTTACAAGGTCAGTGGATTCCGGAAATACGAACAAAAACCCCTGGGTTTATTATACGGTGGTCTAACTATCTCTCTACAAAATAGGTTCTCCAGCGTATCTACAAGTACGGTGGCCAGCCATTTGCCCGTGACTACTTGGCTCAGCACTACGGCAACGAGTTCGACAACGCTTTCGGAAAGGGTAATGGAAAGGCTATTATGCACGCCACCGCTGGCAGGTGAGTAATTGTGATGGGATTCATTGGGTTCGGAATACCAGTTGCTAATCTTTTGTTTCTAGTTTGGTCGGTATCGGTGAGGTCGTCCTCCTTCCTTTGGACGTCCTGAAGATTAAGCGTCAGACAAACCCCGAGGCCTTCCGTGGCCGTGGTCTCTTCAAGATCATTTCTGATGAGGGTATGGGTCTCTACCGGGGTGCCGGCTGGACCGCTGCCCGTAATGCCCCTGGTTCTTTCGCTGTAAGTACCCCAACTGGGAATGCTTTTGAGTTGCGGGCCAGTTTTTACTAACATCTACATTAGCTCTTCGGTGGATCTGCTTTTGCCAAGGAATACATCTACGGTCTGACTGATTACAACAAGGCCAGCTGGGGCCAGAACTTCGTCGCCTCCGTCGTCGGTGCCAGTGCTTCCCTTGTTGTTTCCGCTCCTCTGGATGTCATCAAGACTCGTATCCAGAACCGCAACTTCGATAACCCCGAGTCTGGATTCCGAATTGTGTCTACAATGCTTAAGAACGAGGGTCCCACCAGTCTGTTCAAGGGATTGATCCCCAAGCTGCTGATGACAGGTCCCAAGTTGGTTTTCAGCTTCTGGTTGGCGCAAACTTTGATTCCTGCCTTTGGTCAGGTTGTATAGAGGTCAGATACATAGAGACTTTCTTTTTTAGCCCTGGCGTTCTCCGACAACTCCCCCCTTTTCGGCTCATTTTTGTTCTTCATTTCTGTTCTTCTTGGGCATTTTTTGGGCTTGCTCCGCCCTGGGAGGACTTGTGTATTTTTTCTCTCATATACATGGTTTATTTATCCGATAGGGTTACCGCGATAGTCAAAGAAGACGTAACAAAAAGCTCTTATGCCCATAATCATTGGCTAATATTTCCTCACGTCAAATCCCGCATTGCTCTGATTTCCAGTATCCATGGATAATGGAATTCCGATATTCCACCTCCCAGAATAGTCTACCGAGGTCTTCGGTTATAGAACCAGAGTCCCATGAATTAGAACATTATCTAAATGCGTGACTGAGTTCCATATCAAAGGAACCAGCAGTTAGTATGTGTAATGTACATAGTTGTCAGCGTCACGTGACTGTTATATCTCCGGGAGGACGGAAAAGCTTCCCCAATGCTTGATCTAGCTCCACCTCCAATACAAGAAACCAGACTACAATTTTAGGTTATCATGGCTGCCTATCTCATTTCTCGGTAAGGCAATCTTCAATATTCTCCGAACAGCCCATAGTCCGCTCTACCTGACTCCCAGTCTCCTCACTAACGACCATTTCTTGAACAACAGGGTAGCCGATCCTCTCTTCGCAATTACGATGGGCGTCGCTGCTTCCATGTCCCGAATTCGCCGCGATCAGCAAGAAAAGAACCCCGAGAAAGCATCTCAAATTGGGTACGGAACCGTGGTACAGCTTGGCCAGCAGCGACTCCAGCGATGGTGGAACGGGGACTTCAAAGATATTTGAAGCGCTGCGTTTATAATCCCTAGCTCTGCTTGGGTAAGGTCGACATGTCGCCCTCTACTAGACCCAGGCAGAGCCTGTGTACAGTGTCTTGGAGTTGGTGTTACGGTTTTTATCGGGTGCATGGGAATGGATGATGCTCTATGTAAATTGATATGGAAACTGGTGGGTTCACTTCAGATGCATCCACTTGCATTATTTATTTCAGTTGGAGCTAATAGTCTTCTATTCTAAGACGTTTCTTGGAAACTTTCTAATTTTAAGTCGTGTTGGCTATTTGAATACCTGGACGAGATAGTTGATTATTGGATATATTTCAAAGCTACATATCAATTCTATTATGTCCTCAGAAACCTGAATGTTATGGCTGCCCAAAAAGATCCAAGGAATGTTCTCACGATAGGATAAGTAGAAAATGGTACAAAACCTGGGTGGAAGAGCCAATTGGTCATGTCATTTGTCACTGGATCAATATGATTTAGGAACATTTGAAGCTGCAGGTATAGTGTGTTGATAAAGAGGCTTAGCAGACATCCGGCCCGCCATCCGCTTTCGGGGCCGGCTTGGCTGCCAGTTCTTCATACAAATGTACTGTGTACTAGTAGGTATCACTGTCGTAATACTTCATTGTTGTTGTCTCTCTATTCATATGGCTAATAATCTAAGTGCTTTAACAAGTGACGTTTGATTGCCTCGGTGAATAACAAAACATCAGCTCTGTCTATACAACGTACCTAGCATTGGGCAGCAACTGATAGAAAACCCTTTGGTTACAGCATCATGTCAACGGGTAGCATATATGTTTTACTATAAGGGGCAGAGAGATCAAGCGCAGGGCACATGCAATTGTGCAGCTAGGCCATGATACCAAGACTGAACTTTTGATAGTATCATTTTTTCTACGTTGGACTTAATTTACTCAATACAGCATATTACATGGAAGTATATCAGAGAAAATATCTGAATTAAAAGGAAATTTTAAATTCGCTAGGACTTTTCTTTTCCTAGTAAGATAACCTTGTATCTATGCAATCATGCGCAAATAAAAAGAGGAAAACTCGATATCCCATAATTTCGTAAAACAAGACGTGAAAGGAAAAGGTGAAGCCATGAAAACAGCGTCATAACGTGAGAAAAGCAAAAGGCGAGACGCTTAGTCAAGCTCCTCGGGCTTCTCCTCAACATCATCGGGCTGGCGGGCACCACCAGCACCGGGGGCGCCGGCAGCACCGCCGTAGGCAGCGGAGATGATGGGGTTGGCAACACCCTCAAGCTCCTTCTGCTGGGACTCGTACTCGTCCTTCTCAGCAGTCTGGTTGCTGTCGAGCCAGGTGATGGTCTCGGAGATCTTGTCCTCAACAGTCTTCTTGTCTTCCTCAGAGATCTGGAGCTTGCCCTCACCCAGAGTGTTCTTGAGGGAGTAGGCGTAAGACTCAAGACCGTTCTTGGCCTGGATACGGCCGGCCTCAAGCTCATCCTCGGCCTTGTACTTCTCGGCCTCAGCAAGCATGCGCTCAATCTCCTCCTTGGACAGACGGCCCTTGTCGTTGGTGATGGTGATCTGGTGGGACTTGCCGGTACCCTTCTCGACGGCAGAGACGTTCATGATTCCGTTGGCATCGAGATCGAAGGTGACCTCAATCTGGGGAACACCACGGGGAGCGGGGGGGATACCAGTAAGCTCGAACTTTCCGAGCAGGTTGTTGTCCTTGGTGCGAGCACGCTCACCCTCGAAGACCTGGATCAGGACACCGGGCTGGTTGTCGGAGTAGGTGGAGAAGGTCTCGGACTTCTTGGTGGGGATGGTAGTGTTACGCTTGATCAGAGCAGTCATGACACCACCGGCAGTCTCGATACCGAGGGACAGAGGAGCGACATCGAGCAGGAGGATCTCGTTAGTGGACTTGGAGGAAGTGTCACCAGACAGGATAGCGGCCTGGACGGCGGCACCGTAGGCAACAGCCTCATCGGGGTTGATAGACTTGTTGGGGTCCTTGTTGAAGAAGTCGGAGACGAGCTTCTGGATCTTGGGGATACGGGTGGAACCACCGACCAAGACGATCTCGTGGACGGTAGACTTGTCACACTTGGCGTCACGGAGGACACGCTCGACGGGCTCCATGGTGGAGCGGAAGAGGTCCTGGCAGAGCTCCTCGAAACGGGCACGGGTGATAGAAGTGTAGAAGTCGATACCCTCGAAGAGAGAGTCGATCTCGATAGAGGTCTGAGCAGCGGAAGAGAGGGTACGCTTAGCACGCTCGCAAGCAGTGCGGAGACGACGCAGGGCACGGGCGTTGGTGGTGAGATCCTTCTTGTGCTTACGCTTGAACTCGTTGACGAAGTGGTTGACCAGACGGTTGTCGAAGTCCTCACCACCCAAGTGAGTGTCACCAGCAGTGGACTTGACCTCGAAGATACCCTCCTCAATAGTCAGGAGAGAAACATCGAAGGTACCACCACCCAGATCGAAGATCAGGACGTTGCGCTCACCCTCAGTCTTCTTGTCAAGACCGTAGGCAATAGCGGCGGCGGTAGGCTCGTTGATAATACGGAGGACGTTAAGACCAGCAATGAGACCGGCGTCCTTGGTAGCCTGACGCTGAGAGTCGTTGAAGTAGGCAGGGACAGTGATAACAGCGTTGTTGACGGTACCACCGAGGTAAGCCTCAGCAGTCTCACGCATCTTAGTGAGGATCATGGAGGAGACCTCCTCAGGAGTGAACTGCTTGGCCTCACCCTTGAACTCAACCTCAATGACGGGCTTGGTAGCTTTCTCAATGATCTTGAATGGCCAGTGCTTCATATCAGCCTGGACCTCGGCGTCCTGAAATCTACGACCGATCAGACGCTTGGCGTCGAAGACGGTGTTGTGAGGGTTCATGGCGACTTGGTTCTTGGCGGCATCACCGATGAGACGCTCGGTGTCGGTGAAACCAACGAAGGAGGGAGTGGTGCGGTTACCCTGGTCGTTGGCGATGATCTCAATGCGGTCATCACGGAAGACACCCACACAGGAGTAGGTGGTACCCAGATCGATACCGACAGCGGGAGCCATTGTGAATGTGTGTGTGTGTAGTTGAGTCGTTAAAAAAGAAATTCGTGAGGTAATGTGTGTAAGACCCAAGTAGTGTACAGGTAAGAGGAAGAAAGGGTATTGAAGATGGAAGATGAAAAAAAAAAAGAGAAGAGAAGAGACTGTGGGTAGCGAAATCCTGCTATATAGTGAGCGGTGTATTGCTCAGAAGCTTCTAGCAGGGAGCTTCCATGGGCATCCACGGGTTTCCATCAGCTTCGATGCCCCAGCAACAGCGCCAATGCCCCCGTCATTGAAAGGTCTTGTTGGTTCCAGATGGGCCCAGTGGATTCAATCTTTGTTTCTACGAATTTACAAGGGATTTCTAGATGACTCTTTCAGCCGCCAGCTCATATTAACTGTATAGTGTTTATTGGCGTGTAGATTTTTTTTTCCTGATGCAGATGGCGGGGCAAAAAGTATGATGTAATCGTGGGATGCCCGGGTAACAGTATTGAAGGGGTACGTCACTGAATATTCCAGGGAGTTCTAGTGGGGTACTGTGGTATTGGTATGGTCACTGACTCGATAAGCGTCATCATGAATTCATTCATTCAAAACTCTCAGTGCTTAGTCACGTGCCAGTGATTCTATCGACACCTGAGGCAGACAGTCTCCCCAAGGCATAAAGGCATAAAGGCAGAAAGGCAGCCATGGTTGCTTCTAGAGCATTTCCTAATTGAGGGGGACTTCCCTTTCAAGAGGCACACTCTAACCCCGAGGTCCTAGATAAGCACATACTAGTACATACACCCTGGGAACCTTTGTACCAGAAAACCCTACTTTCTAAAGCTTCAACTTTCCTCACGAACAAGGATATTCCTTGCCAGATTCCTTCTTTGTACTTATCGGGTTATCCCTCCGACCACTGCTAAGATGGCCAAGGCATGACACCATAAACTATAGTTCTAGGAAGCCTTTATTCAAAACGTGGTACTACGGAGTAGTATCCATCAAAGGTAGTCTGTTCCTTTATTTTATTTTTATCTTCCTTCCTTTTTATAATAGAAAAGAAAGAAGAAAAGTAAAAAAAACCTCGGCCATCACCGGAGTTCAAGGCAAAAATCAAAAGACCCCCCCGGAGAAACTGTAGCTAAATCCTCGGTGAAATGAAGATTGGGTAAAAAGACCGGTCCACACGAGGGGGACCAAACCCGAATCAGCAGATTTTGATAACGCCATCCACGCTAAGATTGACTTGCTCCCAGGGCTAACTCTATTCAAGCTTCCGGGACGCATAGAATGCATGGAATGTAACTTGCTTGACAACGTCTGGACCCCCACCATATCGTGGTTGCGTTGATCTGCTCCCATGATTGGCTCAAATATCTACACTTAGCCCAAAGTCGCCGTCAGTTGATTTCGTGATTGCTGGCTTGGCACCGAAAGGTCACATTTTCTATTCGTAATGTGTCTATCTGAGTTGGAGTCTTACGGGTTATCCGGTTGAGACATTAAATAAATTGGGATTTCCCCCCGAGCAAAATGAATTGGAATTCTATTACTCCAGCCACTTTCTGGTATTCACAAAAAATACTCAAGAACCTCCCTTGAGAGGCTTCTTCAACTGTACCATCATGGCTCTCTTGGGTGTGTTCAAGCGGCGCAGAGATGTCCAAGAGGACGCGGTCACAGTAGTTGCGGCGGATAGTACCCAGGTTGAACCAGGATCCAAAGCTGAGGTGACTGACACCATTCTACCCGATGAAGAGAAAGTTCATATCCAAAGCGAGACTTTGGCAATTGAAAAGGAGGGTCTTGATGATCCGGAAATTGCTGCATTGCCCTTACAAGTACGCCAATTAATCAACTTGACCGATGACCCGACATTGCCTACCATCACCTTTCGATACTTCGTTCTTTCGGCCCTCTTCGTGATTCCCGGCGCTTTCTTATCCCAAATGAGTTACTTCCGTACCACCAGCGCGCCTTATTCCGTCTTCTTCGTCCAGATCGCCTGTCATTATGCTGGTCACTTTCTCGCTAGAACCCTTCCGGCATGGAATGTCGGAGCGCCAGGAACTCGCTTCTCCTTCAACTTGAACCCTGGCCCATGGAGCATCAAGGAACATGTGCTAGTTACCGTCACTGCAGCATCGGGAGCAACATATAACATGGGTTATACCCCAATTGTCTTAGCAGAGCTTTGGTACGGGACAAAGATTAATCCTGCTGTTGCCATCTTCTTCATGTGGGCTATTGTATGGACTGGATATGCATTCGCCGCTCTTGCTCGCAACATCCTTTTGCCTGATCCGGAGTATCTCTGGCCGAAAGCTCTAATGCAAACGACTTTATTCGAGACTTTTCGAAAGCAAGACGCCTCGTCACCTATCGCCAAACGACAAATGAAGGTCTTCTTCTTTGCATTCTTGGGGATGACCCTCTGGCAGTTCCTCCCAGAATACGTCTTCCCATTTTTCTCATCCTTGGCTTTTCTGTGCTGGGTTGCACCGCGAAATCCAGTGGCTAATTTCATTGGATCGGGTCTTGGGGGTATGGGATTTTTGAATCTGTCACTGGATTGGTCAAATATCAACTGGAACGGCTCTTCCATCATGCTTACTCCTTTCTGGACCCAAGTCATTCTATTCTTGGCTTTTGCTTTTAACTGTTGGGTTTTGATCCCCGCCGGGAAATGGGGCAAGCTGGGCTCATATAAACATGGCATGATGTCCAATAGTCTTATGTTGGCCAACGGGACAGAGTATCCGACACTGGACGTGTTGACTTCGGACTATCACTTGAACGAAACAGCTTATGAGCACTATGGACCTATGTACATGGGGCTACAAAATGTGTGGGCGACATTCTTCGACTACGCTAAATTGCCAGCTGCGATCACCTGGATTGCAACCTTCGGATACGTTCAAATTAAGAACAATCTTACCAAGATTTTCCGTGGTAATAAAGAATCTGAATCTTCGCAGGGTGGAATTCACCATCAGTATCATGACCGGCTCAATGTCATTCAGAGACAATACAAAGAGATCCCCTTGTGGTGGTACGGTCTTTTGTTTCTGGTTGCATTTATCATCCTCGTGGCCTGCATTGCGACTGGAAACCTTTTTATTCCTATCTGGACTCTTTTCGTGGCTTTAGCTAGTGCTGCTATCTTTGTCATTCCATTCGCATGGCTATATGCCATTTCCAACTATCAATTGGAGACTGGTTCATTCAACGAGCTGATGTACGGATACATGGTACACACTAAAGCCGGCTCCGGCCACCAGCATCCATGCGGTCCCTCAGTTTACGGCTCGATCGCCGGTGATGCTTGGTATCGGGCTCAGTACATGTTGCAAGACCAGAAGATTGGTTATTACATGCACATTCCACCACGCGAGATCTTCTTTTCCCAGATCTTCGGTACCCTCATGGGTGTCCCCATAAACTATGCCGTTATCCGCTGGGTTATGGATACGAAGGGCGACTATTTGACAGGCGCAAAGACGGACCCCCTGAACCAGTGGACTGGTCAGAGTTTACACACATCTAATACTATGGGTGTGCAATATGCAGTCCTTGGTCCCAAACGACTTTTTGCTGAAGCTGAGATGAAGCCCCTGCCGTGGTCTTTTCTCGTGGGTGCCGTCATTCCACCGATCCTCTTTGTGTTCCATCGCTTCTTCCCCAAATTGCGCATTGAGCTTTGGAATGTCAGTATCTTCTTCGGTGGCCTGGCGATGTTCTACGGAAATGTCAGTACCGGTTATACCTCAGCCATCATCGGCGGCTATGTTGTTATGTACTGGGCATATCGGCGTCACTTTGAAGTGTGGAAGCGGTACAACTATCTAGTTGCCGCTGCATTTGATGCTGGCTTCAACCTCAACATGCTGCTTATCTTCTTCTTCTTTGGAGCAGGCAAACAAGTGTCAATGCCAAACTGGTGGGGGAATAATGCGCAGTCGGTGGAAAGATGCTTCGCTTTGGAATAAACAAATAAACAGATCTTGTATATGTTTTGCTACTCGGGCTTCACGTCAGAGAGATTAAAATAATTACGAATGAACTTTCTATTCCACATATACGTTTCTTGTACAGAAAATGTAAAAAACAAGGAAGCATTTCACCTAGAAGTATTTACTTCCACCTAGTAGATGGCCCAGGGCACAGACTGTCACGGGGTCCCCACTCTGCAAAACTCAATAGCGAATCACATCACGGGATCGCGGCGTCCCTTACTGCTGCGGTTGTTTTGGTAGGAGAGCTATCTGACTTGCAGACCGTCTCTTTAAATTTCCCCCTCTTTCCTCCCTCCAATCCTCCCTTCCTACCATCCACACTTCCCATTTCATACAACCAACACATCTATCTGCCATGGGTGACCACGCTACTACCAATAACCCCACCACCGACCCCGCCTTCGAGAAGGGCAAGGGCAAGGCCACTGATCCTACCAATGAAATGAGCATGGATGAGGAAGATAGCTCATCTGAAAGCGAGCCCGAAGTTGTAAGTTCACTTCTGTGCAATACGTCACTTCTATTTCTCCTTCTCTCAATTGTGTACTAACTAGTGTCTCTTTAGGAACAAAACGGTACGCGCCGCTCTCAAGTCTGAACGTCATTGTGCCCTGTCTACACCCATACTTGGCCCAATGGCATTCTGCGACTTTCTCTCTATCGATTTCTGAGGCCCCTTATACTAAATTTCCAATTGCAGAGGAGGACGAAGACATGGACAACAACCTCGAGCCCATTGACCAAAGCAACATCATCCAGGGCGGCCGACGCACGCGCGGCAAGGTTATCGACTACGCCAATGTTGCTGAGCAGAATAAGGGCGAGATGGATGATGAGGACGAGGATGATGAGGAGTACGAGGGTGCTGGTGACGAGGACCACGAGATGCGCGGTTAAACGCCCAGCTTCCACGACACGACTCAGGCGATACGGAACTAGCTTTGAAGGATCAGGTTGGACCGGCGCTATTTACTGTCCAGGAGAGGCTTTCTCATCTTGTCATTTACCTGAGCCATGATCTCATCTTCCTCTTTGGGTCACGCTAGCCAGCGTTGACAACGATTCAATGAAAACTCATTTCTGATATGTACTCAACTTTTTCTTTTGCCTTGGAAAGATTCATAACATACATAGATCTTCAAAATGGCAGTGCATCCTTGATATTTAAAAATGCGTAACATGTATATGTGAAAACTTGTATTCAGCAAGGCGCGAGGGACTGAAGTATGTCTCAATTGTTGTGCCGATGATGTAACTGCTCCGATCGCAAAGAGCATACTACGAACACCCCCAAAACCGGACGCTATGACAACACGTATTCTCAACCCCATTGTTAGCATTGTCTTCAATACCATTACCTTTGTTGTATATTTTTCCTTTTCTGTTGTTAAGATCCTTGTAAATAAGACGCCTTATCACGTGCGGCCCCTGGCCGTAGTCTCGGAGTTACGCTTTGGCCACCTTGTGTTTTTGTCCGCCGCAAGCATCCAAAGTGCCTACACGCCTCGAATGCCATGAATCTGACAGTCACCTAGCATCGCACTATGCTTTTTGCTAATTATTGATTGATTATTTGATGGTTAATTGATTGGCGAACCACAGATTTACCGCCCGGGTCCCTCTGAACATATCTACACGAGCGTCATGGCTTCACGGTATAGTCCCGGTCCTCCACGCAAACACATCACAGAACTATCGAACCTCTATCGAAACTTTCAAGCTAATACTCATATATAGATTCCCACGCCAACGTGATCCCCGCGCTTCATCCTCCCTCTTCGACTCATACGGTGGTGGTGGCAACTCCCGCCCGGCGAGCAGATCACCCGCTCCAGCAGGCGGATACGGCTATGGAGGGTATCCCAGCTCAGGGGGGAATGGATATGGCAATGGAAACGCAGCTGGGCCTTCATTTCGAAGTGCGACCCCAGATAAAAAGTAAGCTATTCGGGAAAAAGCCGCTGAGTCCCTCAACATGATTCATGTCTAACCTTCGCTAAGGGGCCACTACTCCGATGCAGTCCTGTCATCACTGGAGTCACAAAACGATTCGGAGGTAGAAGGTATCACCGCCAAGGTGAAGATGCTCAAAGATGTAAGGAGGGTGTTCCATGCGTTCGCGGCGAAGAGAACGCAGCGCTGCATAACTATAAACACGGTCACTGACACGACCCTTTAGATAACTCTTGCCATTGGCGATGAAATCCGAGATACCACACATATGGACAATCTTGAGAGTTCGTTCGAAAACACCCGAGTCCGAATCCGAGGAAACATGAACCGCATGCTTCGCATGGCCGATAGTACTGGTATTGGCTGGAGGGTATGGCTCGGGTTTTTCTTCGCTGTTTTCCTCTTGTTCTTCTACGTCTGGATATTTTGATTGTCAGGATTATGAGACTTGGTCTTTTATACCCATTCGTGACCACCGTTTTTGATTTGACTTTTCGAAGCAATAGTGTCAAGCTCATATATTGTTTCCCTTTCTCTCCCCTGCTGCTTTGCTTGATCGCGGTAGAATTTACATACACGCAAACATACATCACTATTAGTATAGCATGGCTTTTCTGGCTAAGGCGTTTTATGGGCTTTTATTGTCAATTGAATATTCCGATTGTATCGATATGTTATATGCTTTATGGCTATGTGTCACTTTCTAAGGTTTACGCACAAGCACATGATTTATGCTTCTACACTTTGATCTATGGCAGTGATATGCTTTGCATAAAGGCCACCTGAAATGACCAGGGTCTTGAACTTCAGAATGTGGGAAGTAATAATATACATGATATCGAATGCCGTGAATGTTTGGATGCCTGAATCTAATATCTTAACCCTAACCCCATAATTTGATGCCCTTCGCAACGCCCATAGACACCATGCAAAAAACCTCATTTGAACGCAATAAGAGAGAGCCAAATCAATTAAGACTATCTCGTGGACCACCGACATGGCGAGGAAATCGCCGAGCAAATCCACTGCGCCGACTACCATGACTCGTGATTGAAGCACGCAGATCGTCCTCTTCATAAAGCATACTGCTCGAGTCAAGGGCATCACCACCCCCACTCCACCTATTGATAAACCGGCTTTGGGCTTCAGTCTCACGCGCTCGGCGCATCGGTGGCGTAGGAAGCATTCCACCACGAGTATTTGGCGTGCTAGTTCTGAAATTCTCAGCGAAACGACTCCGAGTGATTTCGTCGTTCTCGTTCTCATCTTCCTCGTCGGATTCTTCCTCCGTATCCGTATGTTGCCATTCACCTTCCTGTTCAGATCCATCCTCCGCCGCGGCAGGGATATCATCATCCAAATCTCGAGACATATCCTCACTCATAGGTTCAACGGCCTCAGGAATATCCGCATCCAAATCAGGTTGGTTATCAAAGTCTTCGTCCTCGTCATACAAGCCGCTCTCCTCGTAGTCATCATCATCTGGAAATCCCTCGGGAATATCATCGTCCAAGTCCTGCTCCATAAATCCATCTTCATCCCCAACATCTTCGCCCTCAAGCCCTTCCTCCCCTTCTTCAATTAAACCCTCAACATCTGCGTCCGCATCTGCATCCACAACCGCATCAGGGATATCATCATCGAGATCCCGCTCCATCCCCTGCTCTTCCTCATCATCTTCACCCTGCGTCATCCCCATATCATCCTCCATCATGCCTTCTGCATTCATCTCCATAGCCGCCGCCGCAAGCGCCTCTTCACGCTCCGCCTCTTCCTCTTTCATGCCCAGCATGGTTTTTGGACATCCAGCCGGCTTAATCCAGGAGTATCCGAAAGATGCAATGTTTTGTTTCCGGGTGCGTAAGGCTCGCTCCTCTATCAATAAAGCGGCGAGGCCATTTGATGGGGATCGAGAGGGCATGAAAGCTCGGCTGTTGTTCTGGTTGCTGTGTCCATTGCGGCGGGGGTTTGTAGCGGGGTCTTGGTGGGATTGCTGTGAGTCGACGGAGCGATATGGTTGTGATGAACCGAACCAGAGTTCATGTGACTATTATATTCGCAGGTGTTAGATCTGAGCTGCCCTTCGTTTAGAGATGGAAGGAAAACGAGGTGATCTCGATACTTACGTCGCGTGGGGTGAGGAATGGGAGAGACAGCATAATTGTTAAAGGGATGCAGGATTATATCTTTAGCTTCGTTCAGAAAAGCCACGGTCTTCGGTGGAAGGTGTAGATGTAGAGCTTTGAGATCTTGTGAAGTCCTGGGGTCGTGGCCTGCAACCTTCAGCCTTGCTAGCGCCGAGCGTCTGCTGTAGTTATCGGGGTCGAGAATGAGACGCTATGGGATCGGTGGGCCGGCCTTTAGATCTATAATTTGATTGCTGCGCCAATTCAACAAAGAAAGCCAAAGTGGGATGCGCGTGCTTGGTCTTGAACCAGGTTGAGGGAGCTAGGGCGGGTGGAAAAGTCCGCGGAGGCTCCACCCACCAACCATAACATTGGCAATTGCGGGGAGCTCATGCATGTCGCTATGGAGATGTTTTTATAGATGAATTGAATTGACCGTGTAGTCAATTCTTTGCTTTTTATTTTTTGTCAATGAATCCCGTAGCTACTTATATTCCTGCGCTCAATTGTTTTCGGGCAAGATAAATACCTGCTCATAGTATGTACTATTGACTATTATTTGTTCATCCGAGTCTTTGCTAGTATTGAAGCCGCTCCGCATAATGAGAAATACCTATACTCCAACGACTACTGTGGTGACCACATCATAAACCCTCCTAACATAAGCCCAGCATGTGGAAGGACCATTGAAAATGGCCCTCGTAATTGGAACCCTAAATTTTGATAAAGCTTCTCCCCATCCTCACTTGCTTCCAAATCAACAACCACCCCTTCATCTTGCGCCCTTCGCAAAACCTCATCCATCAATCGACGCCCTAATCCCAGGCGCTGATAGAAAGACGACACAACCACACTTTGCGTATGCCACCGATTCATACTTTTCATCTCAGGAGACCCCCAATAAAGGTGCGTATCATGATGAACAGATTTCATAAATGCACCCATAGCAGCAGGGTCGATCGACCGATCGGGCCAGAAGAAATTCACTACAGAAGTATGAATCTTGAACCACCACCTTCTTAGGGTAAGCCAGACAGAGCTCTGAGTGGCAACTAGTTGCACGGCAGCTTGATCGTGCCCGAGCCGTATGAATTGTGCATAGGCTACTGGTTTGGATGGGTTGAGAGCATCTGCGGCTACGAATCCGATATTCCTGGGATCAAGGGAGCGGCCTTGGATCATCTGGGTGAAGCGACGGGTGACGTGGTCGGGGTATTTATGACGATGTGGACATAGAAATGAATTGAGCTCTGAATCAAAGTATTCTGTTGCTGCTATATGGGCCACGATTGGAATGTCTGAGCTTTGTAGATGGCGGATCAGAAATCCTTCCCCGGGCTTCTGTTGTGACAATGCCATTGGTTCGTTCTGGAGCGAAATATTGGGAAAGTATGTATGCTTTTATGCTGGTCTTATGTACGTAGAGCTGGAGGTCATAAATGCTGAGCTTGATGGATCTTTCGTGGGCTCATATAGGGAGTGAGATGTATACAGTGCAAAAGGGATTGTAGTTATCTTAAGATCTCCAACTCTAAAGGCAATGAGTCATGCTCTGATGTCGTATTCATTCAGATGTCATGGGGCACTTATTTAGCCAGTGACAGTGACTTTAAAAGCAGTTTTTATAGGGGGCTAGATAATCTGATCAAGTGAGATGCCAACCGGAATACTACTCATACCCTAACAGAAGCCATAGCATGCAATAGGAGTCTCAGAGCATTTCCGCAAGTGCCAAGTCAGAATCCCAGGACCACCCGCCACGCTCTGGCTAGTGTTTAACGTAAGGCTATTGCCAGGCCCAAGGCTGTAAGAACACATCCATAATCCGGTTCGTATTCAACTGAACAGTACCCAGTAGACCGTAGACAATTCCAAAGAGCCCCGAAATTCACCGAATCTCCTCCGTGACAGCTAAACTAGCAGCTAATACCCGGTGAACCCAAGTAGACAAAGGTTCCAGGCAGGTGAAGAACAGTGTCTCGGGAAAAGTCGGGTGCGGACGCGATGCGGCGGGTTCTTGCAGCAGGTTACCATCAGTTCGCATTTGATGGGCACGCACCCCAGTCTTATATTCACCTTGCGTTTCATTGGACTATGGAAGATAGTGCATAATCAGGTGATATCCACTACTAGTGGATCCCGCGGCGGAGTGGGTTTTGGTCAGAAACTAGTGGTATGGAGTGCTAGATGCGGGCATAGATACTCAATAACATGATGATTCAAATAAACAGATTTAGATGAATGAGTGTTTTTGGAAATGACGAAATATGGATAGGAATATGTAGGTTCTCGTGATATTTTACCAAATGTTGCTAAGTAGGTCAATACCTAGAAGCTCTGAGTCAAAACGGTCTCTTCCTAGTGCTGGTAGGACTCTTGTAGATGGTCGATTCCCGAAGACTATACACACAATGGGTGACACAGGAGCACTAGCGTGTGAAATCTACTGGTTTCGAATGCGTAGTTAGTGCATGGTCCTGTGTTACCCGAGGCAAGTGGTCCCTGGGAGATGTATGGCCTGATGAAACATTTCATGGTGTCTATGTTAAAGGGAGAAGAGACTAGAATTTTTCGTACGGATCGGCCGATAGGTATTGTGCTAGGAAATTCCTCTTGCAAAACGATTGTTTACAACCATATCCACATGTGCATACTCTTTAGAACGGGATGATGTATTATGTATTTTCATTATCAAGGTGAATCTTATCATACTATACATCCTCACCCGCTTCACGTGTCAGAGTCGGAGTATTGCCCTCCGGATGAATGCTTAAGTCCGAGGTTCTAATTTACGGGGTAAACGAAAGACTGGTCCCAACTCTCCCCAGAAAAGTTTCTATTTCAGACGCGAAAAGTGGAGGGAAAGGGGGGAATGAAGAGTGGCAAGAAGGGAAGAGACCGGGAGTTTATTTGATGTTTTCCCCTGGGAAGAGGAATGGAATCAGTGAGTGAAAAGCGGATTAATTTCCCCCATGCCGCGATAAGCAGTTTGAATGACCATCAACAATGAGCTGGGGAAAACTGATTTGAGGGAGGGGGTCCAGGAGTAGGGGGAAAGCGAATGAAGCGAGCCCGAAATCGGGGAGCGCACAAGCAATGATTTGAGGTGGAATCATTGGTCAGATCAAGTATTGAGAACATTTGAAGGGTACACCTGGGGGGGCAGTTAGGGAGGAGAGGAAGATTCCGGACAGCTTGGCCGTTGTCGGAATTGGGGGAAACATGTCCATACTGTATTGGTATGTATGGGGCGTATGGAGGGTATGGAGGGTATACTCCGCGGGTGCGTGGCCCCTGATCTGATGCACAGGTGCACGCAGAGAAGTGGGTCGAGGCTCGGAAACGGTGAGCTTCAGATCCCCTTCTAAATGGGAGATTCATGGGTTGGATCTGAGGGAGATTACCAATTTTCCAAAACATCTTGGCAGTCCGATCTAGCTGTGCCAAGTTCAATGATCCTTGCCTTGCTTTTTCTTCAAGGATCGCCCTTTTGACTGAGACGTACGCTGGCCGGCGAGCCATCCGTTGTCCACACATAGTAAGTACATAGCAGTGTAGGCATGGAATGGCCATTGGAGGGGGATAAGCATTGGATATACTGCCCCACTACCAGACATCGGCCACGGGGGACCATCAACACTTCTCCGTACACCCGTGCCCAAATGGCCCAGATGGACAAGTAGGGACAAGACGGTTTTCGTGCCTTGGGTGGTCTGTTTGCGGCTACAGGCCAATCAGACTGTCGGATTTCCCAGAAGGGGCCGTTCGGTGGCTCCACCACCCGAGCATGCGTCCGTACGAGATGCATGTGGATGCGGATGAGACTATGGAGAAGAGGAAGAATCTCTTACTTGGGGAGAGAGGGAGAGAGAGAGAGAGAGAGAGAGACCAGATCTCTGTATTGATACAATACGGTTATTTCAATGTACCGCTCCACCTTGGATCAATTAATCTTTGCCCAGGTGAAGGGAGTCAAAGTTGACGTAGCAAAAACCTAATCGTTTTGACCCAAAGGTTGCAATATCAGCCCGCTGATTGGCTGGTCTACGCTTATCTCGATGATTTGCACGCCGTAATCATAATGATTATCATTACTCGGCCCATCATTGCTGGAAGCTCTAACGTCGCTGGAATGTCCTGCTTCCGGCTATGAGGGGAACGAAACCATTTGAACGGGGTTTTTGGGAATTTGGTATTGGAGATTTCATTGATGCTTATAGGTAAATACATAAATGGATGAAATAAATTAAATTAAAATCCAAACCTCCAAATTTGGTTCCAAAAATTACAGCAAACCATCTCCCCCTCCAACTTGACCAAGAAAAGAACTTGAAGCCGGGGAACATTGGAAGTTAACCACCTCGAACTACCTGGGAAAAGACCGACCACTTAAAGTAACGTCTCCAAGTTGAAAGGCCCAGTTTTTTGCCACGAGCAGGGAAATCCAGGCAAAGTAATACCCCACAGGTATTTTATTTGGAGGGGGGAAAAAGGAGCCCTTCGGAGCTGCTCTCTCTCTACCTGCAAAGCCCCCTCGGAGCTATTGTCCTGCCTTAATCTTTTTTTTTTTAATTTTTAATTTTTATTAATTTTTATGGTTATTATTATTATTCCAACCCCTCCTTGATCTTTTTTCTCTCTCTGTTACTTCTCTCCCTCTCCTCATCTTGTGATTTTCCCTCTCCCCCTCGCAGACGGGATATCACATTGAATTGATTGATCTCACCTTCCCCGTGCTGCATCTGGTGACAAATCCTCTTATCGCCCTATCGAAACAACTTATCCCGCCCACGAGTGTCGGCGGAGATCTCCAGAGCCAGCATTTCCAACTTCATCTTGACTTGATTCATTCATTCGCTGCCCCCAAGGCGGAAGGATGGGTCTTAACTTGCAGGAAATATATGGCAATGATATAAGTGAAGCCGAAGCTCCTCATGAGTATTCGGAGTACCAGCCAAAGAAAGGTTATGGCTGGGCAAATACTCTGCCAGAGCGACAGGGTCTTTATGACCCCGAATATGAAAAGGATGCGTGTGGTGTTGGATTCGCAGCGTAAGTGGCACCCATTCAACTCATGAATTGGCCTAGATGGACGGCACAACTGACTCCAATTCCAAATCCAGCCACATCAAGGGCAAGCCGAGCCACAAGATTGTGAGCGATGGTAAGTCCTCCCCCCACCTTCCCTCAGTTTCCTGCAGACACAATGATCCCGAGAATACAGGCTGACGTACTTCCCGGACAGCCCGCAATCTATTGTGCAACATGACCCATCGTGGAGCGGTTGGCTCAGATGCGCGAGATGGTGACGGTGCTGGTGTGATGACCAGTATCCCACATAAGTTTTTTATTAAGAATTTTGCTCGTGAGGTGGGTGTAGACCTCCCACCACTAGGCCAGTATGCTGTCGGCAACTTGTTCTTCAAGCCCGATGAAGATACTCTTAAGCAATCCATCGCTAGCTTCGAGGAATTGGCCACCTCCCTCGGCCTACGAGTCCTGGGATGGCGCGAGGTGCCTCATGACTCCACAATTCTTGGACCGGCTGCATTATCAAGGGAGCCTACTATTATGCAACCCTTTGTTGTGCTGAAATCCGCCTATGGCGAGGGCAACAAGCCCGAGATTACTGACACTGAAAAGTTCGATGCGCGGACGTTTGAACTTCAACTCTATGTTCTACGGAAACGTGCCACCCACGTTATTGGGATGGGTAACTGGTTCTACCTGTGCTCTCTCAGTAACCGTAATATCGTTTACAAGGGTCAGCTATCCCCTGTGCAGGTGTATCAATACTACCATGATCTTGTCAATGTTGACTACGAGGGTCACTTTGCCCTGGTTCATTCGCGTTTCTCGACAAATACATTCCCTTCTTGGGACCGTGCGCAACCCTTGCGATGGGCTGCTCACAATGGTGAAATTAACACATTGCGCGGAAATAAGAACTGGATGCGTGCACGTGAAGGAGTGCTTCGATCGGAAGTCTTCGGCGATGAGTTAGACCAGTTGTACCCCATTGTTGAGGAAGGTGGATCCGACTCGGCTGCCTTCGATAATGTCCTGGAGTTGCTTATGATTAACGGTGTCTTGTCTCTGCCAGAGGCTGTCATGATTATGATTCCCGAGGCCTGGCAAGACAACCCAGCTATGGATCCGGCCAAGTCTGCTTTCTACGAATGGGCAGCTTGTCAGATGGAACCCTGGGACGGCCCCGCCTTGTTTACCTTCTCTGATGGTCGTTACTGTGGTGCTAACCTTGACCGTAATGGTCTGCGTCCATGTCGTTTCTATGTGATGGATGACGACCGCATTGTTTGTGCCTCAGAAGTCGGCGCTATCGATATTGACCCCGAGCGTGTGGTCCAAAAGGGTCGTCTACAGCCCGGAAAGATGCTTCTCGTCGATACGGTGGCTGGACGCATTATAGATGACTCTGAATTGAAGCAGACTGTTGCTCAACGTCAGGACTTTGCCAGCTGGCTGGACAAAGAGCTCCTGAAGTTGCCTGCTATAAAAAAGCTACTACTGGATCAGAATGTTGATCTTTCATTTGCTCTTGATGATAACACAGTGCAGAATGATCCCCGCCTTCGAGCATTTGGCTACTCATTCGAGCAAGTCAGTCTGCTCCTTGGCCCCATGGGTGCGGATTCTAAGGAAGCCCTTGGCTCTATGGGCAACGATGCTCCCTTGGCTTGCATTGCTCAACAACCTCGTCTTCTTTACGAGTATTTCCGCCAACTCTTCGCCCAGGTTACCAATCCTCCAATCGATCCCATCCGAGAAGCCGTGGTCATGTCTCTTGAGTGCTACGTTGGCCCGCAGGGTAACTTGCTAGAAATGGATCCATCCCAGTGCCACCGTTTGCTTCTACCATCTCCTATTCTGAGCATTCCCGAGTTCAACGCCTTGAAGAACATTACTCACGCCCATAGAGATTGGACTGTCCGTACAATCGACATCACTTTTGAAAAAATCAAGGGCACCGCCGGCTATCTTGAAACATTAGATGCAATTTGCGATGCTACAACGGAGGCTATTCAAAGTGGTGACAAAATTATTGTTCTTTCTGACCGCGCTACCAGCGCTGACCGTGTGCCTATTTCGGCATTGCTGGCCACCGGTCTGGTACACCACCACTTGGTCCGCAACAAGTGGCGCTCATTCGCTGCTCTAGTTGTTGAAACTGCCGAGGCTCGTGAAGTTCACCACCACTGTGTCCTCCTTGGATACGGTGCTGATGCTATTAACCCGTACCTTGCCATGGAGTGCATCCTTAAGATGAACCGCGAGAACCTGATTAGAAAGGATCTCCCTGACGAGAAGGTCATTGAAAACTACAAGGCCTCTTGTGATGGTGGTATTCTCAAGGTCATGAGTAAGATGGGTATCTCCACTCTTCAGTCCTACAAGGGTGCTCAGATCTTTGAGGCCCTCGGTATCGATGACAGCGTGATCGATCGTTGCTTTGCTGGTACCGCCAGTCGCATCCGTGGTATCACCTTTGACCTGATCGCCCAAGATGCCTTTGCTTTCCATGAGCGTGGGTACCCGTCTCGCGACATTGTTGAGATTCCCGGTCTCCCTGAGTCGGGTGAATACCACTGGCGTGACGGTGGCGAGGCTCATGTCAACGACCCAGTCAGCATCGCTAATATGCAAGATGCCGTTCGCAACAAGAACGATAAGTCTTACGAGGCTTATGCCAAGGCTGAACACGAGCAGATCAAGAATTGTACTCTACGTGGTATGCTCGAATTCGACTTTGAGCAGCGTGCACCAATTCCTATTGACCAGGTTGAGCCTTGGACCGAGATTGTACGCCGTTTCGTGACTGGTGCTATGTCTTACGGATCCATTTCCATGGAGTCCCACTCGACTATTGCTATTGCCATGAACCGCTTGGGTGGTAAGTCCAACACTGGTGAAGGTGGTGAAGATGCTGAGCGCAGTAACCGTATGGAGAATGGCGACACTATGCGTTCTGCCATTAAGCAGATTGCCTCTGGACGTTTTGGTGTGACTTCGAACTACCTGGCAGACGCCGATGAGCTGCAAATCAAGATGGCCCAGGGTGCCAAGCCCGGTGAGGGTGGTGAGCTGCCTGGTCATAAAGTCCTCGGTCCTATCGCTCGCACTCGTCACTCTACCCCGGGTGTCGGTCTGATCTCTCCTCCTCCGCACCACGACATCTACTCAATTGAGGATCTGAAGCAGCTCATTTACGATCTGAAGTGCTCTAACCCACGTGCTCGTGTCTCAGTCAAGCTTGTGTCTGAAGTTGGTGTTGGCATCGTTGCTTCCGGTGTCGCCAAGGCGAAGGCGGATCACATCTTGATTTCTGGTCATGACGGTGGTACCGGTGCCTCGCGCTGGACTGGTATCAAGTATGCTGGTCTTCCCTGGGAGTTGGGTCTTGCAGAGACCCACCAGACGCTTGTCCTAAACGATCTTCGTGGTCGTGTTGTGGTTCAGACTGACGGTCAGATTCGCACTGGTCGTGATCTTGCTATTGCCTGTCTCCTCGGTGCCGAAGAGTTTGGTTTCGCAACAACTCCATTGATTGCTATGGGTTGTATCATGATGAGAAAGTGCCACCTCAACACTTGCCCTGTTGGCATTGCTACCCAGGATCCTGAACTTCGCAAGAAGTTCAAGGGTACCCCGGAGAATGTTATCAACTTCTTCTTCTATGTCGCTAATGAGATGCGAGCTATCATGGCTAAGCTTGGTGTTCGTACTATCAACGAAATGGTTGGCCGGGCCGAGCTGCTCAAGGTTCGAGATGATATTCGCAACCAGAAGCAGGAACGTGTGGACCTATCGCTCATCCTCACCCCTGCACACTCGCTCCGCCCAGGTGTTGCTACCTACAACGTTCGGAAGCAGGACCATCGCCTTCACACTCGTCTTGATAACAAGTTGATTGCCGAATCCGAGCTTGCTCTGGAGAAGGGTCTTCCTTGTCGCATCGAGTGCGATGTCGTTAACACTGATCGTGCTATGGGTGCTACATTGTCATACCAGATTAGTCGACGCTACGGCGAGGAAGGGCTTCCTCAAGACACTATTCATGCCAACATCAAGGGCTCTGCTGGTCAATCATTCGGCGCCTTCCTCGCCCCTGGTGTCACTCTGGAGCTTGAAGGTGATGCCAATGACTATGTTGGCAAGGGTCTTTCTGGTGGTCGTCTCATTGTCTATCCTCCTCGAGGTGCTGCTTTCAGGGCCGAGGAGAACGTTATTGTGGGTAACACCTGTTTGTATGGTGCTACTCGTGGTACTGTCTACTTCCGCGGTGTTGCCGCCGAACGATTCGCTGTCCGCAACTCAGGTGCCACTGCTATTGTTGAGGGCGTTGGTGACCACGGTTGTGAGTACATGACTGGTGGCCGTGTCCTCATTTTAGGCTCTACTGGTCGTAACTTTGCTGCCGGTATGTCCGGTGGTATTGCTTATGTCCTAGACATGAAGCGGGACTTCCACTCTAAGGTCAACTTGGAAATGGTTGAAGTCTCTGGCATCGAGGACCCCTCGGAGATTGCATTCGTTCGCGGTTTGATTGAGGACCACCACCACTACACTGGATCCGAGCTTGCTGCTCGCATTCTTCTTGACTTTAACCGTGCCCTTCCCCATTTCATCAAGGTTTTGCCAACTGACTACAAACGTGTCATGGAAGAAGAGGCTGCCAAGGCAGAGGCTGCTAAGAAGGCCGAGTTCTCTCTTCCTCAGCTTCCCAGCACTTCCGTTGGAAGCGAGAAAGCCAAGGCTAAGACCGATGAGAAGAAGGCCGAGTTGTTGGACATTGAGGATAGCATTAGTGACTCCAAGACCGAGAAGAAGCGCTCTGCGCTGATCTTGGATAAGACCCGCGGTTTCATGAAGTATAGCCGTCGCAGCGAGAAATACCGCAACCCGACCACTCGTACTCGTGATTGGGGTGAGATATCCAACCGTCTCAGTGAGGACGAGCTCAAATACCAGTCGGCTCGTTGTATGGACTGCGGTGTTCCCTTCTGTCAATCTGACACCGGTTGTCCCATTTCCAACATTATTCCCAAGTGGAACGAATTGGTCTTTCAGAATCAATGGCAAGATGCGCTTAACCGCTTGCTCATGACCAACAACTTCCCTGAGTTCACTGGTCGTGTATGCCCTGCGCCTTGCGAGGGCGCCTGTGTTTTGGGAATCAACGAGGACCCTGTTGGCATCAAGTCCATCGAGTGTGCCATCATTGACCGTGGTTTCGAGATGGGCTGGATGATTCCTTGTCCTCCTCAGACCCGCACTGGCAAAACTATTTCCATCATTGGATCTGGCCCTGCCGGTCTTGCCGCCGCTGACCAGCTGAACCGCGCCGGTCACTCTGTTACCGTCTATGAGCGTGCTGACCGCTTTGGTGGTCTTCTCATGTACGGTATTCCAAACATGAAGCTTGACAAGAAGGTTGTCCAGCGCCGCGTGGATCTGATGGCCGCAGAGGGCGTCAAGTTCGTGGCTGGTACAGCCGTTGGGCCTGACAGTGATGTGACACTACAGTCTCTACGTGCCACCAGTGATTCTGTTATCATTGCCACTGGTGCTACTGTTGCTCGTGATCTAAAGGTTCCCGGACGTGAGCTCGATGGTGTCCACTATGCTATGCAATTCCTCCACAAGAACACCAAGTCTCTCCTCGACTCCGATCTTTCTGATGGCGAGTACATTTCTGCCAAAGACAAGCACGTCGTCGTCATTGGCGGTGGTGACACTGGTAACGACTGCATTGGTACCTCTGTTCGTCATGGTGCTAAGTCGGTCACCAACTTTGAGCTGTTGCCCCAGCCTCCTCCGGAGCGTGCCAACGACAACCCATGGCCTCAGTGGCCCCGTATCTACCGTGTCGATTACGGACACTCAGAGGTCAAGACTCACATGGGCAAGGATCCTCGTGAGTACTGTGTCATGTCTACTGAATTTGTGGACGATGGCAGTGGTCGCGTCCGTGGTATCAACACCGTTCGTGTTGAATGGACCAAGAGTGCTACTGGCGGCTGGGATATGAAGACTGTGGAAGGCAGCGAGCAATTCTTCCCCGCTGACCTTGTTCTCCTGTCCATGGGCTTCTTGGGTCCCGAGGACCGCCTCCTTGGTGATGAGATTTCTCGTGACCCTCGCAAGAACGTCAAGACACCCCCTGGTCACTACTCGACCAACATCCCTGGTGTCTACGCCGCCGGTGATTGTCGCCGTGGACAATCTTTGATCGTCTGGTAAGCTTATCTTGATAAAATGTTCTCATAATTTTGCCCTCGCTAACATGATTATTTTAGGGGTATTAATGAAGGTCGCCAATGTGCTAGAGAAGTTGATGCTTTCCTGAGTGGTGTCAGCTCACACCTCCCTGTCACCGGTGGCATTGTCCGCCGACCAGCTATCGACTCTGTCCCTCAGCCCGCTGAGACACAAGTCGTTGCTTAAACGAATTTCTTATATGCCTGAGGTCTGTTTACGAGTATGACGGATGACTATGAGTATGATATCCGGCCTGGTGACAAAAGGGTGGTCAAAACTGGAGTTTTACTGTACTGTTCGAATGGAGATTCTTTTTGATTATTGATGCGATGTTTTCCTTGTTTTGGTTTTTGTCTCATTTTAATTTCGGCCATTTTAACTGCGCTGGTGGTTTCTTTTTTCTTTTTTCTCCCAGCAGCGTTCCTCTATGCAAGGTGTTTAGAGCGTCTGCCATGCGGTGGTTTTTTTTCTGTTGTACATAGTCCTGCGTTTTCATGTTTGAATTTTTATCAAGCATAATGATTACGTTCCTCATTCAATCTTACTCTTCCTGAGAGTAGTTATCCCGATCCTCTAATACTCACTGAGAAAGGCACTTGCATTGTTTACACCGTAAAGCCAGAAACTCTCCGGCAAGCTTGACAATGTCAAATTTCCTCTATTAAAACCGGGAACAAGAACTTGAACATAATATACCCGTTAGAGTAGAGAATTGCAGGAAATTAAACATCCCTGACATCGTAAATTATAATACAAAATTTGCGCCCAAACAAAGTGATGTATATCTACATATCATAATACAAAGACAAGACCAAAAATAATACACAGAGCCCACTGGCACCAACTTGACCGGATATCTCAAACACCCCCCTTCTGCTTCTCCGTCTGCTGCGCCTCCTCAGCAACCTTCATCTCTTTCTCAAGAGCCGCAAAATCACCCTTAAAAGCATCCGAAGCAGGATCAAGCCTTACATCCCAAACATCCTCGCTACTAGGCCCAGTCTTATATTTAATAGCCTTCTTCTTGTTATGATCACGAATAGTTTTCCTCCGCAGCTCATCCGACCATCCTCTCGTCTTCATGCATAACCAGAAATTATCCCAGTGGTCGCTGCAAGACCTCAATTCTCCATAACGATAGACATTGACGAATTGTCCTCCGAACGATTGACAGAAAAATGCGTAATCAAAGGCTGTGCGGCAGGACATGGTGTCTGCGTAGAGAGATTCGGGAGCAATGGATGAAGTTGGGTGTTCGGCGGTGCCATTTAATGACGACGTAGATGATTGTGTGGTATTATTTAATTCTCCATCTGCTCTTCGGAGGTCGGCGAGAAGCTGATTGAATTCTAGGTCGGCTTGTTCGTCTGGTGTCAACTTTTTAGGTGGTGCATTTTGCGGAGTGGTTGATTCTGGTAAAGTTGGAGTGTTGTTGGAGCTGGAGCTGGGTTTGTCTCCGGAAGTACTGGAGTTCCATAACCAACCCATGATCTTTGGAGGGGAGACTAAGGGATCTGTAGCCTGCTGTGGTATTTGTGTTGGAATTGAAGTAGCACAACGCGGTGCTAATCCGCCTGGCAGATCTCGGGAGTGATATTCGATATGGTCACGTGTTGAACAGGCACCCGATAACTAAGGATAAGGCGATAAGATTGACCGACGTCATCAGTGATCTGAGTTCTTGATCACCGAAACTTAAGAAGCTTCTTGTCCCCTGTATGGATGAACACACTTCCTATTTCATAGGCCAACAGCTATTATGGGCTCTGTTCTCCGATCAAAGGGAAATCTGGCTCCATGGACCCCAAGAAGGCTCTCTCATAGCCAAATCCATTGTCGTCGAGCTTGGAGACCAGCTCCACTATGCTCTCCCATTAACGCGAGGTTTACATCCTCGATCCAGTCCGGACATATCAAACTGGAGGCGAATGAGGGGATCGTCTACATAAATAGTAAGTATTTGAGCTGAAAGGACTATAGGCATTGAAAAATGGCTGACTAGATCCAGATATCTTCCCCCACCGGCTTCAATGGCTGCTGCGGGGCCCTCTTAGCCATGTGCAACCTTTGGAGGGGCTATTAAAACAAATCAACAATCCCAGCTTCGCTGCAGCTGATCCAATCCGAATAGCCCAGCGAGCAGTGCCAAAAACCCTGGATATTGAAATCAAAGAAGTGGTCTCACGCTACAAGGAAGGCGGTGCCTTCGTCAAATACGCACGCAAGCCAGATACAACCGACGAAAGTATCAGCGATGCAATCAAGGAGCATCTTCTTGAAAACCCCATCAAGCCATGGTTTAATCCATTTCAAACGGTAGATGTAGATCGTGTCCGTGGCAGGCCCTGGATAGAAGATCTCTATCGCATTCCTAGCCAGAGTTTGAAAATTGAATTTCTCCCAGATTCAACCGAAGGCCCCCCAGTAGAACTCACACAAGAAGCTCTCTACACGCTCTTTCGCCCTTATGGAAAAATATTGGACATTCAACATCAGCCTTCTGAGTCCAAGGTTGAGCCGAGGTACGCTATCTTACGCTTTTCCCGGCCCCGATCCTCTGTCCTTGCTAGAAATTGCATGCACGGCTTTGCTGCATCTGAGGAGGATGGTGGAGGAAAATCCGGTACCAGATTCAAAATCAACTATGAGCGTAAAATCCGATTCTCCATGATCAAGGACTGGATTCTGAGCCATCCAAGGATTGTGATTCCTGCCATCGCGGCTTTGGTGGCGGCAATCACCGTCATTATTTTTGACCCAATCAGGACTTTCTTCATCAAAATCAAAATCAAGTCCACTCTTCATACCGAGGATAATGCAATCTTACAATGGATCCGAAAGCAAGCTAGCAAAGCCAACAGGATATATTTTGGAGCACGGAAAGCGGACCCTCGAGGGCTGACAGCTATTTGGGAAGATCGCCAAAGTGATATCTCCCAATTGCAGGCTTGGCTTACGGAAACTGCGGAGACATTTATTGTTATTCATGGCCCAAGAGGCTCAGGCAAGCGGGAGCTTGTGCTGGATCAGGCATTGAAGGATCATCACTACAAGGTTGTCATTGACTGCAAGCAGATCCAAGATGCTCGAGGCGACACAGCGAAAATCTCCCGAGCAGGAGCACAAGTTGGTTATCGGCCAATTTTCTCCTGGATGAACAGTATCAGCAGCTTTATTGATCTAGCTGCACAGGGAATGATTGGTACCAAAGCTGGATTTTCCGAAACTTTGGATGCTCAGCTCAGCAAGATCTGGCAAAGTACAGCAGTAGCTATGAAACGGGTTGCGCTTGAAGGCCGTCACAAAGATGACAAGGATGCTAATCTGAGCGACGATGAGTATCTGGAGGTTCATCCTGAGAAGCGCCCCGTCGTCATCGTGGACAATTTCTCATATGACGCTGAAGATAGTGTTGTGCTCGACAAACTTACAGAGTGGGCTGCTAGCTTAACTTCTTCTAACATCGCACATGTCATCTTTTTGACTACCGACTCCTCCTTTTCGAAACCTTTGAGCAAAGCTCTTCCGAGTCAGGTCTTCCGCACAATTGGATTGGGTGATTGCTCCCTCGAAGTAGGCCGCCGCTTTGTCATGAACCACCTGGAGTCCGGGGAATCCGAGGATCAGGAAAAGGGGAAACAAGGCTCAACAAATAACCTTGAAGGTCTTGACGGGTGTATTCAGGTTCTTGGGGGCCGAGTTACCGACCTCGAGTTCATGGCGCATCGAATTGAAGCCGGAGAAACACCTCAAGGTTCGTATTTTCCCTATAAACATGACTATATCTCGCTGACTTACATATAACAGCTGCGGTGGATCGTATCATTGAGCAATCCGCCTCTGAAATCTTGAAAATCTTCATTCTGGACACAGACTCCGCTTCTCCGCAATGGTCTACCGAGCAGGCATGGCATATCATAAAAGCTCTCGGAAAAGCCAAAGACGGCAAAATTCTCTACAGCAAAGCTCTACTCAACGACTTGTTCAAGAGTAACGGAGAAACAACCTTGCGGGCCTTAGAGCAAGCGGAACTCATCTCTGTTGGCTCTGTCCGAGGATTCCCACAATGGATCAAGCCTGGAAAGCCAGTGTACAAAGCTGCGTTCCAGCGACTCGTTGAGAATAAAACTCTGGAAGGTCGCATGGATCTCCTGATTCTGGGCGAGCTGATCAGCAACGAAAACAAGAGCATTGGCAAGTATGAAGAGGAGCTCAAGGTGCTTGCTTCTTTCCCGAACCACCCCTGGGAGCTTAGATCGCGCATTCAGTGGCTGTTGAGCAAGATGAACGGCTCGCAACTCAAGGTTCAGCAGTACGAAAAGGACAGTGCTACTCTGCAAAAGAATCTGGCAAGTGAAGTTTGAGAGGCTTTTAGTTCTGGTCTTTGTTGTACATTTACTGCCAAAAGTCCGTCATGGTCTCTGTAAATAGTGATTGGCGAAATTCTCTGCTCTTCCTTGATTTTTGTACACTCGACTCAATTGGACATACTTTTACGAATCTGGGATCTCCAAAGCTCTATTGTAGATTGTACCTGAGAGGTGGGTCGGTAACTCAAAAGGGAAGAGAGCCTCTGCACAGTATAGTTACCTGGGAAACAGGCTTGAGAATAAGAATTTTAAAGAATTGACTCAATTCTCAAGACCCATCGCCTCATTAGCATGAATTTCCGAACTATGTAGTATAGATCTGAACTATGCATCTCTTATCGGCACGCGCCCTAAGCCCTACTTTTCCATATCGGGCTTAATTCGCCGCGTGACGCGACGCGTTCTTCCCCGTCCCATCATCGGCGATCACCAACACCGTGAGATAGGATGATGCTTTCATGTCTTGCATTGTGATTGAACTTCCCAATTGCAAGCTAGAGATTATCCACAATGAGCCACGACCCCAATCGCCCTAGAGGCCGACCCGCCCGTAAGTTTCATAATGTTGGATCTACTCAACCCTGCTAAGAAGTACCCTGCCACTTAGACACTCCGGGTGTAACGGTCCTAGCCTACACACCAAATGGCAAGCACGTCATTACTGCTGGCTCCAACTCGGCAGTTCGTATTTACAATGTTGGTGATGATGGTGAACCGAAGACCCTCGACGAGGGTTTCCTGGATGGATATGTAGCAATTGGTGCCACGGTAAGGCAGACAGACATCCGATGCGGCGATTGAGATCAAGGGCCTAACAAGGAAGTAAACAGAACGATCAATTCATTGTTGGTACCGAGGATGGACAAGTTTGGCCATACGATATCACGACAGGAAAGATGGGAGATCAGCTGGTGCGGTCTGCTCTACCCTTGAGAGACCTTGCAGTCTCCCCGGATCAACAATGGGTCGCTGTGGCAAGCGAGTGAGTTCATATCCGACAAAATATGGATGGAACGAAGACTAATTCTTGCGACCAGTGAACTTACCGTGAAACTCGTCAAAATCGATAACCAGCTCCAAATCAAATACCTTCGTGAACAAACCACAGGCTCGAAACATGTCACGTTCGATCCCAGCGGTCGCTACATGGCTGTATCCGCCATAGATGGCATTCTCTATATCTATTCGCTCGCCGAAGAGGAACCACAATTGCTTCGCAAACTGGATGGTGTCATTCAAAAACTCGAGCCATCTGCTGAGGCAACCTCTGCAGCTGTTTGGCACCCCGACGGTACTGCGTTTGCCGTGGCAGAAAGTACAAGAGAAATCGCAATTTACTCAGTATCCGACTGGAAGAAAGAGAAATTATTCACTGGCGGACATACTGGTGACATCACTGCGGTGAGCTGGGCATCCAATGGTACCTTGTTGGTATCTGCCGGTGCCGATGGCCAAGTTGTGCTTTGGGAATCACGCACTCAGCAAGTTCTTCGACGATTCGAATTTGCAAACATTATCAACTTTGCGTGGCACCCCAAAAACAAAAACACGGCATCTTTTACCAACTCCGACGGAGAGCTGTTCATCTACGATAACTTTGTGCCAAAGGAACATGAGGCTCAGCTCCAAAAGTCGCTTCAAGCGGCTCCAATTTATCCTGGGCCATTGGGTGAAATTTCCAACAATGTCCAGCGAACACTGACTGATAGATCCAGAGATGCAATCAAGCGGACAGCTCGCGCAGGTTCCCTGGACTCGCTAGATGACATCCTTGGGCAAGATGAGGATATGGAAGACTTTGTGGAAGATGATGATGGAGCAGGGTATTTCGAAGGCACGAATCAGCATGGCAAGCGTCCAAATGGCCATTTGGACGACTTAGATGGCCCAGCCAGCAAGCGAGTGAACTCGGGTGCTGTGCAACCAAAAGCCCATCCTCCTATCCAGCCTGGTAGTACGCCATGGGCAGGAAGCCGGCGTTATCTCTGTATGATGAAAATTCCCTCTCCGATTGCTTTTTTTACGGTATCATTTTGCTAACCAACCTAGGCTTGAACTTGACTGGTGCCGTGTGGACTGTGGATCAAGAAACACACCATACCGTGACAGTGGAGTTCTTTGATCAGGAGCTTCATCGGAACTACCACTTTACTGACCCATATCAATATGACAAAGCATGCATAAGTGAGTTTGCAAAGCAACATATGCTCAAAATTGATGCTAATGGTGCATATGAAAGATGAAAACGGAACTTTGTTCTCGAACGACCCTTCGGATGGACCTGCTACCATCTTCTATCGGCCTCATGAGACATGGACAACGAGAGCTGATTGGCGAATTCAGTTACCTGAAGGAGAGAGCGTGCGAGGTAAGATCTCTTGTTGAGAAAGAAAAAAAAACTTTCAAATATAAATATTAACGCCTCTCAGCGATGGCACTGAGCGAGTCTTATGTTGTTGCCGTCACATCCAAAGATTATGTGCGGGTGTACACTCTATTTGGCACGCCATTTCGATTGTATCGCCAGAAGAGTCAGGCTGTAACATGTGTTGCCTGGCGAGACTATATCATGACCATTGGAAACGGCCCAGTAGGGCCCGACGGTCGGCATACAACTTTGCAATACACACTTGAGAACGTTAAGCGCGATGAAGTTTGCCAGAACGAAGATGTGGTCGCTCTCCCAGCTGAGGCTCAATTGCAAAGTGTTTTCTTTTCAGACACCGGGGTATGTATATTGAACCAATGAACAATTCGTAACATAAAGCTGACTCATTGCAGGACCCGTGCATTTACGACTCAACTGGTGTTTTGCTAGTCCTACAACATTGGCGTACGTCAGGTCAAGCTCGTTGGGTGCCACTGCTGGACACCAAACAACTTGCTCGATTAGCTGGTGGTCGCAAGGAAGAGAATTACTGGCCAGTGGCCGTCGCGCATGACAAGTTCCACTGTATCATTCTCAAGGGTGGTGATAAGAACCCATACTTTCCACGACCACTCCTTAGCGAATTTGACTTCCAGGTGCCTATCTCCAGCAGCGCCGCCAATGATCCCGATGAAACGAAAGAAGCAGCAGACAGTCGCAAAACGTCGTCGAAACTTGAAGAGACGTTTGTCCGCAGCAGTCTACTTCTATCTCTCTTCCGGGACCTCTTGTCTTCGACCAATGCACCGGCCAGTCAACGTTCGGAAATGGCCCGAAAAGAATTGGAGATCGATAAGACCCTGCTGCAGATGCTGGCCATCGAATGCCGAGATGGTGAAGAGCGCGGTATGAAGGCGCTTGAGATCGTGAAGATGATGACAGACCGTAACGGCAAGATGGTTGAAGCAGCAGCCAAGGTGGCCGAACGTTATGATCGTGGTGTTTTAGAAGACAAGATTCGCGATTTGGCTGAGAGACGGGCGACGGGCTTGGACGATGATGATGACGAATTGGCGTAGAACTTCTGCAATGGAAAATAATTTTAAGACACAAGGAATACCAAGGTTATGTTTACGCCCAAACTATTCAAGAAGTTCCTCTTTACCAATCGTATTCAGTAACGTGGCTCGATCTGCGTTCTCAGTATAAACGTACGTACCTTAATCCGGGGCCGTTGCCTTCACATTGTATACTGCCGCACTCCGATTGGCCCGCAAGTTTGAAGCAGAAACCGGGCCGAACTTGATCTCCGCAACTTCCAACTTTCTTCTTTCCTCATTCCCTCACTCCATGGCATGACAATAAAAACAAGGCAGAATGCCAAAGCTGGCCTCGCCCTCTCTGCGCCTCCAGGTGCTACAGCCCTCAACCACAGCAGGCCGAGGCTTCACATCTTCACCGCGGTGCCGGCTCGCCCAAGCGCAGCATGGCATCTTGAATGAGCCCTGGCTGCCCCCACCCACGACAGTGCCTCTCTCTACTACATATTTCTCGCCAGCCAGAGTACGCAGGGGTATCGATGGCCTGGAACCACCTTTTCAAAAAGGAGATTACAAGCCACCAGATGAGCGGGTCCTGAAGCTCGGAAAGAGTGAGTGCGGGACCGAGTTCAATGATTCATTGTTTTCTTACAGCTTGACAAATGTTCATTTAAATAGCGCTGACACTTTATAATAGCTTTACGAACACTATCTCCTCTTCTTCCTACAATTCTATACAATACCCTCCCAGCCGAAATCCTTGCGCCGAGCGTCAATCTCCACCTCTTCCCGTCAACCCATCCACATCTCCCTACCGTTAAAGGCCGTACTCTCTATCGAGCAGCATTATGGACCGTTCCAGTCGCATGGAGTAGCGTTCCACTTGTCGGGAATGTGAAACTTCAAATTCTCAGCGAGCGAATAGTGCGCGCCGGAACCGTTCTTGATCCCGAACATACAGAAAACCACGACTGCGGGGACGAGCGGTTAGTTGTACGTTGGAGGACCGAGCCGCGAACCGATAGTCGACCATTCCATGAGTCGCGTAGTACTGCAGAGGAACAGCGAACCCCTTCAAATCCAGCCCAAGTTGCGGGTACTGATACAGGAGCTACATCCCAACCGCATCATGCGAATAGCCATTTGTCGTCCTCATCAGCAGCGAAGAAGAGCACGAACAAGGGACTGAGTAAACTGCTTGGTGGCGAAGAACCAATCTTCAAGCTATCCAAGGAGGAACAATTTACAGGACTGTTCATATTTTCTTTCGACGAAAAGGGTCGCATCTTAACACATACGATCGAGCACGCTGATGAGGCCGATGGATGGGATCGCACAGCAAAGTTCGTAACCCTGACAGATTGGCTTATCGGTAAAGCACGCGGGTCATTAGACCCAGCACCAAACCCTGGACTAGCGATCGAGTCTTGTGGAGACTATGAGCTACGTACCAGCAACGCTCGGCGATCATAAATAAGCTGTTCAGCAACAACCAACAATGGCCATTCCAGTGAATCGATTATCCTAGGAATGTTACCCTGACGCAAAACCCTCTCACGTACTTGTTATCATCACTCTGGGACTGATTTTCCCCTTTCTACTTCACCTTTGTACTATACCCTCTGTTACATATGCAGCATGATCATAATAAACACCACTCAGATTTCTAAGTTCTCTCATACAAGCCCTAACCGTATAAAGATGATATTCCACTAAACAACAAATGTCAAAATCAAAACCCCATCAATCATATTCGAGCCGATCAAATACCCAGCAACTGCATAGTACACAATTTTGAAATACATCTTTAAATGCTTGCCGAGCACATTGCCGAACGCGACCAGCGAGCGAGGCAAGTGGCTTCATAAATCACCAGCGCATCCAAAATACAATAAATACAACAACGGATGGAATAGAAGCTTCCAATCACTGTGTCTTTTTGTGCACAACAGGCTGCACAACAGGCGACTTCAAGAACCCGAAGACTCCAACTGCAACAACGCACATGGCAGCGCCGCCAACCATGTATGCCGTCTCACGACCTGCCCACCAGAACAAGCTACAGAAAAGGATAGGACCTGTAGCACGACCCGCCTGACCCCAGCCCCGAAGCCGGCCCATAACAGCGCCACGATTGGCATCCCTAGCCTCGAAGCTGCCGAGACTGTTAAGACCTGTTACAACGGTGGCGCTTGTGACTGCAAGGAGAGCGCCAGCGGCGTAGAGGCCTGATACCGAAGAGATACGGGCAAGACAGAAGAATGAGAGTGCGCAAGCTACCACGCCCGCGCGTACGGTTACGAGTGGAGGCAAGCGACGAACAAGCGTTCCCTGGAGAAGGGATGCAATGAGACCCATCAACGAGAGAAGACGACCATTCAGAGCTGCAGGGCTGGCAGTGGTAGTTCCGGCGTAGAGGGTGGTTGTCAGGAACGGTAGAGAGAACTCCAATCCGGAAAATGGGAGCAAGAAAAGGAAGTGGATGACATTGAGAATTGCGGGATTGTTCGTGTGCGGCTTCTGTACCTGGTCACTCGAAGCAGATTCGTTCTTCAAGTTGGATGATTTCCCGTTTAATGAGTCTGCGTCTTCATTCGCAGTCTCTTGTTTTAGTGTCGTGAGTCGCGGATGTGTCTCTGGCAGACATGCCCAGAGATAGAAAGTCTCCAGCGCGATCAAAGCGAGGGAAACAATAGCTGCGACAATGAACGGGTTTGCCGTTACCATGTCGATGGTGCTCAATCCAGCGCCTAGCAGGGGACCAAAGGTAAAGGCCACACTGAAGCAAGCGCCAACCAAAGCCATAGAAGCACCGCGGTGTGCTTCATCAGTGACGTCTGCGACAATAGCATTGGCCAACTGGACATTCGCTTCACTCAAGCCTCCGACAACACGGCTAGCCAGGAAAGTACGGAAGTCCGTCGCAGAGACCCAGAGGGTAACACTAAGGATGTTTCCTACCATTGCGACTAACAGGGCGCGACGGCGGCCATGTTTATCGGATAGGTGACCGATGACTGGGGCAGCGAAGGCCTGAAGTAAGGAGAAGAGAGAGCCAAGGGCTCCACCGAGCAGTACAATATCATAGCGCGAATCGATTGGGCGCGCGAAAGAGTTCTTATACGCATTGAGATAGTGGAAGATGCGATTGAGGAGAGAATTTGGCGAGGGGTCTTGGGCGCGATAGAAAGACAGTAAGGAGGGGAATAGTGGGAGAATGAAGGTAAAGGAGATCTGGCCAGTTCATATTAGAGCCACAGCGTGTCAAGTGGGATGGGGATGATCCAAGTAAATAAATAGAAGGTCACACTTACCAGATCCAAGAGCAACGAGATCATCAAGACCTTGAGGACCTGTTTACGTTGGGCGCCAGCGATAGCCATCTTTGAAATTGTTCAATATGCTTTGCTGACGCCGAGAAAAAAAGTAAGAAAAACAAAAAAATTGAGAGAGAGGTGGGTAATGAAGGTGCAATGCGGAATGATGTGATTACGCTGCAAGTGGGCACTAGTTAAGTGGATCCTTCAAGGTGGAAGATGGGGGTTTACTGGATTCGGCTCTGACTAAACCCATGGAATTTGTTTATCTGATCTTCCCTTGTCAACTGGTCTTTCTTCTCCCTCCCCGAAAACAACTTAAACATAGAATACATGAGACAAAGTCTGGGAATATGCACGCTCGAAACAAAACACATTAATAAAAGAGCTCTTTTTCTTCTTCTCTCTCTTCGTAATTGTAAAAAAAGAAAGACATCACTCCAAAGAAGAAAATTCGTTGCGTTCGTCATCCATCACACCAGACCGATTAACTCAAGACAAAGTGGGAAGGCGACAGATAGAAACCCGGGCTTTCTTCTTATTCTCTCTACTGCTTTTCACCTGTAGGTGTAGCAGTTGGAGAGCCATTGGCACCACCACGCTTGCCACCACGGCCGCCACCCCGACCGCGACCCCGGTGGTCACCTCGACCGCGATTCTCGCGGCCACGTCCACCACGAGACCCATCACCCCGACCGCGTCCATTACGGCCACGGCCACGGCCAGAGTTACCCTTGGCACCTGATGCGTCCTCACTAGCATTGTGGGTCTCATTGTTGGCGGGGGTAGCTTGAAGGCCAGTCTCGGTCTCGGCAGGGTCACGCGGAATTTCAACCCAGCCATCGGTAGTGGCTGAAGAAGTCATGGAAGTAGGATCATAGGTTGCATCAGCCACCTGGTTACCTCCATTTCCAGTTGCAGTCTGGGCCGGCGGGGCCACTTGGTCAACTTGAGGAGCGGAGCTCTCAGCCTGAGTGGCAGCCGCAGCGCTAATTGAAGTGTCCTGGAGCTCGGTCAAGCCAGCATTGACGAGAGTTGGATCGGAGGTAATAGTAGAATCGGTAGCGGTTTGGGTAGGCTCTTCGACGGGTGCGTGTTGGTTGGATGTCTGCTTCACATCTCCGTCTAAAAACGCGCCGTTAGTAAGAGAGTTCAAGAGAATCAGAATAAGAGATTACTAACAAGTGAGATCCAAGGCCCCGCCCTCGATATCCTGCAGCTTTTCATCCGATCCCTCGATAAGCTTCACCATGGACGTCACAGCATCCTGGCTACCTCCATAAACTTGGTATAGAACAGCTTCAAAGGCTCGGCCCTCGGCTGTCTCGTCTCCGGCGCGTCGCAAATTGGCTGCGGCACAAAGGAACTTGCTCACGGTGAGCAATTTTTCACGCAGAGCCTGTGCAGTAGTTTCAGTCGCATCGGCTACAGCATTTGCGCGTACAGCCTCCAGCTCCTCTTGATGACCCTTGGTAATAGCCGCCTTCTGGCTCACCAATTTCTCCTCGTATTGGGCAGCAATTTCTTTGTAATGACCAATCTGTTCCTCGATTTGCGAGATTGTAGCTTGGAGAGCAGGCTTCTTCAGTGCCTGCGCTCTCTGATCTCCATTAATCTTCTTCTCCTCCACAAGTTCGTCGAGCGATTTGCCTGGGTTTTCGGAGATGATGATGTCGACCTTCGCGGTAGCGTTCTAATAATCGAAGAAGGAAGCTCATTAGCATAAACTTCCACACAATATATTTCAAGTGGTCGACTCATTCGTCAGATGCCAGCCAAGGGAAGAAGTACTACATACCAGCTTCTTCACCGCATTGCGAAGGCTCCTACAAACGCGCTGCTCGTTAGTATTATATAGGTGTCACATGCGATCCAGATACTGACTTCTGTAACTCCTTGAGGTAAGCAGGCTCGGATCCATTTTCAGTAGGGCTCTCTGGTTCAGCCTTGGAGACGCTCGAAGCTCGAGAGGTGTGTTTCTTGTCCTTGGCATTGTTGGACTTCTGTGTGGCGGAGGCGGGACCCATGGTGGAATGTGGGTAACACACGGACGAAAGTTTAATAGAAGAGAAAGTAGAGAAAATGATTTACAATGTATAGCTCTGGGGAAGATAATCCACAAGTCCGGAGTAAAGTTGGGGGGGAGAAAGTCGGATTGTTGAAAGAGAAGAATCGATGCGGGTGGAAGTCGCCCGAACCCTTTCCTGATCGGTTCAGCCCACATCGCGCTCCCTTACACCGGCTACATTCACTACTCCAGACATCTTTTACGAACTGATTTCCCTTTATATGAACACCAAGGATTTAATTACATTGATTACGGAGGTGGAAAAAAGCTTCAAGACAAAAGAAAAATACGAGAAGTTGTTTTTTATGGGTATCACCATCCCTCTTAACGCCTGTACGCCATTTCGTCGCAAGAAAAGCAGACAAGAAACCTAGCCCAGAGGCCCTATTCCACCCATTTCCGATTACACGTGTATTGACCAAGTAAATACCAGTTGTAAAACCTCAATATCATCATCCTTGGAATTTGCGTAGTGTTTTCTAGATGAACAGGCGCACTGATCAGTATATGTGTATGTCGAAAGTACAGGACTATAGTCACTGCTGCAAGTTACGGTATCGTATTGATCTTTGACATACCTCAGTAACCTTTCGAATAGAGTTTGCGGAGATATTCTTCTCTCCAGACTTGCGCGATCGGATGGAGGCTTCGCGCATCAATCTGTTACCAAGCAGGTAGGGTTAGCACGCCCACTGCGATTTCAATCGGGGGCTTGTCGGAGAACCGCGTAGTCTGCGACCACCGAATAGTGATTGGATTTAGGCGGGATTCATTCATACTCTTGCATAAACAGCATATAATCGAGAAAGATCTATCGCATCGAGTCAAACACCGGGTTAGTGATGTCGTAGTAGCGTCCGGGGCTAGAACTTGAGACATACCAGGATATCGGCATTCTTGCTAACACTCTTGTTCGAGTGAGCCTTAACAATGCGCTTCACTGTCCCTCGGGGGTAGAGCTTCTGAGTAGGAGCCATATTGCAATGAACTCGGGAAGAAGGTGAAACTTTGGGGAGCAACGCGGGCATTGTTTACGGTGGTGGATCCACAGTGGATTATGTAACCTTATCGCATGTGCGGGTCCGGGCTCTAACTTAGTTATACACAGCTGCTTTGCATAAGATCTGCCGTCCTTGATACTTTAATGCCAGCTTGTAGCTTCCATATAGCTTCATCTTTTTGATATTGGTATTATATGTTCGATTCGCCCCACTGCTTTATCAGATGGAGGCGAGGTTTAAGTATTACATGTCTAGATATCTTGAACACTATACACAACTCGTAAACTATCAACGTCGCCGAAAGAAGCGCCAAGCAGTGAAGCCGGCTGCCGATCCTAGTGCAATGCGCCAGGCAAGAAATAAATAGATCGCCACACGCAATCGATCGTAATAACCTCGTAGCATGATGCCAACTGCATAAGCATGCCCATCGGTTGTTTGGCCACTGGACCCTGATCGTTCGGTTCTGCCAACCTCGCCCTGATCCTGGTTGTGGGTGACAGTATCCGAGGTAGCAGACAGCGCATTGAGTTTGTCGTCTAAGTTAGTATTCTTAAGAATGCCAGCCGCTTTCAATTGCTCTTTATTGTGTTTCCGTAGATTGTAAGTTAAGACACTGACAATCAGCCGGAGATCGGGTACGCCAAAAGTTGGAGGCTTCCACAACTGGACGGCGTCGTTGGGGGGAAATAGATCCAGGAAATCGGTCAAAATGCCGAGGGTGAGACCCCAAAGGAGGAGCGGTCTATCCCTTTCACCGGATTCTGCTTGGTTGCTTAAACACCATGATTTTAAACCTTGTAGAAAGGAGGGCTGAGTTTTCTCATTTGGGATGAATCCAGGAACTGAGGAACATTGTTGAGACTCCGATGGAAGCAGCCGAACAGCGGAGAATTGCATGAACCCCATCAATGATCTAACTGCCATCCTAGCCAGAAAGCCACTCTGCTTAGTGAATCGTTGTGAGATATCCACATGTTCCACGGTGCGGACGCTTGGTGACAGAAGTGCTTTGAAGGGGATCCAATGAGTTGATGCGACCTCGGTGGGCTGTAAATTCAAAGTCGGAGAATCACTTCGAGTGGTTAGAAAGATAAAAGGACAAAGGACCATCAATCTAAGGAAAGCGCAAGATCAGTACCATCCATTTTCAAGTTCAACAGATATTCCATGACACCTACGGCACCGATCCCCAACTAGTCGTTACCCATCGTTCGGGAAGATTTCCCACATGAATGCAGTCATCAGTAGTTAAGTCCAGCCCAATTTCCTCCGAAGCTTCTCGTATAGCTGCTGCTTGATCATCTGTATCTTCTGGGTCTCGTTTTCCGCCGGGCAACGCGATATGACCCGTCCACCGATCTCCGACACGCGCAGCGCGCTTGATAAAAAGGACCTCCGGGTCTCCATTTTGTACCCATGGCTGAGAAAAGAATTCGTCTAGTCGGTCTTTGACTGGTAATGAAGGATCTCCGATTGAGGACGAGGTGGGCCAGTGGTTATAGGTCGGACGAACACGGATAATCAAGGCGACAGAGGCCCGTTTCTTGCAGGATGGAGGGTCAGGAACATGAGGAGAAGGGTGCTGGTAAAGTTCAGACAAAACGCCATGCAGGAAATGCGAAAGGCCTGCTTGGGAGGCGGGGGTATCCATCTGTACAATCTATATGGACCGAGTCTAATACCCCAGGGTTTTAGCGGGGGGAAACATCTCAGCCGACCTCGGGAGCTTTGGTCTGGAATGGCTTGTCTGTATTTTACAGGCTCGGTACGTTAATTACGTTAATTACAATACCGGTAGTTGTGACGGGATCATCTTTAATCCGAGAGCTTCCCTCTGCTGGCTTCTCATTGGCTGAAGCAGCGGTTGCCGGAAACGCTTAACAGCCAGCGAGAGACGCACGTGCAGACTAGTGCAGGCTAAAGCTGTCGACAAGCTGCGATCGCTTAAATCAACTAAACCTGAAGTTTTTAATTCCTGCTTGACGTTTTTGACATTGTTTTTCCCTTGAACTTGAAGATCCTTGCAGTCCGAGAGCATTGTCATTCTATATTCATCAAGCTTGACTGCGTAAGACTCACTCGGGGACTTCCCGTGTTCCCATTCTCTTATCCCATTCTCTCCCTAAGCATCCCCACTTCTTCTCCAATAACCTCCTTCTACCCCCCACTATACTCCGTCCACGCCATATAATCCTGCGTGCTGAATCAAAATCGAGGCAGGATGCGGTTCGGAAAGACTCTCAAGAATACGGTGTACCCCCCTTGGAAGGGCAAGTATATCGACTACACCAAGCTCAAAACACTGCTGCGAGAACATGATGTCACAGGCGATGATGGTAGCGACTCCGATGAAGGTCAATGGACCGAACAGGACGAGGAAGCTTTTGTGCAGGAATTGTTGAATGTTCAAATGGACAAGGTCAACACCTTCCAATCGGAAACTTCACGGCAACTCCGTGAGCGAACCTCGGCATGCGAGGCTAAACTGCGCCCGTTAGCTTCGACCCCAGAGCAAGAGGCCGTCGTCCTGGAGGAAAAAGAGAAACGAAACCTGGCTACAGAAGCCCTACAAGAGCTCGACAGTATCACCAAGGAAGTCAGCGAGCTCGAAAAATACAGTCGTATCAATTTCACTGGTTTCCTTAAGGCAGCCAAGAAGCACGATCGCAAGCGCGGAACTCACTACCGGGTGATGTCCCTGGTGCAGGTGCGCCTGTCTCAGCTGCCATTCAACTCGGAGGACTACTCGCCATTGGTTCATCGCCTGTCCGTGATGTACTCTTTTGTACGAGAGACTCTGACCCAGGACATCGTGCAGCCACTGAAGGAGCCTGAGCGCGGCTTTGGGCACGATGTCTATTCATCCTACAAGTTCTGGGTGCACGCAGATAACGTGCTAGAGGTGAAGACCTATATTCTTCGTCGTCTCCCGGTTCTCATCTACAACCCGGGCACGTCGAAGAATGTCGAGACCCTTGACGACCCAACCATCACCTCCCTCTATTTTGATAACCCTCGATTCGACCTTTACAACCAGAAAGTTGCTCGTGCACCCGAGGCAGGGTCTCTACGGTTGCGCTGGACGGGTCAATTGAAGGATAAGCCATCTATCTTCTTGGAAAAGAAGACTGTGACCGATTCTGACAGCAGTCGGGAAGTTAAGGTTCAATTAAAGGAAAAGCATATCAAAGAATTCCTGGACGACGAATACCACTTGGATAAGAAAGTTCACCGAATGGAGGATATGAACAATGGAGGCTCAGCCGAAGCAGAATCCCTCAAAAATGATGTGGAGGATTTGCAATCTTTCATCAAGGAAAACGACCTGCAGCCTATGGTCCGAGCCAACTACACCCGTACGGCGTTCCAAATCCCCGGCGATGACCGTATTCGTATTTCATTGGATACAAATCTTGCCATGATCCGAGAAGACTCTCTCGACGCCGACCGTCCCTGCAGGGATCCTTCTGAATGGCACCGCACTGACCTTGATGACGGCACTGTGGCTTACCCATTTGGTTCCGTTCGGACTGGCGAGATTGTTCGTTTCCCACATGCTCTACTTGAGATCAAGCTTCGTGGGAAAGCCCATGAGGCAGAATGGATCAATGATCTAATGTCTTCTCATCTTGTCAAAGATGCACCGCGATTTTCAAAGTTCGTTCACGGTATTGCCCAGTTATTTGAAGATCATGTTAACAACTTTCCGTTCTGGATTGGTGATATGGATAATGACATCCGTCGTGATCCTGAAACGGCTTTCTATGAGGAACAAGAGCGGCTAGCAAAGCGCGCGGAGGAGGACATGGCAGTGGGCAGTTTCTTGGGAGGCGCAGGGAGCCCAGGTGGAAATCTGCTCTCAGGATCCCCCCTTGCCCGATGGAATGAGCCTACTTCCCGTTCCACACTACGTCGGCCTTCCGGCATCAGTGAAGTGCCAGTAAAGCGTCGTCTCTCTCATATCGAACCCCATCAGCGTCAGGTGCAGCCTCCCCAGAAAGCGATCGAAGAGCCTGAAGAGCAAGAGCCGCAGTCTCGATTCGCCTCAGTTATCCAATCAATAGGTATTTCGAAACCATCTTGGATGGGCAGAGAGACTGTTTCGTTACCACCTGGTGTGCGAGACCCTGGTGTCTGGATCAAAGACACGGGCCCAGTCCGCGTGGAAAGCAAAGTGTGGCTAGCCAACCAGCGAACATTCATCAAATGGCTGCATATCAGCATTTTGCTGTCAAGTTTGTCTCTGGGTCTTTACAACGCGGCCGGTAAGCATAATCAAATTGCCAAGGCCCTCGCTGCAGTGTACACCTTTTTCGCTCTATTCTCCGCCGCTTGGGGTTGGTACATGTATGAGAAACGCTCCCGACTTATTCGTCAACGAAGCGGCAAGGACTTGGACAACCTGTTCGGGCCTCTGCTTGTATGCCTAGGTTTGGCCGTTGCTCTCGTTCTGAATTTTGCTTTCAAGGTAAGATCGTCTTCTTCTTTTTCTTCTCGAACATGCGCACATATGCTAACAAATTAAATAGTACAAAGCTGTCCTTGAACAAGCTCGGGGAAATAATCCATCCCCTGGAGTTCCTGTTCACAACAGCTCCTCTGCTGCTTTTGAAGCCTCATGGAGTGTCAACAACCAGGCTCAGCAAGTTCTGTAAATTAGAACAATATGTCATGGGCTGGTTCCTTATTTAGAAGGGCAGTTGGAGAAATCAGCATGGTCCTTGGGCCCTTCTAAATGAAGTTCATATTACGCCATCATGTTTTTAGTTGGGACATAGTCTCTTAGCGCATTCATAAATCTGATTGTATGGTATCATGGTCAATATCAGCTTTTCTCGTATACTTCTCATGCGGTTCATGATCAGCAACATTGGAATGGTCGTATGATCTAAACCCCTTCGAGATAAACAGCTCAGAATGAAGATTAATTCCAAATTACAACAAGCACATCGTGACTTGATGTATCTACCTTTGTATCAATTTTATAATCTCAGTTCCGCCCCCTCCGAATGCTGACAAATTGACAGCCGTTGAGACCCACCGATCGACACAAAGTACCTAAGCCTCCACCTCGTGTATGCCGTATGTATAATACGACTGAAGTCCAAAGCAATCGAACATTCTGCATTTAGCCTTTTCCCCTCCCTCTCCCCCTCTCTCCATCACCACCCAACAACCCAACCATGACCAACATCAAGATTCAAATTATCTCCGATAGCGTCTGTCCTGTATGTGACATCTGGAAAAGTGCTTAAGCTCTCTCCAAACTTCTAAATACCCCATAACTACATCTCTACAGAGCCTCCAATACTAATTATCCAATAGTGGTGCTATGTCGGCTACCGGCGCCTCTCACGCGCAATAGCAACACACAAAACCTCCAACCCAAAGGATACATTCACACTCCACTGGCGCGCCTTCTACCTAAACCCAAATGCGGCAGCCTACCCCGGCATAAACAAGCAAGAGATGTACGCTGCGAAATTCGGCGCGGAGCGAGTCACTGCTATGTTTGCCCGTCTTGCACAGGCAGGTGAAGCAGATGGCATCTCGTTCTCATTCGGTGGTAACACTGGTTCCACACGGGATTCGCACAGACTCATCTGGTATGCTGGGGAGAAGGAGAAGGAAGCCGGAGCCGGAGCCGTAAACGAAACAGACGCAGTTGGTGGACTGCAGACACGAGTCGTGGAGAATCTTTTCCGAGCTTATTTCGAGAATGAGAAGAACATTACGGATGCGGAAGTTTTGACTGAGGCGGGTGTTGCGGCGGGATTGGAGAAGGGGGAGATATTGAAGATTCTTGAGGGTGGTGATGGGGCGGAGCAGGTTGATGCGGAAGCATTGACGGCGTCGAGGAGGTTGGTTTCGGGGGTTCCGCATTTTACTATTCAAGGGAAGTATTTGGTTGAAGGGGCAGATGAGCCTGAGACGTTCTTGGAGGTTTTTGAGCGGGTGAAGCTGGATGAATAGACATTTTCGTCTGTACAGGTTGACTTGATAGGAAGTACTCGGGCAGAAACATTGAAGTATTTATGGAAACAATATAATAACTTAGCATTACTTTGAAGCTCGTTTTTGTTGTTTAGCCATCTAAAATATCTGCTTATGTGTATATGAGCACAGACGTATGCACAGTTGAATTAGAAAGACAACGGTCATTTAGATTCATTGTAAACCTGATTGAGACCAGCAAAAGTTGCCAGCATAGAAAAAAAAGGCCATACTAGAGCAAAAAAGGCAGAACACCCTCATAACCTCAAAGTCACTGTACATGGATGACGGATATCTGGCGAAGGATGCTCGTGTGTGTGAATAATATGGTGAGCTCATCAAGTCATCGCTTCCGCTGAAACGCCAAACCCATGCAAAGACAAGGAGTATCATAAGGTGAAAGTCAGAAATCATACCCTGAACGCCCGGATGCAAAAGATGCCTGTATTGTGATCCATGAGAAAAGCAAAAGAGCCGAGAGGGGAGAATTTGAAAATAATACAAAGCAATGACGGTAGGGTGTAGCTTGCGCAAAATGAAATATAAGAGAGAGAAAAAGGCGGGGAAAGCTAGACGCGAGAAGATATGCAAAATGATGCCATGTATTGGCTTTGACCGAGGGGATCTGCAAGACACGTTCTTGAAGGTTGAATTGAGAAAAAAATAATAAAAAAAGGAGAAGAGAAAGGTCATCGCAGTTCATCACAAGTCATGATCATGGAGAGTACATCGCCACGCTTTTCATTCGCTGCAACATGAGGCTTAGGCCACAATGCTTGCCATCCTGTCATGTGCGCTTACTTGTTTCAACTGATAGTTCGGAACTTCGTCAAACCAATCATTGTCGGGGTTGTATCGGTACGCCTTGAAGTCAACGCCGTAAGGCTTAGGCTCGAGCATGTACACAACACCCATCTCAACATCCAGGTTGGCGACCTCATCACGCTTCAGACCCTGAAAATAGGCCAAGAGAACACGAGCGGTGGATCGGTGACTGACTAGCAGGACATGGTCGGTAGTACGCTCCACTTCAACAATGACGGCTCGGAGGCGGTTGATGATGTCGAGATAACCTTCACCACCAGGACCGGGGTATCGGTAGAAAAGCTTATCCTTCTTACGGTGAGCATATTCGTCAGGAAATTGCTGCTGAATCTCTTTGTAGGTCATGCCTTCCATCCTGCCAGAGTGAAGTTCATCGAGCATACGCATCTGCTTGACATCGTAGTCTTCTTCGTTGAAGTAGTCCACTGTCTGAACAGCTCGTTTCATCATTGATGACCATACGCAGAAATTGCGTGGCCGATCACGGGGGATGTAAGAGGGATTAGGAGGAGTACTGTCACCAGGGCGGGGTGGGAAATGTTTGATCAAGTCCTTTTGGCGCTGGTAAACTTCCCACTTCTGGCGGTGGTGATCAATAAAGGCTGTGAGCGCCTTGGCATAACGTTGGCCATTCTCGCTGAGATCAGAATCTCCGCCAATACGACCAGCCTGGTCGTCTTTGCTCTCTCCGTGTCGTGTAATCCAAATTTGGCGTGGGGAGAGGTTGAAGTTAAGAAGGTAGTAAACAACCTGAGATGACAGGAAACCATGTGTTTGGTGAGCAACGACCTTTCGACCGACATCAATCATCTGAATGAAAGCCATGCCCATTTTTTCCTCATATTCACCCAGTGGCACATACGATTTTTCATAGAGACCCACACGTCTCTTGAAGTCTTCCAGTGCCTTAACAGGGTCCTGCCCCTTGTAGTCAGGCCCAGAAAGCTTAAGACGCATGTTAGCCTCCAGCAAGGTCTGATCCACACAGCTGCTCTCGAGGAACAAGATGTTAAGTTCAGGGCCAGCGCGCTTGCGAATGTGGTCGACTACAGCCTTTCGTCGTTCCATAGTGCTGTTGGTCGCATCGAGAATGCCAATGCTGCCACCTTCATCCAGAATGTAGTCAAGAAGTTCATCAAGGGTGTCGAGTGCCACCTGTTCTCGCATCTTAACAGCGCGCTGATTTTGCGGGTCGAAGAAATTGGCGGTCTGGTCCATGGGTTCCGGTGATGCCTCTTTAATAGCCTCTTCGCCCTTGATTGACTGGCCAGGCCCCGCATCGATTGACGGAACTATTGTACTGCCATGCTGGGAGATTGACGGGTTGGGGTCTTCGCCGTTCACAAGAATCTTGGCTGGAACGACTGGGGGAGGGAGAGGTGCTTCATCCGGCGGTGAGATCTCGCCATGATTTTGACTTCCAACACTGACGCTCAGACGGCGCACCGAGTCGAGAAGGTCTCTGTGAACATTCTTTGGACCTTTTCCCTGGCCACAAGCAGGGGCTGGGGAGGGAGATTTTCCGGCTGCGACACGACGACGTTCACCAACATTGAAGATTTGAGTGTCATGCTGGAGCCAGTTCAGGTAACGAGCAAGTTTCTTGGTGATGTAACTTTTGCCTCGAGCCGGGAGGCCAACCATGACAATGACCAACTTAGCACCGACATCTCGTTGAGCAATGCGGCCATCTGGAGAGACCTTTGATTTGGTGAGGCCAGGAATATCAAGAGTAGTTGCTCGAACACGGCTGCTACCAGGAGTACCAGGATGAGTATTACGACCGTTTCTGTAGGTAGAAATAACGTTAGACTAAAGTCAAGCCTCAAAAAACCAAAGAAACACTAATGGATCACGCGACAAACAAGCAAACAAGCGCGGACCCAGTCACATCGACAGAAGGACCGGAGGGGGGCACGCGAGCTAGCTTGTGCATCCCGAGGGCTGCATTTCTCCGCCCTATGAAGCGGGACAAGGCTTGATCCGATGCACATTGCAGATGTCGATCAAGCCCCTGTCTTCGCTCATAGGCTGAAAGCTGGAATTCTTCAAAACAAGGTTCCGAGTGGCAGAAGAATTTGACGACTAAGAGGGGGGTAACACTCACATCTGTGGAGACGGGGGTGCGGTAGAAATCGGAGTGTCAGTCAGGGCAGTTCCGACTCCGCCCTTGGGCGCCTGCGAAGTTTTGTGGGCATCGGAATGCAGGTCATTACCTAGCGCTCTTCCGACTACAGTTTTCGGAGGCATAAGAGTCCCTTCATTTCCCGAGCGGATCCCATTTCCATTCGAACTGATACCGTCAGGGCGGGAGTTCATATTCCTCTGATCACCCAGGGCTGCAGGATCTGGCGAAGTGGCGGACGAAATGATTGCCGACCGTGCAATATCGGAATGTTGTGCCATCCCCGGATAAAGTGCCTGAGGCCTTTCCGGAGAAGCAAGCGATTGCGAGTTTGAAAGTGATCTTTAGACGGTGAAGATGTTTCTGATCTTCTTCAAAGAGGACTGGATCTGTTGAAAGGCCCTGAGAGACAAAGCGGGAGGGGTGAAAAGTAAGGCGGGAGTCACGGATGACTCAACTCCGGGCAAACGTCACTTTCAATAGTGAAGCTGCGGTGCTATTCACCACGGAGCTCTTTCCGTCAAATCGTCCTCTTCAAAGTTGGAAATTGAATGTTTGGGGGGGTTGAAGATGTTCCTTTGGAGGGGTATTCTGAACTATTTTTTTTTCTTTTGGGCGTTTGCGCTGTGTGCGGTGGAGATCAATCGATGGGAAAGGTCAACAGGCATTCACCATAGATAAAACAAACCTCCTTGATATGGAGCCTATAGCACAAGCTATACTGCTTGGAACAGGCAACCGTTCCCCTCTTATTCAAGAGCAAAAACTGACTAGAGAATAAAAAGGTCTGAGAGTCAAGCCACAGTCAATTGATGAAATCACCAAGCAGTTAAAGAAGATCGCCGAGTCCACTCTAGGTGGGGATAAAATGGGGCATCGGAGCTCACAGAATGATGTCAGAGTTTTGCTCTAAAGGGAATAGGAAAAGAATATTATTGAACAAATCAAGTGGGAATAATCGATTAGGATTATGAGGCTCTCTATATACAAATAGGTAGAAAGGAGGTGCAAGGAAGATCTGGTGATATTATGATATGATCTTGATCTCCAGCCTAGAATGCTTGGCTCGAGACATCCTAGGCCAAATCATTATGGTGGAGCAATCACCCATAGCATCCCTGTGCCAATCTAATAGACTCAGGAGAGCTGCGTAGCTCACGAACTGGGGGTCCACTTAAAAGCAATCGAGGTACCTTTGCTTGTCTTGGTGCCCGTGAGACCGAGGCTGATATCAGCTATGCTTCCCAAAGAGAAAGGGGCGATTGTATATATCACAAGTGAGGATCTGAAATAATCAGGCCATGGTCCGATTTCAAAGCCCACGATTCCGGTAGGTTCTCAGCCAGCTATTGGAACGCCTTGTACGACAACTCTTCCACTCGGGCCAGTCCTCCCCTTCCGCAGAACATAACTCGGCTTGCTTGGCGATTCTCGGGCATCAAAACAGCAGCGCGATCTCCGACCAACCGCAAGCTCGGGCTGACTCACGATGATGATCGTCCCGCTATCGTTCCCCCGACACGCCCGACAGGCAATCAATTATCCAGTAGGGTGGCACAGCATCCTTGGCGCTTGGCGGTCACGCAGGGGGTAGGCGCACACATTGTTCAGGGAGATGGGGCTCAGGAAATGTTCTGATAAGCGTATGAATACGGGGTACGGAATGGTCGTTCCATGTTTCGCAAGCGGTTCGTTATCAATTTTGCAGCGAAAGTGTCAGACCGATCAAGCACGCATATGCAGCAATACTGAGTGCGGTCAGAACGACGACTGCATTTCCACTAGTACGGAATTTGTGGCGGTGAATTCCATCCTCCCCCACCTCTGAAAAGAATTGGCGATTCCCTTGGGATCGGCGGAACAATCCAATAATGAGGACTCCAGTGCCGTAGATCGCGAAGAGGGCCCCGATACTGTAGAACTCGGCGGTGAAAATCTTGAGAACGACGAGGGCAAAGGAAAATTGCGAGAGGGCGGTTCGAACATAGGCTCCTTCGAAGGTTCGTTGAGCTGCGCGCACCTCAACGATTTCATCTGAAGTCAGCACTGCCGAGCGGGCGCGGTGCATTCGAAGGTGGTATCGATCCGCAGCTCGGCGCTGATGTTAGCCAGGTTAGCCAGGTTAATCAGAGATAAATGATTCCAAATCTTTCTCAACCCTCAGAGATAAGTCATGATTATCTCACCTCGAACATTTTGTCTACGACATTCAATTTGAGTGGGGGAAATGGAGGAGAACAACTCGGATGCATTCATTGCGGGAAGTGTCCTGGTGATGTTGGTTAACTTATCAACCGACGCATTATGTCATCTGGTGCCAAGTAAGTTACTTTAAACTGCTTTTTTCGCGAATCATCATGTGTACAAACACATTACATTACACATGATAACCTTTGGAATATTTGCAATATTACTTGTTAACCGTGTACCTAGGCAAGGTAAATAGACCCGTGATCACTTCACGTGGTCTGGTGATCTAATCCTAGTGCAAATGATGCAAATATCCATCATCATCACCATCACCGTCGTCATCGTCTGCTATTAAAGTTGGGGTTTGTCTAATATTTGGGTTATCTGCACATTCGTAAAATGTCAATAGAGAAAAGAACGCCTGTAGTCCAGGCTAAGAACATTATGTGGTTAATTATTATTGACTGATTTCTTCGAGCATTACCTATAATATTGATTGATATCCATCAAAGCGCAATGATTACTCACGATAGACTCTGTCCCTTAAGGGGATCTAGATACGAATGCGAACGAGCTTACCATATGAAGCCAATCAGAGCCTAGGAATTATCGGTCAATTTACGCCACCATAAAATGCAGGCAATACTTTGGTAGGGCGTAGGGCCCGTTTACAATGTACTGTACAGTATGTACGTTGTCAAGGGCTGCTGTGTGTTCCCCACCAAGGACTGACGTAGGGACCCACAGGTAAAACAATCGAGGTAACGGGGTACTTGACAACCTCTTTCGCCCGATTTCATAGTTCCAATTGCTAACCGAAGTCAACATGGCTTCGATAGCTTTTCTCCAGTCCCTGCTTCACAACCCTGGCAGTGTGGTAGCTACTCTAATCACAATTGTAAGTCCAACCAACCTTGAACCCGCGAGTCACTCCCAACCCCTTGTTAAAACGTTCCAACCATTTCTCAAACTCTAACAATATCGATACAGGGGTTAATCCATACTCTAGGGAAAGCACTTTACAATGTCTTCTTCCACCCGCTGCGGTCCTTCCCAGGGCCAACACTACATGCAATGTCTCGGATTCCATACTGCTGGAAATTACTACGAGGGACTATGCCATATGACGTGTTAGATCTCCATAAAAAGTATGGCGACGTGGTGCGCATCGCACCAGACGAGTTAGCTTTCTCAAATGCTACTGCCTGGAAAGAAATTATGGGACACCGCCCTGGTGTCGAGGAGTTTGGAAAATTAAAGAACTTTTATCGACCTGTCAAAGCCTCACCAGTGAATATTGTCAATGCGGAGCGCGATGAACATAGCGTCTTAAGGCGTCAATTGGCTCATGGGTTTTCTGAAAAGTCCATGCGAGATCAGGAACCATTAATCAAAGTGTATTTTGACCTCCTTATTCAGCGGCTGCATGAAAATTGTGCTGCAGGGGCAGAGACTATCAATCTAACTGCCTGGTATAACTGGACTACATTTGATATTATTGGAGACCTTGCCTTTGGTGAACCTTTTGGATGTCTTCAGAACTCAGAGTATCATCCCTACGTCCACTTAATATTTGAATCTGCCCGTGCGGGCACCATCTTTCAGTCGGTGGGGTTCTACCCTTTACTCAATAAACTATTTTGGGCATTGATTCCCAAGGCTGCATTGCGAAGATTTGTACGACAAACGAAGCTGTCGATGGAAAAATTGCAAAGACGAATGGAACCTGGAAATGAACGATCTGATCTCATTGAGGGATTATTGCTAAAGAAAGAAGAACTGGTCAGTATATTATCTCCAGTCCATAACATGGTCAAATTCACTTACAAAAGAAAAGAATCTTACTATGGAAAATATCCAATCAAATGGTAACATCTTAATCATTGGAGGCTCTGAGACTACGGCCACTCTTCTATCAGGCGTAACTTATCTTTTATTGTCGAACCCCCACGTCCTCGAGAGGCTTACTACGGAGGTTCGGTCTACATTCGAAAATGAGAAAGAAATCACCATGGCCTCAGTCAACCAGTTAACTTATATGCTGGCTTGTTTGAACGAAGCTCTCCGAGTATACCCACCTGTCCCGACTGGTTTACCCCGCGTTGTCCCTTCGGAGGGCCGTACTGTTCTTGGACGATATATTCCTCAAGATGTAAGATCAAGGATGCCTCTTGGCATTTTTCTCTTCTTCTATTTGTTCATCGCCAGAGGCTAACATATATTCTTCTCAAAGACAATTGTCGCCATACACCATTGGGCATTGTATCACAATGAAAAGCATTTTACAGACCCAGACCTTTATAACCCTGAACGCTTTCTAGGAGATCGGCGGTATGCCAACGACGACTTTGATATACTACAACCGTTCAATGTCGGACCTCGAAATTGCCTAGGAAGAAAGTATGTCAACGCTCTATACCGGCTTCTATAATTGACAACTGTCACTAATACACAGGCCCTAGCTTGGCATATGTTGAAATGCGAATGATCTTAGCGCGAGTCATATTCAACTTTGACATGAAGATTTCCGAGGAAAGCAAAGGATGGATGGAGAGACAGAAGATTTATTTATTCTGGCAGAAAGGACCGCTTCACGTACATTTAACTCCAGCCAGTAAATGATCATATATTGAAACTCTAGAAGGCGAAATATTCTATCTCGCGTTATAATGTCGTGATTCTATTCAAGCGAAATAAATATTTGGAGCATGCCATCTCATAAGATAGTCACCTATACAACTACCGCTGGTAACTCAATCTATAACTCCTCCATGTGCTTAACGGAACATTTGGCATCCATCGTGTTCACAACAAATCCCTTTCCACCTTCACCAGCTATCTCGGCTTCGAAGAGGACCTGCTCTCGTGCAGCTTTGAAAGTCATACCCTTACCTCCTTCAAATTGAATCTCAAACACTCGATCGATCTGTTCAAGAGACAAACGTGCAGTTTCGACATAAAAGAGCCAAATAAATGGAAGGAAGGCAATGTTGAAGATACCAAACATTAAATAGAAGCTCCAACCAAGATTATCCATGCCAATCGGTGTCACCATAACGACCACGTATACGAATAGCCAGTTTGTCGTGGTAGATATCGACGTTCCAACATTGCGCATCGACTGAGAATTGATCTCCGCAGGGTAAAGCCAAGGGATATGAAGATAGCTTATACCAAAGAAGAAGTTATAGACAAATATGAACACCACGCTCAGGATGGAAGTCGAATGTGTTCCAAGCCGAATACCAACAGCTATCAATATGAAGGCAATTCCTTGTCCAGCAGCGCCTATAAGCAGCAACGGACGTCGGCCAACTGAATCAATCGCTAGCATGGAAGTAGTTGCCCATAAAGTTAACGCATGGGAGTAAACTGCCGAGATAATCAGTGCCATCCGATCAGTGAAGCCGAGGGATCGAGTGAGCACAACGGGTAGATAATTTGCAATGATATTAACACCACAAGCTTGCTGCATCAGAGCAAGCCCAGCGCCTAGACAGATACGTCGCAAAGTTTGTGAGCGATCATTCTTCAAGAGATCACGAAAAGAGGCAGTTTCAGCCTCTTGCTCATGATGAACGGTGTTCACGAGAACCTGCAATGATTCCGTAATTTCCGGATCAGAGGGATCTTTATTGGCCAGACGAGCAAGAATATCTTGCGCTTCATCTAGGCGGCCCCTAAGCACCAACCAACGAGGTGATTCTGGCATAATCAAAGTCAAGAGCAATGTCACAATAGAGCAGAAAGATTGAAAGCCCAGAGGAAATCTCCACGAGACAGAGTTGTGAGGAAGGTAGGTAAAGCCATAATTCATCCAACTTGTGACGGCAATACCAAAGATGTTAAGTACCAGTTCCATGATAACTAGTCTTCCTCGATTATGTTGTTTCGAAGTTTCAACCTGCCACATGGGAATAGCAGTGGTGTTCAGACCAGTTCCGAATCCTCCAACGATGCGACCGACAATCATATGAGCAAGCGTACTTGCAGAAGCTTGCAATGCGCCGCCAATTGTCAGAAAAATACATCCCAGAACGATCGCGCGACGACGTCCGATTCGGTCGCCAATGAATCGTGAGCAGAGAGCGCCGAAGACCGCGCCAAGGTAATAAGTGGACGTGATTTGGGCTTGGATTGTGGAATTCGGATTGTTGAACGTAGCAAGGAAGTCTTCATTGTTGAGGATACCACCAAATACACCTATTCATTTTCGAAAGAAGGTTAGCTCGAACTGAAATATCATCCATGCATCATCGCAGTGTCACTGCGATCAACCCCAAGGAGGCTATGAAGCTGGCATACCTTGGTCATAACCGAAGAGGAAGAAACCTGCACCACAAGCAACTGTGATCCCCCAAGTAACGCTCTTTCCACGCAGCAGCACCATTTTGGGCTGAAATACTGACTTGCGAATTTTGAGACTGATGAAGAAAATATAGGGAAAATACAGTAATTGACAGGGACCAGACGTCTGCATTTATAGCAGAGATGTGGACATTTTAAATTGGGTGGGAAATCATTAACTTCGTGAAATCCCTAGGCTATACGCTTTTCCACCCACGAGTCATGGGATTGTTGAGAGTTGGGGGAAGTGGGGGTTGATCAAAGGAATTTTTGTTTTCCCTACAATGTGGTCCCCATCCAGTAATGATTCTGTGAGGGGAAAGGCTGGGGGTGATTCAATGGCGTCCCATGAGTACGATTTGTACATTGGTGAAGGTAAGTAATTGACCATGGATTTTGTTTGGATTTCTTAGATTCATGGTTACAAAAAGGAGGAAAGACTCCATAGATGAACACATGTGAATCTGGGGATTAAGGAGGGTCTGGGGTTTGTGTTCGGGGAAGACCTGGGGTAGATGCGGGGGCGTCTTATTCCCGATGTTATCCCGGTGAACTTTAGCGTCGAAGGATTCACTCGCATCCATGGTATTGGAATCGGGGAAGAAGGCTTATCCCTGCATATCTGTAAGCAAAGTCCAGAGGCTATATTGTCAGCATCTTTGTGGATTCCATGTGCATCTTTCTGAAATTGTAGCTCGACAAATATTGGAATATTGAGGTTTGTCCATTGTGCTTATATGAAGTTCTACATGTACATAAAAGGGCACTCCCGAATTCAGTGTAGAGGGGGCCGTGAAAGAATTGTAAAGTAATGTGATGCAAAGAAGTGAATAAATAAATGAAAGACAAATAATTGTCGAAAGTCATGATGCGGATGCTTCAAGGCTTAAAGCAGAAATGCGAAAGCTCGTCAAAAGCTTACCACTGCTGGAGGGTGGCCTCCCAACGCTTGATGAACTCAATACGAGCCTCGGTCTTGGAGAGAGGGCCAGAGCCCCAAGAGTTGCCAAGCCACATGACATCCTTGTCTGTAGTGGTGGTAGGCCAGTGGGTCAGGCCGTCGCCGTTGGGGTTTCCGGTTTTGATGAAGTTGGCCCAGTAGTTTGACATCTTCTCTTGAATCTTGTAGTCAAGAGGAGTCCAGGTCACGTTTGAGTAATCGGTGTACGGAATGTTGTTGAACACGTACCAAAGCTCACTACCATGGTAAGCACCAGCTGAAGCATCCTCGGCGGGGGTATGGGTCCAGTAGTATGTGTAGACATCGCTCTTGGCACCGCCAGCAGTCCAATCAACACCCCAGCGCCAGGTTCCAACGCGGCTAAGGTCCTGGAACAGTGCGTTGCTGTTATCGTTGGCCTCAGTCTCGTTGTTGCCGGGATAAAGAGAGAAGAATTCTTTGGCAAAAGTGCCAAACATCTCGGTGTATAGCTTCTTGTAGGTAGCAACAGTGAAGTCGGAGTCAGTAGCGGCACCTGACTCATCCTTGTTGTTTCCAGTTAGGATAGGAACATCGGCATGAGCATTGAGATCGAGAGCCTGGCCATAGTTGTGTGTAAGGACGTATCCGTCGATGTTTGGACGCCATAGAGGAGGCTCCATGAAGGAGCTGGTCAGGTTTTCAAACTGGGTGCCTTCAAAGATAGTGTCACTCAGAGAGCCGTAGCTAATAAGGAGCTCAGTTGACAGCTTGCGCATCTCAGCTACAGATGTCGAGTTGAGCTCCTTTTGGAATGAGACTCCCTGGGATTCGGCGGCAGCCTTGGTGCGGTAGCTGGTAGCGTCACTACCAGTGATAGGGTCGTGAGGGCCACGGGCTCCCGACTCGGAGATAACACCGTTGATAAGGTCCTTAGAGAGTGGGGAGTACATCATATCAAGCGAGCTGGAAGATCCAGCCGACTGGCCACCAACAGTCACCTGGTCGGGGTTTCCACCGAACTTAGCGATGTTCTCCTGCACCCATTGGAGGGCGAACTGCTGGTCCAAAAGTCCGTAGTTTCCAGAGCTGTTGTGTCCAGACTCGGCAGAGAGTTCAGGGTGAGCGAGGAATCCAAAGGCACCGAGACGGTAGTTCAAAGTAACCACAATGATATCCTTGCTGGCCAAACCAGATCCATCGTATGTGGCAACATCACCGGATCCAGCTTCAAAACGTCCCCCGAAAATCCAGACATAGACAGGCAGCTTCTTGGAGGTCAGATCACTGGTATCGTTGTAGGTGGGGGTCCAGATGTTGAGGAACAGGCAGTCCTCACTGGAGACATTAGATGCAGTGTTGAAGATTCCAGCGGACGACTGAGTCGACTGGGCGCACTGAGGCCCCCATGTATCGGCCTTCTTCACACCAGACCAAGCCTTGCGTGCCTTCGGCTTCTTCCAGCGGTTTTCACCAGCAGTACTGGCAGCAAAAGGAATTCCCTTGTAGACGGTAATATCATTACGGTAATCAGAAACGATTCCTTGGACAGAGCCCTTGTTGGTCTTGATAACAGGGTACTGGGAGGTAGATCTTGGGACTGGCTCAGCAGCAACCAGAGCTGACCCAATGGCCAGACTGGCAAGGAGTGAATTTAATAACATGACGGGCCAAGGATTTAAAGAAAGACTGGAGTGGAAACTATCAGATGTGAGATCTGCATGACTGCTTATATAGTTTTCAGTCCCTCTGAATAGAGACTTGGCAGGGAAGATAGTGCAGCGAAACGATACATGGCCAGTTACAATTGTGGATTCTTCCACGCAGACGCGTACGTTATGATCAACGTCACGGACCGAAGCCCGTGTTTGATCATACTAGGTGGAGTAGAATTAAGAAGCTTCCGCATGCAAAGTGCGGACGAGAGAACCCTTGCAGAATCTTGCTACAACCGAAGGTGGATCTCGGAGATAGTTAAAGTCGCCTTCGAGTTCCTAATTAGGAATGTAACCTGAAAATCATTGAGGTGCCGAGTTCAAAAGGCTGGAACCACGCGGATGCTGTGGATGTATTAGTTGCCGGGCCAAGCAGATATGTACCAAGGCGTTTTAACGAGCCAAACATGGAAATGATCCGTGACGAAATGCTAAAAATTGGTGCTAAAATTGGCGCCGTCGTTCTCCACATCCGGTGGTGCTTATTGAATATGGTGGATGGGACTATTTGAACAACAACTTAATATGATTTTAATCAATAGATTTACTCCTGGCTAATCAATTTAAGACTGCAAGTTTTGTATTAATAACTGGTCGAGTATTTTTTTAAGATGATGAGTGACCACTGGCAGTGCTGAATACTAGCCCAAGAGCATAAGCATACTTGGAAGCACAGCACAATTGAAGGAAAGAGGTCTTCATGTACAAATTATGGCATGCATAAAACAAAGCAAAAAAATTGTCAAAGTGGGCCAAATTAGAACAATATTATATTATAACTTAGACCTATATCAATAGCAAGGCCTGCGGTCAAGGCAAGGTGCAGGGACTACGAAAGGATCAATTGGAAACACCATAGGCAAACAGGGAGATTGATGACCGATCTAGAGATTTTTACCGGGGTTCCACAATGTCAAATGTGAGTAGTAAATTCATCCTGATGTCAAGTCATGAAGACTATGTTTGGTATCTACCGTTGGCGGGTGCCAGTTGTTCGTTCTCCAAAATGCTCAAAGGAGATAGCGGAGAGAAGGTAGACCTTAATCAAGGTAGGATTTCAAAGTCGAGATCTTTTTCAGTCTTGAGATCAATTTTCGTGGAATTATGAAAGGCGCCGGAAATTTCTGGTGCAAATAAATATTGATTTCTCATCATTAATTATGTCAGATTCATGATGTTGCCCCTCTTTTACACGCTGCACAACCTTCAATCCTTGGAAGTTGCCAAAATAACACAGCAAACAATTCCTGGAATTCATTTACTCGATGGCGTACTCTGAACAGCTTCTTCAGAGATGGTTTCAACATACCCAATCTCCCTTCATCGCCAATGCGCCGATGTTCGGATTCGCGGAATATTCCCTAGCTGCAGCTGTAACAAAAGCCGGAGGCCTCGGTTAGTCTATATCCTCTAGAGCTGATTTATATGAGCATTACGTACCCGTGCCTCCATTGCCTGTGCAATTTCTGGATATGTCCATATGCCCCAGTGTCTCCACTCTTCTAATTGTTCCAAAATAGGCTTCATCGGTGGTGGGTTTGATTTTACCACAGAGTCAGCACAACTCACGAGCCTGAATAATCAACTTGAAAAAGCACGTTCAGAACTGGGAGATATCCCTTCCACAGGCAATCTCCCTATTGGTGTCGGTTTTATTACCTTTCAGCCTGCAGGTTTTATTGAAAACGCTATTCCGATCCTGAGGAAGCACCGAGTTGTGGCCGTCTGGTTATCTTTTCCGGAATCTGACGAAGACCATCTTCCTATTATAGACGCTATTCGTCAAGCTCGGACGCAATCCAATTGGGATGTCCGAATCTTTGTGCAAGTGGGGACCGTCCAGGCAGCCAGAAATGCCACGCAGCAGAGCGCGGACGTCATTGTCGTGCAAGGCTCCGATGCGGGAGGGCATCAGTGGGCACAGGGAGCCAGTTTACTGTCACTTTTACCCGAGGTGCGAGACGCGATCGAGGATTCTGAGGCTGCATCGCGTACTGCAATCCTAGCAGCTGGTGGGATTGTCGATGGCAGGGGCTGTGTTGCGGCGCTTGGGCTTGGTAAGTTCACAGATCTATTGTGATACCATTAAATGGGATAGGTATATGGCATAGCCAACTGACTGATTAATGATTGCAGGCGCAGACGGTGTAGTCATGGGAACTAGAGTAAGATGACCTTCCCATTCCCCTAAATTCGGCAGAGTGCTTACAATTTTTTCAGTTCATTGTAACTGCTGAATGTCCAGCTCCATCTCATTTTAAAGAGACAATTCTGTCCAGTAATGATGGGGGTGTCTCGACGGTCAAGTCCACTCAGCATGATGTTTTCCAATCAACCGATGTCTTCCCTAGACAATATGATGGAAGAGCCATCATAGGTATCAGCTACAAAGAGGCTGAATCTGGTCTTAGCCAAGAGGAAATCATCAAGCGCTACAAAAACGCGACTGAGCAAAAAGAAGACTACCGACGGACAGTATGGGCGTAAGTCTCCACCTGAATGCTCGACTTGAAACTGGTATACTGGTGAAGTGCCTTCTAATGAATATCTTTAGTGGCGCCAGCGTTGGTGTCATTAACGAATTGCTAACTGTTTCCGATCTCATCAAAAATGTCCAGAAGGAGGTTAAGTCCACGCTGGACAGGGTCGCCCGGAGAATCTAGGAGGTCTAGTATATCCATCTTTATCAGCTTTGGATGAGACTTTACAAACCGGCTCGACACAAGCATAGGATTTTTGATCAACTTTGGGGCTCAATTCTTCTTCCAAGAAAGACTCAGGCCAATGCTAAAATCTTTGATTATGAGAATTGGCTTGTGCGTGTACAGCCTTTGGACTCTTCGATCCAAACTATATATGACTGGAGTGTACCAGAGTGAAAAATAAATAAAAATTACCGAACAGATGAATGGCTAGACTTTTTTTTTTTTGAAAGTACGAACTGTTATTTGCCAAGACTCGATTCACGTTGTTTGATGTTGAAAGTTGAAAGTTGTAAGTTGAAGTTGAATTCCCCGATCATCTCTATCACGGTTTGCTCCCCAATCAGGCAAGGTCCCCTCCCTTCCACCCTGTCAACCCCCCCCCCCCCCCCCTCTCTCTCTTCACTTACGGCTTCTCTTCCTCTTTAATTTCTTAGATCCCCCCCCCCCCCCCAACTTACTCTTGCTGAATCTTACTTAAACTATTTTCCTCTTCTTCCTCGCAGCTATTTCCCCGTGTATCTTCGGGGAGTCCATTATTCCCCGTTATATCTCGTCCTTGGCTCGGAGCTTGCGGTCGTGGTCGCTTTGGAGCTCTCAACCGCGTTTCGCTCCGCAGTGCTGGATACCATTTTCGGGTTTAGACCACGCCTCAAATCCGGCCAATAAACTCGCTAAACACTTTATTGCCATTGATCCTTCTTCCGATACTTTGCGATTACCTCCTCCGACAGCTTTATATCCACCCGACTCTATGAAGGGAGCTACTCCTTCTCCAAGCCCGGCTCCCGCGCTGAAAGCTTCACCCGGCCCGAAGTCAACACCTTCTCCTGCCGCAGGGAGCAAACGCAAAAGAGTGGCCGCCTCCAAATATTATGCGGTAAAAGTGGGATTCAAGCCGGGTATCTACTACGGGTGGCCCGAATGCTTAGCTCAAATCACAGGCTACAAGGGAGCTATTTGTGAGTAATTGGAATCCCAGGGAATCTGCAGGCCAATTTCCCGCCCTTGATTTTACCTGAAGCTAATCGACGTATGCTCTGCAGTCCAATCATTTTTAAGCCATGAAGACGCTACTGCTTTTTTAAACGGGACCAAACTTCCATCCGGCCACGCTGCGGATGGCACCGAGAGATATTATGGGATACAAAGAGGTCGCGTTCCCGGGGTGTACACCGACTGGTCAAAAGCACAGGAGCAAATTCGAGGGTTTACACGCCCACGATATCGTAAATTTTCAACACGCGAAGAGGCGGAGGAATTTGTGAGAGAGGGACAAACACAACCCCCAGTCGGATTTGAAGACGCAAAGAAACCCACAGGCCCCCATGGCATAATGAGTGAAAGTCTCAAAGATGAAGAAGGTGCTGAGTATGCTCCCGGAGAGGGTCCTCTACCACAAGGCACAGAGGATCAATTCGATCCAAATGTGCTGCTCGACCCTGCCACAGGGAAGGTGGTCTATAAAACAGCACCTCAAAAGGCCGCCACCAAAACACAGGTGGTGGGGATACCAGGGATGCTCCGGATATACACAGACGGGAGTTCCTTGCGAAACGGGACCCCATTGGCATCAGCTGGGGTTGGCGTTTATTTTGGGCCTGGGGATCCAAGGTTTGTTCCCTCGATTTTTCCTTCCCATTGGGAAATACCAACGTTTCTGACATTTAAATTTTGATGTCCTAGCAGGAATGTATCGGAACCATTGAAGGGTAGCCGTCAAACCAATCAGCGAGCAGAATTGACAGCAATCCTGCGAGCTATTGATATTGCCCCTCGACATCGAGATGTTACCATATTCACTGACAGCAGATACTCGATTGACTGCGTCACCGTTTGGTTTAAAAATTGGCGCCGTAACAATTGGATGACAAAAGACAAGAAGCCCGTGGAGAACCGAGACCTGGTTGAGTCCATTTTGGTGAAAATTGAGGAACGAGCAGAGCTCAAGGTTCAGACCATATTCCAATGGATCAAGGGACATGCCCAGGATCCTGGGAACGAGGCGGCCGATCGATTGGCTGTCAATGGAGCTCACCAGGGTGTGAAGCAGAAGGCTGAGGCGTTGGAAGCTACCCAAGACGTACCCGATGAGACGTTTGAAGATGATTTCTGAAAATTCCATTGCATAGTTTCATTGTCCTTTATCTAACGATCATCATGAGAAAATACCAGTGTCATTTTGCGAGTAATAGTTGGTATAACTTGTATGTACTTGGTAGTGTAGTTCATAGTTTGCCAAGTCCCGCTTTTTTCACGTTGTTCCTTCCCCCACACAACTCTGCGAACAGCAAATCTTCTCTTCTTCCATCATCCCACCCCCGTCTTCCAAAGGAATCATCGACCTCTTAATCACCGTGGCCTTAACCTGGAACCGGTTCTCTATTTCACACATGATCGCCTTGTGCTTCATCCAACTCATTCAAACTATGATTCGATAACATTTGCTCCTTGTTCTACTACCCGTTGACGGTGACCGAAAGTCGTTGACTTTAACTCTGCTACATTGTCTTCGTCGATTTCGATTGAACGTTACTCCAACTTTGATTCTCTTCTCGTAAACTAGATTGAACCCCTAAGATTACCCATCTTTCGTTCTCGATCTACAAATCTCGGACACTGGTTCTCCGTATCGGCTGCCCGATCGTGAAGATTGCATCATCGGCAACATGCCAGCCCTCTCACTGATCAACTTCAATATCGTCTGTGCCACTCTTGGAGGATTTGTATCACTTTTTGGCCTTGTGTCTTATCTATGCAAGGAGAAGTTTTATCTCTCCGAAGCATGTGAGTGACTCCCCTTGCCGCCAGTATCATACAGTAATTATAATAAGCTTGCGGCGAATGACTGACGCATTGCATAGTAATCTCTTTGCTAGCGGGTGTTGTCTTTTCTCCCCATGCAGCCAATTTCATCAGACCGGGGGATTACGCTTTGCACTCCGAAGCGAACCTCGAAGCTATTACCTTGAACTTCACCCGCCTAGTATTGGGCGTGCAACTAGTTCTAGCAGGTGTTCAGCTCCCAAAGCGCTATCTCCAGATCGAATGGCGGAGCTTGTCTCTACTTCTCGGCCCCGGGATGGTCGCGATGTGGATTTGTAGCAGTTTGATTATTTGGGCCATGGTCCCGAACTTCAAGTTCCTTCATGCCCTCATTATTGCATCTTGTGTTACGCCGACTGATCCCGTCCTTTCGAATTCGATTGTGAAGGGGAAGTTTGCCGATAAACATGTTCCGCGTCCACTGCAGCGGATAATTGTGGCGGAATCCGGTGCTAATGATGGTCTGGGTTATCCGTTTCTGTTCTTTGGTATCTATATCCTTAAGTATACTGGTATGGGAGGTCAAGGATACAGTGGTGGCGCTGGCAAGGCTATGGGTCTATGGTTCTATGAGACTTGGGTATATACTATTCTTTTGAGCATTGTATACGGAACAGTAGTCGGTTGGCTATCGAGAAAGTTGCTGCATTGGGCCGAAGAGAAGCATTATGTTGACAGGGAGAGCTTCTTGGTGTTTGCGATTGCCCTTGCGGTAAGTTTCCAGCTGAAGATTCAAAACAGCGATGCTTATTCTAATGATAAACACAGCTCTTCATCCTTGGTACTTGTGGACTCGTTGGCACCGATGACCTTCTCGCATGCTTTATTGCCGGGAATGTATTCACGCAAGAGTAAGATACTATTCTATTTCGAAGAAATAAATATAATGACTGACCTTTTCAAAAGCGATTGGTTCCGCCTTGAGACTATAGATGACTCTCTTCAGCCAACCATCGATATGCTTCTCAACTTGTCCATGTTCATGTGGTTTGGTGCGGTCTGCCCATGGAGATCATTCTTGGATAATGATATTATTCCCATCTATCGACTCATTTTCTTGGGTATCCTCATTCTACTGGTCCGTCGGATGCCAATAATCTTTGCTCTGCATAAATATATCCACCAGATCGATCATCTTTCACATGCAGCCTTTGTGGGATTCTTTGGCCCTATTGGAGTTGGTGCTGTCTTCTATCTATCGATCGCTCGAGAGTTTCTTCTGGAGATCAAAGTCGATGGTAATGTGCGAGAGGATGCACAACAAGTAGCAGATGCTGCCTGGGTCGTGGTGTGGTTTTTGGTTATCTGTAGTATTGTGAGTATTCCCCCGTCCCATCAGAGTCCGAAAGATTTCTGACAGTATACTCTAGGTCGTACATGGATTGTCTGTCCCCGTTGGCAAAGCCGGCTACAATCTTCCTCGGACTCTCTCCACTGTCATAACTACAAGTACTTTGGAAAGCGAGCCTATGCCTATCACAAACACCCGTCATACTCATAGCACTGCAACTCCAGTTGAGAACGATGCCTCAAGCTTCCGCTCGCGTAGGCGCCGACACAACTCATCGCCGACCCCGCCGTTGTTCCGTCTTGGTCGGTCGGTGATCTCTTCGCCATCGCCTTCTTTCCACCAGACGCAAACTGGTGTTGGGCAGACTGATGAACCCGAGCGGCCTGTAAACTTGGTTCTTCACGAATCTGTGAACAGTTTGGGTGAAAGGTATGATGATTGATCTTATTTTAACTTGGTTTTTGTGGTGACAACGTAGTTGGACTGTTTGTTAACTCAGTATATAGCCCACCTTAAAGCATTCAAGCCAGGTGGCTTGAGTCAAATGATCCACCAATCACCAACTTGAACTTGATCCTTATGAATCCCACTCTCGGTTGATAAAATCGAATTCTGCTTGAGTTTTTTACACTTTGATTCTTCTCTCCCTGTCTATTCTGCTTCATTCGCCAACTATTTGTCTCTCGTTTATATAAATTTGTCACTATTGTCAAATAAGCAAGCGCATCAGCCTTGCTTCACCCGAGTATGTTATTATTTGCTCTTATTTATTCTCATATATGTTCCACGGCTATAAATAGCGAATGAAATTTTAATTTGCATCGGACTGAGGACCCAACTAGACTCCGTATGGGACTCTTACGATCGTCCTGAAACGTGGAGAAAAGGCGTAGGGACGGGCTGGCATCAGGGAAAACAAATTGATTGGTTCAATACCGATCTAAACAATACGCACAGCGTGAATCTCAGCCTTGCTAGGAAAATCTAATGCATTCGATTGGCTCAATGGCAATCGCGAACAGACCGGCCCCCACGACCACGTCTCCGCCTCCGCCCCCAATGGACCCCGGGCTATCCTTTAGATAAAAATAGCAGCATACCCACATGGTTCAAGTCGATTATACTAGTTTGGGCAGTTTGTTTGGCCAAACGAGTGCTAGTTTTGTGGATTTTCCTAGAGTCTAATCTACCTCGAGTAAGACTGAGGATGATGAGGATTTGCACCCACTAAACTTTCAACTCGAGGTCCGAGTTCGGGCCATCGGGCCATCATCAAACATATTTACACCGTAATGTAGAGCTCACAGGAGGCTTAAAATGAGAGCCAATAGAATCCTGTTCATGTAGATGATCGATCCTGCGTAGTTATTCCAAGCCCCAGGATCAACCCCAATCCTCTTCCAAGGTTCTTATATAAGGGAGCGAGGCTCTTCATCCCAGGCGTTCGCAATACTTGACTTTTTGTTCTTAAAAGTGATTAATGTCATCATCCGGGCATCCTATACAACCTGATCATTTGTTTTAACAAAAGCCTTTACATCAATCCATTTCACTATAACGATGGATCAAACGGGATATGTGTCTCCCCCTCCATCTCCACCATGGGACGCAGACTCCATCGGTCTTTCACCCCCAATAGACTATTCATCACTCGTCCCTCCGTCGCTGGTAATTCCGGGCCAGGACCAAAAGCGTGACTCGTTATCAGGCCCTCCACAAAGATACCTTAATTACAAGCGCGCCTCACAAGGTCACCCACCTCCATATCGAAACCGCTGCAACCGTGCCTCAATGCCGATACAGATCCAGGAACAGAAAGAACAAATGGACAATGACATATACAAATATGACAAACCAACTGCACCTCCACGACCTAAATTCCATTACATCTCTGAAGCCGATTCCAACCCCGTCAACATATCCAGAGCCTCAACCCGTTCCGAATCAACACAAACGAGTGGCTCTGATACACAAGAGTCTACGACAGAACCTCAAACAAAAAGAAAGCCAACTCCACCGGGACTCGGATCTAGAGAAAGCGCTCAATATAAGGATATCAATCAAAAACGATACTACCAGCCTACAATCATCGGCATGGATAAACCGGACCTCTCTCTCGATCAATCACAACTTGAACACGACAAACTCGCATCTATCACTATAAATATCATTTCGAGTGATAATGAAACTCTTTGGTCAAAAACATGTCCTGAAATTAAGCAGAACCGACCTATTATAATGGGGCCTCCTGTGGAGGCTTTGCGGCGCGGAAAAGTTCAAAACAAACCCGTTTCGACAAATCTGTTGAAGCGTCTTAGGTTCAAGTCGAGATCTCGTGGGAGATCAGCGGACTCATAGTGTTGTATTTGGATATGTGAATGATTTTGATATTATTGTGGCTTCCTTTCTCCCAGATATCTATCTTTCAGTTCAAGGCAAAGTCTACCTATACAGAAGCGAGAATCGGGGATCCTTCCCTTTTAAATGATACCCAATGCAATAAAATTATTTAACTACAATATTTTGATTAAGGGAGTTAGATTATTACTCGAGCTCCTTCAATGTAAAGAGCACACGCAAAAAATGATTCAATTGAAAAAATTAACGAGGCAAAAAGCATAAGTCATATTTGCTTCTGCGTAAGCTATCTTCATGAAAAACGTTCCGCATCGCCAAGATCAAAGAAAAGAGATAAAAAACCCCACTTGAACTCAGGTATGGTACATTATGGTGGAGAGAACCCTGTCAGCAAACGCCGGCAGCCAATCGGTAAGCTCGATGCCATACCGAGTCTCTCCGAACACTGCATAACCCCGAGTAGATATGACGGCCCAGTACTCTTCAACTTAAAGGGAAGCACTATGCAGCTCTCGCACGCGGCGAGAGAGAGGAGGAAGACGACGAAGAAGGGGATCATGTGGGTTCTCCGCAACGAGCCTCATGTACAGAGTGTTCAGGCGTTCAGTCAACACAGACATGATCCGGGCAGAGACACCAGCCAGTTCAGGATCCTGGGATAGAATTAGTTAGCATGAGGGATGTATGAAATGAGTGAAGCATTCGGGTTCGGAACGTACGCGAGGATCAAAGCCATTGAGTACTACACTGAGCCAATGGAAGCGCTGGTGGAGGTTGTTCTCCAGTGAGGTGGTTACGGCCACGCCAACAGACAACATGATAATAGGCTGGAGCCTGGCCAAGAAAGATGGATCCAGGCGGCAAAAGAAATGATCGAACACCTCTGCCTGGTGCTCAGATTGAAGCCACTAAATCGAATATTAGTACTGAATTTTGCTGTTTGAGAATATTAGGGAACTAACCTTGATGATGGCCTCGTCAGGACCAGCGCCCTGTTCGAAGACATGTCTGATCTCAGCGATCTCAGCGCCCAAAGCAGGGGAAGGAGGCGGCTGCAACGTATTCAAAGGACTCTGGGTTGGGGCAGGCGCCAGAGCTGGGGCATGGACTGGAGCTGGAACTGGGGCCCGAGCGGGAGCCCGAGCTTGAGGCTGGACAGGAGCAGGCTGAGCTACAGGCTGGATGCCAATCTGGGTAGGCTGACCCTGAGCATGAACGGGACGATTCTGGGCTGGTCCAGCGCGCGAGAAACCAGCAGGTGGACCAGATGGGTGGCTGTTAACGTCGGTAGCTGGTCGCTCAGTGACAGCGAGCTTGTTGACAGTGGAGGTCAGAGTACGGATCATGTCCTCCATTTGTTCAAGCTTGGCGTTGGTAGCCTTGCGTTCCTGGTTACGTGACTCGTCCGCGCGTCTGATTTGAGACTGGGCATCCTCATGGGCCTTTTTACTATCCTTGGCCATTTTCTCGATCAGAGGCATGAGAGAATTATGGACAGCCTTGATTATGCCATTCTCGACGCGGGTGCTGATTTTCTGCGTGACAAGTTCGGCACACGAATCAATAAAGCCAGTGTTTTGCAGAGACTCTGAAACTGAACGAGGAAGGGCAAGGTGAAGCTGTTCACTGACGACACGCGAGACAGCCTCGTTGGTAGCATCCTTGATAGCAGGAAGAACCTGAGATGAGATACTCTTGTTGATCACGCGATCGAGATTCTTCTCAACGTCCTGTGAGAGCTTGTCAGAGACCAGGCGAAGAACGGTCTCTTGTTTCTTGTTCGAGGCAGTATCCCACTGGCGACGCTCTTCATCAAATCGGGCAAAAAGGGTTTCAATTTCACGGCCCAGAGACGCGTTGAATCCATCAGAGACTGCAGCACGTAGGTCTTCAAAGTGTTTGACGATGGCGTCATTTGTGACACCGTGGCCAGTAAAGCTTTCATCAGTCTCCATTGTTGCGAGGGTGGATGCGAGATTTCCTGAGTCTTTCGGTTGAGAAGTGAGGGGAAGAGATTGAACACCAGCGGTGGCGGTGGGTTCCTTGGCTTTGACGGGAGCCTCAGGAGTCTTCTTCTTCTTTTTCTTCTCAGTCTTCTCAGCACTACTGGGGGTAGGGACAATGTCCAATGGCTCCTCAGAAGGCTTTTTCTTTGAAGAAGTTTTCGTGGGTGAGGGGTTACGAGAGGGAACAACACCAGAAGAAGGGTCAGCGATGTCGTTTTTCTTTGCAACCTCTTTCGCTGTGCGTGAGGGAGTGGAGGCGGTATCACCATTGACAGAGGGGTCATCAGCGGTGTAAGAGGGGAATGATTGAAGGTCAGTGATTTCAATTGAACCGTCCTCCAATGCATCGATGGGAGTGATAACTTTGTTATCTGTAGTCCAACCCAGATCCTCCTTCTTAATGTTAAGACAAGTCACTCCACGGGAGTGCATCACGTAGAGCTCGAACAGATCGCTTTCCTGCGAGTTGCGTTTCTCTGTGCCAGCCCTAGTGAGAGACAGGAGCTCTAGGCTTCTTAGTTGACCCTTAGAGCCAAGAGAAATTTCTCGAATGCCACTGAGGCATGCGGTTGAATCAGGCTTTGGTAGGGAACTGTCCTTCTCCGTCGCAGCCTTGATGAATGCAGCCTGTGACATGCCAGGCAAATTGTACCGTGGCGCAGAGAGATGAACGAAATAGATCGAGTTTCTAGTTGGGTGTCCCACTACGATGATACCTGACGATGGGTGATATGCCACGCTGCAGATCGCGTCCGACTCGTTCTCATGGGGGAACTTCAACTCTTCCACAGCCTTGCCTAGCCCGATATCCCAGAGCTGCAACGTGTGGTTCTGCTTGAGTCCCACCAGAACATATCGAAGGGCATTGGATCGTGAGTAGGGACGCAGCTTATCCAAGAAGAGCACAGATGTGGGCCAAGACTTCTCTGCTGGGGAGCCAGTCACAAATGTGTTTAGAGGAACCCGCACCTCGTTCGGAGTGATGCCTTCACCAAAGTTGGAACGGTCCAACACGTCACGAATATCCCAGAAGCGCAATCGACCGGTCTTATCCAGAGAAGCGATAACAGTATCGTCATCACTGAAGGCAAAATCCTTTCCAGCTTTACCAGTAGAGATCTTAAGTGCACGCTCCTTGAAGAATTTCTCCGTGTTTACGGTACGTTGCGACCCGGACACGCCATAATTGGCATTCATAGCAACTGTGGGGGAGACGACATAGATATTCTTGCCGCGTCCAATAGCGAAGAGATCTGGATGACGAGTGCTTCGTTTGGCCCGCGTTTTCAGCTGGCCGCCAGAAGTATTCTCGTCTGAAGCCGGGAACGGCGGGAAGATAAGGCTTTCACTTTCCAGAGCATCATGCTCAAACAGATCCTTGCCCTCTCGAGAAACGAGGGCCCAGTAGACAGCGCCACTGACACCGATGCCCAGAATGGCCTGCACATCAGGCTGACCCGAAACAGTGACAGAAGTGCATAATGTGACATTGAAGACACGGTCACGGGTAGCACGGAAGACTTGTCGGTCGCTTCCATCGTCTTGGCGAATGATTCGAATTCCACCAGACTTTGCGAGCGCATAAACAATGTAATCAGAGGTAGCTGAAGTAAGCGAGCGATCCAGTTGGTCGAAATCCTTCTTGAGACGTGCGATATCCATGATACCATCATCGCGGAACACCACAAGCTTTCCAGTTCGTGATTTGACGGTAATAGATATGAATGGCTTCAGGGGGAAGTTTTGAACAGACACAACACGCTCTTCTTCCTTTTCAGCGCTGTCCTCGGCGCTCTCCCAGCTATCAGCCAGAGCCTCGGCATTCTCATTCCGGGTCTGGGTAACAGTGGCTGCGGTCTGCGGTTCAGTCGACGCCTTAGCTGGCTGAGAAAACTCAGTCAACTCAGCAACTGCTTTGGCTTCGGTAGCAGTCTCCCGCAAATGGCCAGCAATGGATGAGATAACCGCCTCGGCAGTGTCATCCTTGGCTGGGGTGTCGAACCCAGCTTCCGCTTCCACGGTCGGGACTTTCTCCCCATTGAGCGAGAGTCCAATCTCATCAACAAGACGACCAACGACATCAGTTACAGCCCGTTGCTGGTTTGGCTCTAGGACTGGCGACTTGCTGCGCTTCGGCTGCTGGGGTGCTGCCAATTCTACGGGTGGGGAAGGCTCATCATCCACAGAGACAGAGACATCAGTCGTCAAAGCTTGCGTGGTTTCAACAAACGTCAACTCCTCTTCCTCTCCTTCTTCAAACTTGGGCTGAGGCGACTTGGTTTGTGGGGAGATAGCAGCAAGCTGGTCGAATGGGTTGACGTATGTGAACATCGAGTCCTTGGAGGGAGATACGACCGTTTCCGGCTTCGCAACACTCCCAAACAAGGATTTCACGGTGTCCGTGAGGGCATCGCCATTGTTCAATGAATTTGGATCAATGGATGCAGCTTGTGGAATTGACTGGTGAGCTGCAACTGAGATGGGAGGCTCCGCTGGTCCTCCCTCATGCTGAGATCGGTTGAGCAACCGAAGCAACATATCCTGGGTAATGTCATTGGAAGCACCCTCGACTCTAACAGGAGCTACGCCTACCTCTGCAGGGGCAGGGACATGTGCAGGTGCAGGGGGAACCTGCGCTCCACCAAAGAGAGAAGCCACCAAGTCTGGCCCGGAAGTGTTTCGTCCGTGCGACGAGGTGAGCTCCTGAATCGGTGGGGATTGCGATTGCTCCGGACCACCAACAGAAGAGGACAAGGGAGATTGAGCCCCAGTGCCTGAACCTTGACTGAATCGAAGAAGATTCAGTAGGTTGACAGCACGATCCGGGTTGTTCGGTTGCGGCGGCGGAGGTTGGTTCCATTCAGGGCGAGGAGTAGGCACGTTAGGACTAAGGATATCGGAGTCATGACGCGGTGCAGTATTCGCCGGATGATTGGGGGCAGGGCTCGGAATTCCTGATGAAACGGAGGGATGATGATACCCATGCGCCGCCATTTGAGGATGCGGGTAGTTCTGACCATCATACGGCGGATACTGAGGGTGAGGTGGGAACATGCCGCCAGGTTGGTAGGATTGAGATGGGCGCTGTTGCTGCTGATGATAATCTTGGGCAGACCCATTAGGTGGCGACGGACGAGGCTTAATTGAAGCCAAAAGGGCCTGGAGATTGTTGGGGGTGGACATTTCTGTCACTCGTCATGCACGACGACCTCCGAACGAAATTCCCACACAAGCTTGCGGGAGCTCTCCTCGGTAGCTCTCTCTTTCGAGGGAGAATGTGAGAGCAGAATGCAAGAGACAATCGCAGAAGCTTGACAAAGCAAATGATCGAATTAGTTGGATAACAAAGAGAAGAAAATGAAAAAGGGAGACCGTGAGATCGTGAAAGAGTGATAGTAAAGAGTAGAGTTGAAAGATGAAAGGTGAGAAAGAAGTTCGGAAGTTCCTAATGCGCAAAGATTTGAATTCGGGCTAGCTGTGGCTGGTGTGACCGTGTAATTACATTACCATTGTTACCATCCCTGTCACTGATCTGGACTTCGTCATCGCTGCAACTTCAAATCTTCAAAACGCAACCCTTTTATCCCCTACAGCTGTCCCTGCAAGATTATCTTATATGGGGCAAATACGCATGGATATACAGGAACCCATACAACTTTACATAGGGAGCTCTTGATCTTACCTTGAAACCTCTATTCACTTCAACCTTGCCCACCATGTTCTGTCTACGGAGGTAAGCTTCATGCCTTAAAAGCAGACCAAGTCATAAAAGCCACCCCAAACAGAAATATATCACCAAAAGAGGGGAATAAATGACAGTTCTTCTAATATACAGTTTTTGCAGCTGGCTTCCACTCCTCTTCATCCCAACCAACGCCTCTCCACTATTCATCATTTCTTTCGTCGCCCTCACCTACATCATCCACCGACCATGCATATACTGTTCCGCACTCCTCCTCATTCTCTTCGCCTCATCTTGCCACTGGTCCGATAGATGCATCTTCGATCTGCGCAGCAACTGGTTTGCGCCGCGCTATAGCTCCGAGCCAAATAACTACGCTTCTTTCGCCGGGAACGCCACTATGCCCGCGCCACTACCAGGCGATAGTCTGGCCGGGTTCGCATTCGATACGTTTAACTCAACGGCCAAGGCTCTTGCGGGGGCTGCGTTTGACAGTGCACAGCAACACCTTGGGCTTGAGACTCGGCCGGAGGAGTGGACTGGGGTTGGACTGGAATGGTTGCGCAGTCTTTTAGGAAGACGGGAATGGACACTCCCTTGTGTTGATGTCAAGGTCCGGCTATAGAAGAAATCAAGAGAAAACATGAAATGGCCAGGGTGGGATTTGACCTGGTCGTTTCCTCCAGCTTTATAAGATGCAAAGTGCCTGCTGAGGGTTTTCGCGCAAATGATATAAGATTTCCTTTGTTTTGTTACGAGATATGCCTACTGCAGATGGAGATGGGAATGATGAGCACTCTATTTGGAGTGGAAAAGGATGCTCATATTCAAACAAAATGGGTTAACTGTCGACTACTTGTTATGCCGCTTCCAGAGGGTTGAGACAACACTGTACATAAATAGATCATTGGATATTCAAAAATTGACATTACAGACGTTTTGGTCAAAGAAATATTAATCGATTTATTCATATCATTGCGTCGTCGCGTAATCAAACCATCCTCATCGAATGTCCATACTGAGGTACATTATCAATGTGATCATATAGATAACAGCCCATAGAGACCCCAGGCACAACTTTTTGATAGAATCAGGAACAAAAGCATAAGTATCACCAAATAATCATGGTTCTAGAGTAACTTAGTAGCAGTTGGCTCAGCATTTACTGCATGGGTCTCATCGGTCTTCCATGCCGAGGTATCAAATCATGATGGTGGCCGAGTGACCGGCGGTGGCGCGTAGGTGATTTCCGTCTCAAACAAAGTCGTAAAGGTATGAGAAGGAGAAACGCCCACGTCATCCTCAACGTTCGCCGCAACGCAAATACCAAGAGCTTGTAGAAAGTTGTTTACGGGTGCAATACAAGCCGCGCAAGAGCATATCTGAGTAATTAGAAGTATCAGTCAGAGTCAGAGGAAAGGTAAGTAAATTTCCATAGAACAAGCAGAGAGGGAGAAAAGCTGACCTCGCCTAATCCACCACTTAGACAATGGCGTAAAGCCGACGTGTCTCCGGTTGATACGGCGGATAGAACACATGTAAGTGTCCCTTGAAGCCCGATGCATGCAACTAGGTTACATGTTGGTGGTAGCTGTTCGACAGCTTGACGATTTTGTTCCAGAACTAATAATTCCAATATTGAATAAGCCATGTGGTCGGTGATAAGAAAATGGTTGAATAAGCAATATCAGTGGACTTCATGATGTATGAGGAGCGGATTCCATACAAGATTTTTGATGCAGGTTCTTTGACTGGTCTCGCTGGTTAACTACATGTGAGGATGCTCCAAGAGTGACCAAGACAGATGCCAAAACCCCAGTAGCAATGTTGATACGCATTTTACTTTGAATTTCACTGTGATGTTTCAAGGCCGGCTGTCAAAATAGATTCCCGGAGGTGTCTATAGGGTTCAAATTTGCTGCACCTAGGCAGTGAAGAGTCAAATCGGCTTTATGTTTTCAAGCTACGTGCCAGTCACCTCCGAGGAACTATATACCGCAATATCAATGATCTACAAGGTCCTACAAAGTTTTGGAAAGGAAACCTGCAGCTCGATCAGCATATAATACTGATTCAAATGACCAATGCCACATCTTGAAGGACCATGCCCAGAAAATACCAAGCAAAAGGGAGTTGATGGGTTGCACCATGTCGCATTGAGTTTTGTGTTTCTGTTCTAGACCCTTACACACATAGCATACTACTCCAGGGCTATTATATAAATCGATGTATGTATGTATGTATGTATGTATGTATGTATAGGTACTATTATGACAGAAGCACCATCATTGAAGATATCAGAGAAATCCAGTAAAGATAATCAGCCTCCGATTCAATGGGAAAGCACAAAATAGAGAGAGATAGATTATCGGACATGGGATTATAACTTAAGTACAAGGCTGAGAGGTATCTGACAATTGAAACATAGAAGGATATACCCACAATAAGATGGCCAACCTGTCATTAGATCGTGTCCCTCGTTGAGTGGCCATAGAGGGATCAGGAAGGGCTAGATTATGAGTGAAAGACATGGCAAGCCATTGGACAGACATTAACAAGAGAAATGAAAAAAAGAGGATAAAACAATTAATCGTGAAACATGACCCGGGGGAATGTGGTATCACAACGTCAAAAGCTCTGTTCATCGTTGACGAAAATGTCACAAGGAAAGGATTGAACGACGCGGCGAGTCTGAAAAATGGATGAATAACAGCGGTATGTATTGAACAAAGACATGGAGTAAATCTGCAAGTACCAAATCAAGATCGAAATGAAAATACAATTAGTTGTAACCACTGCCCACGGGCAGAGGCCAGTCATCTTCTGTGATACTACTCCAGAAAGTCCATAGACCGACAACGGAGAGGAGTGTAAAGAGAGTTTCGAACAAGGTTCCGTTGATCTTGCTGCCGGAAGCCGTACAGAGGTGGACGCTGATGACATATTGAAAGATTTGGCCAATGGCAAAGAGGACCGCGGCACCAGCCAGGTAAACTGTATTAAAAAGCATTAGTAGTCTATTCTCGAGAGCATTTCTGCCAAATTTCAAGGTATACATACGCATAGGCCGAATCTCTCCCAGAACACGCAAAACCAGCACCGTCTCAAGGAGGAAGAACACCACTAGGCAGACCAGAGGGAAGAGTTGATACAAGACGTAAAGAGCGATGTTGCGGTAATTGCTGGCTGAGCTGGCATGGAAATGGCCAGACCAGTTGAAGGCTGTATCAAGGGCAATATATCCAGTGCCAATGAAGATAACAGCGGCAGATGAGGCGATTAAGCCAAGAGATGCTGCTGTGCCATCATCGAGTAGCTGGAACCCCACGAAGGCATTCAACAATAAGATCCAACAAGTTGCCGCGATTGCTCCAAGATGAATTGCCGAGAAACCCTTTGTGCATTCAATTAGCCTTGTTGCAGTCTAAATTCCGCATTGGAAAAAGCCGTTCAACTCTCACTTACCTTGCGAACTTTATCCTCGAGTGGAAGTCCACCCACGGTGAAAATCTCACATATCTCGATAATGATGAATCCTAGAAGAAACAGTTGCATTTCACTGTTTGATATCGTGTGTTAGCTTCTGATACTTGCGCGAAATAGGCCCTCAGACGAGAAATACGTACCGACGTCCGACGGCGGCATGCTTCTTGTCCGACCTCCACAGCAAAAAGAGCGATACCAAGATAGCGACAAAGGCGAGCAAAATAGACCCTGTAATTCAAATTAACCTCCGCCACTCCAATACACATATACGATTTCCCGTCCCAGTTGCATTCATACCGAGATTGGCGAGGTTTCGATCCCCACTCAGATCGATACCGTAGAGCGGACATCCTCCAAAGTTCTTGTTGGGAGGCTGGTTGTCTAAGAAGAGCTATAACACGCGACCGAAGATTTCCCGTTAGTTTAGTGTACCTCGCACAGTTTTAGTTATCGAATTTATGGTCTCACGAACATTGCAGACGGGTAATGTCGAGTCGCGACAGAAGTCCTGTAATACCCGGGTCGGGTCTGTGGTCAGCGGGGGGACTGTGACCTATTAAATGGCGAAGCTGAAGGCTTTCGAACGCCCTATTCTCCCGCACTCACCTTGAAGTTGCCAAATTGCGTTGAACCCATGGCGAATACGAGGCGATCACGATCGTTCAGGTGAGGGGCGCGACGAGGACGTGCTGAGTTGGGGACGGGGAACCGGAGCGTCCCCTGACCCGCGCGGAAAAGACGACTTCACAATCGAAAGGAGATGAAGGTGGCGGGTGAGGGCGAGAAGGAATCAGCAGAATCGACCTGGGAGGCTCTAAAGGACGGTGAAAAACGAGAGGAGTCAGGCCCAAGAACGAGAGGAGACGGTTCCAGGTTTCCAAGGTTGGAATTCGGGAAATTGGCACTAGTTGGACTAGGCTCAAGTGGGCTTTCAACGCTAAGCAAAATCTGGGATCACAAATTTCAGATTGCAAATTTGGCTATGGGAATGATTTGGGGCTGAACGATGAATGATAAATCGATTCAAACATTCCAGCTAGAATATCTTTTGATCTTTGCCTTCTCGAAGATCTAAATTCTAATGTTCTATTCTTAACTCATGAATGTGCCATGGGAGACGGCCAGATCCGTTGGTTCAGCATTTTTGGCTCCAGTTGTTGCCGTGGGAGAATGATGACTAAGGAATTAGCACACCACATCATGATTTTTATAGCATAGAGTATGCAGTGCTATACTGTACTATTCAAATTTGGGGCTTCATTTTGTTTGTCCTAAGGTATCCACTAAACATCTGCAAGCAAAGTAATCATCTTCAAATCCATTGGATCCATCACCCTTGCATAATTAACCCGCGAAATCAGCCTGGTCGACGGGGCGACGCACAATAAACTCCACAGCCCATATGTCCTCGGAGTTATTCCTCCATCGCGACAGGCGTTTTTCCAATCCAGCTCTCCACTAAACATGTGTATGAAGAAGTGGCGATGGAGCACCCCGGGAAAAGAGGCAAAGGATCAACAGGCCCCCTCCTCTTATGAGACGCCCACTTGTCCCACCCAGGACGGGAGATCAGCACCAGCTGCGTTTAGCACACATCCTCCACCACCACCTCCCTACCATCATGCTCGCCCAGATCTAGTTTCAACGTGCGTCCAAACAATTCTAGGAGCATCTCAAAACATGATTTGGTGATTGCTGGGTCATATCGGCCCTTGCTGAGTTCATCCCGAATAAACGCATCTAAAGTACGGATATCGATGATCAGCTTGAAGGATCTTGCATCGTCGTAATAGAGCGATATGAGAAGGGGGGAGAAGAAAAAAATAAACAAGAAAAGACTCACGTTGTGCCCACGCAACTTCATAGAAACTAAACAGGACCCCCTTATCATGGAGGTTCTTGCGGATCAAATCGCGACCCTCAGGAGGGACGTGTGTGTCGCTTTTGCCAAAGATCTGTAGACAATCAGTAACTCGCAAATATGTAAATAGCCCGCCATCCAAAATATGTAAAGTGTGTAGAGCTCAAGATCCAGAAAACCCAAAAGAAAGAGACACCCATGAAGAGAAATCAATGAACTCACCATCAACAACTCGCCCTTAATATCCCCAGTCCTTTCAAGACTGTCATCATTCTTACCCGCAGCCAGGGTCTTGCCGTGGATATCCGTGGCAAAGTAACACACGGCTGCCTTAACCCGACTATCGAGCGCACAGCGGTATGCAAGGTGCCCACCCAAACACATGCCTGTAGCGCCAACCCGGCCATTGCAAGTGGGCAACGAGAGCAAGTAATCCACGCTCAGACTTGCGTCCTCATCATAGGCCGCCAATTTCTATTGCCGTAGAATTGGGATTAGTTGCTTTCCTGAAGCTCAAGGTAGATATTCGTCTCTTCCCCAATAAAAAAATCTAAAAATATACCAATGGCTCATACGTATGCGCATGCCCATGCGCATGCCCGGCATATGCCAGGTATACAATCACGATTGGGAGTACATATCATATCAGAACAAATTTCATACCTTGCTGATCTTCCACGCGTTACCCTTGTCCGTATCCTCTGCATTATACTGCAAGGGCTCCGGGCCCGTGAATTCGTGGTAGCTCGATGGTGCCACACAGATGTAGCCTTGGCCTGCGATTTGGCGGGCAAATCGCGCCACAGGTCCCGTTACTGTGGAGGGGCATTAGATCTTGCTTAATCCCTTTATCCAATGAGCTGGGCTGCGGTGCATAGGTAGCCTACCTTGATAGATTTCGCTGAAGACAACCACACCGGGGAAACGGGCCTTGGGATACCCCGGAATTGTTGGGTGAAAGACATACAGCCCTGCCAATATGTCAATTTGAGAATTACATGGAAGTGTGAGGGTGGAGTATTAATCTAGCCTCATGTGATAGCTTAAAGGGCAAAAAGAGTGGTCATACGCATGGTTCCCTGTCCATCGGCTTTGGTGGGGACATCGTGAACGGATTCCTGGACGAGCATGATGTATCTCTATGGAAATAATTTTGAGGTTGATGAGGCTTGTCAATGATTCTGGGACTGCAAAAGAACGTCAATTGAATAGGGTGAAGCTGCAGCTACTTATCGATAAGACCTGCGGGGTTATATGGATTATCTCAGCAGCACGCTGAATGCATCGTCCACAGATCTACATGGAGGTTTTCGTGTCTTAATATCTAGATGAAAATTAGATTGAATTAAAAAAAAAACTTGGGATACGATATCCAGCATTTTTGTGAAGGCTTGATAGCTGTGTTTAAGTAGGATTCGGGTTGGGTTTACATAGTGGTGACAAGCCCCGTGGCATGATCATATCCATGGATACAGTAGTATTCAAGAGTCAAACAGTATAGTAATGTCAACTTGAAACGTCGACTGCAAGCCTGAGCTTAAAGAGACGCTCAGTTGCTCTGGTTGTCGCCCACAGGCAGCTAACTTCAATAAATAAATTTCCAATGTTAAGATGCCAAAATATGTGGTTTACAGAGCAGTGGATAGTCAAGAACCAAATGAAAGACCCGATGAATTGATAGAATATTATACATGGAACAAAATGTTGAACGATTACTGCGAACAGGTGCTTTGGATCAAGGCTCCAAGGAGCCTTACCTTGGCAAAGATTATAAAGAAAGTATCTCGAGTCGTGTGTTGATAATCTCCCCCAAAAGTCCTTTTCCAATTTTTGTGGGTTCAAACCCGCTGTACAGAATGACGGGGAAAGGGAAAAAAAAGGTTATATATGAATACCCGTGTCAATGGATGTATTAGATGACATACTGTGAAAATGAGAGTTAGTACTTGTGTTAACATTGATGGCTGCGGAGAACTAACGGGGATGAAAAGGTAAGGAACATCCCGCTCATACTGGAGCCAGGCCTCGCCGTACTTGGTGCGGCAGCGTTGGATATCACGAAGCGCACGGTGAGAGATCATGCAGGCGAAGAAGAGCGGATAGAACCAGGGGAAGGGGCTTGAGAAGCCAGTGATAAGACCCCAGTTCAAAGCAAAGAAGAGATCGCAAGTGTAGTGGATCTTGCGAGCTTTGCCATCTATAGAGATATTTGTCAGTAATCGGATCATTGAGTCGAAGAGCACATTCAAAGACACTTACACCACCCGTCAACAAGGATCTTTGAGCCATCATCGGCGGTAATAGTCTTGGGGTTCTTGACTGTTTGCCAGGGCAGCTGAGGGAAAGTATTACGGGCCACCATAGTTCCGCGTTCCTGCTGGCGGAAACGGTTCTTCTGGCTGTTGGTAGTATCCCAGACCCAGTAAACAAAGAGGTAAGCGATAAAGAGGAAAGCCAGGAAAAAGCGGTTCCAGCGGTATTCAGCAGGGTCGTGGTTGGCCAAGTAGATAGTGCAATGACAGTAACTCAGGGGAACACCGGCCAAATTCCAGAAGATAAGCATGAAACCCCACTTCTCGTAGTACATGTCCCTATTTGAATGTTAAAAGCTGTCTCTGATGGTCGGATTTGAGGAAGCCTGTCAACTTACCAGGTGGACACGATGCACTCTTCACCCTTAGAGCAGGCATTGGCGTAAAGGTAGTGAGCCATTACAAGGAACATCACTTCACCAGACACATAGCCGTAGACTTCATACTGGCGAGCGGCTGCACCCATAGAAAGGAAAAGCAGAATGTACCAAGGCAGACGGACCTCGAAGAACATCTTGAAATCAAGAATTCCAAACATACGGGGATTGAGTTCCGCACCCATGAAGAAATCATAAATTGGGGATCCAGTCATGCGGTGCTCTGCACCACGAGCGAGAGCTGAGAGGTAGGCGACAATAGATACCAGGAAGCCCGACAGAATGGCAACGCTGAGGATGGGTCCGAACTCGTCGATAATTGTGTATAGCTTGAAGATACCGGTGAAGTGCAAGACCAACACTAGAATAATGCTAGTGTAGAAAGACCAGACAGCTGAGCAGTAGTATGGCAGCTGCTTACCACCCGAGTGCGGCAAAGGACGACCAGTAACGGAAACGCCAGGAAGCAGCACGTAGCAAGCACCCTCAAAGATGAAGAAAGTCCAGTATATAGCCCAAGCCTTGAGCGAAGGGAAAGCGCCAGTATAGACCAGATGCGCCATGTGGCCGAAGAAATCAGAGAAGCTTTGCCCCTCCGCGCGGGTAGGGAATTTGCCATTATAGTAGGTCGCGCCGATCCACATATAGTACATCAGCATAGGGAATCCAATCATCATAGCTGATACCCCCAGGGAGCCGCCAAATTCGTAGTGTCCGCTGTAGTCAACCTTGGGGTCGAGTCCTTCTTCCCACCCGTCCACAATGCGAGACTTGGACTTGGACTTGGATTTGGGAGTGGAAGCCTTGCCATTGGTCTCAGACTTGACCGGCGTTTCATCCTCATCAGAAGTGACCTTGGCGGAAGTACGACGACGAGTGGCCGACTTGGATCGGTTCGCGACCGGCGAGTCGATGACTTGTTCGTTTTCACTGCCATCGAAGACAGAGCTGTTGCGAGTTCCGCGACGACCAGGGGTCTCAATGAAACCAGGGCGATCCATCTTCCTGAATTCCGAAATGAATTGACTTGGTTAGCGAGGGAATTGCAAAATACAGCAGGGTGGAAATCGCAAGGGGATCCTATAAACATCCCGCAACGGGGGGGATGAATAGGGTGGAGCGCAAACAAAATCCGAAGAGAGCCACTCACTTGGGTGTTTTCCCCGTTTGGGAGCGTGTGATAGTCATGATCGTCTCTCTGAAAGGACCAATTCCGAGCAGAGAGAAGTGGGAAAAGGGAACAAAAAGGAAAGAGAGAGCGAGAGTGGAAAATAAGGAAGTGGGAAGGAGAAAAACGGATTGTTTACATCTGGCGTACCTGGCGAGTACCTTTCCGCCTGCTGGAGTATGCGCTGGTACCGGTAAAATACCGCGCTATTCTTACCTGCAGATTACGTCCGGCTCGCGCCTCTTCCGCTTTACGTGGGCCTGTCTCTCCCCCACAGTGCCCTGTCCCTTGGAATAACCGAGATTGTTTATATTATAATAGAGGTATAAGGGGAAGCTAGGTGGTGTGATGTATAGTCGAATACATTGTTCCATGGTTAAAATGTAGAATATCAAGGTTTCAGGATTCTATCGCATTGTGAAAGGCTCCGAGCACCGATCTGTTTGTCCCTGCAGTGACGATCCTGTGCCAAGCTTGTCGTTCTTTGCGGCAATCAGTCAATTGGGTTTCTTCTAGCGCTTACTTCCAAGGATGCAAGCAGTATCAGCTGTCCAGCCACTAACAATGTATACATTAGTGAAGGATGCTCTCAGTGCTCAGTATAACGACCAATAAATAATATCAATTAACCGAGGTAAAAAATGTCTATTGTATGTTTATTTTCCATTGAGGTATTCGACATCAAATCGAAATGTTGGGACTGGAATGTGGGCCCGGTGTTGGAAGAGATTGCAAGACAGACAGACCCAACTGCCCGATGGGATAATCATCCTTGGAATGAGTATAGGTAGTATATTTGCAATACCGCGTATGCAAAAAGCAAATCAGGTGAGCCGAAATGCCGAGAATCCATCATTGAATGTATTTCTGAAGACGTCATCCATTCAACTCTTTAAGATGAGTGAGTGAGGTCGTATGATATGTAGTAATCTCAAAGGGTCCGACTTATGCCCCTCGGTGGCTGTTAGTGGACATCAGAGTGATTTTGCTCTTCTTCTTTTTCTTGCCGCCACCACTTGACGGAGCAGATGCAGAGGACCCCTCGGCGGGGGCCGGGGCTGTCCGGGCCATCACCTCGGATTCTTGCTGGGCTAGTAGTTCATCTTCCCAGCCCTGCCGCCATCCATCGTTGGGTATACCATGCTGGGCTTCTAGAGTTGGAGAGCGCGATTGAATGGCAGTTGTACCCCAGACAGTACGAACGCCCGGTGGGCTGGAAGAAGGAGAGGCCAAAGCTCTGAATTGCGAAGAAGCGCGAGGCGGAGAGGCAGAAGAGGTGCCGGTATCAAATTGCGCCGGATCATTGCTGGTCAGCGGGTGAAAGTCGTTAACTGAGAAGGGAGCTTCGCTGATGTTTCCAATACTAGGTCGCTTGTGCCGTGCTGCAGCCCAGCGTTTATCATCCTCTTCTTTCTCTGCACGAATGCGGTCTTTTTCCTCACGAGCCTCTTTTTCGCGGTTGCGCTTTCGTCTCCGTTCGGTTTCAGGGCGAAATTTGGCAAGAATATCAGGTGTAACTACGTCCCGCCAGTCACATTCGAGGAAATTGACTTCACATCCGTACGGTAGATGTCCTAAGTATTTCACTCGTTTGCGAAGTTCGTCATCGACAATGTGACCCGTCGAGATGTGCTCCACTCGAGGCAATATAGTCGCTGGGAATGAAGCGTATTCATTGAATGCTGATTTGAGAATCCTAATGTCAAGGGACGACAGATAGAATTGGGGAAGAGCTTGATAGAAGTGGTAAGCATGGTCCGTTTGTTGCAGTTCTTTCCCCTTGCCCTTTGGTTGGGACTTGGAACTGGAGACCGGCGCAACCTCCATTGAGCCCATAGCCTCTGCCAATTGGTTTAATTCACCCGAATTGGCAGGTGACAATGTGAAATTAGGCAATAATTGCGAATCTGTAGCGACACCAGGAGCCACATCCGTAGACGGACCAGTAGTCGGTGGAATAGCGTCGGTTGATTCGGTCGCGTTGGATCCTGTCTCCTGGCCTACTTCATTGATAGATTTGGAGACAACTAGGCGGCGTGAAACCTCCGGTGGATTGCCAATGCCCTTTAAACTTTCTTTGGCGCCATAAATAGCTGATATTGCCTTGCGCGTCCAGGTATTTTCATCACCGAATAAAAGCTCGTCCTCAATTTCTTGACGGCGAAGATCTTCAATTTCGCTGTCATACTGTGATTCCATGTACTCTTCACCCCCTTTCATGATTCGAGCATAGTCGCTAACCTCAGCCACATGATACCAAGGAATGTCTTCTCCTTTCTCAAGAGTCTCAGCACCATCCCGAGGTAGGGCAAGAGTACTGCCAGGCTCTCGCTTGACTAATCTTAGTACAACATCTCCACCTTCGAATGGTAGATCACCCTCTTGTCCCCGGAACCAACGAACAGCGCGGGTCTCAGATGAGTATATAGAGTCCCAGCAAATTGGACATTTTTTCCAGCGAGGTCTCTTTTCCGGGACAGGGTTTTCCTCTTCCGATGCGTGCATGTACCGGATAAGACAAGGAAGACAAAAGATATGACCACAGCGAGCCATCCGTGGAGCTACTGGCGTTGATAGGCAGATCGGACAACTGGCAGCCTGAGTCTGGGCAGATACTAGTACTTGGAGCACTGACGCCCAATCCAAATGGACGTCGGCATTCGCCGCCTGTGCATGGTAATTACGATCCGGGGACACGATGAAACGGTAGTTAGCGTGGACATAGCGTGCCTTGTCCACAGCGTGATAACCAGAGCTATTATAACGGCGAGTATTGCGAGGAGGTGGTTGGTATTGTGGACGAGGAGGAAGTGAAAAGTTCATCAAATGAGTGATGGACGTTTGTCCTTTGCGACTGTTTGTTGATTTCATCACGGCCTGAAAAGGAAGTAGGTCAGTAAGCGGCTCTCCTTGGGAGGCGATCCTCAACTACTCACTGATTCACTATATTCGTCATCATCTAAAAGTCGCGGTGCTTTCTGACGCTTAGGCTGATTCTTTCGGCCTTGCGTATTCCTTGAAGCTGCAAAGTTTCTCGAAGACAAGCCTGCTCCAAAACTCCCAGAACCTCCGACACGCCGCTGAGCGTTGGTATCAGTTGAAGCTGACGAATAGAATGTTGGAGAGGCGGCCGGGGTATTGGAAATGTTTATTGCTTTGGAGGGAGGCGGGTTTTGTCCTGCATTAGACGACATCTCCGAGCTCCGATTTTGACAAAGCAGATGCAAGAGGCGAACAGACCTTTTATCAATCAAAGGCTAGCAGGTTAACAAGGCGATGCCCGTTAAGATTGATGAAGGAGGGGTTAGGGTGCTTAAGATAAACCCGCCTGATTAGGGCAAACGACGAGGAATGAAACTAGCCATGCACAGCGGCCTCAATCTCGAGGTCGCTAAACTGTAAGAATAGAATGAGCCTCGAGAGGCCATCTAAGAATAGAGCAACCAGACAACAAAAGCCTCATCTGCATTTGCAACATCCGGAGGGGCATGTCATCAGATGGCACGTGCGTCATGACTCAGCCGGTATTATTCAGCATCTTCACTCTGCACTTCAGCTTCGCTTCGGCAAAAGAGAGAGAGAGAGAGCATTATAGAAGGTCTTCTTGTGGCCATTCCCCCCCCTTTTTTTAATCTGGCCACTTTGATCTTCGGCCTATCAGATCATTTCTTCTCTATTTCATCTGAGTCTCAAGGTACGGATCCATTTGTTGGTGGTATTTTTTAGCGCATTGTGTTAACTCCAACTCCTGCGCTCCCAGGTGTTGAATCTTTAAGTCGCCATCCGATATATCGCCTCACCTGTCACCCACACCCTCGAACACACTTTCCCCTCCATCTCAGGGTAGATGCCAAAATGGCTGCTTAAGTGCACCTGAGGGATTCGATTTTGGCTCACCTTGACTATCTTCCGCGCATGGCCTCCACCGTGGCAAAGCGTGGTTGAATACAATATTTATTGTTCGAGCTTTGATCAAGATGAATCACCACCTGCCTGCGATGCCCCACGGGCAACCGCCCATGCCTCCGTCCCGGCGACAACAAGACTTCTCTTACCACCCAGGCCCTCCAAACATGCGCTCCCCGCCGTACATGGGGGGTTGCCCGCCGCACATGAATGGGATGAATGGGATCAATAATATGAATGGAATGAATGGCATGAGTTCAATGAATGGAATGAATGGTCATATGCCTCCTGGATATGCGCCACAGCAATTCCAGCCTTGGTATCCACCATATGGCCAAGCACAACCTCATCCACGTCCATTTCACCCACCATATGGGCCAATGATGGCAGCTACTATGTACCCGCCATCTCACCATGGGGTAGCCCCGAATCACATCCCGCCGCAGTCTTTACCCATGCAGCCTCGAACAGTCACTCCGCTACAGTCAATATTATCTCCATCTATCCCACCACCTTTCGAACCGGAGATGCAGGACCATCCTGTCCCACCACCGTCAGCACCTCAGCACTATCCCATCGCGTCCACCTCGCCTCAGTGGGATCCTAAGATTGTACTGGAGCCCAAACCACCCTTTGTTGCACCAGTAAGTCTGCTAAGACATGTCTGAATCATTGTATACAAGCTAATTTTTGACGCAGGTCCCTTGGTTATCGGTTCCTGAAGAGCTTTTCCCTGCCAGGTCTACATCCCGCCGCCGAAGGCTTCGTCCCTTGCTGAAGTCTGTGGAGTTCCCTAAAAAAGATGGAATCTGTATAATCGGAGCGAGCAAGGACGCATTAGAGCCCGTTGAAGAGCCCAAACCAACCGATCTATCAACTCAATTGATCTCTGAACCCCAAACACCAACCACCTCAGTCCCACAGTCAGTTGCAAACTCGACACAACCTACGACTCCTTCCTCCACGGCCAAATCTCAAGTACAGACACAACTGAAGGCCACGAAGCCTGCCATTCCCGTCGTCCCAGCTGTGCCGAATACACCACGTCGGCAGACTAAAGATAATAATAGCTCCACCCCGGAAACACCAAAACAGGCTGCAGCCGCTCCAGCAGAAACGGATCCAGAGTCTGTAAACGCTGACGCAGAAGCAACCAAATCTTCCTCCCCTGTTCGTACTGCCCCCAAGTCATGGGCAGAACTTCTTCGATCCAAACAAGCGGCAAAGTTGGCCAGTGCTGTGTCTTCGGTTGAACCAACCGCTGTGGCTCCGCAGCATAGTGAGACTCTTGCTAGTGTTCTGAGCAACTTGGGTGAAGATGTCACGCAATATAGTGATAAAATCGCTTTCCTTGAGCCTCGAGGACTGGTCAACACAGGAAATATGTGCTATATGAACTCAGTATTGCAGATCCTAGTCTCCTGTGTGCCTTTCCACCAATTCCTTGACTATGTTGGCCAGAAAGCTGTGCACAGCTTCCAGAGTGACGTGCCTTTGATCGACGCTATGATTATGTTTATGCGAGAATTCCGTGTCATTGATGCTGCAACTTCCGAAGACCAGCTGAGGATGCGCTTAAAACCCAATGAGCTAGAACAGTATGGTGATTCTTTTGTTCCCGAGTTCGTTTATGAAATGATTCGGCAATTGCCTCGCTTTAGAGATATGCGACGCGGTCATCAGCAGGATGCTCAGGAATTCTTGGGCTTTCTTCTCGAGGAGCTGCATGAGGAATGTGACCGAGCCGCGCAAAAGGCCGCTGAAGCAAAGAATGCTGAAGCTGCTGTGGACGGTGCCTCCGGCGATGGATGGTTAGAGGTTGGACACAAGCAGAAAGCAGCCGTCACTCAGTCATCCGGTGCTATAACAACAGAGTCACCTGTTACAAAGATTTTCGGAGGTAAACTGAGATCTGAGTTCAAGGTACCGGGCAACAAGACTTCTGTTACAATGGAACCTTATCAACCCCTGCAACTTGATATCGGGTCCCCCGAAGTCCATAACATTATTGATGCTCTCAAGGGCCTCACAAAGCCTGAAAGCATTCAAGGTGACTTTAACTCATCGCGGGGACCCAACGTCACTGCAACTAAGCAAATCTTCATTGAGACCCTACCTCCTGTCCTCATCCTCCACCTCAAACGTTTCCAGTACGATAGCCTAACTGGAGCAACCCAGAAGATCTGGAAAAAGGTTGGATATCCGCTTGATTTAGAGATTCCTCGGGAAGTTTTCCCTGCACACCGACGTAATGCTTTGACTGCTTCCGGGGGCCTTCCTCAATACCGCTTGATGGGTGTCATTTATCACCATGGAAAGAACGCCAGTGGAGGACATTATACCGTTGATGTGAGACGTCAAGATGGTCGTGAGTGGATTCGCATGGACGATACACTTATCCGGCGTGTTCGCAGTGAGGACGTGGCTGAAGCCGGTGGAGAGGAAGACCCCAAGGTACTCGCTGCTGCACTTGAACAGCATAAACGAGACAACAAGAACCCCCGTGGCAATATTTTCGACCACATTGACCAAGACGAAATTGATTCTGTGGACAGTGATAAAGGTTGGAGCCAGGTTAATGGAAGTGGATCCAGTGGCCATGCAGCCAAAAAGTCAGTCAATGGCATTACACCATCTCCAGGAAACTCGTCCGGAGTACGCACACCTATGGGAAGATACGGTGCCCGCGACAACCGCGTCGCCTACCTACTTTTCTACCAGCGCATGGATTGATTTCCATGCGATTTTGGACATGCTTCAACCACATTCAATCCTTGCACGCTTTCTCATCCACACGATGACTGACATTTTGGATTATCCCTTTTCATCTTTATCATACATCATCCTCGTCATAACCAACACCATATTTCTCCCCTTTTCAAAGAGCACCATACTGCCATGCCCACTGGTGACCACCACGCATGGGAATCCGTCCTATTTACGTCATTTCTGCCAATATTCGGCCCCTGTCGCGACGGGGCGCTTGGTTTCATTTGTTTGATCGGTTGTACATACTTGGATACTCCCAGCCGAATTTCGCTTCTACGCCCACGAATACACATACAAGGACACTACTTGGCGACCACGAGAGCAATTGATTCTCGGGAAGGCGGGCCCGCTAACTTTGCTTCCCGTAGTCCCAACAGAGTCCTCGGGCTACCTTCAACAGCCTTGTCTTTTAAACAAATCAGCACAAAAGACAATACTCAATACCCTCCTCGACCGACATACTATTCATCTTACTCTCCCGATTTTCACATCCGATACTCCTTTCTTAGCTCTCTTCCTATTCTCTCGATTTTATCCCGTGGGATATCAAATCTGGTTTATACCCTTGTTCGTTCCGTTTCGTCGATTTTGCATCATATGGATGCCCGATCTCACCCCTCTTGTCCAATTTGGGTTTTGAGACACAACCGGTGGATGAAAACTTTTGTTATTACTCCGTTTCCTCCTTTATCTCGCAACATGACGTGGATGAGGAGATACGTGACGACGCCATGAATTTCCTTGTCTATTTTCCTTCCTATAGAATGGAAGATGAGAACTACTGGTTGCGGTGGTGGCGATATAAATATTTTATTCGCTAAGCTGTTCCGATGCGACGAAGAATTCAGCATACTGAAATAAACTTTTATTTTTGGCTTTCTAGTCATACCTGTTGACGGAGTTGAGTGAGCCGTGGTGGTGTTGGTTGCTCGTTATATCCACTTGGGTATATTATTCTGATGATGAGAGAGGAGGAGGAGAGACAGCTTGGTAGAGAAGCCGAGAAAAGACGTAGTTGATGAAGAGGTGGAATATGGAGAACCTCGAAAAAGCATGTCTTTACAGCCCAAAAAAATTCCAAAGGAAATTTACATCACAGTTCTGAATATCAAGTAACACGTACATAGTAGTTAAATCGCTAAAGCTCGACCTGCCCGTAAACTACGAAAGATTCTGCAGGAAGAACGATCGATTATATTCGTGTAAAAGGTCTAATCTATCACGCATTATGACGCATTAAGCATGAAAGTCAACCTCATCCTCGCTCGAATTCACAGTATGCTGCTCATCATCCTCAACAAACTCGAACCCCAACGCCCGCCAGTTCAGCTCCTTTCTCCAATTCAATCCATAGTATAATCGGTCATTCCCAGCCTCAGCAGCATCGCTGGATTCTTTACCTTCATCATCTGCAACGGGGAAAACAACAGGCTCAGAGGCTAATCCACCACTCTTCATCCTGCCGGACCGTGGGAAAATAACCGCCCGGAAGCGAGAAAGGAGCAAACCCATTGAGCAACAGAGACATGGCTCGTGCGAGATGTAGATGTCCAAATCGGTGCAAAGATAACCACCTTGAGATCGGGTGCGAATACGAGAAGACGTAGCAAGACTCGTATCTGCAGGCTCAATATGTGGGTGTCGTATTGTGGGATCAGCCAAAGTAGTGACCGTTGATGGTGGAGGAGCAGGAAGAGGGGCGGAAGTAGTAGTTGGCTGATCTTGATTCTGAGAGCCATTTGTGGGCGAAAGACATGTAGATTCGAGCGGGGCAGAGATAGATTCAGGATTTGGCTCCTCTGCCTTTCTCTTCTTTGGAGAGAAAGGAGAAGGCTCTGGTTGATTTGAGTTAGACTGATGTGAAGGCTCGTCGGCCAATGGGGCTCTAGCTTCGGCTTCATAAAGGAAATATGATTCCATCGGGCTGAGTTGTAAAGAAAGTTGGGGGTCTTTACGTATGACAGCCATTGGGTTTGGCAGAGCCGCCATTTCAGCTTGATGCTCGGTTTCTTCACGGCGGCGCCGCGAGATGAGCTCGACAGCTCGCATCAACGCATGGAGATCCGGGCCACCCTCCACATCGGCGTTGAAGGCCGAGGAAGCAGGATTTGGCGCTACGCCTGGGTGAAGATCAGTTTGAGAGGGATTGCCAGCTTCCGAGCGGGCGAACCGCACATCTTCGCTAACGCAGAGAACAGCATCCATCCATCGATCAAGATTAGAGTGACCGTAATTCTCTGCATCTTCTTCGATCTCAGCTTCGATTGCTGGGTCAACTACGACCGCTCCAACGCCGCGACCACGGCCGGACTTTTTCGCTTCTGCAGCGGCTTTCTGTGCCAGTGCAACATAGTAACCTGCGCGTGGTTTAAGAGACTCATGTGCACGAGTGAGGATTTGCAGGGGCGGCGCAACGGTGGCTCGAGGCGCAGCGGGGTTGAAAGTGACTGGCCACATGGTGTTGGTCCATGTTTCAGCTTGCTGGGAATTGAAAGGAGGCTGTAAAGGAATAGTGACAGTGATGAGATCGATTTTGGGGTGTGGGGATGTAGGCGCGAATGAATCTGAAGTGGGAGAGGATGGGCCTGTCTTGTACGTATTTGGCGCAAAGGGTGCAAGCAGCTCTAGGAGTTCCTCCGGATCAGGTAATGGTGCAATAACCACGAAGATCGTTTTTATTGTTGCTTTTTCATGCGATCCATTGGCTTCGATTCTCGCGCGCAATTTCGGTGGTAGATTTTCTCGTTTGGCGAAACGTCGCAGATGCGATAGAGGAAGAGAGGGGTTGCGCGGGTATTTATAATCCAAGACTCTAGTTATCAGAGAAAGAAGAAAGTCAGTTTGAGCCTTGAGGAAAAGGGCAACCAAGACAAGATATGCTCACTTGATAACTTTGGCCGCAGCTTTGACATTGACTTCTGCGACGTAAGCGTCACCTGCAAGAGTTAGCTGTCAGAGCAGAGGGATCGAGGAAACAGATTCTGCAGACGACCTACCAAATTCTTCTGGGGGATTTGTTTCTTGAACTGTGCGAATGGGAATCACCTCTCCACGCAGAGGCTGGATGGCCTTGAGAGTCTCTGAGATGCCCATTTTGGGAATCGCGTTGGACGTGGGATGACCGGAAGATGTGGAGGATGCAAACTACCTAGATTGCACGATTTTCGTATGGTAATTAGGAATCATGACTAGCAAAGATGGAATGTCCCACGTGAGGGAATCATAAGTGACGTTGTAAAACCTGGTGAGGTGACGCATGAAGTTCAAAAGATTTCCAGAATAATTGCCCTAGCCCCCGCACCCTATACCCTAAATTCCTAGTATGGATACTCCGCATCATACGCCGTTATCAACTCTTAACATTGACTTTTAGATGCTCCGTGCATTGTCTAGCTATATACGATGTTGTGTGCTTCATGTTAAGAATAATAAAAGAATAAATTTGTTTATAAATCAAAATTTAAAAGACATGGATTGAGTAAAGATAGGGTCATAGATAGCACCTCGTTATCCCATAGACATAAAAACGCCGAAGAGTTCCGCTGTAAAATGAACCGCTGAAAACATGCTACAAAATCACCACCCAGTGTGATATATTTGAAGATATACCACTCTATGGGGATGGAGGGAGATGCCACGCCAACTAATGCCAGCGTTCTAATGTGCCACATGCATGGACCGGGGTGGCCGACCGTAGAACAACGCCCTTTCGTAGATGCAAGATAGATAGATTAATAAGGTCGAAGTCGGACAAAAGAGAATCAACCAAGCGAAAAGTCGATCGGACGGCCGGTGTCGTGAAACTCGAGGCCAGCCCGAGAATTTAGTCCGACACAAAGCATTCGCAGCCGGATCGTGGATGCTGATTGGAAACCTGCCTCTGGATTTTATGCCGCAGGCGTTGTACCGCTGCGGTCGATCTCGAAACCTTCACACCGTTCTACGAGACTTTGGTAGTAATCGACCAAGACCTCAGGCTGTGGCACAATTCGCCACTGGACTCGGAAGAGGAACTCGAGCTCTAGCATGGCCAGCTCATTCATGCTGATACCACCGACTCGAGAATATGTTTTATTGGTCCAGAAGCTGTCACTCAGGCCTTTGCTGGCGACGGTGGCGCTGGAGATCAAGAAACGGTGAATGGTCAGACTGGACACAGTGAAGGCGGGGTATAATGCACAGAGACGGTCAATATAGTAGACCATACTGAGAAGGATTGGGGGCGAGAGAGTAGCGTGTGTCGTCAAACGCTGCAGGTAATCTTGCACCGAGATCCGGGGCGGAGATCGCGAGTGGAAACGGGTGAGACGGCCTTGATGCAGGGGTATTTTGTCATTGAAGCGAATCAGCTCCATAAGCATGCTGGAAATCAGCACTACAAGATCGCTAGGATCGGCTAGCTCATACTGCGCTGGCAGGGTCTTGACGTCGGGCGCCGCGGGGCGCAGACGCTTGGGTTGCGATACCTCGACATCCTGAGCACCACCACCACCACCACCACCACCAGAAGGGCCGGGAACAGCGGCGTTCGGTGAGTGGTGGTCGCTCTGGCTGTTGCGCTTGTTAGAGACCAAGCTGCCCGGAGCGGGCATTGAGACTGAGGGGCCAGGTGGCGGAATCACCGAGGCAGGAGGTGTGGCGGTAGGGATGGTGGCAGTGGAAGAAGTGGCGGGTTTGCCTTGGGATGAGGAGGGCAGAGAAGCGCCAGAAACTAGGGAGGGATCGACAGATGCAGAAGCGCGTCGACGTTGGAGGGCGGCGGGGGAGTCAGGGGAGGCAGGATCGACAGTATGGCGATTCAAGGCGGAACGCAACTCCTCAATGGCCAGACGTGAAGAACGGGGGCTGCTAAACTGTGGAGCGTTCTCATATTGTGGATGCGCGGAGCCAGAGCAGCCAGAGCGAAGCGCGGCTGATGAGGGCGAAGGAGAGGAAGCTAACATGGCTTAGGGTTGAAGGGTCCCCCAGTGGAATGTTGCGATAAATCAATCGGAGGGCACGCTGGCACCACGTGGGCGCACGAGTCAACGGGGCACCTGCGGAACCTGAATAGTATTGGCGCACAGCCTCATCCTCACGAAGATCGCAAGGTGGAGGCAGTTGTCGATTGGAAATCCGGGGGATCTGGTTTTCGCAAAATGTACTTTGTGGAGAAACCTTGACTCATTTCAATCGGAAAGAAGATGAAGGGGAGAAAGAAGAGAAGAGAGAGGGGAGAGAATCCTGTCCACGGGGTTTCTTGCTATGAGGTAATTTATTACCGCGAATAATACCTGGGTACTAACAAAGACACCGGCTGAGCGCCTCCCAAAAAATGTGCATTTTTTCTGTTTGCACGCCAGTTTGACCCAGTGGACGGCTTAAACAAGGTTTATCTGGACTCCATCGGCAGGAAAGCCGGCCAACATTGGGGGAAGTGATTGGTGGGACAGAGATTGGGGTGACCATACGTGACAATACACAGGGCTGATCAGGTGATGGAGGTGACCAGGTTTAGTCCCAATGTGAATATGTTTGCTCTGTTTGCTTTGAGCGCCGGGGCAAAAATTCAATTGCCACTAACCCAATTAGGCCAGGTCTGCAAGCCGCTCTAGCCGGTCTAGCCTAGACAAGCCTAATTAACAAGCCCCCAACTAAAGAGTCTACCCTAGCCTATGGAGTACATCCTATGCCACACACACAAACACACACCAACTTCGTACCTGATAATCGACAGGTTCATTTCAAGCCGCGTGAAGTGGAGATCTCCGTATGGAGTACAAATGGCTTTTTTTGGGCGGAAATTAGTGTCAAATCACGTCATTGGTTTTTTAAATCGTGGCCTCTAGCTAATTATACCGCTCCTTATCCGATATTTTCATACGCCTCATCCGACCGGTTATCCGATGGTGTCACAGGTGATCAATGCGCCAAACACGCAGATACTACTAGTACTCCGTACTGGAGCAATTATTGGAATTGGGGAGTGGGAAATTTCAATAATACCTGCAGATAATGGTACATACTATAGGTGCCTACTCCGTAGTGTATTCGCCAACGGAGTGCTATAATTCCTCGATAGCTTCATTCTATCTAATTATATTATTTGCAACGATTTTGAACGGATTATTGTCAGAATGCATCATTGGCCAAACCCAAGGACAAAAACATAAAGAAATACCTTGTTCCAATGGATAGTTCGCATAAATTAAGTGTGGTTTAAATAAGCAACATTTAATCTTTAAAAACAACCGCTACTTCTATGCAACAATTCCTTTTGAACTGGCAGAAAACTATTTCTTAAACAAAAATTTAATTCAGCATACATACATTGCAAATAGCTATGTCCAAGGGCATTACCTGAATAAACCTCTGGCAAAATCTGGCCCGGTGCTCTTCATGCAGACAAATACCAAGAGACAGGAAACTAATAAGACAGCAGAACGTCAACCATAATCAAGACCCTGACTCAAAGGTATAAAGACAGCTAAGGAATAACCGAAAAACTGAGTTGAAAGAAGAGAGGCATAGTAGCTGCTACTAGCTGGCCATATATACCATATTTTCTCCAAAGACCTGCCACAGAAATATTCAAGCAACATCATAGTACTCATGGCTAGAAATATTTTGGGCCTTAGCTTACTGTATGTAGAAAGGTTTCGCCTCTGCGTGAATCACTCCTGTACCATGTTTCGAAAGTCACTTCGCCTAGCATGGTGCCAAACCTCGGCAAAGATCCCTTCCTTCTTGCATTTCCTATACTTTTGCAGTCCAAGGTCCACACCCAATAAGTCCATGTAAGATATGCAGTCAAAAGCCAAATTGGAATATCTCTTACCGGCCCCGCCAGCAGAATGTGGATAGCGGATGCGTAAATATTCAGCGTGGATGACTGTTTCGAATTTCACTTTGCTGTAGGGTGAGCCTGGGGATATCGTAGTGCTTCACACTTACGCATACAACCCAACTAGGATGGATATCAAAGGGGCAATGGAAGATAGTAGCTGATATATGGGTGCGCAAAAGATTATTCCCTTTCTTTGATTGTGCTTAGTATGCCCAGATGCTCCAGATGCTCCCTATGTATGAAGTGTAAGTGACCACGTGATAGTAGGGAATTCAATCATTCTGGAACAGCAGGACATTAGGTCTTTCGAGTCGATCATAGAAACAGTTATCCGTGCTGAATATAACCTAAAAATCATGAAATAACAAAGTGCCCACTAACTTAGTTAACTAACTAGTTAACTAACCTAGTTAACTAGTTAAAGTTAACGTTAACTAGTCAGTTAGTTAGTCAATCAATCAGGCATCAAAATCAGGCATCAACGATATCATAACTGAGGAGGGCAATGCTACACGCACCGCAGTTTTGGCTATACGCACCGCAAACTGCTTATATAACCACTTATGCAATATTTTAATCACGTTTGGTCATGTGTAACTTCCATAAACCTCACGCAGGGTATTCTATATAGATATAGTATTTATTTTATACCAAAACTGTCACGGGATTCCTGAATCCCCTCGGGTACGACTCGGGTACGATTCATGGCCGCTCCGCGGGCGAATCTACTTCGATACACCCGCTTATGCATGACGGCCCTAAGCTCTAGCAATATAAAAACGCACGAACAGTAGCTACGATTCTTGTTCGACAAGAATCAGTCTGTGTATCAACTGTTCTATTTGATCTCTACTATCCGATATCCTTGCCTAGTCACAGGTCTCTAGCCTGACAACTTAGTAACCATTACAATCTTAGGGTGTAAATAGGTATATATTGCTAAGTTAAGGGAAACGATAGTTAATATATATATACTAGTTAAATAAATATAGTAAATAGATAGGGCCTGATCACGTGTGATCGGCCAACTGTAATAGATGGTAATAGATATAGATATAGATATTGCTATACATGAACGAACGTAATAGATCGTAACATATGAAATATATAGAGAGAATTAGGTAAAAATATCTCAATAGCATTACTAGTATAGGAAAATATAAATTTACGTATAGCTAATAAGAGAAAACGCTAAAAACGTAATTGATTAAATAGGTAGATACCCTATAATACTAGCCTAACGGTTGAAGAGGGCCTATAGCTAGCTATATAGCTAAATTTGTTAGATGAAGCCGCCCTAGTGGATTCGAATATATAGGGCGAAACACCTAGTCAGCCAGGTCAGCCAGCTAAAAGGGCTCTGCCTTGGTGTAGTGGATGTGGGAATATTAGCCATAAGATCAATCGATGTATAAATCGCGTTATTTAGCTAAATTAATATGTGTTGGCTAATATATATCGATTTAAATTTTTCTAATGGGTTGGGGTGTACGGCTCGGTCGGGTGTACGACCCGCCCGGGAATTACATTATTACATAAGTGGTTACATAAGCAGTTTGCGGTGCGTGTAGCCAAACTGTGGTGCGTGTAGTATTGCCCTCACCCCCGGTGCGGAGTGGAGTCGGTCACCTCCGTCCAACAGGGAGCTTGGAGTCAGGTGCGAATAGCAGATACTATCGCTTTCAATGCTTTACAAGCTTTGAGAAAGAACCGTAGAATTCATCGAGTGAACAGTCGCACCACAACAGTCTCAGTCCGTCGTGACCCAACGCCACCGGCACCGTACGATACACCACGCTTTCCCCGCCCCAAGAACCTGGCCGAATTCGGCCAAGTCTTTCCATACTCTCCAATTTCGCCCAACGTCCACCCAGTTATCAAAGACCCTGCCATATCCAAAACGACTCATCTCGAAAACCCCAACCTCCTATCCCTCTTTCTATTTGGCTTGCTAGAGGACCTACCCCTCGCCGGGAGGTGGTTGTCCTTCGACAATGACGCGAGCGGCTCCGCCAACCCTGCTGCAATTACAAAACCCGGACTCCATCTCCTCCCAGGTCGCATGCCTTCGTGCCCTAAAGAATGAACTGATCGGTCATGATCAACGCAAAGAAACATATGTCGGCGCCGGCATCATCCCCACATTAGCGCAGGTGCTCGAGTCGCGATGGCCAGGGAAACCGACCACAACTGAATCACATGGGTCTATCCCGAGACAGGTGGCTGCCTCATTTCAAACTTCCGATGACCTTGCTGCTTGTTTGCAGGCGATTTTGATCGTTGGAAGCCTAGCACAAGGTATTTACAAACCTTAGTTCCAGACCAAGCCGGGAAGGAAGTCATGTTAACCATTTTGAATAGGCGGTCCAACGTTCCTAGCCCCAATATTTGCCAGTGAGGTCATCCCCACGCTTCTATCTATCCTTTCCTCACCGGATTGCCCACAATGCTTCTGTCTCCCAATCTTACGCCTTCTTAATACAATTGCGGACCGGTTACCACTGCAAAGCCAGGACCAATGGCCCCGCGACACACGTTTAGCTGATAGCGTCTTTGCACCTGAGACTGTGGGAGTTATCCGGAGAATAATCGCACAGGACTATGAGCAGTCTGGCAGCCAAACATGCATCGAGTTGGCAGCTGCCCTAATCGGAAAGCTATGCACTGAAGAGATCCACAAGACAACGTTGGCGGAATGTGGGGTATTGGATGCCTTAGCTGTCAAGATTGCTAGTTTCATAGTTGCCCAAGGGTTTGTCCTGCCTGGTGCAGAGAACCATCTTCAGGAGCCAGGAACTCTGGGCGATTTTCCCCCAGCCGCTCCAGAATCAGCCCGATTAGCACCAATTCTTCGCGCGGTCACTGTGATTATTGAACAGTCGAAGTGGCGGGCAGAACACTTCCTTTCTTCACCGGGGATTGTTACTGTTTTCCCAAAGCATGTTCCTGGCTTCGCAGCTGCGGATATGAGGAGAGGCCCTTGGGGAGGGACATATTTTTCTGGATCTGCCGTCCCACGTAACTCTGGCACAAACCCTGTTGATAGTCTTCTTCCCTCGGTTCCAATGACAAACGCAAAGTCGCCGTCGAGCTCGGCCAACTTTCCACCGCTAGGAAATTCTGCACCACAGCGTCGCCACAGCCATTCTTTCCCCACCCCCTTTTCGCTAACCGATACCACCTCTCCGGAAGAGGAAGAAAATTCCCTTGTGCCATGGCTTCTCTGCATTCTCCGCTCAGAAAGTGGCATGGCACGATTAATGGCTGCTCGACTGGTCACGGTTCTTTTCCGATTGGGTCTTGCCAAAAAGCATAGAGTACCTATGTTTAGTTATCTTTTGGTTCCGATCCTTATTCGTATGCTGGATAAAGATTTCCGAGTACCAGATGAGCCTAGCGCCGATTATGATGGCCTTATAACCCCAACACAGCGTTTAAAAGAAGAAGCCCCGGCTGTATTGGCAAATCTGGTTATGGACGACCAGGAACTACAAAAGCATGCGGTGGATGGAAATGCGCTCAAACGATTGTCTCAACTTTTGAAGGAAACCTACAACCCAGTATCAGAGAGCGTGCGGCCAATGTGGTATTCGGAGGGGGATGCACCAGTTCGGGACCCTGAGACATTGTCAGGCGACCGTCGACTCGGCCCCTCTGGATACTCGCCTACTCTGTGCCATGTGATGAGGTATCGAGAAAGTATTCTGAAGGCTTTAGCAGCCCTGGTGCCTTTCAAGGATGAATATCGCAAATTGGTCTGTGAAAATGGGGTTGTTCCTTACATTATCGATTCCTTGAAACCTCGGCCAAGTGATGCCCCTGTCGACGCTGTATCAGCACCAAAGAATACTGCAGCAGATGGAAATCCAACACCCACCCTCTTAGCCGCCTGTGGTGCTGCTCGTATGCTTACGAGGTCCGTCAGCGTTCTGAGGACTAGTCTAATTGATGCTGGTGTGGCCCAGCCCTTGTTTACACTTATCAAGCATCCCGATCTTGAAGTCCAAATCGCTGCTACTTCGGCGATTTGTAATTTGGCTTTGGACTTTAGCCCCATGAAAGAGGTCAGTATTATTGTTTCGCGCGTTGCCGTTCTTTATAAACTATCGGCTAATATCCCATCCTACAGGCGATCATTTCTGGTGATATAATTCCTATCCTTTGCGAGCATGCTCACTCATCCTATACCAAGTTGCGTATAGAATCATTGTGGGCGCTCAAGCATGTAGTTTACAATACCCCCAATGACACCAAGATGAAAGTCATTGAGGCTCTAGGGCCTGCGTGGATCCGCCAAGTCATCAGTCAAGACCCAATCAGCGCCCTGACACGAAGGGGCTTGGACGAGGAGACCGATCACACTACAGGAATTGCCATGGGTCGAGCCAATTCGGCTGGCGAGCAGGTTGACATTCTCAATCCTATGGAGGATCCTAGCGAGTCGGCTGAACCATTTGAGATGGGCGACGCCATGCCCCCGTCGAAGATGAGCTTGGATAAGTTCCTCCCCGATGCCAGGCGTCGGCGAAAGCTTGTCCTTCATGGCAATCTAGAGCAATTTACTCAGTCACGCCAAGATGACATTGCTGTTCAAGAGCAGACATTTGATTTGCTGCGCAACATCATTTGTGGGGCTGGTGCAGCAGAAATGATTGATTTTCTATTTGAAAAGATTGGCCAAGACGGACTCCTGGATGCATTGGCAGATAATCTGCGTCCACGTACCATTCAACTACCTCATCGCCGCGAATTTTCTAGTGGAGCATTGCATGTACCCCATGAAATCCTGATCGCCGCAAGTGCTGTCATAATCCATATTGCTGCGGGAACTACCCGCCACAGACAGTTACTGATAGCACACGTCGACCTTTTACGTTCTCTAGCAGGCTATTTCACTCACTCCAACAGAGAAGTGAGAGTGAGCTGCGTTTGGGTAATAATCAATCTAATATACGAAGATGATCCCAGCGACCGCGAGGCATGTCGTGAACGTGCTAGCAGACTGAAAGCTCTGGGAATAACAGACCGACTCAATAGTCTCCAAGAAGACTCTGACTTGGATATTAAGGAGCGTACTAAGACTGCCATCCATTTACTGGGCCAACTGAGTGCGCCTTGAATGTCCTTTGGTTATCGGATTTCATTATGTACGGTGTGTGGAGATATCCACAGGCGTTGTTTCGTTTCAATGTGCATAAATGAGCCATTTGAGATAAACATTGATTGTTTTGTTAGATTACCACTGCAATAGAAAGCATCGCTATCTAATTAATTATGTGTTTGGCATTAGTAGCAAGTCTCTGCAGTTGTTGAGTGCATTGGAGCCGTAGCTGGAGAGTAGAGCTAACAAACTGAATGATGTCAGAAATTTCGGATATACTACGTATTTCCCCGCCACTACGATCTTCAGATCTTCAATTACTCACACTAAGTATCTACAACAAGACATCAATCTCGGAAAATGCCTCCTCCTGATGCCGACCTCTTTCCCGAAGCCTCGGGCACGGCCAAACCTTTGGTCGACCAGCATAGAGTAACTAGGGCAACCACTCAAACTGTATGTGGGATGGTTTTGTCCTTAGGTGTTCGCCGCCACTCATCTTTTTATTGCGCATAGCTGAAAAATCGATCGCAGGTTTGGTAAGAGATTCAACTTTTCAATATGAATCTCATTTCCCTACAAAAACGAGAGGAAATACGATCACCGCTAATTTTTTATAGTGCAGCGTGTTTGGGTCGCCCTTGAAGAAAAGCAAATCCCATATGAGTACATTGAAGTCAACCCCTACAACAAACCAGACTCACTTCTCTCCTTGAACCCGAAAGGTCTTATTCCAACACTCCCATGTCCTACCCAGCAAGGCCACAAACCACTCTATGAATCCACCGTGGTTTTGGAGTATTTAGAGGAAGCAAACCCCGACAATCAACCACACCTTCTCCCGCAAGATCCATATGAAAGAGCCCGAGCAAGAATTTGGATCGATTGTGTGACTTCTAAGATCATTCCATCATTCCACCGCTTCTTACAGTATCAACCTCAAAATGACGAGGAGAAAGAGGCAGGACTAGCAAAAGTTCGAGATGAATTTGTTAACCACATGAAAGTCTGGACAAAGAGATGCATGCAGAAGGACCTTTCTTCCTTGGCTCTGAGATGGCATTTCCGGATATTATGTTAGCGCCGTGGGCCGTGCGACTATGAACGTTGGATTTGTTCAAAGCTTATACTGGGATTCCGCTACAAGGGAGCTGGAGGCCCCGACGAAGAAATTTGGAATCGTTGGCGAACATGGCTAACTGCCATCAGAAGACGCAAGAGTGTGAGAGAGACGACGAGTCTTTATGAACATTATTTACCTATCTATAAGCGCTATGCAGATAATACTGCACAAAGTGAGCTGGCAAAGGCTACTCGGTTAGGTCATGGTGTACCATAAATCTCATAGACATCAATAATCAACTCTTTGATCTCAAATAAACTACGTGTACTATACACAATTCTAATTAAGACATCACACCAATTATCGTCGACTAGTATCTTTTCAGTTTTAGACGTTTTGTGCTTGTTGACTTTCTAGAGCACTGTCCGGCGATTTGTTGACAATGGACCAATCGAAGTTATGTTATGTTATTCAGTTTCGCATCTGGGGGGAGTGGTCATAGCCCCCGTTGGGGCATAGAGATGTGCTAGGCTTAAATAATTACGTACAAAATGTGCCATCTGACACCCTCCGTTTGGATTTTTGCTAATGAAGTCCCTCTTATCAAACGTGGCAGGCTTTACATCACTGTTCACATACTTCGCTATCTCCGTAAGGAAGCCTGCCTTGGGTCCACCGGGTTTCAGTTTTTTTGCTCTTCTGCGCAACGCCCTGTATTCACATACTCCCGCCGGAGTGAGCTATCAAGGTCACTGGTGCGCGGGATCACCCGCGTCGACAATGGTTGCTGACTGTGTCGGATTATAATTTTCCCGCGCGGCATCATTTACTCCATCATCTACTCTGGACTTATGAGCATTATCAGTTGCAGCCAACAGAGACATTCATTTTCGACGCTCCATGCGTCCTTTTATGCCCATTTTGCGTGATAAACACACGACAGTTTCATAACCCCCAGTCATGACAACAGACTTCAAGCCTGGCGAGGCCAGCGGAGGAGTAGAGTCAGAGCTTCCTCCCCCAAAGCTCCCTGCGATCCACCCGTCCTTCATCCAGGTGGCTAGGCCTTATATGTTCGAGCAGACTATTCAAGACTGCATTCACGCCATGGGAATGAATCCCATGCGAGAAGAATCACTTCGTTTACAGGGAGTTTCATGGATCGACAATATCCGGAAAGACCTTCATCTGTATGTTTCCACTGGACCTTTGCCTCAGCTTTGTAAATCAGAAGAGTGACACTGAGATCAACGTTGACTTACTTCCACAGACCTGTACGAACTTTCATCACCGCCACTATGTACTACCACCGATTTCGATTAGTACATCCCGATATCGAATATAACTTTATGGTATTCCTTCTCTTTCCCTTCCATTGTGAAAGTGGTCATATCTGACCCAAGTGCAGGATGCGGCCTCGGCTGCATTATTTACAGCATGCAAAACCGAGGATACCTTGAAGAAATCCAGAGACATCGTCCGCGCAGTATACAACCTCAAATTTTCACCTTCAGAACATCTGGCACCAGATGATCCTGTACGTCTTTGATCTGAATTGCGTTCAACTTCTATATGAAATTCACATACTGACCAGTCACCCCTCAGTTGTTCGAAACGAATGCCCGAGGTATCATCGGGCTAGAGAGACTGATGCTAGAGTCGTCGGGTTTCGACTTCCGCACTCGACACCCTCATAAGACACTTTTCAAACTCGCCCGTCGACACAAACTACCAACGGAAGGCTTACATCTCGCATACCGCATCTCACTAGATCTTTATCGAACCTATGCGCCTCTGAAACAAGGGACACCGACCCTGGCATTTGCATGCCTTGAGCTCTCAGGTCGGTTGTTGGACCAGCGCATCGAAGCTCTAGAATCAGAAGAAGGCTACACAGAATGGAATACCAGTCGAGAAGAAGTCCTTGGTAAGACATCTCCCCATTTGACCAAAAACTCACAAGAGCAATAACTGACTCTCATATTCCAGAAACTCTTTTCGATCTGTTAGAACTTTATACGCATCACCGCTCATCTACCACTGTTGGCCCACACTTTCCAGCAGACAGGTTTCTCACAGTCCGCATCCCTCTCAACCAAGAAGCAGGCGCAAATCAAATAGCTCGCTATGCGTTCTGGACAGAACGCCCCAGACACCCGAAGACGAATAATGGTATCAGCTCTGGGCCTCCCGCGCGACTACCGCACCCATTAACGCCTATTGCTGCCAACGGGGAGCGGCACCGCCCAGAAAAGGGAAGGGATGCCGCTGTGCGCTTCATGCTTGATCCTGCCCAGGCGGAGGGGGAGAAGAAGCAGGTGGAAGAGTATTTCAAGGTTGAGACTGAAGAATATGAGGTGGAGGAGTAGGGCAGGAGCAGGGGAGGGCAATATTGGGGTTTATTGGTTTGCGCTACAAAGCGGATTTTGTGCATTTGGTAGTGAGTGGAGCGATGTTCAAAGGGCGGCCGCTTTTCAGGCTGACTTGGCTGGTATTATTCGTTCTGTCAAAAGCTTTTATGATACCCTAGTTCTTTATACATAATGAGGATTAATGAAGACGAAGATATGGGAATACTTTCCGAACTTGTTATTTGTAGCCGAGTTGGATTTCTTATTTGTACGGAGAGAGCAATGCTAGACGTGATGAATACAATATGAGAACCAGGTTACTTGGTGAATTAACCAGTCTTGGGGCGCACACCAACAATTGAATTGATTATGTACAAATTTTACAGGCCGGGTCCACTGCTCTATAGCACCGAAAAATATAAACTGCGAGAGAGAAGCAACCAAGTCAACTCAAAGGTTCCAATCTTTCATTGATGCCATATGAGAAGAAACCTGTTTATTCCTCCTCGCGCAACGAGGTATACCAGCCAGAGACCCTTCATCCCCCAATAGTAAAAACACAGCCAAGGCCACCAAGCTGAACAGCCTGGAACCCAAAAGGCAGAAAAAGAGGGCAATAAATAAAAGAGAATACTTGTTGAAGGGTGCATGTAGAACATAACATAGCCACGAATCGAAATAGAAAATCATTCCGGCATGTTGAGCTCGAAGGAGATAGACTAGCTCTTCGCCATTTTTTCTTCTCTCGCAAAGGATTAATTTTGTGGTGAAAGGCGAAATGTAGAGGGTAGATGTTTGATAACCGGGGCATGCAGTTGGGGGAGCAGAGAATGCATGTCATGTCGCGGGGCAAGAGCAAATCAATTCCCGGTGGGCGAGAGGGACATCAAAAAAGCCACTTTCATTGAGAAAAAACAGCCCTTGAGGAGGCGGGGGTCACGGAGGTTGAGTCAATCATCGGGTGAATTACAAAAAGAGAAGCTGTAAATAGAAGTCGTGAAGTTTTTTAATGGACCGGAGTATAGAGCCTCGAGTCCGTCAGCGCTTAAGCTCGCTGGTAAGGCATTCCAGAATCTAAACGAAACATTAGCAAGATAGATAGATATTAAAGTAGCCAGTGGGAAGACCAACCGATTCGGAGACAACGCCTTGGTTAAAGAGGTACTTGCTAAGGCCGCGCACAACCTCGAGTTGGTCATCGACCGTCAGGCCATTGATAGCGGTCTCGATGATATCACCAACATTTGCCTTGTAGACAGCAATGAAGCTGTGGTAGTACATATAGGCAAAGAAACCCATAATGAACTGGCAGTCAAAACGATCAGTGATACCACCATGACCGGGAATCGACTCGCCAAAGTCCTTGATGCCAAAAGAGCGCTTCAGACCCGAGGCAAAGAAACCACCGAATGGAGCAATCAAAGAGGCGAAAGAAGCGAATCCCAAAACGTGGAACTGCATTGGTTCAACCCAGAAAACTTTATCCAGACCGAAGATTTCAAGGGAGTAAGGCTGCGGGACAAAGGCGGGGTTTGGAATGCACTCCAAACCGGTCAACAGGTTTGCGCCCAGATCATTGACAGGGCAAATGAAATATTTGGACCGAATCAAGAGGTTGGTAATGAAAAAGCCGAAAATGATAGTGCAGATCCAAGCGCCAAGGAAGCCTTCAACAGTCTTCTTTGGGGATAACTGAATCAACTGGGTGCGTCCAAAGGTGATACCACAGACATAAGCAAAGATATCATTGGTGATCACCAGCGCCGCTGGAAGGAAGAACCAAATCATGCCCTCGAAGATGTTGTTCATAACGAAGTGAGCTTGAACAACGATCAGGTACAATGCCATATGAGTCCAAGCAAAGTGCTGGAATTGCAATTTGTAGGTATCTTTTCGCAGGGAGCCGACGAATATCACAAATCCTAGAAATTATTAGCTATCACGTCAGGCGCTCGAGGGCAAGGTACACCAACCTAGAACATATAGAGTGAAGCTGATGAAGCGATGGTGGTTCGCAAGCGGCAGAAGGAGTTTGTCAACCAGCAGGATATGCTTGAAGTAGTAGATCACGCTCTCTCCGTACAAGAAATACATGGTTGTCGCGAGGAAATACCAGCTGAGTGACTTGGTAAAACGAAGGTTTGGCTCCTTTTTGCCTTCGTGCTTCTTCTTTTCCTTGTTAGCGATAGAGATGACTTCCTTGAATGAGACGAGCTGAATGGCAGTGATCAAGCCAATGATGTAGATGTGACCGGAGAACAAGGCAACGAAGAAACCAGCAATCATCACGAAAGTCCATATTGTCCGGGTAATGAAGGTCTGTTTTTTCTTCTCGTAAGCGGCTTGCGCGGATTCCTATAATGAGAAAGAGCAATGTTAGCGACGTGACCAGGCCTCGATCATATGGATTCCGAGCTCACCTTCTGGGTTGGTTCGGCCGGCTTCTCCATTTTGTTGGGGCTGGAGGGCTCCGAAGGTGCATTGCTGGCCTCGGAATGCCGGCGCGCGTGTTGCTTAGGCTTACTGTTTTTCGCCATCTTGACACAGCCGGTCTGGATGGTGAATTTGGGGGGTGGGTAGAAAAGGACAGAGGAGGGGAGAAAAGATACAGAGGGGGGAAGGGTCCAGTTGCATCCGTGGAGTGAGACTGGGACTTTGGCAGCTCATGGGGGAAAGACGGAAGCGGTGGCTGAGGCGGTGGGTGGGTCTACCATCTGCCCCTGTAACATGGCGTGTTGAAGGCTGAACTTCACTACATCTCCATATAACTACGATATATCGACTGTTGGTCTTGAAAACAGGCAGTTGGTATTCCCAAAGAACTGATGGTCTTCAGCTCCAGCTTCAAACTTTACGGAATGAATGCAGGATATAGTGTAGTACATAAGGCACAAAAATGTACCCGAGTGGGTCAGTTCAGGGACCTGGACCAGTGAACGAATGATGATTTATTTCCCGAGGCTTTTACGATATGGACACCTTAGGAATCAACACACGAGGTTCCTCGGGAGCAAGGGGCCAGGGGGTGATCCGTGTTATACACAAACTGCGACTCGAGCCAAACACCATACGAACATTCAAAATGGCACAGGAAGGCACAGCGCGCCAATGAAAAATTGAAAATGACATATCCGATCTGTCCTCTGCTCAAAAAGAAGACTTTTTTAAGCAACTATTGATTCTTGAGCAGCCCTTGAACTTTGTCAAAATAAGATTATAATTATACGTATGTACCTATGGATGTTCTCATGAAAACACTAGCATTAAAACCCATCGCAAGACTCTATTTATCAGACAGTAAGATAGGTTATCTCACACACATCGAATTTATCCAAATGAACGAAGAGAGAGCATCGATACATCACTTTTTAGAAAACATTACCCTTGGTCTGACTCATGTGCTTGACGTTGGGATTCTTGATCATCGCAACCCAAATGAAGCCCAAGACCATGAATGCAGTACCAGCAGCAAGCATTCTCGGCTGGGCATACCCATAAGACTTGATGATGGCCTCTCGCGTGGGATCCCCCCAAGGATAAATGATCTGATACGCGTAAGAAGAGTAAATGGTCGTAATGTCCAGCAGCGTGGCAGCAGGCAGATTTTGCTCAAGCTGCTTGTAGAAAGTATTCGTCCAAATGGCACCACAGATAGCACTGCCTACTGCATCGCCGATACCACCCATCACAAAAAGTAGAGAGAGGACGGAAGCAACATGTTGGTGATCAACCTCAGCAAGAACAGCGAGTTGACAGCAGAGAATGAAGATAGCTCCAGATGCAGAGAAAAAGATCTCACACATCACGATGTACCCAATGTATCCACCGGGTTGACGGAAGTGAATCATTAAGCCGAGGCCAAAAATATAGAGTGGAACAGATATCCATAAAATCCACTTGAAGCGTCCGGTCCAACGAATAAGAAAGCCAGCGGTGAATAAGAAGAAAAAGGAACACGCGCTGAAAGTATTCGTAATATATCCTGCCGTGGCCAAATCCACGTTGTATACCACCATTAAGAAAGATGAGAGGTAGCTGGCATAGCAGTAGTACGAAATTTGGTAAGTCATGTCTAAAAGACAAGCACCCAAGATTGTCCGGTTGACAAGAAACTCGTGGTTCAAAAATGGAACCGGGGCGACATAGATCTCGTACAGAGCAAATAGCACCAGGAGGACGAATCCAACCACGAGCATAGCAATGATGTAGCCAGTAGCCCAGCCATGAGGCGCTCTCGCGGCCAAGGTGAAAGGAAGAAGGAAGATAACCAGTCCACTAGCAAAGAATAATACGCCTAGCACTATATATCAATATTTGAGTTAGCACTTTTGTTTCTTTCTCATAAAGATCAGGCCAGGAAGTCTCACAGTCAAACTCGTTAATAATCCACCAGACGGTCTGCATGTTTAACTTCCGTTTGCTCTTTTCTCTGACAATGACCCCAGTCTTTTCGGCCTTGCGAAAGTTGTATGAAAGCATAAAGTAAATCGGCAGTGCGAAGACTGGGATAATGATGGCGTAGGCACCGTACCCCCATCGCCAGTTGACCTGTTCGTAAAAGCCTGACGCAACCTTTGATCCCGCAAAGGCAGAGATCAAAGCTGGTGACGAGGTAAATGCGAACGCGAGGCCTCGATTTCGCAGATTGGTCACATCAGCTGCAAGTACGTCCCAACTGTAACCAAGACCCCCAAATCCAACTGTATAGAAGACATATCCAGCACAGTAGGTTGCAAGATTTCGAGATGCAGCCAATATGATCATACCCATCGTAGCAAAAACCAGCATCAGGAGGAAGCCTTCTGCTCGACCCCAAATATCTAGTGCTTTAGCCATGGGAATATAAACGGCGCTTCCCAGACTGCTAGCCACAATGTTGACAACAGTCAGCTCGCCGCTGGCACTGAAGTCGGCCGTCGCGAATATGGACAAGGAACCGATTGTGACCCCCTTCATGTTGTTCGCTAGCGTAAGAAGCCAAATCCTTTAAACGGACGTATTATTAGTCTTATGATAGATAAATATAATTGGCCTTGGGGCACCGCAGCTAGTGCAAAAAGGCTGAGTACAAGAAGATGAAGAGAGACTTACAGTCCTAGAATGATGTAGACTGAGTTTTTGCTCCAGGCTAGAGTGACAGCTTCAATTTTCTGTACACCATTCTGAGCCTCTTCGGTGGGTTTAGCCTTTTTATCGCGACTGGGGACCTCCGTCACAGGATGGGAAGCTTCTTTATCATTGGAAATCGCCTCCTCGGTACTTGGATCCTCTGTAATGTTGTCAGACTTTCCACCGACAACATCACGAATTCGATTTCTGATAGCCATGGTGAATGGACTAGCGAAGAGCCAGGAATGTAAACACAGATCGAAAAATTGCCAAGGGGCACGGCCCAATAAGTACTTGCATGTTCCAGAATAATCAGATCACTGATTGATAAAGAAAAGATTAGATTTTTTTTATTTTTTTTTATTTTGACTAGCGCCCACATGGCGCCATCAGAATGAGCCGGGGTTCAAGGACTCTAGCTACTGGGGCAAAAAAAAGTGCGAGCCAGTCATAAGCTCTCTACAGGTCTTGTAAAGTGCTCCGGCCCGAGCGGGGATGAAAAGTGGTCAGAGTTTTTGGCTCTACTTCGTAAGTAGAAACTGGGTATTATGTATATAGGCGCTGTAACCATGGAGAATATCAATCAGGTTTCCGAGGTCCGGCCGTATTTACCTAGAAAGGTATATGTACTTTGCATATCCAAGGGCAGCACCAATATTCTCTGTATAGATCGTTTACTTCAAGTCTAAGTCCAATGTCATGTACAATGCTCAAGGTTATTTGGCATTCATCTACATAACATGTGAACACCTAACAGCAGATAGTGTCATGACTTAATTCTAAATTTGAACTATCAGTCTTTTCTCTGGCAATATCTTCTTAGCTAATGGAATGGTTCGACATATGAGACTTCCTGTATGGTCCTGTACACAATTAATCTGTCCTTTGGGTCGCAATGGTTAGCAGAAGGCTAAAAAGACCCGATTTCGGAGCATAGGCGACGCTAGGAAGAATCCTTGAGTGTTTTAATCCTAAAACAAAGCCAATCACACGCCGTAGCGTATTTGATCTAAGACTGCGCTATAACTCTGGGGGCATATGGCTTACTTGTCGGATATTACAGCCGCCGGATGTTGCTTCAATCAGTAACACACATACTAATTGCATCCTTCAAGTTGGGTCGATTGGTTTCTTCAAACTTATCCTCAGAAGGGTTGTTAGCAAGGGGCCAAGTGCTTGATGTAATATTTGGGGGATGAGTGGGAAAACAAGAAGACCCTGATAACATCGAAAAGTCCCCACCTATTGGCATGGGCTTCCATCATCTATTGGCCGATCCAGCTCCTTATAACCGAAAGGGTACCAAAACTTTTAGTCCAAAATCGGATCTAGCCGATATCCACAATAAAAATGCCCGTGATCCGTACTTACTCCAAATGGGGTTGGAGACGAGATGCCAAGCTCGGCGATTATCGTATCAATCTTATCTGACCCGCCTTTTCTAGCCCAATCCTTGACGAGCACGCGATGGATGATGAGAGAGCCTTGTCTGACAGCCGAGTAGTACTTGACCTTAGGAGCTCCGTTGAGTGGATTTTGGAAGTCTTTTTTTTTTTTTTTTCATATAAGCACCAATAGGTACTATGCCCGGCCCAAAAATTTCGAGTGATTTGACACTCTTCACAATTGATCGTAATTGACCACGGGTGATTCACAGCCGAAGCTCAGCTTACCTCTTGAAGACCCAGCCAAATGACTACGCAGTGGCTACCGAGGCATCGATATGATTATGTCAAGCCTAGAGCTTACATCGAAGAAAAGATGCGGACGAGTCTGCGCTTTACTAAGAAAAAAAAAAAAAAAAAAAAAAAAAACAGGCTGTGGCTACAGCGGTACTGGATCAGATGCATCTCGATATTTGCAAACCGTCAAATGATCCCAACATGTGCATTGCTGACCTTAAATTTGGGGATTTATTTGTAGCGGACCCATGTATGCGTGGATATGTAACACTCGGCAAAGCTATAAGGTTTTGTTAAGTAGGAAGAGAGACTGAAGAATTGGGAAGAAGAATGGGAAGAGGAGAATGCATATAACGTGATGGATGCAAGGATGGTGCTGGACAGATAGTATGTATGTGCAAGGCACGACACAGAGAGAGGAAATGGTCCATGCTAGGAACTGGGGTCAGATCCAACGTGCATGATTTGGACCAACTGAAACATCTCATTTGCCGCACTGACCGCGATGTTTGTTGCTGAACTTGAAGTCGACATGCCTGGAAAGCCTAAGTTTCCGGGTTCCCCGTTTCAGCTCATAGATATGCGAATTTGCAGGATCATTCAAACTTATTGATGGCTCTGTAATATATAAGGCAATGAGAATTCGGTACAGAGGCTTGTCTCAGTTCTCAATCTCGAGTATCCATACTTTCCAGGGCTGCATTTGGGTTCGATTCTTTTGTTCTTTTCGTTGCTTTTGGAGCCCAAGGAAGACAATTGAAATAAAGATATTCTTTAGATCAGTATGCTCTAGGCAATTATTAAAGAACTCTCCAGTGAACTGTAATATGATGTTATCCTCAATGCCCGAAGAGTAAAACCAAGAGATAAACCGAACAGACCAAAGCACGTGCATTCCAAGAAGTTAGTTTAAAATTATATCTCCAGGAACATGCTCACTGTCATCTTAAAAAAATTATTCGTTATCGGTAAAGTAGCACTGTGTGTGCCTATCATCACGAAGCGGTTGATTGGTAGCAGAGAGTGAAGCTAGGCGTGTGGGGGGATTTAAGTGCGGTTTAGTGTGTTATGCGCCCCCCACGTGCAGAGTATCGCAGACTTTATAGGGTTTACATCGAACCCCATACGCCATACATTGCTTTGGCATGGAAGGATGAATTTTTTTTTAAAAAATTCTTACATGGTTATTTAAATGGAAGAGCAAATATTTCAACATGACTCAAGTCGTCTTCTCTTTGAGAATTTCCTTTCGTCATGGCGGCCCAAGCAATTTTCCTACTTGGCCTTGCAGCTGCTGGACAAGCAGCTCCAAGTATGAAAGATTTTCATCGTGGATGCCAAGGTGAAAAAACAACACCAGAGCAGTTGCATTTCAACTATGCCGGTGATCGTGGTATGACAATAAGTTGGAACACCAAGGCCAAACTTGAATTTCCAGCTGTTCGATACGGACGAGATCGATGGCTTGATCAGATGGTGTTTTCCGAGGTCTCCGTCACGTATCCCACATCCACTACATATAGTAACCATGTCTTTATTGATGGCTTAGAGCCAGACACCGAGTACAGCTTTTCTGTTCTGTGTGCCGATGAGAATGATCACCACCAGTTCAAAACTAGCATTGCTCCAGGAAACCCCCGTCCATACACCTTTGCCTTCATCGGAGATCTGGGTACCATGGGGCCACTTGGATTGGCAGATTACGGACAGGAAGATGCTCTCAGCCTTGGTGAGATCACGACAATGCAATCGCTGAGCCAATTTAAGGACCAGTTTGAGTTTGTTTGGCATGGTAAGTTTTCTTCTTCTGCATTCTCTCTCTCTCTGTGATCAATAATGCGACAAGGTGCTGACAAAATGTCCATCTAGATGGTGATTTGGCATACGCAGATGACTGGCTGAAAGAGGAACGCGACGGTTTCTTGCCAAACACCACAACTGAAGGAGGAGCTGCTGTATATGAAGCCATTCTGAACGCTTTCTATAATGAAATGGCACAAAATATTACCATGTATCGCCCGTACATGGTTGGACCCGGTATACCAACAACTCTTTCGCCTTTTCGCATGCTGTTTCGTATACGCCCATTCCTTTTTTTGATATACTAATCATGTCATCAAATAGGTAACCATGAGGCAAACTGTGACAATGGTGGATCTGGCCCTTACACTGATAGCATTTGCATGGAGGGCCAGACCAACTTCACCGGCTTTCGAAACCACTTTCGTATGCCTTCGCCACAGTCTGGGGGCCTCGAGAATTTCTGGTTCTCTTGGGATTCTGGCCTGGTGCATTACATTCAATTTAACACAGAGACAGATGTATGCATTACTCTTCACCTAGTTTTGTTCAATTTCCATCCTGACCTCCCCAGTTTCTTGACGCCCCCGATCTACCCGGCGGCAGCGGTGACGAGAACGCAGGTCCTTTCGCGCCAAACGGTACCCAAATCGAATGGTTGAAGAAAGACTTGGCTTCAGTCGACCGCAAAAAGACTCCATGGATAATCGTCGCTGGTCATCGACCCTGGTATGTTGATGACTCCAAATGTGGTTCTTGTCAGACGGCTTTCGAGCCTCTGCTTCTGGAATACGGAGTCGACATTGCCCTCTTCGGTCACAAGCATTTCTATGAACGTTTGACGCCCATAGCGAGTGACACACCTGATCCTAAAGGCCTGAACAACCCTTCCGCGCCGTGGTATCTTGTAAATGGGGCTGCTGGTCACTACGAGGGTTTGTCATCTGTGGATACTCCATATGAGAACTATACAGTCAAAGCAATCGACACTGTCTACGGGTGGAGCCGCTTCACTGTTCACAATTGTACCCATATTACGCAAGATTTCATTGGTAAGAAACTTTGGCCCTGATTTAATCTTCGGAGTATATCGCTAACGTGTTTATTTCAATCTTGCTAGCCAGTGCCAATGGCACTGTTCTAGACTCTGCTACTCTCTATAAGAACCATGATGGATGCAAATTTTGATTCATATTTATTCTACGTGATACCAAAATCCGATACTTCTTTTCTTTGATATCATACCCCTTGATGTCTTCTCTTGAATATTAATACAGAGCAAAAATTTGAATTTTTTCTCTCTGCGAAATGACAACTCAAAATATGTCCGGCATGCCAAAAGGCATGAAAGAAGCAGCCGCGATTTCTAAATAGTAATTTTCTCGTTTCGCACTATTTTTATGTAACAAGCATAATCTGAATTGAGAGCTTACAAGCCCAGCATACTTGATTTCAAGATCAAATAATCTCCCATAGTAACTAAGTAGTTTTACTCAAATCATGCTTGTTTTATAGTTAGTTCGTGCCGACATGGAAGCCTCAGGCACTAAGGCGGAGATGGCCTCTACCCGAGATCGCGTGGAAAGCGGTCAGCTTCATCTTCACGCGTCTAGCGATGAAAGTACTGCCATTCATACGAGGTGGAATCAACTTGTTCTGACGACTAAACATGCTGATGCACGTCTAAGAGAAATCCAAAAAAACCTCCTCCCACTTCACTTCTCTTCCCGTCCTTACTCAAACCTCTGTTAATTCATGGCGGGGGCATGGAAGACAACGACGATGACTTCTTCTCCGATGAGTTCGATTCTCTACCGCCTGGAACATGGGTTGAGTTAGAACAAAGCGCCTATCAAGCTACCCAAGGTCAAGCTTCACAATATCATCATGGCCATGATCGGACTGTGCCGAGGGACTCTATCCCGCAACCGCTGGCGCAGCCATCGATCCACGCCTCTGGTACTCTGAAGCCACCTCCACGCTTGCACACCGGATATACGAACGAATATGATACGCTGGAAGTCGGTGAGCTGGAGGCGGAGGTTCACGATAATGTGGCGCTTCACCAGGGTCACAATTTACTAGCAACAAATCATGGAATGGCCGCGGGTAGTGCGATATACGACGCTATGGATGTGGATGAACAAGGTGACGAGGGTATTCACCAATGGCAGGCTCACCTTGAAAAGGTATGCTTGATGAACCGCGCGTCTCACTAATCCACTTTTGCTGACACCTATAACTATTACAGCTAGAACGAGAAAAGGAACAAATGCGACGAGAATTGGCCGAGGCCCGAGTCCAAGTCGAAACCAAAGCCGGAGAGATCGCTATTATCCGATCTAAACAGAATAGGGTGGCCGAGGACCACGAGCGGCAGATGAAAGCATTGCGTCAAGCCATAGCGGACCAGGCAACGGAACATAAACAAGCGGTTGAAGCAGCGATGTCCGAAGGGAAAATGCTTGCAACGGAGAACATATTCCTTCAGAATGAATTGGTAGACGAGTCACATCGATTTCGCAATTATAAGTCAAGGCAGCGAGATGAGGAGAAGAATGCACCTGTCACGCCAAGAAAAAACCGCGTTCTTGCGTTTCGAGATGGCTTTGACGATGATGAGATGGCTGCGGTGTCGCCCAGTAAGTCGGCATCTCGGTCGAAGCGATCAACTCCAACTGGCGCGGGCAAGCGGAAACGGCAATCCAGCCTAGACTGTCCGGTCGGACCACATTTAAGTCCTTCCGGGGAGTTAATTATGGTTGACGCCCCTGCCGATGATCCTGATCCGCCCTTCGAAGAGGACGATATTCATCTGACCGGATTAAACGTGCGCAACCAGCGTGCTATGAAACTTCTTTTCAATCATTGTATGGTTCCGGGACAGGAGACTGATATTGAGGCGTTGTCGAAGGTCTGCTTCCCCTCAGAATCGACTCGACCAATATCTCGAATCGTCTTGGATGAATTGGCCAAGTTGGATAAAGGCAGCTATGTCCTGGAATACATCTATACGATCGGCCCACTGCTGCATCGTACAATAACAGAACGATTTTATGAGCCCGTTCCTCGATTTCTCAGTATCATCCGCTGCGTGTTAACAATGAGCGACACCCCTCTTCCAGACCTAATTCAGCCTCTGGTCATTACATTGCAAGATTCTGTTGAGGTCAATGCGGTTCCTCGCTTTAAATTCTCCCCCACTGCACGAGAAAAGGCGAGGGTACTACGACAAACACCCCAATCAGACCTAAACCCGGAAGTTGATTCAACAGAAGGACTGCGCCTTCTATATCAAATGGCATATGAGCTGTTACATATCAAAAGCGCACTAGATGATTTCTGGCGACAAGTCCGGCATACCTTCATATTGGTAATGCTACACGGCTCACAGCGACTAAAGGACGTGGTACTCGTCATCCATCTACTATCAACCAGTGTTCGACCAGACTCGTTCGGCCCCATAATGTCCTCGGAAGGAGCACAGGGTGATGTGCAAAGGTGGATCATCGATCGGCTTTCCCATATGCTCAGTGAACCCGTATTACCAGACGAGGGCATGGAGCCTTATCCCCCGCACGATATTTGTGCAATGCGCCTCGAGGCTTTACTCTTGTTAGAATCACTCGCGTTCAACCCAGCCGCGCCGGCCCGGGAGCATGGCAGCATGATTATTGCTACACACCCAAATGCATTAGCACGTCTATTTCGTTCGATCCATGACGAGCTAGACGCATTATATTCATCGCCTCCCGAGCAGGAGCTTCGATTCGCCTTAGTTAACGGGCTCATGCGGCTAATATTCGGGGTCATGCGCCGCCATGGATCTTCCATCAATATGCAAGATAAACTATCGCGTGTGCCGGGAGCTAAACAAAAACACCTAGTGGTTCTAACTCGCTTGGCGTTTTGTGATGGATCCGTCCTTGAGGCCGGAATTGATGACGAGACCGTTGACATGGCACATGAACTTCTAGAGGACTGGACTAACCCCCAAGAAGCGGAGTCGTTAGCCGAAGTGTTCCCCAGCTCTCGGCGAGAGTGAGCCGAAGAGTTAAAATTTGTACTATTTTGAGATCTTTTTTGCATAGTTGGCATGGCGCGACACGGCATTGGAGTTTTATTAGCAGCATCTGTTTTATGAATTTTACGAGTCTGAGATACCAATAGTTATTGACAATTTACACCTATCTTACCTTCTGAGCTTTACTGCCTTGTATTGAAGCCAACCAAGACCAATCTCAAAGGAAGGATTACCTCGACCCGGCATATTGAGTGGTACTGGAGATAGTCTCTCTATGTAAAATATGGAAGCCAATTTCGCATATTGCTGTACGCTCTTTCATGCGGCTCGTAAGCAAGGTCGCAAGAACAAAGAAAGAACAAAGAAGAGTACGGGACCCCAGAAGAGAGATGAAAGCCTATCTATCCGTGCATGAAGCTGGGTAATCTTCTCCACTAAATACCAAGACAGGAACAGCGTGAACCAATGGTCAAACGAAATGTTTATCAAACTATCCTTCTATTACAAGGGGAAGCTATGAGATATTTTACTTGCTAAACTATTTTATTCCCTTCTCCAAGCTCGGGTCACTGACCCAAGAATTGATGAAAAGAAAAGTTCCATAAATGGAGAGTGCCAAAGAATACGCCTGTCAATGACCCGAAGGCCGTTGAACAAACTGTTCCGCCGCGATGTGCAATGCAGGGACCAATCTGTGGTGGGCCGCCTTCATGATCGCAGCCACCCAAACAAGGTAAGTATGAAGAAGAAAAGAAAAAGGAGAGGAAAGACGGAAGGAGAGAGAAGTATAAATACCCGTGGCCCAGGGCGGTCAGGGCGGTCAGATTGAACTAGGGGTAAGCGAGACATGGTTCAGCCAATGATAAGCTCTATAATTTGCGGCCTTATTTTGCAGGCGAAACACCGGAGTGGAATGTAATCTAGTCACGTGTCATCGAAGTTTTGGGCCGGAGGTGTTCATCAAGTGAAGCCATAGTCACAATTTCTGACCACCAATTCCTTCCCCCACATTGAGTTCTTCGGAGTCGCCATCATGAGGAATAGGGCCAGTAATACTCTGTCCAAGGGGGTATGTCAATTGCAATTCCTAAATTTTCACCGAAACAAGCCACTAACCATGTTATCCGTCTTAGAAAATCCGTCAATCATGGAACAAATACAACTTGTATAACCTACAGCGATTCCGATCTCCCCCCACCGTCAACCGCACATTCTTCCAGCAAAGATGGGCTGCCAAGGCTATCTCGCGTGCCTACCACGGAGAACAGGTCCGCGAAGGTCAATGGAAGCGCATGTTCTCCAAGCGCATCCGCAGCGTTTTCCCCATGAACACAGCCGATCTTGCCGCAGATGATGGATCCAAGATGTCGGCCGGTCGTGGCTCTGGTTTACTCACAAAAGAAGAGAGACAACCCGCCCGCCTTGTTCCGTATACCCATATGGCATTTGCCCCCCTGGAGCGCCGGCTTGATGTTGCCATTTTCCGAGCACTGTTCGCTAGCAGTGCCCGACAAGCGAGACAATTTGTTATCCACGGTGCTGTCACTGTCAATGGACAAAAGGTATTTGATATCACTGAGGTCTTGTTGAAAGCTACTTGGATACTAATCCTTTATGTTGCTACTAGATGAGACACCCCAGCTACCTACTCAACCCGGGCGATCTCTTCCAGGTTGATCCCGAACGCGTCATGTTTGCGACCGGTGCCCCAAAGACGGCATTCGAGCGACGAGAGACACGTCAATTGAAGCTGAAGGAAGCCGAAGAAGAGGCTGAAGCTGAAGCCGAGGCCGAGGGCGAGAAGAAATCAGAGTCCTCAGAGAAGCCCAAAAAGGAAGACTCTCGTGGTACCCTCAAAATCTTGATGGCTCAGGCCAAGTCTATAATGTCGACAGACAAAGACCTTGCTGCCAAGCGCAAGCAAGAACTGCGCGGCTTCCAGAAGGCTGTGCGCCGAGTGCTGTCCCGCTCCGAAACCAGTACGATTCTTACAGACAGCTTGGAGGCGCAGTTCTCTGAGCTTACATTGATGCTGAATGCTAAGCGGGCTGAGAAGAAGCCCAAGGAAGACAAGAAGAAGAAGGAAGTTCAAGAGCAGTCTGCTGAGTCTGATGCTTCCACGGAAGCCGCCGCGGAGGCCAAGCCATCAACACCTGAGGCTGGTGACAAGCTATCTGAGGCCTTCCAGAAAGCCACAGAGGGCAACGAAGTCGACACGTCAGAATTGAGCGATGAAGAATTCGATATTCTTCGCCGCGCCCTTACCCAGATGCGCGACAACCCCATCGACACCTCCAAGCCATACGCCACTCCCTGGCGCCCTCGCGATTACATGTCTGCTTTTGCTTTCATTCCTCGTTACCTCGAAGTCAACCAGAACATCTGTGCTGCTGTATACCTGCGTCACCCCGTTGCCCGTCCTGGTTTCGCCGAAGTACCCACCCCCTTCAGTGAGGCGATTGCCACCCCAGCCTATGGTTGGTACTTGAAGAGACGTTGGTAGAGTGTTTATGGTCAGACAGCTCTACTAGATGATGTCTTCCTGTTTTCTATTACTGCCACTACCCTTCCATCTCCCCCTATTTCCCTCAAGTGTATTATTGGGTATCCTTTTCGAACTTTACCCCTCCACTGCATATCTCTTTTGGTGCTTGTGTTGACCCTGGTGTTGGTGCTTTATTTTCTGTTTGTTCCTCGGGTTCTACTGGCCCTCTGTACCACCATAGCTGTGATGGTTTGTAAATGAATATACAAATACTTCAAATACTGTAAACCTCATGAACTTCATCCTACTTAACAGATTATATTGCGTGACTTGGAATCTTGGAATCGGTCGCAGTCCAAGGCTGATTCTGTTCCAATTACCCCTCTCGTCTCGGCACTGACCCCCGGAAGGAATGATCATCATTGGACTTTCATATTCGAATCAGCCTAACCCGAGAGTATGTGCTGTACATATGCATGCTTTCTTTAGTGCTTACAGCCCATAAGACAGCCACCCAAAACAAGTACGAGCATTGGAACTTCAAGTTGGTACTTTTCGTCGCTTCGTTCAACAACGTAAATATTGATTATCTAGATATGGGGGCTATAAGACTTGAGGTAGCTATATCTGAAGGACTTTATCAATTATAGTTCAATTAATCACAGCCCGAGAACTGTGCATTGTCAGTCAAGCAGAGCATGTACATTGAAGATGATCATAATCTATGTAGCCGCCATGATGAGGCTCTTGGGCAGCGTGACGTGGTCAATGCCTTGGCTAACTCTCGAAGGAATACTCACTAGAAATATGTCAATTTACCCAATTTATACCTGGCAGCCCCGCATCTTATCGGATTTCAGATCAAATGCCTCCAAATTCTGCTTAATTTTAAAAGATACGAACTTCATTGCGCGTCCCCCAACGGAGTCCGGAGCACACGAGCAGCTTCCGTTTGGACATAAACTTCCGCTAGATAGCGGCGATACCCACAATGGACCCAGTCAGTCTAGTGGGTCTAGCTGCGTCGGTTGGACAATTGATCCAATTATCCATGAGCATTGTGAATTATGTCAATAAAGTTGCGACAGCTCCGAAAGAGCGGAAGGCTCTCACACTCGAGATAGTCAGCCTTGTTGGTGTGCTGTTGAGCCTTAAGCAGCGTGCAGATGCGGCTAAGACAGACCAGGACCCGTGGCTTGCCGCCTTTTCGACTATCGGAGGGGAAGAGGGATCTCTACAACAACTCAAGTCGACTTTAGAGTTCCTTAACCGGAAGTTAGAGCCACGGCTTGGAAGGAACCTAATCTGGGCTTTTAGTGAATCCGAAATCAGAGACGCCTTAGCTCGAATCGAACGTGTGAAGAGCCTCATAACACTTGTCTTGCAGGAGAACCATATGGCCATATCGCAGGCTACGAAAGACAGTGTAGGAGGAGTGGAAGTCGGCGTCATGGAGCTGCGTACTGAAGTTGCCGGTATCGAGGCCGGAATTGAGGGCATAGCAGTGGGTGTTATGAGTCTGCAAGATAACTCAAGGGACGAGATGCGACGCAATATCGCTAGCTGGTTATCACCTCTAAACTTCCTGGGCCGCCAAGATGATATTTTTCGCAGGAGACAAGAGGGCACCAATCAGTGGTTGCTGAATTCCCCAGAGTTCAAAGATTGGGTTAGCGGTGCCAACAAACTCCTGCGGTGCTCAGGCATTCCCGGCAGCGGTAAGACCACAATCGCATCTGTTGTTGTTGAACATCTCAAGGCCCATTTTAAAGTCGTCCGCGTCAGCGTCCTTGTCATCTACTGCAACTACAAGGAGCAGGCAGAACAAACGGTTACCAATCTCATTGCTAGTCTTCTGAAGCAGTTACTTCAGAGCGGGGATGTGGTACCGGAAGACTTGATTTCCTTGTATCGCCGCCACAGCGACCGTGACACGCGACCTAGCCTGCAGGACATATCCAAGATTTTGAAGAACCTGATCAACTCTTATGAGAAAGTTTTCGTTATTGCAGATGCGCTAGACGAAAGTCCTGAGGTCATGGGTGTTCGCTCAGAACTCGCAGCCGAGCTTCTGCAATTCCGGTCGTCCAAGTGCAATATGATGATCACAGCAAGAAATTACGCTGGTCTTGAAGAAATATTCGAAGATGATACTAGTATCGAGGTTATCGCAACCGATGAAGATGTCCTCAAATACGTGAATGCTAGGATTTCTCAGGCCAACCGAATCGCCAGACATGGCAAATCCCACCCACATTTACTGGACGAAATCAGAGAGACTGTCGTTAAAAAAGCAAATGGAATGTACGTGCTACTTATCCTATTTTTCTGACTTTAATGATAATATTGTTCTTGTACCTAACATCTCAGGTTCTTGCTTGCTCGACTCCATATGGATTCGCTCGAGAATAAGACAACACCCAAGGCTATTAGAGCGGCTTTACATGATCTTCCAACTTCTCTAAACGCTTCATATGATGAAGCAATGGAGAGAATTTCTTACCAGAGTGCTGAGGATCGAGACCTGGCACATCGTGTTTTGGCATGGATTACGAGCACAAAGAGGGCCTTGACAATCCTTGAACTACGCCACGCCCTTGCTGTAGAAGAGGGAGAAAATGAACTCGACGAAGACAATCTCACTGACGAGGACATAATTATCCTAGTATGCTGTGGACTTATCATGATTGATCAAACCACCAACACAGTTCGGCTGGTCCACTATACGTTGCATACTTATTTTGAGAGCACCCGCAAAGAAAAGTTCCCAGAGGCTGAAACCACAATTGCGAGTACATGTCTCACCTATCTCTCCTTTGATGCAATGGGCGCCAACCCTTGCGGCAATGACAGGGAGCTAGAGTATCGGCTAAAGAGAAACCCATTCCTTCTCTATGCTGCTCAGCATTGGGGTGAACACGCACAAGGGGAATCACAGGAGACCTTGAAGGAGCGAATACTGGAATTATTGAACCAGAATGATCGATTAACCAGCTGTACACAGATAATGTGCATTCCTGAATATCTCTACCACGGTTACAGTCAAGGATTCCCTCGTCAGCCCGATGCTCTGTGGATTGCTTCTTCGTTTGGGTTAGTGGAGATATCGCGAGTTCAGCTACAAAGCGGATCCGATGTCAATGTCATTGATTCTTTCCGCGGATATACACCACTCTATCGAGCCGCAGAGAAGGGATATTTAGAGTTGGCAAAACTACTTTTGGATCATGGAGCTATTATCGACGTATCAGAGTCCACGTATGGGTTCACGCCTCTTCGTGAGGCAGCACAAAGTGGACACGAGAAACTAGTCCGTCTATTGATTGAGGCAGGTGCTAACATATATGCGAAAGCAAAAGACGGAAAACAAGCTCTCCACGGAGCAGCCTCGAAGGGCTGGGTTCCAATACTGAGACTGCTTCTGGATAGTGGCGTGAACGTTGACATTCGAGACAGCGCTTTGAATACTCCTTTGCACATTGCAGCGAGTAGTGGACATGAGGGGGCCGTTGCTTTCCTTCTGGATAACTCTGCAGTCCTGGAAGCGAAGGATCTGGGAGGGCGGACAGCACTTAATATGGCAGCAATCAATGGCCACAATTTGACGACCCGAACTCTGCTCCAACGAGGAGCAAACCCAAATGCAAGAGATCGGGATTCATGTACTCCGATTATGAACACCGCGCAATCCGGACAACTGACAACCTTGCTTACAATGTTGGAAAGCGGTGCGGACGTCAATGCCCGCGATATGAGAGGCAGGACAGCATTGGACATGGCCGTGTTTAACGGCAAGCACGATATTCTATCTGTGCTCCTCAAATGGGGAGCCGATGTTAAGTCTCGAGATGAAGATGGATGGACTGCTCTACACAGAGCGGCATGGACCGGTGATGTCTCAACAGTAAGCCTTCTATTGGAGCATCATGCAGATGTCAATGCGGCAGATGCTCGTGGTGAGACTATTCTGCAACAGGCAGCTTGGCAAGGCCATGCAGACGTCGTTCACCTTTTGCTGGAAGCAAACGCCGCGATAAACACCACATCACTTGATGGCCAGACGGCTATGCATCGAGCTGCCGGGAATGGCCACACCGATGTCGTAGCTGCACTGGTTGCTCGTGGTGCGGACTCCTCCGTTGTGGACAAACACGGGGCACCGGCGGCGGAGCTTGCTAAGGAGAATAACCATGATACTGTATCTCAGCTGCTTTCTATAGTCAAACCAGGAGACTATGAGCCAGCAGTCCCGAAGGCAGACTGGGTGGTAGTTGGGAAGGATGACTCAACTGATCAGAAGTCAAGCGTACCCAAGGAACAACCAAGCGACGCCGGTGATGCCCAGAAAGCCGAGCTCGATCCAGAAATCATAGAAGCAAATTCCAAGCTTTCCGACCCGGCCATCTTCGAGTCGCTTTCACTCGATCCAGAGAAAACAAGGGTCGAGCTGTTCGGCCCTCTTGGTTTCTCCATGAAAGCAACTATCTTCACTGAGATTGACGGAGAGCCGCGGAAATATTTCATGAAAACCCGATTCAACGAGACAACCGACGATCTATACCTTGGTAAAGTCTCCTAACATCCCATAATTTATTATCTAACCCTCACTCGGTAGCTTTTTTATGTACTAACAGCATTTGCAGGTGAATACCTCTCTCTCGAAGCAATGCATACAGCATGTCCATCTGTAACTCCAACTCCTCTCGCTCATGGGAATCTTACCTCATCCATTGGATGCTTCTTGGTAACAGAATTCCTTGACCGCGACAACACCGGAAAGCCCAGCACTGGCTTGAGTCTAGCACAGAAGCTGGCCCAGCTACACGCCACGCCAGCCTCGATCCCCGAAGGCTACGCTAGTCCAGTTTTCGGCTTCCCGGCCGTCACGTACTGCGGACCTACCCCCCAGTCGAAGAAATACTCTACCTCATGGCACGACTTTTTCGTCGAATACCGCATGCGAACTATTCTGCATGAGTGCGAAGTGAAACAGGGACTTGACCATGAGCTACGTTACTGGGTGGAGAAGACTATCGCTGGGCCGATCCATCACTTGCTTGCGGACGGCCACCTGGGTGGCTCCAGTGGAATTACGCCGGTTACGGTGCACGGAAATCTTTGGAACGGTAACAAGATGCGTGGAACGATCTGGGGGACCGAAGAGGTGGGGGACGTGGTATTCGATCCTTCTTCAAGCTGGTGCCACAGCGAGTTTGAGATGGGTATTTTGACATTATTTGGAGGCTTTAGTGCAGGATTCTTCCAAGAGTATCACCGCCTGTTGCCAAAGACGTCTCCTGCACATGAGTATGAAGACCGAGTTGGCTTGTATCAGCTGTAAGTTTATACCGTGCCGTCGTTTGTGTTTGTGTTATCTACCGTCGCGTTCGGGGGAGCTAACTAGGCTTTGACAGATATCACCAACTCAATCACCATGCCATATTTGGAGGGGAGTATCGGGGCGACTCGATAGACAAGATGCGAAAGCTCTGCGACAAGTATCCGGCGAAGTAAGCTAACAACAATTTAACGATGATAATGGCTTATGATATTCTTAGTATTCTTAGTATCACATATTGAAATTGGCTAAATGCAATCGCATCCCATCCAACGGGTATATTCACAATTATTGATACCTCTTTCCTCCCTCTATGTAGTTATTTTTTTTTTCTTTTAAAAAAAGATGAATAAATATGACAGGTATCACCACCTCCAAATGGCTGATCAGTATACAGAACTCCGAGTGCTAGTGCGAGAGTGCCGCACCAGCACCGGAATGCTATTTACCCCCTCATCTTCTTAGTATTACGCGATCGAGACTCACATCGCACTCTCATATTTGGGCCAATTTTCCACTCGAGCGTTCATTTTTAAACAGAATGTCTGCAGTAACTGCCACATCTGGAGACATCTGCGAGGTTGAGCCCCAAAATGCATCGCCCCAAGCTTGCCATCGCCGCGTAATTCTAGAGAAATGTGGCTAGTAGATATGTGTTTCAAGTCCTCGAGTATATCGTATAAATGCAATCTGAGAGGCAAAATACAACGTGTACTGTTTGTGGGGGCTGGACGTATTGGGTGACTATTACCTTTTATGGAGGGGCAAAACAGAAGAAATGCTTGAAACAGTTAAGCACCGATTCAACGCTAGTAAGGATCATCTGAGTTGTGCATCTGAAGATCCTGTCTTGGCTCAAGGCTGGACACAGCCCTATGCATAGAAAATTATAGTCTATAATTCATCTCTATGAAACTGGGATAAACGGAATAAGATACAACCGCCATTTTACCATAATATTCAACCTTGGATTGAATGTACCTAGTCAAACTTAATCATGCGTGGACTTAAATATGAAGTACATACACCATGATAATTAGGTATGGCATATACACTATCTTCAAGTTCAACTTGAATAAAGCCCCCATCTTGAATTTGACTGAAGCACATAATGTACGGATATCTGCATAGATTTATGTACGACCCCACCGACGTATTACGCGGCGTCCCGCACTGGTGCCGAAAAAACAAGCACTTCCCGACCATGATCGATCAATATTGGGAATAAAGTGGAACCGGGATGTACTATGGCAAATTTCTCGCTGCGTGACAACGCAACTCTTTCATACGTCACTGGGAGTGATAATTCTTCTTATAACCGCCAAGATCTGGTGGCTGGGGAAGTTTCCACTGATTATCATCCCTGGATAGTATTTACTTCAAGTTCAACCATTCCCAGGCTCTACGGTTCAAACTTGTGCCAAGATGACTTGGCCCACGTGTAATTCCACCGAGGAGAATATCACAAGTAAGTCAAAAAGCTTAATCAAGTTTATTTTGCTCCTCGGACTCACATTTGTACCTTGCGAATAGTCCATGAGGTCAACCTCTGGGATGGAGGTATTACCTTCCACACCTTAGCGGTGTATCTATGCGCCATCTTCACCGTACTGGCCTCCATTCTCGCCGGGATTATAATGCTAGGCCATGCCACGCATTACAGTAACCCCGCGGAGCAGCGACAGTAAGGCACCTCCTATACCCTTTACTCCCAGTTCTCGATATTGATTCTTCGTTGCTACAGCATCATTCGAATTCTTTTTATGATACCCATCTATTCTATCACTGGTTTCCTCTGTGTCTACTTCTACCGATACTCAGTCTATTACGATCTGATCGGCAACTGTTACGAGCCATTTGCGATCGCCTCCTTTTTCGCTCTCCTCTCCTCTTACATTGCGCCCGACCTGCACTCACAAAAAGAGTATTTCCGCACCATTGTTCCCGTGAACTGGGTTTGGCCCCTCAACTGGTTCCAAAAATGCTGTTGTGGAAGTCGCGATAAAGGGGTTTGGCGCAAGCCTCGAAGCGGACTTACTTGGTTCAATGTATGACAACATCACCCAACCCTTAGGATAACCAAGAGAAGAAAAGGATGAAAGCACAAGAATGCTAACACAACTAAACAGGTGATCTGGATCGGCGTTTTTCAATACTGTATTCTGCGAGTGGTTCTGACCGTAATCGCCGTGGCAGCTGAGGCTGCAGACCGCTATTGCCAGAACTCGGACAGCCCCAAGTTTGCGCATATCTGGGTAAGAAAAACACCAGGTCTTAGAGTCCGAGAGAACGAGAACTAACATAGAACAGGTCATCGTTCTTGAGTCGATTGCAGTCACCATTGCCATGTACTGCTTGATCCAGTACTACATTCAAATTAAAGGAGACATCGCGCACCATCGGCCCTTCCTGAAGATTCTCTGCATCAAGCTAGTGATTTTCCTCTCCTTCTGGCAAACGGTAAGTCTCAAAAATATTGAATTCCAACTCCCCACTGAAACGTACAATGAGATCTAATGCAAAACTTCCTAAAGACCATCATCGATTACCTTACCTCGTCTGGAACGATCAAATCATCCGCCAAAGTCCAATTATACGATTGGAACAATGGACTGCCAAACCTCCTCATCTGTATCGAGATGTTCTTGTTCGCCATTCTACATTTCTGGGGCTTCCCATGGAGCTCCTATGTCATCACCCAAGAAGACATGAAAGACGGCACTGAGCGACGGTATCATGGTGGATGGATGGGCATCAAAGCCTTTGTTGATGCTATGAACCCGTGGGATCTGGTCAAGGCTACTGCACGCGGGTTCCGTTGGTTATTCGTGGGTCGAAGACACCGTGAGGCTGATCCTAGCTACGATATGGATATTCCCAAGCGTGACCCCAACAGCACCGGTGCCTCCAAGGAGGACTTACCAGTTGTGTGATCGATGTTTCTAGGAGTTAGTTCATGATTTATGATGATATGGCTGAGGGTTGACGCTTTGGCTTCAGCTTACATAGATTTTCTTTGCATGCTATAACTGATTTCCACTTTTTGGTTTTACTTTAAATACACCTATACACCTGTCTTTTTTTTTGGAATTGTTTCAGCTATACCAGACATCTTCATTACTTTATCTACGTAACATTGAAACTAGCATGGTTGGCCAATGGTCGTTACTGGTTGAAGATTTTTCTGTTTACGACTTCAACAAATGACTGAGATGTATAACAAACAACCACTTTTCAAGTCATCTATAATTTAAGGCATTATACGCCCATATACCAGTTTCTAGACCCAAAGCCTAGTAGATTAATAGAACATAATGCCTCATACCTAGATACTCTATAGAGTGGATCCACAGTTTGCAAATCATGAAAATTGCGACCGAAAATTACCGTCCGCCTTAAAATTGCAAAACTTCCCGCCTGATTTGCACTTCTCCCCCGCGATCGACCCGCGCACCTGTATCAACGAAGTACTACAGCAGGAAGGTATTAGGTCCTCAACATTTGATGGAAGAGTTCAAGCGCCTGCCTTAAATTTGCGACTTCAATATAAGTCGGTCAAGAGTTTCTTCTTCTTCCGGGGCCACACGTTCTTCCCACTCATCAACAAACCACATCAATTACAAACTGGCCTTGGCCCTGCAATTAATAGTGGCTGTCTTATTACTCTACTTCCGCTTTAAGCCATCCATACCTCTATGGATGCCAACCAACCACTTCAAAGCATTAATACAGCATCAATGGTCGGCTCCTTTTCGCAAGCTGCTCGTCAATCAGCCTACCAGCCTCCAATACAGAAGGGCACCGGCTTATCTCCAGGGATACGCCCATTCAACACCCAATCAGGAATCTACCCAGTACCAATGACACAGATCAATCAACCACGAAACAACCAAAACTTACCCTCTAGCAATAGAAAAGACAATTCCCCGCCCACAAAACGAGGTACCAAACGCAGCCACACAGAAATAGACGAGACAGAGATCGAAATAAGCCGCAAACACGGCAAACGACTAACAACAAAAGAAGAAGTATCTCTCTTCGAGATCTGCAATAAAAACGCACACACCTTCGGCAAACGCAGCGACATCTGCAACTGGTGGCGTACCATAGCAGAAGAATTCACCCGCGCCCATGGCAGGCCGTACTCATGGCATTCTGTCCGTCGGAAGGTGGAGATGGTGACGAAGCAGCGTCTTAAGTTTTTAGAGGACCAGAGCTCCCGCGAACTCACAGGGGTGACTCTAACAGAGGACTCCATGAATCCACAGTGGTGTGCTGTTCTCGATGCGTGGATGCCGACGTGGATACGGTGGGAACAGGCAGAGATACAGCGGATCGCGAAGCGCGACGAGATGATACGCCGGCGCAGCTCAGTAATCAGACCTGACGATCAAGGGGCGGGGCATATTGAGCCTCCAGATGTGCATGCCCCGACTGGGAGTTCTAGTGATGATAGGCGGGAAGATCTCCAGTCCGGTGGTGAGCTGCACGATGAGGAGTTCCTAGACGCATCTTCGGCGGGTGTGTTTGGTTCTGGTGCTGTTGGACCTGGTGCAATGCCGATGGTGGCGGGGGCACATGCATTTGATCCTGTGGCGCCGTCAATACCATCTGCTACTAAGCTACCGCCGGGTTATGACTCAATGTTCACTACACCACTTCATATGACGGCTCGCTCATCTACACTACCGGTTAGTGTTTCAATGAGCCCGCCGCCTGGCTTACCACATACGAATCTGGAGTTGAATCCCATTTTAAATCCGACTCCACAAAACAATCACATGTTCAATGCTGTATTGGAAACATTGGGAAAATTGAATAAACACCTCGATACGGCCTCAGCGAATGGGGGCCCAGATCCTCGGTCTTCGCCTGTGATTTCGGCATTGGTGCAGGCAGCCTCCGAGTCTGGTCCTCATCGGTTTCCATCGAGTTCATCGCACTTGCAGCAATGTACCTCTACCTCGGACATTGATCGTATCAAAGAAGAATTGCGCCATGAGATGCGAGCTGAGTTGCGGAGGGAATTGAGCCGAGATCGGGCTGCATTGGAAGAAAAACTCGATTCTGTGCAGAAGACGCAGGAGATGATACTTCAAATGCTGCGACATGGGTCTAGCTGAACTCATTTCTGAGGAATTTTCTATCCTCAGTTGATAAGATTTGCTTCTCTATGCTTCCAACATAAACTTCATCGCGTGGGAGAAGAAGGGGTGTGAGTTCTTGCTGTATTTCTACCTTTTTTTTCTTTTTAGCAGCAGTATGATACCCAATAAATCGGCAAAGCTTTTCACAAACTTTACACGGACAAGTGCCATGTACTACGTCTGTTTTCAAAGCCCTTTTGATAGAATTCATATAAACGGAAAATGATATATGGATTGTCCTAGGTTCAACTTGCATACTTATCTAGATCTACAAGAGCGAAGGTAGCGAACCAAAATGATGACATTTGCTCTACTCTAGAGAAAAACAGAAGCGCATGAAACAAAGAAAATAGGGAAAGAGTAGTCATCGGCTAAATTACAGAATGGTTGATAGATAGGTTGGAACATGGCCCTGCTTGAGACCCCCGATCCAGGAGAGGTTTTCTCTGAAAGCCCCCCAAGATAATAGCTTTTTTTAGACCCCAATTATGGGAGCTTGGCCTAGATCGGTACCGTCATGCAAGTTTTGGGTGAGATATAAAGCAGAAAAAACAAGCCCTCTAGTAGTAGAAGGTCTCGTCAACGGTACGACCACGCATCCAGCGGGGCTCGGAGCCGCGGACGTAGATGTCCTCGAACAGGATGCGGGAGGTGTTGTCGGGAACGGCCATGTTTTCGGCCTCGGCGACCTCGGCGTCGACATAGGCACGGGCGGCCTTGTCGATGCCCTTAAGTTCCTCCTCGGAGGTGACCTTCCACTCGAGCATCTTCTGCTTGAGACCGGCGATGGGGTCGTTGGTGCTACGCATGCGCTGGATCTCCTCACGGCTACGGTAGGTGGTACCGGGGTCGGACATGGAGTGACCACCGTAACGGTAGGTGACGTACTCGAAGACGAGAGGACCCTTGCCGGAGACGGCGTAGTCCTTACCGTACTGAACGGCGGCCTTGGTGGCCAGAACGTCCATGGCGTTGACCTTAATACCGGGAATGTACTGACCACGCTTGTAGTACTCGGTCAGGGCGGAGGAGCGGGCGGCGGAGGTACCCATACCGTACTTGTTGTCTAAAAATGAATATGTTAGTCTAGGGAATCGCGTGGCGCCGAGAATATTAGGAGGGAGAATTCAATAACATACTCTCACAACCGAACAGAGCGGGGAGGTTCCACAGCTTAGCCATGTTGAAGGCCTCGAAGACCTGGCCCTGGTTGGAGGCACCATCACCGTAGAGGATGATGGAGGTGTTGGGCTGCTCGTTGTACTGCTGGGCAAAAGCCAGACCAGCACCGACGGGCACCTGGGCACCGACAATACCGTTACCACCGTAGAAGTTCTCGGCGAACATGTGCATAGAACCACCCTTGCCGTACGCGATACCCTCGCGGCGACCGAGCAGCTCACCAATGATGGACTTGACGGTACCACCACGCATCAAAGCGAAACCGTGGCAACGGTAGGCAGTGATAATTTTGTCCTGACGATTGATAGCGTGCTCAATACCGACAGCGACGGCCTCCTGACCGGTGGACAGGTGACAGAAACCACGGATCTTCTTCTCCTTGTACAGGCGGTCGGCGGCCATCTCCATACGTCTATAATGTAGCAAACGAAAGAGATTAGCGATTGATTCCGATAACAGCTCCGTATATAGCAGTTGGCGCATACCTGATCGAGACCATGTCGTGGTACATCTGCTTCAGCTCCTTCTTGGTGGTCTCCAGAGTGTAAGGTGGAGGATCGAGCTCGTAGGTCTCGAAGCTCTCGTCGGAGAGACGGACGGTGAAGGGCTTGTCGTCCTCCTAGACAGCGAAGTCGCAAACATTAGCATTGAGTGTCAAATGGACGTGGAGAGGGTTTTCCAGGTTTTCCGGACGGGGCTCAACAAACCTGCGGGATGTTCTCGGCGTGCGCTGAGGCGGCATCGGTGGTGACGGAGCGACGGGTGATAGGGGCGAAAGCCTGGCGGCGCAGGGGCGCAGCCTGGCGGGCCGCAGTACGGAAGAGCATGATGCAAGAATATGCCCAATTGAAGGATGGAGAAGGGAGGTTGAGGGAGGGAGATAGCGATACTTTTCCGATTGAGATGTTGGGAACAAACTTTCCCGATTACCTAAGGGCGCTTCCCCTTCGGGAGCGGCCGGTGTAGGCTTATTGCAAACAATGCAAACCCGGAGCTTGCCTGGTACCAAACACGCCATACTTCAAAGTATACACGACTTTAATATCCTCCGCTGGTGGGATTATGTATTGGAAATGATGTGGAAAATGAGTATCCCACTCGCAATACATAAAATGCTGATTAAAATGTTTTTGTGGAACGAAATGAAGGTCATTCAAGCTTATCGTGGATTGCATTCCTGAGATCCTTGTCTAACCGCCATCCGCCCGTTCACCAGTTGGCGAAATTTACCGTGAAAGTTCTTACAGAACCAATATAACTAACTGTACAACACATTACGAATTTTTACGTAGGCAATTTGTATCAGAACTAATTGCAGCAATTTATCCATTTTGGCAGGCAGACAGAAGCAGAGAAACCAGAGAGAAAAATGGGAAGCCGTGATCCCGGCTTAATACTATGTCGATTATACTTTGATAAACCGGAACTGAAGTCCGATTGCGGCGCGCGGCATCCAATGCTCTAATAACACAGGTGCCCTTGAAATGGTTCTATTCCCATGCAAGCTCGACTTACGAAAGAGCTAAAAGAGCGTTGCATGATTAGCATTTCCTGTACCGCAGGGTGGTGTATTGTGCAATGTTCAGCTTGAAGGAGAGCTCGTCGGGAAAAGTTCTTACAGCTGCACGGAGTCCTCGTATAGTTATGGGTATCGATTCGTTTCATATCTGTGCCACAAGATTTAGCAGTATTGTCTTGGAGCTTCTGTGCTTTGTCCGGCATTGGATCATTCCATCATGCAGCTACCTCTTTATGGGAGCTTACTACCTAGGTAGCTGATTGCATGTATATACTTCCGCAGGTATTCATACTGAACAAAGCGACTTCAGGCTCGAAACTACTACTACTAGTAGCAGTAATCGGTAACATAATCACCATTTGTATACCGACATCATGATTATTGTCCTTCAAGTTCTCATTGTTTCATACTAGGTATTACATAGTAGATAATTTTGTACTTAGTAGACTCTGTAGCCTTGAACAGCTAGTGCACTCTTTATGGGAGCTCATTGCCATTACTTCTGCCTCCATGATAGGTAGTAGTCTTGCACTTCAAAGGCTGTGTATCCAGGGTTGCGCATGTGTCGATGTGATCTTGCGTTAACCCTGGAAGACTTAAAGTAAAAAAAGAAAAAAAGAAAAAAAAAAGAAAGAAAGAAAGAAAGAAAGAAAGAAAGAAAGAAAGAAAGAAAGAAAGAAAGAAAGAAAGAAAGAAAGAAAGAAAGAAAGAAAGAAAGAAAGAAAGAAAGATGGGGAGACGGCGAGATGTCCCGTCTTTGGTTGGCTATCTTCGTAGAGGCTCATTTATACGCAAATAATTGTAGTTGCGTGCTACTGTCGGGGTGCTTCTTTTAATGGCTTTCAGCTGTTGGGGATTCTGCTGGGTTAATACTATCTAGGTAAATTCGTAGTGTTGATGCTGGCATTCATGCAAGAATTATATCGAAGCACCATGAGTTTTGTTGAAACTTGACATACAGCATGCAGGTGGACTCATTGAATAAATTGTATGAAGGAAACGATATAAAACAGTTACTCGCGACTCAATTCCACGGAAAACAGGAATATCAAGATCCATATAAAAAGGCCCTAGTTCCGTAGTATTTCTATGATTATCCGTCTTTAAATGGTCTTCTAATAGTTTCTTTATCTAGTACATATGTATTATAGTATATTCAGGTGACTTTCTGCTTATTGTTTTCTTTATGGTGCTATTAACTATGATACTATGGGTATATATAGATGGATAGTGAAAAAAGAAAGTATCAATTAGAAAATTCAAAGTACCCAGATAACATCTAAAGAAATCCCTTTAGAATCGGCAAAAACTCAAGTGTTTGCCAATATAATCTCAACTCCATAATTCAAGAACGCAGTCATGATCTATTAAACAAGGGAACTTACTTACAAGCAGACATGTGCTATGAAAGGGGCTCAAGTTGAACCTGTGCATAACACCCGTGGGCCATATGCTGGTAGAAATTTAAATTGTTACATATATCACATAATACGAATTGCTCGAAGCATCGGCTCCAGTCCCAGTTCACCGTATCAAACACTCCTATGGCAATACAAACGGACCCCCCCTTGCCCCGCGCCAGATTGCAAGATTTATCTCAGTATTCGGATGACAACGAAATGGAATTTCAAATACGAAATGCGTCGAGGTGAGCTGAGGGCCAGCTCTTTGCATCGACATGAGAAAAGAATGATGATCGGGCAAAGATGGGCTACTCAAGTCGACTCAGAACCAACGGCTTTCTATTTTGTGATAAACTTGAACTAATGGGATACTCAAAATATACTCGAGTCAATCTTGAATATCATAAATCTCAAGTTACTTTCCACTATATCAACCTGCTGAGCTTACTGGCAGTGATGACTTAGGATCTTGATTCCGATGGATACCGTGGAGAGTCATACGGAAGCAGAAACTTGAAGAGCTGTAGCCGCTGTTTGTGCGAATCACTTTATTTATATTTCTCCGGTGGATATGTACAATATTAGTCACTCCATAGAAATTTACCCAAGTATATATGGGTAAGAAGCTTAAGGAGGCCTTCAGGGCCTGTGCGAATTGATGGAAGGGCGATCAAACATCAACATCGAGTCGGGCAGTGCCTAGTCTGTATGTTTGAACAGACACTTGCATATATATGGTCAGGGAAAATATCTATCCCAGGCTCCAGTGCATGGATCAACGGCTGCCAACTTTGGAAAACGCACAACACAGAATATTGCAAAGAAAACAACGACTCGGAATCCCCGAATTGACCGGTCAATACTACTCTGCA